CCCTAACCCTAACCCTAACCCTAACCCTAACCCTAACCCTAACCCTAACCCTAACCCTAACCCAAACCCTAAGGTCTGCCATTCGAGTTCGCTGGCAAAGTTGGAATGCGATACGATCACGCCCTTAGGTTCTCCAGTGGTACCGGATGTGAAGACGAGGTACAATGGAGTGGAAGGAGGCACTTGGGGCAGGGTTTCTCGATCGGTGGCGGGCATCGCACGAACGAACTCAGTGTCGATCGATATGACCTGGATGGATCTTCTCTCCGCAATCGTCGTAGGTCTGATGCGGTGGGCGAGCTCATGGCTGTTTCTTGAAGAGAGGACCACAACTGGAGCCACACGATCGAGAATGGTCCGCAGTCGCTCCTCAGGCTGTGTTACATCCAATCCTGTCACTGTTCCACCTGCTTTCATGACCGCCAGCATCGCGATTGGCATGCATATCGATTTCTCGAAGCAGAGCGGGACAATCACCTCAGGGCCCACCCCCTGTCCAATAAGGTTATGCGCCAATCGGGTCGAGAGGTCGTCCAGTTCATGGTAGGTCAAAGTCTCATCCCGCGTTTGTAAAGCTGGGGCATTGGGTTGACGACCGATCGTGTCGGCCAGTAAATCATGCACGCACCTGTCGACTGGATCAGGACAGTGCGCATTCCAACCCCAGATATCCTTCAGATCACTGGAACTGATCCAATCGATCCGGTGGAGATTGGTTTGCAAGTTCTTCGAATCACAAAGTTGTCGCACATAGTGTTCTAATTGGGTTATCATGCGCTTCGCCTGCTCGATCGAGACGACTTTAGAGTCGATACCAAGCATTAGTCTCAGATCGTCGGTGTGCTGTTCGCAGACTACGGTCAAGGCGTAATTGCTGAACGCGCCGAGTGCGTCGGATTTGTCATTTTCCCTTTTTTCAGATGTAGGGTGAGGTGAGAAGATATTTCGGTCGTCGGGCTCTGTATCTGAGCCCGCCTTTCGTGCAGGCGGCTGAACGACAAGCAGCGACTGGAATCGACATGCCTCCCCTGCCTCGGGGCTCACACGTTGAATATTCTGAAGGCCGGTCTGTTCATACTGAGCCATCTCAAGGCCCTGGCTCTGTACTTGTTCTAGGAGTCGCTCGACGCTGAACTCCTGCTTCTTGTCGACTTTGATACGAATTGGTACCGTGGCGATGGTGGGTCCAGCCAGTTGATCAAGTGTTCGCACTTCAGCCTGCCTTCCCGAGACAACAACACCAAATACTGCTTCGGATGCATTGGTAAGTTCCATAAGAAGTAATCCCCATGCTGCTCGGAGGGCCGATGATGTTGTAAAACCACCCAGATGCCCTCTTCCAAAGCCCCTGATCGTCAATTCCAAAACCTGGCCAGCACGTGGCTGATGCTCAACGGATGGTAACACTGGAAATTGCGGTGCGTTCAAATCTGCAAACTGTTTCCTCCAGTAGTCTTGGGCAACTTCGGTCGGTAAAGCAAGTGTATGCTGGATAAAAGGTGCGAAAGGCACGAGCTTGGATGGTGAGTTGTTCCAATAAGCTTGGCGGACCGAGTTCAGCACGAGATCGAGTGTCCAGGCATCGTACAAAGCATGGTGGATAGACCACACAAATGTCGTTGTACCTTCAGAGTTCTGCAGACCGACCTCACTAAGTCGATTCCCAAGGATGCTGGCAATGCTGCGCCCCACTACTTCGGGAGAGAGCCAAGGTGTTTCATCCTGCACGACTACTTGAACCAGTCCACGGTTGGGGAGGTCGACGACCCGGGTCTTCAATATTGGTGTGGCTGCCACAACCATCTCCCATGCCCGTTGAAACCTGTCAGGGTCCACATTTGGTTCCAGTGGAAGCACATGGTGAGCGCAATAGTCGCCCGACTTTCTCGCTGAAATCGCCAACAAGCCCTCCTGAATTGGAGTGCAAGGGTAGATATCTTCAACAGCTGATTCTTGAACGTCACAAAGCGTTGCTGCTTGATGGCGAATCAAATTGACATCACAAGGACCTTCGAGAAGAGAGAAGGGTTCGATAGTGACGCTGTTTCCCTCTTCTACCTTAAGAACATTCGCCATGGCCTCGAGCGTCGGGTTCTGGAAGATGTTCATGACACTTAGCAAAAGGCCGCAGCGCTGCATGGCAGCCACCAGCCGCATAGCTTGGATCGAGTCACCTCCAAGCCCGAAGAAACTGTCCTCTGGGGAAATGGTGGATGGGTCAATATCGAGTGTGGATGACCACAGGCGGCTCAACTGCTTTTCTTTCCATGTTGAAGGCATCCTCCGTGGCCCGGTAGATGTTCTGGACGGGTCGATCAATTGGTCCATGCTAAGTTTTTCGGCCATCTGCCGCAGCCTTCTGCGGTCTGCTTTGCCTGTCGTGGTGATCGGAATACTGGCCAGAGGCACATACGCACTCGGTACCATGTACGAAGGTACTATAGTCAACAAGCGACCGTGTGCTCTTCGTGTGAGACTCTGAAACTTTGAATGAAGCACATCCTCTGTGTCCGCAGTCTTGGTGGCTGCTTTTTGGGCAACAAAGCAGACGAGAGTGGTACTCTTGGCCCCTTGAGGTCTCACCAACTCTGCAACAACGTGTATGGCGTCTGTCTCGAGCTCCTCTCCCTGCACTTCGTCGTGGGCCAGTTGTTGAAGAACGTGATGCTCAACTTCACCAAGCTCCACTCTCTGGCCCCTAATCTTAACTTGCGTGTCTTTACGACCCACAAACATCAAGCTGCCATCTTCGTTGTATCTTACCAGGTCGCCTGTTTTGTATATTCGCCTTGTCCCCTGAGGGCCATTCGTTGCCCTCTGCAACTCACACTTATCTCGCCGACTCCAATCTGGATCTTCAACGAAAAAGCTGGCTGTCTTCTCCTTGTTGTTTAGATAACCTTGTCCAACTAGAGGTCCTTCAATCCAGAGTTCGCCCAGACACCCCACTCCCGCCAATTGGTCGGACAGTACATCGACCACCCATGTGTTCGCCGAAGCACTAAATCCCAATCCCTTCTCACCAAGATACTTCTGCGCATAGAGAACTCCGATCGTGCATTCTGATGGTCCATACGCAACCACCACACGGGTGAGAGTTAAGATCCGCTTGACCAGTCCTTCGGTCACGGCCTCACCGCCTAGATTTACATACTCTAGGCTCTGTAGCAAAGACGAGTCCAATGTTTTTGCCATCGTGGGTGTGCAGGCCAGGTAAGTGACACGCTTCTCTCGGATGAACTGCGATAGTTCATCCAAGTTACGTCGTTGACTCTCCGAAGGTACACAGACGCATCCCCCGACGCACATTATTGCCCAGTTCAGGGCCCAGAAAGTGTCGAAGGCATACGAGGCAAAGTCTAGAGCACGGGTCGTAGACTCGAAACTCAGCCTCGAAGACTCCAATTCACACAGGCTGGCGAAGTTGGAATGTGTAATAACGACGCCCTTGGGGTTACCTGTACTGCCAGAGGTGAAGACAACATATAGAGAATTGTGTGGCTGGACAGTCGACTTGCGATGCCGGTCATCCGTCAGCTCCTGGAGATGGTCTGCGTCCACGACGACATTGACGATTTGGGGGTCCAAGCTAACCGTGAAATCGGCATTTTGTCGAGACAACAGCACAACAGACGGATTCACTTGGCTTATGATGCTGCGAAGGCGATCCTCTGGCTGATTGACGTCGAGTCCTACCGAGACGCCACCAGCTTTCATGACACCGAGCGTGGCAACAGGCATCCATTTGGATTTTTCGAACAGCAGAGGCACGATAGTCTCAGGCTTGACGCCGAGATCGATCAGCTGGTTCGCCAGTCGAGTAGCCAGTCGGTCTAGTTCGGAGAAAGTGAGCTGGCCGTCGTGAGCATCAACAGCTTGCATACGTGGGCGCGTCTGAACTATGTCTCCGAACATTTCATGTACGCATCGCTGCGTCGTTGGTGGCACACCTGCATTCCAATGCGCAATATCCCTTGAATCGGTCGGACTCAGCAAGTTTACTTGGCTGATATTGACGTTCTGGTGTGTGGGCACACAAATCTGACGGAGAATATGTTCCAACTGCTCGGCCATTCGACTGGCTTGGCTGGCCTCCACGACGTTGGGGTCAATGCTCAATATAAGATGCAAGTCCTGGTCTTGAAACTCACACGCCAGAGTCAGGGCATATGTTGCAAAGGCGTCGAATATATCAGCCCCAAGATCATCCATGTTACTGGGTCTGGCAAATATGGTGTCAACTGCCGTGGCTTCCGAATGGGCGGATTGAACGACGAGAAGCGACTGAAAATGGCATGCCTCCTCCGTTTCGGCGCTCAGTTTCTGGATGTTTTGCAGACCTGTTTGCTCGAAAGGACCCATCTCTATTGTTTGTCGCTGGACTTGCCTGAGGAGTTGCTGCAATGGTTGGCTGTAGTCGATGGTAATTCTTACTGGGACCGTCGCAAGCGTGGGACCAGGGATGCGCTCTATGCCGGGAACAGCTGCTTGTCGGCCGTTGACTATTGCACCAAAGACGGCGTCAGGAGAGCCTGTATATCGAGAAATGAGAATAGCCCACGCTGCGCGGATTGCTGTCGACATGGTGAAGCCGGATGGGGACCTGCCCAATCCCGAGATCGTGTGCGTGATGAGTGCCTGAGCCCGGGGGCGATAGCGTGCCGATGGAAGAAGTGGGAATCGTGGCGCGGCGAGATCAGTGAATTGATTTTTCCAGAAGTTCTGGGCCTCATCATTTTGTGCGGCCATCGTGTATTGGATGAAAGGTTGCAAAGGGGAGAGCCTGGGCTGTGCACCGTCGTAGGCTTGTCGGACAGCTTGCAAGACCAGCGAAATCGAGAATCCATCATACAGCGCATGATGGACGGACCAGCTGAAGTAGCGTTCCCCATTCTCCGAAGTGACTCCCACGTGGCTCAGCGGCGTCCCGAGTCCCATCGTCTCGCTGAAACTGTCAGCTGCGCGCCACTTGACCGTCTCGTTGACGATGACCTGAACCAGGCCCTGTTCCGGTATATCCACAATTCTTGTCCGGAGAACGGGCGTAGCCGCCGTCACCGCCTCCCAGGCCAGCTTGAAGCGTTCAATATCAACGCCATGCTGGAGTTGAATCTTATTCTTCGCCACATAGTCTCCTCCCTTCTGAGCAGTCAGGGCCAACAAGCCTTCCTGAAGAGGTGTGCATGGATAGGCGTCTTGTATCGCTGCAACGTCAACGTCACAGAGCAATGCCGCACGCTGCTGAGGTTTCACCCCTTCTTCAGAAAGCCGGAGTAGTGAGAACGGCTCTATTGTGTCTTCGTTCATACTTTCACCAGCTTTAGCAAGTTGTGCTAGGTCGAACAGCGTGGGATGGGTAAAGATATCCGCAACAGTAAGCGTGACGCCTCTTTTGCGCGCTGCTGCCACGAGTCTCATAGCGAGAACAGAATCGCCTCCCAGCCGAAGAAAACTGCTGTCGGTGTATATTTCCTCACTGTTGATTCCGAGAGTAGAGGCCCACAGTTGCTGAAGCTGTCTTTCGGCCAGAGTTGACGGGGGTTGCTGTCGAGGTGCCGACGTCAATGTGGCTGGATCTATCAATTGAGCCAGTGGTAGGCCCCTTCCGATCTCTCGCAATCGTCGACGGTCGACTTTACCGCTGGTTACAGTGGGCAGTCTGGCGAGAGGGATGTATCCCTGGGGCACCATATACACCGGAGCCGCACTGACGACGCGAGGGTGTACATCATTGACCAATAGCGTAACGATCTCGACAAGCTTCGCTGAAGACATCATCTCCGCTCCCTTAGGCGTAACAAAGGCCACCAGAATTGTGCGGTTGATCTCGTGTGGGGTGATGAGGTCTGCCACAACATGAACTCCTTCCTTGTCGCCGCTTTCAACTGCGTTATCACCGTGCATCTGCGACAAGATCTGCTGTTCCACCTCTCCTAGCTCGACTCGCTGACCTCTAATTTTCACTTGTCCATCCTTTCGTCCGACAAACGTGAGCGTGCCATCCGTATTTAGACGGACTAGATCTCCGGATTTGTACAAGCGACCACGTCTGCCTCCTCGAATAAGCCAATGAGGGTCTTCGATAAATGCTGAAGCAGACTTGACAGGATCGTTCAAATAATCCCCTACCAGAGGACCCTCAATGAGTAGCTCTCCAACACAACCCACGCCCACGAGACGATTAAAAGAAGTGGCATCGACTACCCACAGACAGGCACCGACGCCATATCCAATGCCTTGATCTTTTCTCCCTCCTCGTTTCCGCCATGCGAATGCTACGCCGACTGTACACTCGGCAGGCCCATATGCAATGATCACATTAGTTAGGGCTGAGAGCTCCTCAGCCTGCGCCTCGCTGACAGCTTCTCCACCGAGCAAGAGAATTTCGAGCGTCTTGACCACGGAATGATCGAGGGTCTTGACGACGGTAGGGGTGAGTGCCGCATACGTAACTCGCATGCGTAGGATGGCGCCAGCCAGGTCGTTCTTGCGCTCATAATCGGATGGAACGCAGACGCAGCCGCCCGCACACATGGCACCAAAGGCGACATACCACGATACATCAAAGGCATATGAGGCGAAATCAAGAGCACGGGACGAGGGCGTAAACCCAATGTGCTGTCGATGCAAGTCGAGGGCAGTGGCAAGATTGGAGTGAGAAATGGTTATTCCCTTTGGCTCGCCGGTACTGCCGGATGTGAACACAATGACCACTGCTGTGGCAGGGTCTACTGATGGCAGCCTTGCATCCACCGACTTGGCGGGTATACTGCTGATGGAGGCTTCGTCTATGGCAACAATTGCAGTGTGCTTTTTGTGACGCAGTCTCGTTGACAGCTCCGAGTTTTTGGTTGAGCAAATAATGACCTGGGCGTCAACCTGTCGAACGACTGCGCGCAATCTCTCCTCCGGTTGAGAGACGTCCATCGGAACCGCAGTAAGCCCAGCCTTCATGACGCCGAGCAAGGCGACTGGCATCCACAACGACTTTTCAAAGCAGAGTCCGACATGATGGCTCAGCCCTTTGCCGTTGTTACCGCCGTCAACCCAAAGTCGTACAAGCTGATGGGCGAGGCGGGTGGAGGGCTCATCTAACTGCTGAAATGTCAAGTTCCCATTCCACGCACACACGGCCTGTGCGCTGGGCTTTTGTTGTGCAACCTTTGAGAACATTTCGTGCACCGTTGTTTGAGACGGCAGAGGAAGGTCGCGGTTCCAGCGCCAGATGTCAGCCAGATCGCTTTTGCTTGCAGCTTCAATTCTCTCAAGTGCAATGTGTGACCTGCCAGGTGCTACGATCTGGCGAAGGATATTCTCGTACTGCTCTAGCATCCTTTGTACACGCTCTGTGCGCAGGATGGAGGAATCATAGTCGGCAGTCACTCTTACCGATTTTGCAGTGGATTCCACGCCGATTACGAGGGCGTAGTCAGCGAGACTTTCTTTCGAGGAATGCTCCAATCCGTTATTCTCAGCCGATAGAGGGAAATTAGGCATCTCCTCGGCTCTGTTGGCTGTGTTTGCCGTGGTCGCTGTGGCACGTTGTACAACCAGCACAGCCTGAAACTGACAAGCTCGCCTTGCCTCTTCGCTAGTCCGTCGAATGTGTAGCAACCCAGTGCGTTTGTACCGGCCCAGCGCTTCCATCTGCTCCTGATCGCGACTCTCGAGCGATGCGATGGTCATCTCACCATCCATCACAAATCTGGCCGGCACCACTAGAGCGGTGTCTGTTTCTAGCGCCCCACCACCCAATGCAAGTCCGAATATGACATCGTCCGTGGCGGTGTGACGTGCTTGTAAAAATGCCCAGGCGGCACGAATTGCTGGCTCCGTCGTCAAGTTTACATCGGACCCTTGCTGAGAGGTAATTATGATATCCGCAGTAGCTTCTCGCCTTGGCCGATAAGTAGCCGAAGGCAACACCGGGAAGGGCGTAGCTTCCAGGCCAGCAAATTGTGTACGCCAAAACGTGTTGACAGCCTCTTCATCCGCTCCAACAAGGTGGCGGAAGAAGCACGCTTGTAAGCTTTCCGCCTCTTTTTCTGCCCCTACCGATACCGGATTACCAGTGTAATTCAGGAGATACTCGATGGCGGATTGTACGGTCTCGACTACCGCTTTGCCCGTGCTCGAGCTGATTTGATCTGCCCTCCAGCCGACCATGAGAGACGTTTCTGCGCCATCCAATCCCGCACCAAGGCCAATGTCGAATTCTTGGGCATCTTCGACGTAAAAATCGGTCATTCGTAGATGGTTTTCTCCTTGGTGATCCTCGACGTCATCATAATGCGTATCTGCCTCACGTACCGTGATGGCTGAGTTGAATAGGGGTCCGGATCCCACGGCACGTTGGACCTCGGCAAGTGAAACGTGTTGGTGAGCCAAATGTTCAATGGTTTGCTCACCTGTGGCTTTGAGAACAGTCCTCAAGTCGTGAGAACTAGCAGTCCCCAACGACACCCGACTGACCAGCATGTTGATGGTCGGGCCAATCAAACGGTCGATTCCGTCAATCGGCATGTCTCGGCCGGAAGCAAGAAACCCAAAGCAGACATCTCCGCATTTCTCTTTCTCACTCCGTTTCTCATCAACGTCAACATTAACAAACCGACTCAGCACCAAAGCCCACACGACCTGCAGGAATGTCGCACGCGTAATGCGATACTCACGACAGAAGTCGTAGATTCGACTGTTGCCTGCGACATGGACAGGCAATGTTTGGTACCCAGGCCCCTCATTGGCGCAGAGATCTTCTTCGGTGGGAAAGCGACAAGTGCGTAACCCTTTAAGGACCTGACTCCAGTACGCCAGTCTCTCCGAATGTGGCGTACGATTGAGGTATTCAATTGCATCGCGAAGTTGTGGTGCAGCTGCCAACTCCAAGCCGCGATATGCTCTTTTGACGCACTCGATGATGGCGTTCAGGGAAGCGGCGTCGGTCAAAGCATGACTGATGTCCAGTCTACAGGCCAATTCACCGCCATGATTGGCTTGAGCGACCGTAACTCGGACTTCTGGCTGTCCTGCCCCGAATGGTGGGCAGTTGAAGGAGCGTAGAGCGTGTGCAGGAGATGTGGACCCTGAGTCAAGTTGCCCAATGGCATGCTTTGCATCTCGGCGCACGATCTGAATGAACCCTCCAGTCTCGGGGTGGTCGACGAAGATGGTTGAGAAAACTGAATGCCGCATGAATGTAGCTTGCCAGGCATTTATTAGTCTTTCACTTGAGATGGCGCGAGGACCTTCACAGAGCCAGATCCAATGGTTTGCGTACGTCGCAGCACCAGTCTTTCGACTTAGCAAGATCCCCTCCTGGAGAGGTGTGCAAGGATATGCATCCTGGACCTGAGCTGGCAAGATACCAATTTCAGGCAACTGCTGCTCTAGTAGGTGATCCAGCCCTTCATACGACATTTGGCGCAGAAGTGGAAAGTCAGCCCGTGAGAACTTCTGCGGTGCAGTCACCAGTGTCCGAATAGCCTCTTCAATCTGGTTGATATAAAGGTGCGCCCATTCCCGGATCTTGTCTTGTTGTCGCAGGCTTTGGTTGACGCAGAACAGAACCTCCATCTGGCCCCGAACAACAACAGTCCTAACGTCGATCAGACTCATCATCTGGTGGTCTGGCGCTATCTCTTCAAGTTGGACCTGGATCTCATCGAGGGCGAGGAAGAGTGAGTCTTTACTCTCCAATTGTTGGAATTGGCCCTGATAGTCGAAAGTTAGCTCCATCTCTCCGCCGGGACTAGAAGATTCGCCCGCAGTGACGTCGCCGTAATATTGAGAAGCAAGATATGACCTTCCAAGGTCCGGCAGTAGTTTTCGGAGGTCTTTGACCTCTCGAATAGTGTTGTACAGGCTTTGTGCACGTTTCACGCATATTTGAAGCGGGTGTATGGTTGTGAACCATCCGACCGTCTCCGAGATGTCATATTTCCAGCCTTCCGGCGCCTCACGGCCATGTCCTTCGAGGAAGACCGGTGGAGGCTTACGATCACGGAAAGTTGCGGTGAAGCTCCGGATCAGTGTCGCCACCAAGATGTCTAGTGGCGAGCTCCCAAGACTGTCGTTGGCCTTACCAAGCAAGACAGAAGTGGTTTCCGCCGTGAGATACTGCTTGAAGATGTCATAGCGTCTGAATTGGTTCGCTCCAGTCTCGATCCCCCAATATTCAAATCTCGGCCGTTCGGGCGTAAAAGGAAGAACTTGCGACGGCCGGAGAGCCTTGCCGGTTCGTCTTTGGTCATGGCACCAAATGCGGAAAGGTATTGGCGGTACCATCAACGGTTCATTGCTCAAAGCCTGCTGCAGGTCGTGCCAGATCACTCGCCATGACACCAAATCGATAACAAGATGAGATGCACTAAGCAAAATGACCTGCTGTCGGTCGCCACCTTCGATCGCAAACACGTCGACAGCGAACAATGGGCCGGTTTCAATATCAAGAGATCTTTGCCGATTCTGCATCAGAAGCAGGGCGGCCCCCATTTCACTTACTTGGTGTTCAACAAAGATGGAATCTGGGACCGTGCTTTGAGGCACAAATTGGACCCAGGTACCGTCGCCAGCGCGACGGAAACATGCGCGGAGCATCGAGTGTCTCTCCACAACCGCTTTGGTGGCCTCACGGAGGGCGTGGGTTGACACCAGGCGCTGTAGTTTGAAGACGAAGCTCTGATTGAATTGATATGGCCCATGGGGGTGAGCATCCAAATAGATCCGCTGAATGGGCGACAGAGGCCATCCACGTTCATCAGCCGCCCGCGCCTCCTCTTCTGTTTCCATTTGAGCAGTGGGAAGACACTCTCCGACACGTACACGCCCAGCCACTCGCTGGATTGTCTGAGCGCGGAGGACGTCAGCCACGGTGACAAGAATCTTACGTGCTCGAGAGCGGGATACGACTTGCATAGCGGAAATGGAGTCTCCTCCCAGCTGAGTGAACGCCACATCTGTAGAAAGAGATTCAGGTGGAATATTGAGGACCTCAGCCCATATTTCACGCAACTCCCGCTCCACGTTGTTCGAAGGGTTGACATTCTCGTGTTTTTGCTGGTCAGTGAAAACATCTCCAAGATCGATGGACGAAACCAGTTCGCGCAGGCGTCGTCGATCTGTCTTGCCTGTTGCCGTCATGGGAATGGATTCCAAGGGAACATATTTTGTGGGGATCATGTACGATGGAATTCGATCGGCTAAACGCTCGTTCAGATCCGAACTTAAGCGTTTGATTTCGTCCTCTCGATCCTGTTCCGCTGAAAACAATCCGGCTAGCATGATGAACGCCATTAGAATCTGCCGATTGCTGCCTGCTGGGATGAGAATGTCGGTAATTACTTTAGCGTTGTGAGCTCCTTCTTCACTCAGCACAGACTGAACATGATGCTCGATCTCACTCAGCTCGACCCTCTGCCCACGGATCTTGATCTGGCCATCGTTTCTTCCGATGAAAGTTAGACTTCCATCACTGGCGTATCGTACCAAATCACCGGTCTTGTACACTCTGCCTCGTCGCCCAGAAGGTCCGCTTACAAGCCAGAGAGGGTCATCTAGGAATGCAGCAGCCGTCTTTGCAGCATCATTTAGATAGCCCCTGGCAACCAGTGGGCCTTCCAAGTACAACTCCCCAATCGCCCCGATTGGGGCGAGGCGATCAGGCCAGTTAGTGCTGACAATCCACGGCACCACTCCCAGGCCTCTTCCAATCGACGGCTGACCAGAACCAGAAGCGGATATCTTCGCCCCAGTTGCAGTGACTGTGCATTCCGCCGGGCCATATGTATTTAGAAGTTTGACCGGTTTTCCCTTGAGGCTCTGAATATCTGAGCGAGTTAACTTTTCTCCGGTCGTATTTAAGACGCCAACACTAGAGAAGTCGATGGCGCGAGCGATGGAAGGGGTGACGGCTGCATGGTTGACTTCGTGGCGGATGATAAAGTCACTCAGCTCGTCCATGCGCTGTGTCGAGGAAGGAGTACAAAAGCAGGCTCCAGCGGTCAGAGCCATGAGGATGTTTTGCCAGAAGACATCAAAAGCGTACGAGGTGAAGTCTAGGACGCGGGATATGCTCGTAATACCAAGCCACGGTCGCTGAAACTCGATCGCATTAAGGAAATTCGCGTGCGTGATTATAACGCCTTTCGGAGCTCCGGTGCTACCACTTGTGAAGACGACGTAGAGAGCACTCGACGAAGGTCCCTGAGGCAGTGCTGAGGACTGATTTTGCTTCATTTCTGCAAGGTTCGCTCCATCGGCGAGAACGACTTGATCACGGTGTCCGCTCAGACGGACCGCCAGCCCCATCGCGTCAGAAGACGCAATTATCACGGGCGGGCTGACTTGCGTGACTATCGTTCGCAAACGCTCTTCAGGTTGGCCAACATCGAGAGTGACGGATGCTCCCCCGGCTTTCATCACGCCTAGTACAGCAACCGCCGTCCAGATACTCTTCTCGAAGCACACTGGTACTACCACCTCAGGGCCGACATTGTAAGTGCCGACTAACTGGTGAGCAAGATTTGACGACAGTATCTCCAGCTCGCCATAAGTCAGCTCGCCATCCCAGCCGCTCAATGCGGGCCGATTAGGCTGTTGTCGAGCAACGTGACTGATTAGCTCATGAACGGAATTTGCCGTAGTTGATGATGCTGGGATAGGCGTATTCCACGCCCAGATGTCTTCCAGATTCTTATGACTCGTTGTGTCAATAGCTGTAAGCTTCTTGCTGGCATTGACGGGTGAGCACAGCTGTCGTACCAGGTGCTCCAACTGTTCTGCGATTCTCTCCACCTCAGGCTTAGATACGACGGCGTCATCGAAACTAAGCTTCAAGGTCAAGCCTTCTCTCTCTAAGTCACAATACAACAACATGGCGTACGAATTGAATGCTGAAAGAGCGCCCGTGTCCTCGTATAGGTCGTCAAACAACGTCTCAGTCGTCTCTTTTGAGCCGTCCCCAACCATGGGCTGGACCATGAGGAGTGTCTGGAAATGACAAGCCCGATCTGCAGAGGAACTAACTTGTCGAATGGCCTGCAAGCCAACGTGCTCAATCGCCACAAGATTGACTGCCTGCTGCTGGACCTGCAGTAGAAACTGGTCGACATTTTGGGCGCCGAGATCCATGACTACCCTTATTGGCACTGTCGTAAGAGTTGGGCCAGTCATACGCTCCACCCCTGGTACTGGAGCCTGCCGGCCCGTGACGGTTGCCCCGAAGAGCACGTCTGGAGAATCCGTGTATGTCGCAATCAGAAGAGCTAGGGCCGCACGCACGACCGTAGACATCGTCAAATTGCGTCTGGTTGGCCACTGGACGCCGGTGAAGCGGTGGGTAACTTCACACTGCGCGTTCGGCCTATATGTCGACGTGGGCAGAGCTGGGAATGGCTGTGCTTCGATGCCATCAAGCTGTTCCTTCCACAGCAGTTCAGCATGGCTTCTGTCATTCTTCAGGACGTAGCTGACAAAGGCTTGAAACGAGGGTGGTAGCTGCAGCGGCTGTAGGGCTCGATATGCCTGTTCCACCATCGAGAATAACAACGACAAAGACCACCCGTCGAAGGTCGCGTGATGCAAGGTTAATACGAAGGTGTAGACCTGTTCCCTCCGAACAATGGCGAAGCGCACAAGAGGTGAGCCCAGTCCCATGGCTTTGCTGGCATCTGCAGTGAGATAATTCTCTACATCTGTGGCCGCTTTCCACGAGATCTTCTCGTCAACAACGACTTGAACCAAGCCTTCAATTGCCATGTCAACAATTCGAGTCCGGAGAATTGGTGCCACCGCCACTACCCTTTCCCAAGCGGCCTGGAAACGGTCGAGCTCAATACTGGATCGCAGTTGAAGCACATACCTCGCTACATAAGCCTTTTCACGTTGAGCTGTCAGTGCAAGTAAACCAGCTTGAAGGGGCGTACAGGCAAAAACGTCTTGTACCTGCGAGACTTCGATTTGGCAGAGCTTTGAGGCCTCACTGCGGGCGTCCTTCTTGCTTTTCTTTCTGAGAAGACTAAAAGGCACCACCGTCCCAGTGTCATCGAGAGCGGCAGCAGTGTCGGCCGCTCCATGCAGATACTCGGCCAGATCACTTAACTTGGGGTGACGGAACAAGTCAGTGACCGAGATGCTCAGTCCTTGATCTCGCGCCGCGCCCACCACCCGCATTGCGGCGATCGAATCTCCGCCGATCGAGAGGAAGCTGTCCTCGGCACTGATACTCTCGGTAGGGATTCGCAGTATTGATGACCAGAGCATTTGAACTCTCCTCTCCCACACCGTCTCTGGAGTCCGGCTCTTCTGATCACGCTGAGGAAGGAGCGAAGCCAGGTCCTCCAACGAAAGCGCAGACCCAATCTCTCGTAGTCGCCTGCGGTCAGTCTTGCCTGATGCTGACATCGGGATCTTGTCGACGGGAATATATAAAGATGGAATCATATATGATGGTAGAATGTTCGCCAATTTGTCCGGGCCCTCGTCGTAAAGCCTCACTGCCGTCTTCTCGGATTGTTCCTTGCCTTCAGCGGTGCAAATGTAAGCCACAAGTGTCAGGGTATTGCCACCACGAGGCACTATGGTCTCTGCTACGACCTCAGTCCCATGTCCATCCGGCAAAACTTGTCGTAGATGGTGTTCAATCTCAGGCAACTCGACTCTTTGGCCACGGATCTTCACCTGGGCATCCTTTCGTCCCAAGTAGATGACTATCCCGTCTGGATTATAGCGGACAAGATCTCCGGTTTTGTACAATCGCTCACGCCGGCCAGAGCCAGAGTCGCCTCGAAGCAGCCACGGCGGATCCTGAATGAACGAGGCCTGCGTTCCTTGCGGGTTCTTCAAGTACCCCTTAGCGACCGCTGGGCCTTCGAGAACCAGCTCTCCTACCGCACCCACCGGTGCTAGCTTATCCGGTGATTCAATTTCGACGATCCAAGGAGTACTTGCCATGCCGCGCCCGATCATGCCATTTTTCCACTTACCAGGCACCACTTCTATCAAGGTGCCGGCGGGGCACTCGGTTGGCCCGTACCAGTTCCATAGCTTGACTTTCCTGTTTTTCCACCTCAGAACATCCGTTTCACGTAGCGCTTCTCCAGAGAAGATTAGGGTTTCGAGAGTCGCAATGACTGTCTCGACCGAAATCATATTCGCGACTGAGGGCGTCAAATGGACCATGTTGGCTCGAAATCGCACGATGGCTTGGCTGGTCTCATTATCCCGCTCATATTCAGACGGAATGCACAGACAGCCACCGTAGTTCAAGGCCATAAAATGGTCCCACAAACTATGGTCGAAAAGGTAGGAACCAAATTGAAAGAGACGGGTCGATGGACCGGCCTCGACTCTGGTTGCCGCGGCGTGGACAGATGTTACGACAGCACGGTGGGAGAGAGAGATCCCCTTGGGGACACCAGTGGATCCAGACGTAAAATATACTGCTGCTGTGGATGATGGAGTGGCCATGGCGAAGGCCTTGTGGTTCTTGGAAGCCGGGACATTTGTCTCTGTGTCGTTCCACAGGCTGTCATCGACGTGGATCATCTCATGAGCCGGGAATAAACCAGAGGTTTTCGTGGTACCTAACACGAAACGAGGATCGGTCAGCTCGAGGACAGACTCCCGTCTGCCCTTGGGCATGGTTGGCGTCATCAGAGTGAAAGCCACCCCTGCGCGCAGTACTCCCAAAATGGCAACCACCGTCCACTTGGACTTCTCCATGCAAATTGGAACAATGACTTCTGCTTCAACCCCGCGCTCGGTCAACTGATGGGCGAGATTAGACGACAAACGGTCGATTTGGGCATACGTGAACTCTCCATCCCAGGCACAGACGGCAACGGAGTCAGGGAATCGCTCGATACTATACATGACCATCTCGTGGAGGCATGAGTCAACAGAAGCCGGAGTTTGATGGTTCCACGTCCAGATTTTGTTCAGGTCCGACTGGTTCATGGCATTGATTTCTCTCAGGAGATAGTCGGCGCGAGTTGGATTTGCCATTTGCCGAAGAATGTGCTCGAACTGATCCAAGATTCTTTCTGCCTGTGCTGGGTGGACAACGCTCGCATCGTAGCTCATTTCAACCTGCACATTGGCTTTTGACAGGTTGCACAGAATCATGATAGCATATGTGTTGAACGACGCGTATTCTGTCGTGCCTGTACGTGCTCGACGATTCGTATCCGCGGCCCAGAGTCCCTCTTTACTGTTGGCCACCAGGCCTTGCTCCTCTGGCTGGACGACAAGCAGAGACTGAAATCGACACCCCCGCTCAGCGTCCTCGCTCAGCCGTCGGATCAAATGCAACCCGGCCTGTTCATAAGCAATCATATCAACGGCTTGCGCTTGAATCTCTTGTAGCAGTTGCTTCACGCTTTTATCGCCCGCACACACTATTCGTAAGGGAACGGTGGCAATAGTCGGTCCTGCAACGCGGTCTACCCCGACCATAGCTGCTTGCCGACCAGTGCTAACTGTGCCAAAGACTGCTTCAGGTGTGTCGGTATATCGTGCCTGGAGCAGGGCCCATGCAGCCTTAAGCAAGGTAGATGGAGTATAGTCGTCTTTCGGCCATGGGAGATCGGTTACCTGCTTCTCAACCATGGCTTTCGCCTGAGGAACGTAGCCTGGGGACGGCAGTTCCGGGAATGGGACGGCTCTTGAGTCGGTGAGCTGTGATCGCCAGAACTCGTCCAGGGAGGGCCTATCTTGAGAGCGCAGATGCTTGACAAAACTCTGCAGTGGCATTAACTTGTGATCTTCGCAGCCCTCGTATCGCTGCTGCACACTCTGCAGCAGTAATGGCAACGACATGCCATCGTATAAGGAATGATGGATGGTCAGAACAAACCACAGCTCATTCCTTTTGGAATCTGATACCAGACCTGGCTTGTTTAATGCGAGCCCCAGGCCCATGGGGTGCTTATCCTCTCCTTTCAGGTACGAATCGAGGTCTGTCCCATAACCCCACGCCTGTGGTGTGTCAACTACTACCTGCAGGAGGCCATCTTCTGGGACATCAACAATTCGCGTTTGCAGGATCTGGGTTTCTGCTACCATTTCGTCCCAAGCATTCTGAAAGCGAGGAACGTCAACTCGAGACGCAAGGCTGAAGACAAGTTTCGCGACGTACTGTCCTTCCCGTCGTGAGGTCATGGCCATCAGACCCTCTTGGAGCGGCGTGCAAGGGAAAATGTCCCGGATCGACTCGATTCGCACGCCGCATCGAGATGCGGCTTCTCGGCGTGTAGTCTCAGGACTTCGGATCATACTGAAAGGAGATGGGATATGATGATTGATCCCCTCTGGAGAGTCTGCGAGGACGCTTGCCATATCACTAAGTCGGGGGTGCTTGAGGACATGAGCGACAGCGATCAACACGCCTTGTTGCCTGGCGCAGGTGACTAACTTCATAGCTGAGATCGAATCACCACCGAGGCGCAAGAAACTATCATCTGCCGAGATCCTGGTTTCGTCCACGCCCAGAACTGTCGACCAAAGTTTTTGCAACCGTTTTTCCGATGCTGTCAATGGCATCCGTCGATTGTCTGAAGATATGCCCGAATCAACGATATCGTGTATGGTCAAAGATGAACCCAATTCGGCGATTCTCCTCCTGTCTGTCTTCCCACTTACCGTCAGGGGTAATGATGAGAGTGGGATATACGCCGTGGGTACCATGTATGATGGCATCACTTCTGCTAACATTTCATCCGCGTTGCTTGTCACCCGCTTGACTTCGGTTCTGAGCTGGTCTTTGTCCATCGTTCTGGCTCCTGACTGACCAATGAATGCCACCAGTAAGGGCGCACGGTGGTTCTTTGGGATAATCACAGCCGCTACAACGTGTAGGACTTTCCCTTGGTGTGATTGGCCCAACAACTTTTGGACGTGGTGCTCCACATCTCCCAGCTCCAGCCTTTGTCCTCGAATCTTGACTTGCTCATCCTTGCGGCCTTGGTATGTCAGAGTTCCGTCCTGCTCGTACCGCACCAGATCACCAGTGCGATAGAGCCTTCCTTTTCGTCCACGAAATCCCGGAGCACCGGAGAGCAGCCAAGGGGGATCTTGTACAAATGCGCCGGCAGTCTGTTCCTCATTGTTCCAATATCCCCTGCCGACAAGTGGCCCTTCAATCCACAGCTCTCCTACACTGCCGATAGGTACAAGCTGGCTAGGATCGTCTGCTCTAACTACCCATGTTCGTGATCCTACCCCAGTGCCGATATGTGTAGTGTGCTGCACATTGGCTGACACGGTTGCCACAGCTGTGCACTCAGATGGGCCGTACACGTTCCTAAACTGCTGTCCAGGCTTGAGCCTCTGCTGCCGCTCCAGAAGCTGGTCGTTACACGGCTCACCCGCGACTTCCATAGCTGTCAAGATCTTTAACGCTTCGTCATCAAGCGTACTCGCGACCGTGGGCGTGAGATTTGCAAAGTCTGGTCTCATATTCCTGATGACGGAGGACAGGCCCGACTTGCGCTCACTTTCGTTTGGTATGATCAGACATGCACCTGCGTACAAGGTATGGAGGATGTTGTACCAGGACATGTCGAAGGAGTATGACGCAAAATCGAGCACTCGTGACGAGACGTTGAGATTGATTGAAGATTTCTGATGGTGCAAGGCACTGGCGAAGTTACTGTGCGTGATCACTACCCCTTTAGGGATCCCTGTACTGCCAGACGTGAAGACAAGATATAGCGCATTGAGTGGTGTTACGGACGTTGATATTGTGGAAGGGTTAGTCGGACTTGTTGTCAACCTGCCAATGTCACCCTCCGAGACAGTCATGACAACGGCATTGCCGTGACCTTCGCCATCTTGTGCAAGATTCAATGCCACCAGTCTCCCATCAAGAGACGAGAGGAAGACTTTTGGCCGGACTTGGCTGACAATACTTCTCAACCGTTCCTCGGGCAGGGACAAATCGAGGGTCAAGCATGCTCCTCCGGCTCTCATCACCGCCAGCATTGCCACAGGTGTCCAGACAGATTTCTCAAAACATAGTGGTACCACGACCTCTGGCCCAACTCCCAGCATGATCAGGTGGCGCGCGAGTTGAGACGAAAGATCATCCAATTGACTGTATGCCAATTCGCCGTCCCATGCTTTGATTGCCGTCGAGTCAGGCTGTCGCCGGGAGACGGCCACAAGGAGATCATGGACGCATTCATCAATACACTCTGGCACGGTTGCGTTCCATTCCCAGATCTTGGTAAGGTCGGAGGTGGCGATTCTTTCTGTGTTCCGTTTCTTTTCTTGTTCCTGTTCGATATCAATGGCGACATTCCCGCCATCAATGTAATGTCCGCCATTAAGCGGTCGTTCTTTGTGATGGCATCTGGGTCCAAGTTCTGGGCTGGAGTTCCCTTCCTCATCACACTTGTCGGCCTCCATGTGGTCTTTCTGACCAAGGGAAGACATTTAGAAGGCTAAGGGCTGTGCAACCTTATGTTAATCCAGTCTCTTACTGGCGTAGCTGAACTTGAAAAGAAACAAGTAGTCAAACGGATATCAGCTTTGCTACGATCAGGTTTCGAATGCCAGCAGGCTGGTGACGTATAGTCACTGGCCTGCTCTTTTTTTCGATTCCGCGTCCATGACTACTTTGGCAGTCATGGTATTAGCGTTGATTCACGCAAGACCCACGTTATCCAGCCGATATCGCTGTGTGCCTACACCCGTGCACGAGGTGCTGCTGTATTGTGGGTACGAATTGCTGGACTGTAGCTCACGTTTCGCTGCGGATATTCCAAGGGGAGGAGCTGAGGTCCACTCGTGTGAAAAAATTCCCCACGTACCAGTACAGCGACATGGCCCCCAAAACGCACGTGTGCCTAGGTTTTGATACAAGTTCGGTCCTCGCAAGAACGCAGATCCATTAATGTACTCAATCTGCAAGGGAGGTCTTGCCATCACTAAATGCCAGTATGCCTTGATGGGACTAGCAGTCCGTCATTACAACACATGCAGGTTTCTATTGATAAATACACTAGTAAATAATGTATCGTTAAAGGCTGACCCGGCGAACTTACCAAAACGAATGGTATGATTTATCAGATACTCGGACCCACACTTGTGTCCACCGCGGAACGATTGACATGAAATACGAGAGACTAGGTTACGCAAGCTTATCAATCGTCGGATCAGATAACTTTGATTAATGCCAAGTACCTTACTGCACAAGGGATCGACGTTAGACATGTTTTTGGACAAAGTGGTCCTAACCCCCATAGCTTAAACTTGCAAGCAACCTCTAACACCTTTCTGTTTGCGACGTATTCGTACGTGGGCGGTCCAATGCTAGCAGCTGCATGATGCACAGTCGCGAGCTTCTTCCTTTTTCACTTAGCACCTGCCCAACTCAAAACTTTTTCGCGAACGTCAAAGCTGCTCCGTTTTCGGAGGATTCATTTGGCAAGAAGTCCCGCAGTCCAGCACTTGCTCGAGCACTTGCTCGATGAAGCCAGGGTAGTAGAACAATCTTAATTCCTAGTTGGCTCGGATGATCAGCGTTATGGCGACGTTCCAACTGAACCCAGGCTAGCAAAGTCGCTTTGTCATGTGCACGGATATCCTGATGTGGTACCGGTGGTCCTCCCACGAAGGTTTATGCCAGAATGGTAGCAAGGAACTTCCATGTGGCGGACAGCTCTCATCATCACACCGCGGTGTACTCTTGCATCATATATATGAGCATTATTATAAGTCGTTGCTCTGGGAAAATGACATCTCTGGCAGGTTGGTAACGTGTTCTTGGTCCCAATTCTTGAATGAGTCTTGAAATAATGGACCAAGGTCTGTATCGTACCTGTAAGTTCTCTATGCCGGTCGAAATGGGTGTTACCGGGGCCTTGGACTAGATATTAAGAACATTACGCCTAGTCAGTATCGAGCTGTTCGGATAGACTGATACTGCGTGTACCAGTTTTACATACCAGAACCGAGATGTGATAATGTATGGTACCTCTCTGGTGGAGTGTTCTGGATGCAATACAGACCAACGGGCGTAAAAGTTGCCATGGCCCGAGCCATCCGTTCCAGTGCCACCTTCTCCCACAAGCGAGATGTCTCGGGTCAATTCCCGCAGCCCATGGTCTGTTGTACACTCGAACCCCACTCCACCCCTGCTTGAAGATTTTTATCAGATGCTCCATCCAAAAAATCAGATATGGGACAGTTCGACTTGGCGGGCGCGTGCCTTTGTCGCTACTCGCCGATATAGGTTCAGAATCCACCTAATCCTACTCCGTAGAAACCTGAGAGTCAATGCGGTGGCTGCTCGCTATTTCTGCCCATGCTTGAGCTGATTCTATCGTTGCGGTCAATGCGACTGGGATCGGAATTGGTGCACAGTATCTGCTTCTGCTCTTCAACTGTGCCTTAGTCGCAGATACTCAATATTCGAGGGATTCTACTTGTGTGCCAGAAACTTAACTCAAAGCTGGACCAAGACAGGTATTTCCTCCGGCAGCAAACTGCCGCGCTCCTTCTATTGTGTCCTCTAGACCACTTCACCAGTGTCTGAAATGGCCAGTTCCTTTCCCGAAAAGGAGCCGGCAGCTTCCGCTCCAGGAATTGAAGATGGTGCTGAAAAGCAAGCTCGCCCGGCAGCTCTTGGACACGAGGCGTCACAACCACCGTCTACGAACAACGGCAATGAGACAATAGCGACCGTTTCCGAAGAGGGCGGCAAGGAGCAACAGGCCCAAAACACAGGAGGCATGGGCAACTACTTTGTGAGTGGCCTACTTACATGGCAATCTTCCCATTGTTACATCGCAGAATAGTGACAATCAGCCCTAGCGCATCTATACCTACTGCCTGTTTTGGGATGCTATTCTGTATGTTGTCGCCGTCATGTCTGCGGTGGCTTCAGGTGCTGCCCTGCCGTTGATGACGATTGTGTTCGGGCAGTTTGCAACGCGCTTCACGCAGTTTACTGGCGGTGACGGGGAGGTCAGTCCGTCAGAGTTCCGCAACCATGTCGATGGTTTCGTCCTCTGGTTTATTTATCTCTTCATCGGCCGGTTTGTTATCTCGTACATTGCCACGGTGACCGCCTCGGTGGCCGCCATCCGTGTCACTCGTACAATTCGGCTGAAATTCATGAGAAGCGTCCTCAGGCAAGAGGTGGCACATTTTGATCGCTCGATCGGCTCCATTTCAGCTCAGGTCACTACAAGTAAGTCCAAATCTTGAGCACGGCTGACTGTGGTTCTCAGCTTAGAGAAAAGGCTGACGAGTAGCAGATGGCACTCGAATCAACCTGGGCATAGCCGAAAAATTGGTCATTCTACTACAAGCTATTTCACTATTTGTATCTGCGTTTGTTGTCGCGGTGGTGATTCAATGGAAACTAGCCTTGATCACCATGAGTATACTCATTCCTATCATTCTTACAATGACTATCAGCATTGCCATTGACACCAAAATCGAAACGCCGATTGTGAGACTACACTCACAAGCTGCGGCTGTAGCCCAAGAGGCTTTGAGCTCTATCAAGACGGTCCATTCATTCTGGGGCCATGAGAAACTCCTCAGGACCTACGATAAGTACCTCACTCTGGGTCACGAGCGCGCGAAATCGAAGCGCCTAAACACCGCCGGGGGAAACGGCATCTTTCACTTCTGCATATTTGGCGGGACTGCACTTGCTTTTTGGCAAGGCTTTCGCATGTATCAGGCTGGTGAGATTGACGGTGTTGGGAGGGTGCTGACTGTCGCCCTGTCAGTTAGCTTGGGATCTACCGCAATGTCATCCATTGCCCCACAACTCATTCATATCGCCAATGCTTCTGCCGCAGCTACCGAACTGTTCTCAGTCATCGACAAAAAGTCGCAGCTCGATCCACTCTCACCAGATGGAGACCGGCCTTCAACCTGCAAAGGTGACATCGAGATTCGCAATGTGTCATTTGCGTACCCCACACGATCATCGGTCAAAGTCTTGAATGGTCTGAATCTGGCGATTCCCAACGGAAAAACCACTGGTTTAGTCGGAGCAAGCGGCTGTGGCAAGTCGACCGTCGTCGGCCTACTCGAGCGATGGTATGAACCTAATGCCGGTGAGATTCTGCTGGATGGTCGAGACATTTCCGACTACAACATGAAGTGGTTGCGCGGTAAGATTCGGCTGGTCCAGCAGGAGCCCGTTCTCTTTCGAGGCACAGTGTTCGAAAACGTAACCAAGGGACTTGTAGACGAGCAAGTCGCGCTGCCGCGGCATGAGCAACTTGAATTGGTCAAGACAGCTTGCAAACTGGCCAACGCACATGACTTTGTGGAGAACCTCCCCAATGGCTACGACACGGAAGTCGGTGAACGCGGTGGAATGCTCAGCGGAGGCCAAAAACAACGTCTGGTTATTGCCCGTAGTATCATATCCAACCCCAGGGTTTTGCTGCTCGATGAGGCTACCAGTGCTCTTGGTAAGACCCCCAAACCCATATCACACTGGGCATGACCCCCCTCTCAATTTGTTCTCGTTGACAAAGTTTCGCACAGACACAAGATCAGAGCACATTGTCCAAGACGCCCTAAACAAGGTGTCCAGAGACCGCACAACACTTGTTATCGCTCACAAGCTGTCTACCATTCAGGCTGCGGACAACATTGTGGTTCTCTCGGAAGGCCAGGTAGCTGAACAAGGCACGTATGCCGAACTCCTTGAAAAGGGAGGCTTCTTCGCTGCCCTAATTAACAGCCAGAAACTTGGCGACACCGATGCGACACCTGAAGAGATTGAAACCCCTGCAGAGCCAACTAGCGTACGCCATGAAAAGTTGGAGCTCTCTAGACTTTCTGAGGATACTGAGCAAACTGATCCTCACCAGACAACTGGCACCTTGAACTACTCGCTAGTTCGTTGCCTAGTTGTGATGCTCCGAGAGCAGGGAGGTCTGAAATTATACCTGATCTTACTGTTCTTGACATGTTTCGTTGGTGGGGGTTTGTACCCTGCTCAAGCAGTCCTGTTTGCAAGGCTCATTGACGTATACACATTGACTGGCTCTGAAGCCAAGCAGAAAGGTATGCAGAAACGTGCCCTCTCACATATTCCTGCATGGCTAACACACTACTTTAGCCGATTTCCTTGCAATGATATTCTTCATCTTCGCCATCATCAATATGTGTTCCTACGCCATCATTGGCTGGGTGGGAAATCACGTACGAGTTTCCCTTCACTTTCACTGACACTAATCATTCTTGTCGAATTGGTGCTGATAAATCCTTCAGGTCGGCCAGGTCGTTGTACATCGATATCGCCTGGAGATCTTCCGTCGCCTGTTGAGCCTTGACCAAGAGTTTTTTGATATCCCCCAGAACACTTCTGGAGCACTGGCGTCGAAGCTTTCCCTGGTCCCAGACTCCATTAACGAAATGCTGTCTATCACGCTGTTTCTCCTCCTGATCTGCTCTATCAACATTGTGGCGTCCAGTACCTTGGCGATTTCTTTTGGATGGAAACTGGGCCTGGTTGTCGTCGCGGCGGGCCTTCCCATTCTTATAGGATGTGGATACGCACGCACAAAACTCGAGGCCAAGTTTGAACTTGAGACGAACGAGCGGTTTGCAGATACGGCCGCGCTCGCAACGGAAGCAGTCACATCTATTCGAACGCTGGCTTCTTTGAGCCTTGAAGAGCCAATCTATAACGAATATCGCGTCACGCTGGACCGCATTGCGAAGTCTTCCCTCTCGACGATCACACTTACCTCATTGGGCTACTCGCTCTCCCAGTCACTGGAGTTCTTGCTCATGGCACTCGCATTCTGGTATGGCTCTCGCTTATTAGCGACTGGAGAATATAGCGTGACGCAGTACTTCACTGTCTTCCTGTCAGTCCTCTTCGGAGGTCAAGCCGCAGGCCAGATCTTCGCTTATGCCACTTCAGCTGTCAGGTCCCAGTGGGGATCGAACTGGATCTTGTGGCTACGAACACTTGAGGCTAAGATCTGCGAAAACGAAGAGAATAAAGACGTCGGACCTACAGGCGATGGTTCGCTGTCCGTTGAAGATATCGAATTTCGATACAAGCAACGAGGTGCAGCGCGTGTTCTCGACGGTATAGGCATGAAAGTACGTGGATTCATTCTCGTCACTACTAAAGTTGTCCAAACTAACACTGCTCCTTCTATGTAGATTCCGTCTGGCTCTCACGTAGCTTGTGTCGGCGCCTCAGGATGTGGCAAAAGCACTCTTATCGCCCTACTTGAACGCTTCTACGATCCAATCGCAGGGCGAATTACGTACGGGTCCACTGACATCAGAAAATTTTCGCCACGTCTCTACCGCGATCAAATATCCTTGGTTCAACAAGAACCTACACTTTATGATGGCTCTGTCCGCGACAACATCGCTCTCGGCGTCACTTACGAGCCATCAACCGAGGATATCCTCGGTGCTTGTCGCCAGGCGAATGCAGCCGCCTTCATCCAGTCTTTGCCAGAAGGACTGGATACTCCCTGCGGTTCCAAAGGCCTCCAGTTCTCGGGTGGGCAGAGACAACGGATTGCCATTGCCCGAGCTTTGATCCGCCGGCCACGATTGCTACTTCTGGACGAAGCCACCTCTGCTCTGGATACACAGAGTGAGAGGGTGGTCCAGGAGGCATTGGAGAAGGCGGCTGCGACTCGGACGACTGTCGCTATTGCACACAGGCTTAGTACGATTCGTTATGCTGAAACGATCTATGTCTTCGCGGATGGGAAGATAGTGGAACACGGAACACACGAGGAGCTCCAGCGTCGGAGAGGACAGTATTACGAGATGTGTCTGACGCAGGCGTTGGACAATAATGAGGTGACGAAGTAAGCGAGCGGACTGGGTGAGATCAGAGTACTAATGCTATGGTACCGGGATCTTTTAAAAGGGCCTAAATTGTTAGTATTCGTTTCCGTTGTCGTCATCTGAGAGGAGAGAGATAAGGATGCGTCCGGCTCTGGTGGTTGCTGGCCTCGTTGCCCACTTGCTGCTTCTCTTATTGTTGGCGAGCAGCTTTGCCGGTGGTCAACCAGAAAAAGCGCTATCCTGCTGTATAAAAGGCGATACGCGAGGCTGATGGCGCTCTTGTATGCTCGCTGTCGCCACCTTCGTGTTGATTGCCAGTTGCGTAATCGATCGGCGAGTAGTTGGCCAAGATGAAACAGAGTCAGGGTTTTGCGGCCGAGGTTCAGCAGGTCTTTGCGGCTTAGGACAGGTGGGAGGCTGGGTTCCTGTTGCAAAAGTCGAAGATATAGAGGATAAAGGCGAAATCGGCACAGCTCATTCCGTAATAGTTGACGATGATACAGTTGCGACGTTCGTAAGACTAGGTTCGCCGATTCAATGCCCCATGTCACCGCTCCACCCGCTGTTGTGAAGTCCGGAAACATTGCCTGAGCATTGGGGCTTATAGTAGGGATTACTATAACTACTATATTAATAACGTAGATCATCAGTAAGCGGCGCATATCAGCGAGCGGCGCACTTCTCCACTTTCCCACCACCCACCTTCTTTCCTACGCGTTCACTACACACCAAAGGATGCAAACTCATACATCTGAAGCAAGAATTATTCTTGCTATGCAAGCCGTTTTATCTTCTAAAAGTTTAAGCTGTCGTGCAGCTGCAAAGCTCTACCACGTCCCTGAAACGACCATGCGGGCCCGATTGAACGGGCGAGCTCCAAAAGCCAACTCTCAACCCGCCGCCCAAAATCTGACTGTGATTGAAGAGGAGGTGATGCTCTGCTTGCTCTGTTCAGAGCAAGGGAGCACCAGGAGCCTGGTCACGTGATTTAGCCTTTGGCTGTCCCTAGGGAGTCGCGGTGCCTGGGGTGCGTTCCTCCTCCGGTTAACCTTCCCCTTGGGTCCTAGCGCCCTCGTGACCGTTGGCCTCGGCCGGGTTGCGGTTGCGGTCCGTAACAGAAGCCAGGGTTTACACCTGTCCCCCGCGAGGTGACGCACGAAATTAGCTGGATTACCGGGTGATCCGGGCGCCCCTACGGCAGGTCAGGTGAGCGCATCACCGGGTGATCCGCGGCGAACTAGCTGTGTAGGTGAACTTTCGAGGGTTTTAGGTAAGCCTTTCCAAACGGTACTTGTCCCACAGTCCCACAGTCCCACAGTCCCACAGTCCCACTATCCCACCATTCCATAGTGCCAGAAGAACGACGGTGAGTTGCCACAGAAATGGGATTGGCTCTACGATAGGGCGGTCGAAAAACCGTCACAATATTCCGGAAGTCCCACAAACATGTTCCTTGGTCTCGCAAATATCCCTGCTAGCACCCCTTTAGGTCCCAAGTCCGCTGTCAATTCCGCCCAAGGGCGGGGGGTGGTTAGTTGGCATTCGAGACGTGTGGGATTAGTAGCTACTGTACAACAATACGTTGTTGAGAAAAGAGTCTGGATGCTTCTGGTCACGAGGGTATCTCTTAGCTAGTCCACTGGCTGTCCACAAACTATCTACAGGTCCTCTGACCTTGTCTAAAGTGCTTGATACTTCTTCTACACTGTTATCGTATACTTTGGCGCTTTTTGCACCAGATGTCGCACCAGTTAGAGCGATCACGAAAGGCCTGTGCCGACGACGCCAAACATTCAACAAATCTGAAAGATGAAGACGCCAAGATTATAATCATTGGTTGTGGACCGACTGGAGCACTCTTGAGCGCCTTATTGGGAAGACTATCAATCTCGAATATTGTTCTCGAGAAAGAAACCGAAATCGTGCAAGACCCCCGAGGAATCGCTTTAGATGAGGACGGAATCCGGCTCCTCCAAGAACTTGGGCTATATGACAAAATATACTCTGAAATTGGCCAGTGTGTCGGGTGGCTACACTTTACCTCTGGTAAACATGGACTCAACACCAAGCCTTTTCTACGAGTCAACCTCAACACTACAGAAGGTGGCACTGGACACGTCGGCGCAATCAGTCACCGTCAGCCATTAATGGAGAATTGTATACGAACCGTCGCGCAAGCTTGCCAAAGCTCTCAGATTAGACTTGGCTCAATAGTGTCAGCAATTGACGAGGATGAGACTGGCGTTGTAGTGACATACACCGCAGCGGATGGGACAGTAGAGAAGATACGTGGCCTTTTCTTGGTAGGAGCGGATGGGAAGAAAGGCCACACAAGGAAGAAGTATCTTGAGCCAAGAGGAATAACAATGGACTCACAACCAGGGTCAGTCACAACCTCGTCTCTCTAGCGTTATTGTGTCGCGTCCGATTAACTCAAGCTGCGTTCAGATACGAATATCAAGAGACATGGGTGGCAGTGAACTGGAAAATCACACCGCCGACTCGCGAGACACATCCAGAGTTCCCACTATGGACCCGTGGCTACACGCCAGAAGATGTTTACGACGCATTTTTCCCAAAGAACTTTCGATTTATCGGAAATCCAGATAGACCGGCGGTCTGTGGCTGTTTTGGTAGACGTGAGCAGCATCTCTGGAGGTTTGAATTTGTCGTAGATCCAGGTGAAGATGCAGGCGAGATGGCTACAGAGTCAAAAGTCGCAGAGATCATCTATCCCTATTTGACACATCGTGGGGATGTTTATGGGTCAGTTTAATCCTCATCTACAGACCCTGTTTCTAATGCATCTACAGACTGCAGGACCCAATCTCGTTCCCAAAGGATTGTATTGAGGTCCTACGTTCACGTCCCTTTACCTTTGCGGCTCGGAATTGCAACAAATGGGCCCTGGGTAGAGTGATGCTGTGTGGGGACTCAGCTCATGTAATGCCACCTTGTAAGTCTGCCCCTGCATTGTTGCTTTCTAAAACTTAACACGGCATAGTTGGAGGCCAAGGCATTGCGTCTGGATTCAGAGATGCCTCAGGCTTAGCCTGGAGACTCGCGTTACTCTGCCGAAGAGAGAATGAAGCATACCACAAGAGTGTGATTAGCAGCTGGTATACGGAACGGAAACAACAACTCGAGGTCTCTATCGCAAACACTGTCACGAATGGCAACTTGTGCACTACCCGAAATCAAGTCACCATATTCTTTCGAGACTGGATACTTTGGTTCATGCAGCAGTTTCCAGCTTGGAGAAAACAACTAGAACTTGGACCTCGTGTCGACGGAATGGTCAGATACAAGTGGGCTCCGGGAATGGCCTTTTTGCCTGACGATTTTGGTGGGAGATGCCTGCCTCAGGTCTACTGCCGACCGCTCTTCATTTCAACCAAGTCAACAGATCCAGGGGTCCGTTTCACAGACGATGTCATCTTTGGAGCAGACAAGAAGATGCTCTTTCAACTTGTCCTACTTGTGGACAACTTGAGCGCCGCCAAAAAGGCGTTGCTAGACCTACAGGCGGTAGACTTGGAGAGAGTCTCGAAAGGGATGCTTTCAGGAAAAGAGGCTACATGCATCACACACGACTCGAGCCTCGAGCCAGACGACGTTGATGAGCCCCTGATTCCTTTCAAGCAGCAGCTATACAGGATCGCCACAGCAGAAGAATTTGCGGCCACTGAAGCACTTTGCAGGAATCGTCCCGAGCCAATTGGCTACAATATGTATCAGATGAGAGAAGCAATGAAGGGGAGGCGCTATGTTATCGTACGCCCCGACCGCTTCGTATTCGCGGCTTGCGGGACCGTAGAAGGATTGGTGCAGGCGTGCGCGGCGATAGAGGATGCTGTCTTCTCTAAAGGAAAGATATAACGGCTCAAACAACGTACTGTAGTACATTCCAAATCTACGCTCCAAACCACCTTCCCTGTTTTAAAGTTAGCGCTGTGGCGTGGTCAAGAAGCTAGGCTTGATACCCCGCTGGACGCAGCAATCGTGGAGGGGTAAGCCTAAACCTTGCTGCCTTTAAGGTCTACGCCGGTGCCGAGAACCCCCGAAGCTACAAATGTTCAACCGTGGCCCTTTTCCCTCCAGCATTTGCCCTTCTCTCACTCCAGGCTTGCTAGATCCTCCCGGCAAAAGAAGGTGATTGCCTAGACTGCTGGAATTTGTTCTGAGGCTCCCAGAGACTCACTATTTGTGATGAAACAATGACGTGCACTTCTTCTCCTCGAGCGTTCGACAGCTTTAGAAATGGAAGAAAATGCCCTTACTGTCCTAAAGATTTCTTTAAGGCGGATCACTTCCATCGCCATCTACGATCTCACACGAAAGAGAAGCCATTCTCGTGCAAATATTGCGGGAAGTCGTACCCGCGACAGTAGGCTGGAGCCCTCCTCCGGCAGTTTCTTACTGAAGTTTCGGTAGTGACACCATGTTACGGCACGTTAGGACTCACCATAAGGGTGAAAGTCCTGGTGAGGGCCTGACAAATCCTGATACATCAGACGTCGATAGACAAGGGACACGTGCACCGCCCTTGCTGCCGACTTGGACGGACTCAAATAGCGCCATCTCGTCCCAGCAACCGTCCAGAATCTCTCAGCATCAAGGCCGCTTCAACCCTGACCTTGCTGCGCCACAGTCCTTTGTTGGCGAGTCTCGAGGCGATTCCTTCGCCCAAGGACACAACATGCGGTTCCAGCAGGGTGCTGCTTGCTCTCTACCTGGCCCAGATCATACGCAGTCGAACATTCTCCCTTTGACACCGCCGCTTGAATCGGCGCAAGCCGCGGCTAGCCAATTTGCACCCCAGTTCGCCTTCCCAGCCCGAGGATTCGACGCGTTCAACGATGAGGTGGACCCCATGAGCTGGTTGTTGCAGGCTGATTACAATCTAAACAGTTTCAACGACCTTATTTTTGGGTTCAATAATGATCAGGTTGACATGTCTCAATTAAACAACGGTAACCCTCGAATCTCGTTCGCATCAGAGTTGCATCCACCTCAAACTCGAGCTGACCGAAGTCAACGGAAGGTACCTGATCTCCGACATTGCTGGTATACGCAGGTATCCGCTACAGATGGCCTGCATGGCACAGCATCGAGGAGCATGAGCCCAGCGCCAAGTGATGATCAGTCGAAAGACAATATCGACGAAAATTATCGCGTTAGTGCTGCCTCGAAATTGCGGCCGGAGCCGAGAACTGAGCCTTTACCTCCCATCGACCTCCTCAACCTATTCATCCATCTTTTCTTTACGCGGTTCAATGTAATTCTACCGCTAATCCACGGTCCGACATTCCAGCCTACGAGCGAGAATGCGCTGTTGGTCCTATCGATTTGCTCTGCAGGAAGTCTTTGGTTCGGCTCGCAGGAAGCTACCAATGCTGGATCGATGCTCTTTGAAAGAGTGAATAAGGCCATTCTCGAGTCACCCTGGGAAAAGTACATCCTCAAAGATTCCCGTGACAGTCTGAACAAACTGAAGGCATCAGTGATAGGGCAAACGTTTGGCCTACTAGCTGGAAACCCTGTGCATTTGGAGACTGCCGGTGGTTACCATGGGACTGTAATCTCGGCAGCACGTCGCATGAAATTCTTCGATGACAAGTCAGAACTGCCAGTTGATGAAAACATACCCGCTTCCCAGTTGAATAAGGTGTGGAGAGCGTGGGCGAGAAGTGAAGAACGCAAAAGAATGGCAGTTTCTCTTTACATCCACGATGCAGAGATCGCGGACCTATTTCACCACGAGCCTTTTCTTCGACATAGCTCAAGCCGTTTACCACCATTATCATCTACCGAGCTTTTCAACGCACCGTCTGCGGAGACCTGGTATACAAGACTGAAAGCCGAACGAGAAGAGAGTGCGAATTTCAATGCAAATACTCAAGGTAGTGGTTCACTACACGGACAGAACGGTAGTGGAGACCTGGATGTTAGGCTTAGCCGCCCAATCGCATCACCTTCCATGGTGGAAATTTACTCGACACTCTCGGGCATTGGTGCATCAATCGCCGCCAGTCATCGTCTCAATTCTCTGACCGTCGAGTCTCAAGCACAGTACGAAGCAGAGCTTCTGGCATGGTATGACGAGACTGCCAAAATGTCTCATAAATGGGCCCTACCAGAGAGCGGAACGTCTCAACTGACTCTCAATGTCCTGGCACTATGGCACTACACATGGATGGCCCTGAATGTCGACCTGAACATCCTCGAGTTGGCTGTTGGCCGAGAGGGCTCGGTCGTATCCGAATCGACGATCGACTATGTTGATGCCTGGGTGAGATCCGACGAATCGTTACGGTGTCTTCTCCATGCCTGGTTGTTACAAGATTGCATGGTTCGTATGCCTGCCGGACCAGTTGTCGCACTTCACGTGCCACGTATACTCTTTTCAGCAGCAGTGGTCTGGCACTGTTACATCTTATACCGCCCCAAACCCCTTCCTGCCACTTCCAGAAATCTCAGTATCGACAGCAGTCGCCTTGGATACATCCTTGCTCTCCCTGAAGTTCAAATGATGGCTCGCGAACGTGAGCAATCACCATCATGGGCGGTTGCCTGGAGTGGAGCCACAGGGTCTCGCCTTATTCACGATAACATAGCACGACTCCAAGATACTCTTGGCTCTATCCTCACGCAGATAAAACGGCAGACGTTGTACACCTTAGCGGATATTCTTCGTCGTTCGGCGTCGTATGGAATCGCTAGTAGGATGGCTGATATCGTCGAGGCGTTTCTGTCTCACGGCATGGATGGGGTCAATGATAGCTCTTGATCTGAGAGTAACGAAAGTGCGAGGTGATCTTAGAACAACGTTTACTCAACTACATCTTCCCGCCCCCAACTTGCTGCCGAGACTTCTATTCCAACATCGCGACCAAGGACGTCCATGATGCATGCCTGCGAGCGAGACTTCTATAGCTCTACCTCTAGACGTTTCTCCAACAAATGTAGTAACACCCTTGGCTCGTCTAGTTCGAGAGAAGAGATCGATGTCTGAGGTCATGGCTTGGGAACGTCTCAGTTCTAGCTCCGCTTGTGTTGGCTATGTTTCTACCGTAAGCAGTCTTGATCCCTGCACTTGTGTATAGCACCGATCTAGTCGCTTTGACTTTGCCGCTGGGCGTAGCAAACTCTGGTCTCTAGATCATCGCGTTATTCTATACACAGGTGCACATATGGAGCAGGAAAAGGTCCAATATAGAGAGCTGTATGAGGATGCAGTTGTATCATTCGAAGACTACCTTGTTAGCAAGCCTTGCTACACCCTCTATCTCCACCTCTACAATATCGCCATGCTTTAGAAACTTGTTCTGGAAGTAGCCAACACCGCTTGGAGTACCAGTCATGACTACTGTTCCAGCTCGGACAGTTGTTCCCCGACTCAAATGCCTCAGTATATCTTTGACAGTCCATATCATATCATCTGTCCCAGTCGTCTGCCTAACCTCCCCATTGACACGTGTCGTATATTTCAGGGTTTGGGGGTCCGGGATCTGAGCTGGGGACACCAGACAATGTCCAATGGGAGCAAAGCTGTCAAACGACTTGCTATAGCAGAACTGACCGCCGCTTGCCTCCGGCAACTGAAAGTTGCGAGCTGATACATCGTTGCCTGCAGTATAGCCCAGCACATATTCAGATAGATCAAAGTCTTCTTCTGGGAGGTTCTTGAAGTCACGAGAGATGACAAAAGTCAACTCTCCTTCGTAATCAAGATGCGATTGTGCCGACTTATGAACTGCAATCGAGTCATGAGGGCCAGCAAGAGCGTCAGCAGGCTTGGTGAACACGACTGGGTATGTTGGGATGGTCAGCTGTGGTATTGTATCAGCGATAGTGTTCCAGATCCTATCCAAAGAGGGTCCTTGGGACAAGCGCCGTAAGTGAAAGACGGTAGGCGAGACTCAGCTGTGCGACTTACGTTTGCCTCTGCCGCATGGTGTCTGTAGTTTAGGCCGATGCATATGATCAGAGGACAATCTTCAATGGGACAGAGCAACTGTACTAACGATTAGCTGACCCGCTGAGCCACCACTGCTTGAAGGCGTGATTCAGTCCAAGACATACCTCTGACACCGTTAATTGTTCGTTGGACGCCGCCTTGAACCCATTTCGCACGGTCCCTGCCAGCTGCTGAACAGTGTATTTGTTGCTTTCGGCTTTGATAAGATTGCCGTAAACCGCTTTCCCCTTATGCTGAAATCTGACCAGTCTTTCAAAAGTCATCTTTACTTTTCATAAACATGCAACTCTTTTGCCGTAGCTTTTAGGACTACACCTGTGTTCTTTTAGGCGTACTTGTAGTACCTTTTGACTGTTCTGTATGCGGAATCTGCTATGCGGGCTGAAGTGGGACAAGTGCCGAGCCGAAATCAGGCCGTGCTGTGGGACGGCCGGTGATAGAAAGTGCCGTATGCAAATTACCCCGAGACCAGCATTGGACATAAAACAAGCGAGCTAGTCGAACAGAGCCATTCTTGAGCAAGAGTTCAAGTTCTACGTGAACATACTTCGCCATTGAAGTCCACCGGAAAAAATGGCCAAGCCTGTTGTTCATGTCGTCCGGCTCGCCCATGTCCATTATCAGCACCCAGATCTGGAGAAGGCGTTGGGTTTTCTGAAGGATTTTGGCATGCTCATTGAGAGACGAGATGGCGACATTGTTTATCTGAGAGGATACGGCGTTCAGCCTTACATTTACGTTGCCTCGCAGTCGCCAGATCAGAAACGTCACTTTTGCGGGACATCATGGGTGGTTGCAAGCATGGAAGATCTCGAAGCAGCTGCAGCCCTTCCTACCGCCCAGAAAGAAGGCATCCAAGAGGAGCTGGGGCCTGGAGGAGGCAAGAAGGTGACGGTGGCTGACCCTCTGGGCTTTCCTGTCCATTTCACTTTTGGTCAAACCCTGAGGAGCGTCGCAACTACCAAGGATAATGCCCTCCGGCTCGAAAAGACCGCTCCCACCTCAAATTTAGCCCTGGAGAAACCACGAAAGGGCGAATTCCGCCGCTTTCATCAAGGTGCCAGCCCAGTACACAAACTAGGGCATTTCGGCTATGTTGTCGGCAAAGCGAACTTCGAAGAGATGCGACAGTGGTACATGACCACACTGAATTTGAAGGCTTCAGACACTATTTTCGACCCTGTCACCGGGAAAGACGATACCTGCTTTATGCATATTGATTTGGGTGCGACGTACACCGATCACCACGTAAGTCCTTCACTAAGAGGCCTTTCCAGATAAATCCGAGGGGGCTTCCTCTAACGACTCTCTCTGTTGTCTAGAGCTTTTTTATAGCTTCGCATGCTACCTCCACCGATGCTCATGTTCATCATTCAAGTTTCGAGGTAAATGACTTCGACACTCAACTACTCGGACATGACTGGCTGCGCTCCAAATCTTGGACAAACTGCTGGGGCGTTGGACGACATGTTCTTGGGAGTCAAATATTTGATTATTGGTGAGTGGTACCTACGCAACCCTTCGAACTCCTGCGAATCGAGCAGAGAACATGAACTCACGATTCAAAGGTTCGATTCGTCCGGCAATATTGTTGAACACTACTCTGATGGCGATTTGGTCAATGAAGACACCCCTGAGAAGAGGGAACCGGCTGCTCCGGACAGCCTTTTCGTGTGGGGGCCTAATATCCCTCTTGGCTTTATGACAGGAAGAATTGAGGATGCCGGGATACCATTGCCGCTGCCCCAACCACAGATAGTTGGAGACGGCAAGGAGGTGACGCCAGTCCCTGTCATTGCTTGATTCCCGCTTAAGAGACGGGTGCTTTACCAACTTGCTTGAAATACACTCCGTGGCTTCCGTCCCTTAGCAATTCCTGCATGCAATACTGTAATCAAGTGTGAAACCTATCAAGTATGGGCTCTATAGAGTTCCTAGTTGAACTAGCCAGATATGGACCATCGTTAGATTCGAAGAGAATGCTGTCTTCGCTTTGTCCCACCCGAAGACATCTCGGCGTATGCACCTTGACGGGATCACGAGGCTGAGCATTCCGGTATCGCGGGAGACTCGGGGCCCTTGTGCCTACGGAATAGCACTGTCAGCGGTGGGGGCCCACTTGACTAAAACGGAAAAGGCTGTTGGGAGCGGCCCACATTGCTGATGTGGGACGCCAGGCGAGATCTGAGAGAACGACCGTTTGGTCTGATAGTGTTTCCCACGGGGTCTCCACGAATGAGGGGCCTCCACAAAGGAGTTACTGGGATACCAGAATCTGGGGTCTTGCTTCGAACCAAATATCGCTCTTTCCCAGCTCATATAGACCATCGTATCTTGCTACTAGGTACTACATCGCAAGTTCTTGACTCAACAGTCGAAACACAATGTCGTCCACAGTTGGAGAGCGCGGTCGTCCAGATTCTGAGGTGATACAAGTGCAGGGTGTCCCAAAGGCCACCGGCAAAGACACTTCAGAGAAACATGTGGATCATGTGGATCACGTCCCCGAGGTCGCTGGCAACCTCGTGTACGACGAGAATGACGAAGAACCACAGTTGCACTTCCGGACTTACTTTGCCTTGCTGGCCATGTTCCTATTGAATTTGGTCCAGACGTTCGCCCTTCAAGGTCCTCCTGCAGTGGTATGGATGATTCTTACAAGCTCTCAGCTACATTGAGTGACTAACGCTTTTGAAAGCTATCTTTTATCGGAAAAGATCTTGGGAATACGACAGCAGAGACATGGATTCCCAATGCTCTTGCACTTGTTCAAGCAGTCATTGCTCCCGTCATCTGCTCCGCATCGGACACATTCCAGGCTCGAAAGCTACTGCTCGTCGGCCTTCCTGTGATTTCTTGCATTGGCGCAGCCATTGCCCCCGGCGCTGGCAACGTATACCGGCTGATCGGTGCTCAAATCATGATCGGATTTGGGTTTTCTACCACTCCACTGGCATATTGTGTTCCGAGCGAGATACTACCCCGGAGATGGCGGCCTAGTAAGTGCCAAACAAAGGACTTTTCCAAAACTACGATCTAAAATTTTATAGTGGCCCAAGCTGGAGTGAACGTCGCCGCTGCCTTGGGTGCTGCGATCGCACCACTGATCATCGGCGCTTTGACGAGAAGGAATGCACATACTGGTTGGCGTTACTTTTATGTACTGATCTACACTAGACCCCATCTAGGAGAGACATGCTAACTCGTCGCTTAGTGGATTCAAATGGCGCTATGGGGCTCAGCTGCAATTCTTACTTTCCTCGGGTACCAGCCACCCCGAAGGCATACTCGTTATGACCACCTTTCCTTGCCACAGAAAGTTGGCCGGCTCGATCTCCCTGGTATCGGACTCCTCACAGCTGGCTTGACATTGCTACTCACAGGTATCAACCTTGGAGGAGGACTATACACATGGACCGACGCCCAAGTCTTGGGAACAATGACTACTGGCATCGTTGTCCTTATCGCCTTCGGTGTATATGAATGGAAGCTCACCAAGACTGGAATTCTCAATCACGAATTATTTCGAGGCGGCAAAGATAGAGGCAGGACATTTGCGCTATGCCTGTTCCTCGTGTTCATCGAAGGTCTTCTGCTATTTGCATATGCGATATTTTATCCAGTCTTGTAAGCCTCCCGTTTGGATTTCTTTCTCGCTCAAGCCACATACTGATCACTTCACTTAGGACTACTTCCCTCTTTGAAGCGGACCCCTTTTTGTCTACTGCGAGAGGACAGCCATTCTGGATTGTAGGCGGATTAAGCACAATCATTTATGGCTATGCGAGCACCAAGATGAGAACTATCAGATCTCCTCTGTTTGTTGGATTCCTTCTTCTGACAGCTGGAATTGTTGGATTCGCGACAATCCAGCCGGGCGACTCAATCAGCGCTATGGCTTTTGCTGGCCTGTCCGGCTTGGGTTTCGGAAGTCCGCTTATCCTTGTTATCGCCGGTGTCCATCTCTCGACGCCTCACGAGTTTATCGCGACAGCAACTGCGATTACTACAAGTTCCCGGGCAGTGGCAACTACTGTGTTCACCGCAATCTACGCAGCGGCCTTCACTACGCGCCTGGAAGAGCGCCTTCCAAATTACGTCGGCGCTGCAGCCCTCCAAGCTGGGCTACCTCAGTCTTCACTTCGAGAGTTCGTCCAGGCTCTCGCAGCTAATCAAGATTCTCTCCTGCAGAATATTCCAGGAGTCAATCCAGCAATCATCCAGGCAGGTGTCGTTGCGCTGAGGCAAGCTTTTGCCGATTCCATCAGGGTTGTCTTCATGATTGCAGCACCTTTTGGTGTACTGGCATGTATCACATGTTTCTTCATCGCTGATTTAAAGTCAACTATGGACTATCATGTGGATGCTCCAGTGGAGGCACTCCATGCCAAGCATCGTCATCATGCGGGGGAAAAACAAGAAGCATGAACAGTCGAAGGACGTCGTGAAGGGTTCCACCTCATACAGTTGGATATCCAATGTGTCTTGCCGTTGAAGTTGGTAGTTCAGTAAGAGACACTAACGGAGGACACCTGTGGGCCTGTTGATGTAGTCAATACGCCTTTACCCCTCTACCGCATACACATACATGCATCCCTATATGTTGACAATCTAATGCCCTTGGTTGGGTTCAGCATCAGCCAGTACAGATCAGAGATATGTAGGGTCTATTATAGGAAATAGATGATCGTTGCCAATGTCATTGTACTCGTCACTATACGTGACCTCGCCCTTCAATAAATCCTTCCTGAGAACAAGCATTTATGATTTAGAACCAACATCCTAGCAGATGCTAGTTTTATAAATCATTCAAGCTACATCGGTCTTGTGACGATCCGAAAACTTGACGATGATGTCTGATTGTTTCCAAAACCACGCCGCGTATGTCTTCCATTCCGGTTCTGAGGAGGCCCACTCGATCTCGAAATTGCGGAGGATCTGCGGAATGAATTTACCCATCTCCATGATCGAGATATTCTTGCCGATGCAAGTCCTTGCTCCGTAACCGAACTATCCATCATATTTGGGTCAGCACTCTCACGGGATCAATGTACACGTATAGGGTGTATCCTACCGTTAGTAGAGCTCGGTCCATAATCTTCATTCGCTCCGCGTTGGACTCGAGCCACCGCTCGGGACGGAATTCGTGTGAATCAGGGCCAAATATTTCTTTGTCGTAATGGATAACTGGCGCAGACATGCTAACGTTTGTCCTAGCGGGCAGGTGGTAACCCAGAAGCGTCGCGCCATTGTCCGGGACAAGTCTTTCTAGAGGAAACGCAACTCCAGGATGCATCCGCATTGCTTCTTTGATTGTGGCTTGTCTAGCAGATGTAAGTCTCTCAACAGGGTCATATTCCTTTTCGGGGGAGGGGGTTTACTTACAAGTACGGCAGCTTTAGACATTCCTCGTACGTGATGAACTCGGAGAGCGTGCCTTGGTGATGTGCTTCATCAATTTCTTCAACCAGTCGCTTGTACACTCGTGGTGTCCGTATGATATAGTAGAAGCACGCTCGGAGCGAGATTGCAGTTGTATCACTCCCAGCAAGTCTAGAAGAAAGAAATGTATGAGTGGGTGATGAGCTTCCTTGTAGGGGGAAACAGGAGCACGAACAGGTTGTTGGACAAATGATTCATCATGTCCCTGTTTGGAATCTTGCCATCCTTAGCCTCCTTCGCTCGTAATTGCGACAGAAAGTCTGTCCTTCCGTCGTGCTTGCTCTCATTGTCATAGCGTTGGACTTCTTCTTCGGTAATCTAGATGTGATCCATTGTCAGCCAAACCAGCTCTTGTTGATCCATTGAGATCACCATGCTCACCTGCATGAATCTGTTCAGCGGGTCGGGAAGGTTTGGTATCAATGTTGCCAGTGTCTCCATGAGAATACGATTACCCATCAGAAAGCGATGCCAACCGGGGTACTGCCCGATCACACCAACGTAGCGCAAGCCAGCATCCAAGCCCGAGATCATATTGTCCACATCCACTCGGTTCTCCATGAAACCGAAGCGACGCTGAAAGGTTAGGCTAGCGATAACATCGAACGCGTACCATTGAAGCCATATTGCCAAGTCAAAGGATTGGCCCTGTAGATCTTTCATGGATCTGACAAAAATGGCAGAGCATTCGTCGACGTAAGTTTCGTAGTTTCGCATGTTGGTCATGGAGAATAGCTGTGCAACAGGTGTTTTCAGAGCTTTGTGGTAGGAAGGGTCGCGTGTGGTGAACATGCTATCCATGGTCGAACCTTTGTAAAATGGTGACATTGTTGAATAGAAAGGAGTCTAGGAACAAACACGGTTAGCCTTATGTCCGGTGTTGAATAGGATATCGCTGGTTGTACCTTGAGATAAGCTGTTCCAAGCCCGTACACGGTGGGAATAGCAGAAGGGTCCGAGATCGAGACGTGGTTAGGGCCCGTTCGAACTATTTTGCCGTAACGTTTGTGCAATTCGCGATAGTTGTTAGGTGCGTTGCCTCTGTAGACCATGGACAGACGGTAGAGGCCCGAAGATCGTGTTGAGAATGGGCCAGGAATGCTCCTCAAAGGACTCCATAGTGAGAGACGCAGGTAATCCAAGACGAGCAATGTCGCTACCAGGCCCAATGCTATCAGAACTGTGTCCATATTGAGACGAAAAGCCATCTTTACGAACGTTGTAACATGCGATGTGTGACAAGCGAGTCTGAAGATTGGGACAGGAATATGCCTTCATCAAGCAAAGTCCCTGCTCCGCAAAGTCTCGAGGGCTCGTCGCATAACCTGGCCCACCATGTTCAAAGCTAACGAATAGCTGACAGAAAATTGGTGAATTCGTCCCAACCTAGATCTCCTTGTGCGGAATTGAAGACCAGCCTCAACTGACCGGTGTGCTCGGCACGAGCTCTCGTTCGCAGGCAATGTGGGACAGACTCCATACTGGGGTTGTGGGCTGTCCCGCTTTCAAGCTCTCGGCTAGTGTGGGGATATCGCGGGGAAAGTGTGGGACGCGACGCCCAACCATCCTTGCCGGGCGGCTCGGGTGGCTCCCCAGTTCTGGCCTGAGCGAGCAGCCAAGACCCTATGGCTCTTTGTGGCGTTGAGACTAGCCCTGTCCTGATGCTTCACTACTTCGCCCCCTCCTGCAATAGCAATGAACCTTCCGCACCAGCTTCAATCATCGTGTTCAGATGTAGCATAGCTTCGCTGTCTGTGATGCTAGCCGAGTACCAGATAGTCGATGATCTTCAATGCGTTCTTCTACAGCCTGGTTCTCCCTGGTCATTGGGCCCAGTACTGGGCCACACACAGATCCGCCAACACTCTTCAGATGCAAATAGTCGATCGCCTTGTACAAGCGTCGATGGAAATCATACCCTGTCACCCTTCATGAGTAGGCGAACTATTGTGCATGGTTACCAGCATCCCCATGTTCAATTGTCACAAGCCTTGCCTCATTCTATCGTTCGTCAATTTCCCGTATAGAATGCAGGATCTACCTATCTTTCCAATGTGAATGCGCACACAACCTGTCTTTAGCGCAGCCTTCAAAACATTTATTAGTGTTCAAGTTCGACAACTGCTCAGCTCCCTCTCTCGTCATTGTTCGTTGCAGCACGCTCAGTTACTCTTCTCGTACTGAACTGAATTTCATGCCCTGAGCACCTTTTCTTGTCATTGGTTATACACAACTATGAAGATACTCCTTGCTACGGTAGCAGCCCTTGCCGCTTTGGTTCTTGCCAAACCGGACGCTGGACCGTTGAACGAGGACGTTGTGATCAGCAACGGCGCCATCAGGGGCAATGCAAGAGATGCTGATGGCATCCTCAATTACAAAGGCATTCGCTTTGCTCAGCCGCCTGTCGGCAACTTGCGATGGCGCAGCCCCGAATCTCCAATAAACTTCGACGGTACTTTCAACGCCACTGCATATGGCCCGTCTTGCTACGCAAGCACCATTCCAGCGATCCCTCATGCTACGCCTCCCAGTGAGGACTGTCTGAACCTCAACATTTGGACAGGTGCTCAACGAAACAATGAAAAACGACCGGTCATGTTCTGGATACACGGGGGGGGCTTCGAGTTCGGTAGCGGTTCCCTCCCCACCTATGAAGGTACGCGATTGGCGCAAGAGGGAGTTGTTGTTGTCACCTTCAACTACCGACTGGGAGTCTTTGGCTTTCTGGCTCTAGACGAATTGGACAAAGAAGGATCGAACTCGGGAAACTTTGGCCTGCAGGATTCTTTGGCAGCCCTGAAGTGGGTCAAGAAAAACATTGCTGCGTTCGGTGGTGACCCCAACAACATCACCATCTTCGGCGAGTCTGCGGGTGCCCACGCTGTAGGTCTTCTCATGGCCTCGCCACTATCAAAGGGTCTCTTTCAGAAGGCTATCATGGAAAGCGGTGCGCTTTGGGACAGCGGAGCAGGCCCATTAGAGACGTTCACGCAAGCGAGAGCCCGGGGAGCAGCCTTCGAGGCGGAGCTGACAGCACCAAACGTCGCCGCCCTGCGCGTTCTTCCAGCTGACACCATCATTGCAGCAGCCCCATGGTTGGTTACTAAGGATCCAAAACTGGCAGCCTTTGCACCGAACCTGGACAATTACGTTTTGAAAGCCAACGCAGGGACGGTCTTCAGCACTGGTAAACAAGCAAAAGTCCCCTTGCTGGCTGGATGGAATGCCAACGAAGGTCAAACATTCGCATCTTATGGAATACCAGCTTTGACCCAACAGCAGTTTGAGACCGGTGCGAAGATGTATTTTGGACCAACTGTTCCAATCCCGTTCAGGCGTCTGTACCCGGACACTACTGCAGCCGAACGCAACCAGTCTGCCATTGACCTTGCTGGGGACATGGTCATTCGCGAGCAGATCTATACTGTTCTCGAACTGCAGCGTCGTACTGCAAGTCTTCCACCCAATTCACTCTGGGCGTACCAATTCAACTTTACCTCCCCATTCACGCCTAATCCCGTGCATACTACGGAGTTGCCTTACATTTTCGGCAATTTCGTGCCAAACCCTGCGGTGGCTCCCGTGCAAGGACCACCCTCAGCAGCAGACGAAGCCTTCAGCGCAACTCTGCGCAAGTACTGGTCCAACTTTGCGAAAACCGGCAATCCGAACGGGAATGGTGTACCAACCTGGCCGGCATATGGCGGCTCTGGTCTCAATGTCCAAGGCTTGAGTAACGCGATCAAACCATTCAACTACGACATATCCCGGTACACGTATATAGCCGGCTTTCGTACAAACGGTGCCCTTCCTGAGTCTTGGAAGACCATGAATCCCAGCGGAATTCCAGCTTAAGAATAGCCGTCACAAGCGACTGGACAAGCAAGGTCACTAGGATTTTCCACAGACCTCCCAGGCTCTATGGCTCATCTCCTTCCTGTTCTTGTTGAACTGTGTTCTGTGTTACGCCACCTTGTTTTACTTCTACGGGGATGCAGCTTTTTTAAAATGGTGGGTCAGAGCCACGCGACTGCAATTTCAACTAAAAATGAGCGGTCGAACGCTGCTCTTTGGATATTATTTGCAAATTCAACCCGGTGCCACGGTACCACACAGGTATTCAGCTCTCATGACCTCGTGCAATAGTATCCCACAACCCTATTTTGAAATGTTGATCTTATTAAAGGAAGTCTATGGCCCATCTCGGAGTGATCGACGGCCGGCGGAGAAAAAGGGTGCCAAAGCAATTCTTCAACCGCACACCGCTCCATACTGGCCGTAAAGAGTGGCCCACAAGAATTGCCAACCTTTGCATTACTCAATAGGAAGACAGTAGCGTGGTCCGGTCCAGAATCAGGAGAGCATCCAGCTAAAGTGCTTAAACCATTTCGGTCAAATTTTCATATGGTCCACAACGTCGTAGCTAGGCTTCCCCAGATTTGATCCCGTCGATGGCGCGAGTCCCACAGACTCTGTGAAACCGGGAAGCAAATGGGAAGTACGACACAAGGTTCGCTCTTGCCAATGGCCCGGCCAGGGCTCAGCTTGCCGTTTCCCGAACACGGGGTTACCGGAACTCCGTGAGATGTGGGACATCACGTGGCTGATGATCTTCAAGCGGGAGGATTCTTCAGCTTGCTGTAGCAGGGAACTGACCCGGGCCCCGAAGTGCGAATTTGAAAACTTCTGCCCTATTGCCAATAGAACCCTGTGGCCTGGTTTCTCGACTTTGACTGCCTCATGCTACTCGCACCGATTGCACCAGAAAGTGACATAGTATCCCAGAATCACTATTCTTCTACCAATCAGCGACATCCCTGTTCCCTACAGCAAAGTCCGAACTGAGTGTTTTCTGGAAAACACCGAAGTCGATGGATATCATTGATACCCATTGCCACATAGTCCCCAGTGGATGGAGGAAACAGTGTGAGCAGTACGGTTGGGGGAAGCCCGATGGGATGCCTGGCATTCCAGTAAGTGCTACTAACGGCAGTCAAACTCGGTGGACCAGTACTAACGACATAGAACTGGAGCCCAGAAGCCCATATTGCCCTCATGGATAAGATGAATGTATCCAAGTCGATCCTTAGCATCACGTCGCCAGGTACCTACCTGAAAGTCAATGACAACGAACTCGCCAATCTGGTAAACCGAGACACAAATGATGAGATGGCAGAAATCTGCAGTCAATACCCCGACCGATTTGGCTTCTTCGCCTCACTTCCTCTCCCGGATATTGAGGGTTCGCTCAAGGAGATTGATCGTGCCCTCGATACCCTTGGTGCGCATGGCTTTGCCATCATGACAAACGCACAAGGGTTTTACCCTGGAGATCCAGAGCTGGATGAGGTGTTCGCAAAGTTAAACGAGCGCAAATCGATTGTCTTCATGCATCCAACCGGATGCTGCAGTCCGGGCCATGCAGATGTTCCAAAGCCGCTGGACAAATACCCCACCCCAATGATGGAGTACTTCTTCGACACCACGCGTGCGGTGGTGAATCTTATTTTGTCTGGCACGGTCACCAAGTATCAAAATTTGACGTTCATAGTTTCTCATTGCGGTGCGACAATACCACCACTAGTGGAACGCTTCGCTGCGTTTTCGGCCTCGGGTCTCCTGCGCACAGAGGCAATCTCAAGCTCCCAGGTCAAAGAACTCTTCAGGACGAGGTTCTACTTTGACTTGGCCGGATTTCCATTTCCGGATCTCATCCATGGTTACCTAAACATCGGTGCCGCCAGTCGTCTTCTCTATGGCAGCGACTATCCCTACACTCCGGAAAAGACCACCCTGATGCTCAATGAGAAGATGGCTGACGGTCTCAAAAAGCATTTTGACGACGAAACAGTTGCAAATATCTACTCTGGAAATGCTCGAAAGTTGTTGAATCTTTGAAATGCACGAGGAAACTTGGCTGTTTTGAGCAGTCCATCCATCTGTATCTGCTTCGGTCTTGATCTGCTCCAAGGCTCTAAGCATACTACTCTTAGCCGTAGTCGAACCAATCAATGATTTGGCCAGCGCTGAACACAAGAACCCTGCCAAAATCCAAGCTAGTGGGGACGCCTTGGTCCCAGTCAAACGCGTATAGATCAAGCGCTGGACTGCCCTGCCATCTATGCTCGAGCAAGACGATCTCACCATTCACAGCCCATCTTCTCAGCTAGAGAAATATCCTCCGGGTGTTTTGCCTGCGATATCTTTGCTCAATCACAAGAGTCAATCTCTGCCGTTCCTCTTGAAACAATAGGTTGCTCCCCAGACATTTTTTCCGACGATATCTCCTTCAAGTGATTCGTGTCCACGCAGTTGTAGGTTTCAACAAAGCCCTTCGCGGTAATAACAGGTGCGTCATCATCCATGTCGTAGATGTTGTCACTGACGCAGTCCCAATTGGTGAGGGTGTAGTCCCGTAAAAGGAAATCGGGAGATATCTATCAGAGAGGCAAGCTGCTGTCGCCTTATTTGGTTCAGTGCGGATGCGGCATCGTGATCGGCTCATCCTCACAGCGAGCGTCTTGCACCTTTGGGCACTCGGCTTCAACGGAGTCTCCGGTCCCACAATATGGTCACGAAGCTTTCATGGGGGATCGGCGCCATGTGGGACGCTTGCTGCCGTCTCCAACCTCCAACACCATGGTTCGTGAGCCAGGACCATAGACGAACTGTTACGAGTTGGTCTAATCAGCTGGGGGATCTTAAATGCAGCTCATATATCAACATATGCCCTCTTGTTCACAACCTCGATTATCAAACCCACCAGAGACATCATGGCATTTGGCAACGGAGCACAGATGCTAGCTGATAGCTTTTCAGTCAATGAGCGGCCTGTGAAAGCCTTACTCCTCTGCATAGTTGTCTTTACAGTGGGCAGAGTTCTTTGGAAGGTGGGTCTTGATTTGGCCGATGCTGATCTGCACTAACGAGTACACCAAGGCAATTTACAACGTATTCGTTCACCCTCTATCAAATGTTCCAGGCCCACGACTGGCAAAGCTATTTGCATCGTATCTCTCACCTGCTCAAGCAAACCTTTGCAGAGCGCAAGTAAGGTCTCCGCGGACTCACGAAGACTGGCATGACTCTGACTGGTTCTTTCAACATCTAGAAACTACGTGAGCTTCATGAACAGTATGGCCAGGTTGTGCGCGTCGGCCCAAATGAGATTTCGACCTCCGACTGGTCAGTCTATCGTGAGATATACAGCGGCAAAGCCAGCACAAAGAGCAAGGCATTCTACGACTCAATCAGAGCAGGCGGAATCCATCTGAATATCTTTTCGATGCAGCACAAGGAGCAGCATGCAGCTCGGCGGAAGCTTGAGAACCAGTCTTACTCCCAGCAAGCCATACTACAAAACGAATCGCTCATCGCAGAGAAGGCAGACGTTTTGGTCAGACGAGTAGTCAAAGCCGCCCGAGATTCTCACTCAGGCACGACAGCGGACTTTTACGACCTAAGTGGACTCTTTAGTCTCGAAGTCATTTTGAAATGCGCACTGAACCGTGATTATGGCGATTCTCCTGCCGGAGATTCTCGAACCATTCTGAAAGCTATGGATGGTGCTGCCATCTCCACTCATATTACTACCGCACTTTCTCCCATCGTCACTCGAAAGACAGGCATCTACTTTCCTGGACTGATCGGCCGATCTTTCAGACAGCACAATCTCTACGAGGCGATGACCAAGGAGCTACTGGCGCAATTCGAGCGTCAGCACGAATCTTCCCCAAAAGAATCGGCGAGATTCATGGTGGCGGCTATGCTCACGCAAAAAGATGGCTTTCTGGGTCGAAAGCTTACAGAGGAGGAAGTCCTGGAAGAAGTCATGGGATTAACATTTGCCGGCAGTGGTACTACATCCACCACCTTGACCTATCTGGTCTACTCCCTAGCTCGTGACGCCACATTACAGGACCGGTTGCGAGAAGAGCTCAACAACACCCCAGAGTCTCTACTTGAGCTACAGAATCTGCCTCTTCTCACCGCCATCATCAAGGAAACATTCCGCATGTATCCAACGATTATGTCCACCCTTCCACGAGTCCTGGACCACCCGCTTCAAGTTGGGAAATACGCGTTGCCAGCACAAACGATTATCGGAATGCAGAACTACGTACACCATCGCGACAGGACTCTTTTCCCAGAGCCTGATAAATTCATTCCCGAACGCTGGTTGGGGCTGAACAGTGGCAATCAACAGATCATGGCCATGAATGCTGCCCTTACGCCGTTCTCTCTGGGATCGCGGAACTGCATTGGGCAAAATCTCGCACGAGCAGAGCTGTATCTAGCCACCAGCAAGATATTCAGAAACCTCAACATTTCAGTCAACCCGCAGATGACCGAGTGGGATATGGAGATGGAGGATCGGTTCAATATTGCGCCCAAAGGCAGGCGGCTCCTCGTGGATGTTGAGGTACTTTAATGATCGAGGTATTCATTTAGCAGCCATTGTTAGTAAATTCGCTGAATTGTGAAATCCCAGTTATAGATTCATATACAGCGACCTAGTAACGGTTCAAGAGCTCTCAGAATCAAATCTGTCATACCAAAATGGAGAGACTATCAACTCCATGCCTTGGAAGGATTTCCCACTATGCTCTTCTCGCGTTGTGCATCTTCTCTTCAATTGCGAGCCGCGTAGTACATTCTAACGCAAAGCCCAGTTCCCGTAGGATAAAGCCAGTTCCATGGAGAGAAAGCTCAATGCAGTGTGGAGCATTTTGCAGAATCCTGGTCTCAACCCATGCAGAACTACTGAAGCCTCGGCTAAACTCTTCAACAGTTTCAGCACTCAAATGCCACAGCTTGTCCAACTGTCCCATGGTATACAGCACCGGGACTTGGATTGTTTTAGAATATGACTCCCAGTAATTTGGCCACAGCAGGTTGATGTCATATAGTTCTTCGAACGATGAATCGCGGCCAAGCCTCTGTGTCTCCTTCAGGATATCGGGGTCAAACGTATACTCGGTGTGGAAGGTGATCGTATCCTTGGCTTCGTGCGGGACCGACAAAGGGTTCAGTTTCGTCGAGTCCATTGTGCTCTCCATCTGCTGGAGCATGGGCCCGAATGTCGAAGTCTCGGGCCTAGAACCCATTCCGCTGATTGCCAATCCAGAAAGCACATATTGCGACGCCCCTCGCTCGTACTCCGATGCTGCGACAACGCTGATAGCCCCTCCAACAGAATGACCGAACAGAACTATTGAAGACACGTTCAAGCTCTTTCCAAATTCGGCCCAGACAGCTGGAAGTGCGAATTCGTGTAGCCACCGACCACTCTGCTGGATAAAACTGTTCTTGCCCTTGTCGAAATGCCACAGGTCGGTTGAACCATACCCAGGACGGTTGAGAGCGATCAGTGGAATGCCCAATGCTTCACTCAGATATCGCACCGTGTGCTTATCGTTGGCATCGAAGTAGTTGGCATCGTACCCGCCGCCATGAATGAGAACGACGAGAGGAGTAAAGGTACTCAACATTGACGAAGAAGGGAAATGGGTTTTCCCGGTTAGCAACGACCCGTTCGTTAACTTGATGGAGATTTCTGTCATGTTATAGTTTAAAACAGCTTGTACTACAATTCGATGCAAGTGTGAATGGTAGGCGGTGGACTGTTGATCTAAGATTGCATGAGGCTTATATACGAGACCAGCCGTCAGCCGAGCCGCATCGTCCCACATTCTGTGGGAAGGGCTCACGGCGTTACTGTCCGTGCTGAAAGAACGCCTCAATGAACGCAACTCAGGCGTGCACAGCCACAGCTCAATGCTGCCTTCGCCCAGAGGCATTGGATGAACTGCTTGGGGGAGTTGTCTGTGGGAGCTCTTCAATCGCCTATGGGCGCAGGCATTAATTGCAGTTTTCACCTTGAAAACCCGCTATCAAGACGTGCACTAGCTGGCCAGCCACCCATTTACGGACCGGGAAGGAAGGGCAGCTACGGTGCTCTAACAGGTAGTCCATCACTTCTAGTGAGCGTGCGGTCCTAGAGTGCTTCGAGTCTTGTGCAGCTGATAGTGATTTCCTGTGGTTGTCAGCCAATACAGGTCATACAAAGGAGCGCTCTTGATGAGACAGGATTTGTTACCTACATAGCTTTTTCTCTCTCCAACAAAGTCAGGCCTCCAAACACACTTGGCGGTAACTTTAATAACGGAATATGGTAGTAGTTTCAGACATCGCAGAGGATTTCTGTTCCATTCCTGCTGGAGAGTGCTTTCTGAGAGTTGAGATTCATCAAAAGGAGTAGTGGCAAGCGGCATCCGCAGCCTGAATCCTGACCTCTCATCGCTTATGAGCGAGAACTTGATACTCTGGAGGTAAATGTACTGTTCAAGACTAAGGTGGGCCAGAGTATTGAGTGTCAGTTCTGGTAGTTGAATATGGCGTACACTATTGTGTATCCGTTGTAAATGAGCTTGAGGAAGCAGATGAGTGATAATTCCGGAAGATTGCCGGGAGTACCTAGGCAAATGGCGAATTCGATCGTTAAGCCGACTACTAAATCTGTTAAACTGGTATGAGCTTGTGAAGTCGAACGGAAAGGAGACAGCCAGTTGATTCATCAGGATCGAACTTCCTTCTGAGTATAAGAGTTTACAGGATCTGAGAATTCCCGCTTCTGGCGGTCTCGCTCTCCAAACGATTACATCCCGGAATGGTGCATACACAACGTTTAGGTGAACTCGGGGGCCAGCAAAGAAATGTTGTAAGATCCGAAGCCGAATCTCGGTTGGGAGGTCCAGGAAGCGAAACGAATTTTGTGGGATCGGAGAACGGTTCTCGGGATGAGGAGGACGGTTCTCGGGACAAGGGCTTGCATTGCTGTGGTAACATCTCCATTGCTCCTGATTTGGAGCGCACTTAAGACAGTATCCATTCTTGAAGGCGTCGCAAGAGAGGATCCGCTCAAAGGGCCGTAGAGGATGGCAGTATGTGGCGCACTGCTCACACTGATGATCCATGTTGCAGAAAAGACAGCTGGAGATACTGGAAACAGGATGTGCACATCTTCAGGGTCTTCTATGTAAGAACAGGCGGCACGTTAAAGGTGGTGAGGTTTATCATTTGCGAGCGTCCGAGGGTGCAAACAGGCGCGATCTGCCTAGAATCCACCCACACTGCGGCCACGGCCCTCTTCCAATCAGCAGCCCGCCGAGCAGGGCAGTGCAATTCGCCCAGCAACGCCTTGCGTCAAGGTTGTCCCGCCGGCAGGTTTGATCACGTTTCGCCTGAATATGTCCCCAAGCCTGCGGCTTGTGAATGCTGTGCGAAGCATAGTATCCAGTTGTCCAGTTTGGTTCTATGCTTTCGGATAAGACCATTGAATTTCATGCAGCGGGGTGTCCGCAGATCATCGTCTAGGCTGCTATATTCAAAGGGGCATTGGTACATCCTCGAAAGCTGACCGAGATATCTTCGAATGGCAGGTGTTGACCATCAAGTCTGGGTGTCTTCTCTCCTTCAGGATTCATCGAACATGATCAACGTCGACGATGCAGAGCATACAAACTCCCTGACTCATGTTCAAGCTTTCACCAAGACCCTGACGCCCTTAGAATCCAGTCTCGGGCTAGGCAAGAAGAAGTCGTGGGCTAGCTCTACATCGCTGAGTTCAGTCTGGTACAGCTCGAATTCAAACTTGCGGAAGACTGCAGCCATAGCGATGAAGAGCTCTGCATGCGCAAGACTACAATTTTGAGTCAGCTCTCTAGTCAGTCGGAGTCTCCAAGGCGGATACTGACTTGATCCCCAAGCAACTCCTAGTGCCTTTGCCAAACCCAACGAAATACCTCTCGAGGCTCTGTCCATTCTTGGCCTTGGGATTGCCGATCCATCTTTCTGGATCGAAAGTTCGTGGGTTGGGGAAGATCTCCTCGTCATCGAAGACATCGACAATGGTCATGCTCACCGGCGTCCGCGGTGGAATTGTCCAGTCCTGGTAGGCGAGCGGTTTGGCGAACAGTCTTGGATTACGCGCAGTGACGGCATAAGACATGCGGACGCTCTCACGGACGCAGCCGGAGAGGTAAGGCAGCTTTTCTAACTCTGTCCAGCTCAATGGTGCACTGGAATTGGGCAGCGCCTCTTCGAGCTCGGCTCGTAGCTTTCGGAAGACCGCTGAATTGCTGGTGATGTGGTAGGCCGCGACGGATAAAGCCCATCCCGTTGTGGTGACGCCAGCCGCAACAACCAGCTGTGCCTCGTCTTGCAACCGTCTAGTTTCCTTCTCTGACTCGGGCAGAGAACCGGCAATGAGTTCCTGAAACACAGTAGGATGCGTAGACTGCTTGAGCCTTTCGTCCATTTGGCCAGATTTCATCGCACCGATTTGTTTCCGAAAATCCTATTCCCCGTTAGTTACTGCAGCTCCATCGTCGTATTGACATACTGCTTGCATCTTGAAAACAAGAGCATAAAGCGGTTCAATCTTGACCAGGATGGACTCTGGTAGTGCGAACAGAGCCTTTGGCACCCAGGGATACTGTAGGGACAGGTGACCAGATATGCTAGCTGCCATAAATGGCTCGTGCAAGGTATGCTCGAAGTTTGGTTGCTGTAGATGGCCGTAGCTGATGCCGAAGCAGTACTCCATGACGACCTCACCCGTCAGTGACATAAAGGCTCGATTCAAAGGAAGGACCTTTTGACTCGCTTGGAACTCCTGAATTCGATCCACCAAAGTGTTGGTGTGTTTGCGAATAACATCTTGGAGATCCACGATACGCTGCCGCGAGAAGAAAGGATTGAGAGCCCCCCGACGAATCCTGTGCAAGTCGTCGGGTGCGGTGGTAAAGACTGATGTGTCGCATCCGAAACGGCCAGACATCCAGTCATATTTGTCGACTCGGCCAGCTTTTGTGTAAAGGATATCGTAGAAATCGGAGTCCTGGATGTGAAGTTCATCGGGGACGATGCGAACAATGGGGCCTGAGCATCATGAGTGATAGGGTAATTGCTGGGTTGGACGAAAATATACCGTACTGCTTGTGAAGCTCTTGTATCTTGAAAGTAAATTGACCCTTCAGAACGACCTCGTAGTAGAACTCGTGCCATCGGCTAAGCGCAGCGTATTTCGGGCCGGGGAATCTTGCCAATGGATGAAAGTAGAGTCGATATATCACAAGCGAAGCAACGTACAAGGCACAGGCACCCGCGATACTAAGAACGGGGTGGGCGAGTATCTGGGTGGCCGACATGATCATGGTGTTTTGCAGACGTTCACGGAGGGGTAGCAGCTTAAGGGGGCAATATCCTGCGGTGAGGGAAGCGGAGCTTGATGTTTGCCAGGCTTAGTCTGGCAGAAGCAACGAGCCGAGCCCGAGCAACGCTAGCTCGTAGCGTCGCGCACCGGCGGCGGGGCGAGCATTAGTGCCTGCGGTCGCACCGATGATTTGAGAGGCAGTCCCGCGAGGATGTACAATCTCATGCAGCCTAAGAAGTGTCATGCGGCTTGTTCTGCAGCCGGCCTCCGGCTGGCTTGGGTGGTTCTTTGCTTCCTCGGTACTTGAAATCTACTACATATTAGCGCCACCGGAATCCTTCCTTCCGCAGGGTACAACTTTTTATCTCTATCTGTCACCAAAACTTCTGGAAAGACATCTGAACGTCAACTAGGCTGTGCACGTTTTGCCGGGTCTTCTAATCACGGGTGACATTGAGCGCAGAAAGCCCACATCGGTATGGCTGGGGTCGACCAAACGGTCCCGACCGAGCCTGAAATTGTGGAGGATGAGCAACTCGCCGCAGACAATGATGTGCCAGCCAGCGGCTTCGAGTTAGATTCCACGTTTGGCGACGACGACAGATCTACCACGAGCCAGAGCATCAGGTCATCGATCTATAATTACCGCTACGAGAATGGACGCACATATCATGCGTATCACGATGGCGAATACCTGGTAGGTCTCGTACCGAGAGCGGAGAGCTTACTAGAGACCTTCCAAAGGCCTGAGCCCAATGAGTTATATCCTCCCTCTGTCTCCTTCTGTATCCATTTACTCCGTTCTGAGCAGTACTGACTATTGCAATAGTAGGTCCCACCCTGAGACAATATCCTGTCGAACAACATGCAAGCCCTGATTTAGGGGGGCTCTGTAGCAGCCTGTGTTGCCCGTGTTCTGATCCATTCTTTCCTCTATTGTCATGATACAGGCTAACACAGGTCTACAGAGTTCCCAATGATGAGGTTGAGCAAGACCGTCTTGACCTTCTACATCACCTCTTCAAGATGATTCTTGGCGGTGAGCTACTGACTGCGCCACTACCCACCAGCCCTAAGCGTGTCCTTGACGTAGGCACTGGCACGGGCATTTGGGCTATAGAGTTTGCCGATCTGTATCCGAGTGCTAGCGTTATTGGAACTGATTTGAGTCCTATCCAGCCAAGATGGGTGCCACCTAACCTTCAATTCTATGTCGAGGACTGTGAAGCCAATTGGTCGTTCTCCGACTCCGAAAAGTTTGATTACATCCACGGCCGGGCTCTGTGTGGTGGTATAGCTGATTGGCCGCGCTTCTACTCGCAGGCGTTTGACAATCTTGAACCAGGGGGATGGATGGAGATGCAGGACCATGAGTGCTGGATCAATAGTGACGATGGGGGCATGGACTCTGCGCCTGGTTGTAATGAGTGGATTCATGAAGTTGACAGGGCAAGCCGGATCTTTGGGAAACCACTTAATGTTGCTCATGAACACAGGCAATGGATGATCTACGCGGGCTTCGAAGACGTCCATGAGACTATCAAGAAGGTAAGGCGCATGTTCTCGGTCTACGGACGAAGCTGAACGCATTTATGGATCCCCATTGGACCTTGGGCAAAAGACCCGAAGCTCAAGCAACTCGGATCTCTCTTTCGCATCCAGATGATCGAATCGATTCCCTCTTTTATGCTCGCCTACTACACCCGTGTTCTTGGCCACAGTATAGAGCATACGGAGGTAACGATGGCCACTATTCGACAAGAGTTCTCCAATCGATCGCTTCATTTGTACCTACGGTGGCACTTTGTGACTGGTCGCAAACCGCGATAATCCCTCTGCTCTATAATCTGCAGGGCGTGCGCCTTACACATTCACCGGCCTATCACCGGAGCTCCCTAATTGCCATGTCCGATGGCCACGATGATTAGGTCACAATAACTCGACCATACGTAATATTCCCCTCACAGAGGCTTGGAGAAATTGCCATTGTGCAGTCATACATCGGATGATGCTACACTTTTTCTTGAGCAGCAATCGCTGAGGGACTCAAGGGTCACGCAGTGTACTGTTCCTCTTACCTTCGCCGATTCTCCCTGTGTCGCCCCGATTCAGTATGAGAACCGCCTATTGCCGAAGCTGGACTGACTCCAATGCATCAAAAAGGCAGCGAATATACATTGGTTCATGGATGTCGATACTTCTACGCCTGGGAAACGCGGATATCGGAGAGCAGACTTGTTGATTCCAAAACTCCTGCCAATGTTGAGCGGATGAAGCCACAACCATTGACTAAGTCTTACCGGTGATGGATGATGAGTGTGGGTGCGGGCCATGGCAAAGGGAAGTGGCTCGCTCTCGTTCTCGCTCTCGCATTCACTGCCTTAACTTAGCTGGTCCCCACGAATCGACTCCACCCTTTCCCATTCCAAGACTTTTCACTGTAAGACTTGCCACCATCTCTCCATGGACCTTTCATCAAGGCATCCCGTCTTGAGTACTTGTTATAATGATTCGCCCCGCAATTGTGACAAATCCTGTGAATAGTCATCACTAAACGAGATACAGGAGTTAGTGGGTAGGACATAAGTTTATTTACGAGACCACTATAAGATTTTTGGATTGCCATCAAGGCTGGCTTTCTCGTCATAAACTTCAACATGAAACTTACGATTGTTTGCCTCGTTGCCTTACTGAGGGCGACGCAAGCTTCGGCTTCTCCACCGCCGGGCTACCAGTGCCAAGATTTCTCGGTCGACGTTGCTGTCAACAACGTCACCACGATTGTTCCGCCCCTTCCAATCATCGAAACGCAAGAGCAAGCAACATCTTACGTTAACGAGCTTGTGCGCCGAGATGCGCCCACGGTGCAGCCTGTCTTCACTAGCCTCAGCAAAACCTTCATGGTCAGTGGGGAGTGGTGTGCTCCAGTAGAAAAGGGCCTCAAAAGCTCAACTCTGCAAATTCTCACCCACGGCTACGGCTTTAATCGCTCGTACTGGGACTTCCGTCTCGATCCAACCGATGCACAGTATAGCTACATCGATGCTGCCACGACTGCAGGGTACAGCGTCCTGTCTTACAACCGTCTTGGCCACGCGCCGTCGTCTATTCCCGATCCATACACCGAGCTACAGGCTCCTGTCGAAGTAGACGTTCTTGTGACGCTCACGCGCATGGTCCGTGAAGGTGCCATCCCTGGTCTTGCCATACCAGACAAGGTAATACACGTCGGTCACAGCTACGGGTCCGCGTTAACCATTGGTCTGGCGGAAGTTGCGCCGTCTCTGTCCGATGGTCTTGTTATCACTGGCTGGATTCAAGTCCCCGACTTTGCCGGATACTTCCTATCGTCGACAGCCTTCACTATAGCCAGCGATGCAGAGCCCTCGCGTTTCCCTGCCGACACCTATTCGAAAGGTTATGTTACATGGCCGTCCGAGGCGGCCAATCAGTTCGCTTTCTTTGCGTACCCGAACTTCGAAGCAGCTGCTTTGACTGAAGCTGAAGCCACTAAGCATCCGCTCGCTCTCAATGAGTTTCTGAGTCAGGGCTTGATCGGTGCCCAAGCCCCTGAATTCGAAGGCCCAGTGCTCTTCCTTGTTGGTGAGAGGGATCAAATTGCATGTGGATACAACTGCACCGGTTTAATTGGACCAGGAAGTCCGGCTGCAATGACATTCAACGCGACAAGAAGCTTCGAGTGGCAGATTCATCCGGAGGTTGGACATGCGTTGAACTTGCACAAGAACGCCACCGCCGCGTATGACATCATTTCTGAGTGGATTGGCCGGCGTACTTGAGGTTAAGAGATAGGACCTGCTCTGTCGAAGACGCTCGCCGGGGTCCCGATCTATGAAGACCACAGGCACAACTGGGGCTCCTCTTGGCGTCACCTATGGCTGAAGAGATCCTGGTATGATGGTAGAGGGCGTTCTTGACTTCTTGCATTGCTCACGAGAGCTGGTTGCCTGCCAGGTAATAGACCACATTGATTTTAAGGCCGGCTTCGATAGTCCTGTCTCCAACGCCTCCCTCCGTTGCTCCCGGCCGCATCATCTCCTCATCCCCATTGCTCTATAGACCGGTGTCGAGAATGTCCATTCCACTACGGATGCAGAGGTGTCTCTAGCCGCTCTAGATAGTAGAGGCAGGGCATCCAGACTCAACAGATCATGCGCGAGCAGTACACGTGTCAAGTGTGTCTGTAGGAGATCTGGCTGCCGGGCGCACTGGCTGTTGCGATGCATGTACAGCGCATGTGCTGCATTGCGTCGTCATCAGGCGACCGGGTGGGAAGAGTTTGGTGCCTGAACAAAAGTTGACTCGAGCTCGTCTCTGCAGCTGCGCAAGGACCGGCAACCGCAGTGTGAACCAAAAAGTGGATATTTGTTTACTCGCCGAAGCTGATCAAGCAGTTCTTGAGTCCATGGCCGAGAGACCAGCAAAGTACTACCCTCGTACACCGATTTACGTCCTGGTTTCGGACGGCCGTCAAAATCCCGCCATGCATATACGCGACCTGCTGTCTAGTGATAGCTCGTGCCTCCTGTGCCAAAGCCACTTCTGGTCGCGCCGATTTCACTGCTGTATCGTCTGCTTCTTCCACCAATCCCTGGACCAAGTCCAATCGGACTAGGCATCCTTCTCAGATCATTTTCGGTCGCCTCCTCATCAAAGACTGCGGTGCTGTTTCGGCTGGTTCGCCTCCTATCATCCGAATAGCTCCGTTGATCTTCTGGTAACAACAAGGGGCTGCCTTCGTTGATCAAGGCGCCTTCATCGTCCTCTAGAAGGCCATCTATGTTTGCGAATCCGGGATACGACTTTGTCTTGCGCACTTGCAGGTATCTCTGGTTCGTGCCGCTATCGTTGTCTTTGGTGACGGCATTCCCAGAAGTGTCGAGCCCGCCATCCATCATGTCCCCGCTTTCATCATAATCCACCTCATCCTCTTCCTCTTCAGGAGCTGAGCTGAACCCGTCCATCTCCACGAGCCACCAGACAGGAATTGCTCCGATGATGGCGATCAGGGCCAGTATCCACCAGCTGACCAACACATAACCTGCATCAACCCCTTCTGTGAACGCCCATCCGGATATCGCAGGACCGGCCGCTCGACCAAGTGCTGAGATTGAGGTTGCCACGCCATTAAGGGTTCCTAGTACTTTCAACGACGCCGCGCTGTTGGTCAACAAGATGGTGCTGCAAGGAAAGGAAAAGATGGCACAGAAGCCTTTGAACAGCATCAAGACCAGGTTCCCGCCCTCCCTTGCAGAGCCTGTTTGCAAAAGGGCTGTAAAAGGTGTTGCTAGGTATACCACCGGAAATATGACAGTGCACAGCTTGAGGCAATTTAGTACGCCAAACCTCTTGGCCATGACGGGAAAGACCAAGAACTGTATGCACATTCCGTAGATGCCGTAGACCATAAACCACATGCCGATGCGAGAAGAGTCGATGCCGAACCCTCCGGCAAATCTCAACGGTAACTTGACCTCTGGATCCCTCCTCGATTGTACAGGGTAGTGCATGAAGACCGGAAGTAGTTGATCGTAAGCCACCGAGTGCATAGCCAGAAAAGTGTACACCAGTAGATTGATGCTGGACTGTCTTGTAAAGACCTGATCCCATCCAGCGCTTTTCTCGATGGGTCGACTGAACGAAGGTCTTCGGGCTGCGGTTGGTGAAGACATGGTCGAAGCACTTTGGGCTAGGAAAGGTTCATTCGCATCTCCATCCGCATCGACATGCCACGCCTTGCGATCTCGCTTTCGACATGACCGCGTCAATAGCTTTCCGAGCGCCAAACCATAATCGCGCTTATGCCTCTTGTCCTCCAATGTTTCCCGCAGAAAGAGGAAACCGCAGGAGATGCTGATGAGGAACAGGGTCGATATCAAGACATTTGGGAAGGCGAAAGGATAGCGCTTGAATAAATCGAAGCGGGCGAAGAGGTCCGGGAAACGCTCAACGGGATGAACGAGCGAACCACCAAAGGCGGGGCCGAAGATGCTGCCCACCGTCCACACCAGTGGCATGAGGGAGAATGCTCGTGGTTGTAGTTCTTTCTCAGTTACCAGCTCAGCCACAGCTGTCCGGATGATACCAACATTGCCATTAGACAAGCCTTGTAGGGAGCGAGCAACGAAAGCCCACAGCAGCGATCTTGAAAAGCCAAACAGTAAGCCTGCCACCATGGTGCAGCTCAGAGCCAGTAGAATCATTGGCTTGCGGCCGAATCGATCGGAGGCACGGCCCCAGGCGATGCCGGTAAAGGCTTGCGAAAGCGAGAAGACGGCAGACATCAGGCCAGCATACTTCGCTACCTGGTCAGTTGGGACATCGAAGGACTGCACCATTTCTGGCTGCGGGATGTCAGCGGTGCTCGTTCCTTGAAGCGCAATCGGCTTACTATGTAGGGATAGACAGAAGTCATCGCGACTGGCTCAGCAAAGCGACATACTGCCAGTATGGTAAGTTGCTGCTTCGGCAACCGCGGTCGCTTCTTGTCAACCATCGTGGGGGGATAACAGCTCTAGGACTGTCCATAGGAGGGCGTTACGGTGGGAGGTGAGAGCGTGAACCAACACGACTCATTGTGGGGTGTGAAAGAAGGAAAGAAACCATGGGGAAACGCCAAAGATGCAGGTCATGTCGTTGAGTCATGGGGTTTAGCCGCGATGGAAATGCAAGGTCAGATGGTTAGCAGTGTGGAGGCCTCGACGCTGTGGAAAGGCGTGTCTGTGGTACTCGGCTCAAAAATTGGAGGCGCCGTCGTACCGAGAGCCGCCGCCAGAGGATACCCCCGCGCACGTGCCCCCTAAGCACGAACCAGTGCCGGCCAAGGAAGAGTGGGACGGCCAAAGGGTTGTATATATCAACAACATATCTACATTGGATGCTTGCTTCGACGACTCCAGATCAGGCTGCTGATCAAAGCACGATTCTACTCTCGTCGTAATGTCGTGGTCTTCCGGTCCAAAACGCCGGCGCTTAAAGTTCAATCCAGACTATCCATTGCGGTTACCTGCTTTGGGTGGTTTCTTACGGTTGGGCCGCTTCTTTGATGGCGGTTTCCATCCGGGTATCGGCTGCCAAAGTTTGGAAGTTGCATTGAAGCGATGACTGTTCAGGGATCAGTAAGTCGAGATACATGGACGAGGACAGACTCACCCTTCGAATTCCGTCTCTGACATGGACTTGGCGCCGTACTCCTCCTCCAGCAGATACTCATACTCAAAAGGTATCTTGACTTGGATGCCCTCGAAATACCCGTCTCGCAGAGGGAAGAGATCCTTCTCGAGATAGTTGTGCTTGTCTTTGCACATCAGCGCACCCTCTTTACCATTGCGACGAGCCTCGTGGTCAACGCGGACAGTGCTAATGTCGATGAACAGACCCGTCTCGGTGTCGATCCATCTGGCGTCAATAACGTTAAGATGGTCTTCTGTGCCCCGAATCACATAATGCGGATTGATCTCCAGCAGATAACTCCGTCCTCCTTCTTCCTCCATGCCGGTTTGATATCGATACTCGGTCATATTGTAGTAGCGGGCAAGAAAAGCGATCGTTTCTTCGGTCACTTGGACATCCAGGTCGGAATCCCAAGGCATTATCCGCTCATTCCACCACCAGCCAAGCAGTGTTCCATGCATAATCCAAGCCTCGGCCCCAATGTCACTCATGGTGGCGAGGAATGTCCGGATGAGAGCTGTGAGATGTGATAACCGGACATCCTCACTAATCTCTTTATCGGCGAAGCGGCCATCGTAATGGCTGTGAAAGGTACTCTCGTGGAAGTATTTGTCTTTGGGGTCACCGCGCTTGCCGGAGCGGTCCCTTTCTAGCTTGGTGCGCACATCGAGGAAGTCGGCGTCGGCGTAGGCTGCCTCGAAGAAGAGTAGCGGGAGCAAGCATGCTCGGAGGAAGGTTTGAGGTCTCATTGCCTGATCATTGCGGTGGAGGGTAGAAACATCGACTGGCGACGAGATCAACAAAGGCAAAATAACGGCTCCGGCGATGCAACGGTAGATGTGCGGGCTATGCAGATGCAGCAAAGCAGGACTGAATGGGTGCAAGGTACCTGCGGAGGGCCTCATGCGATTCCAGGGCTGGGAATCGAGCACGCGACAGCGACATTGACGTTATCAGTCCCCAATTGGCGCCATGGGTCCCCCGCCGCGTCAGCCGGTTCATACAACGTTTGCGCCGATTTATCCGCAGTTCGGGGCTTGTCATTGGCGGTCGCGGCCCGAAGGCGCCACCGATTTCTGGTTTTCTAACCCCCGCCCCAGCCGCAAACTATGTGACTGGCCACAAGGACCAGCCGCCCCAGAATTTAAGCATCTGCTGCTCACACCCGCCCTGCACCAGTTGAGGTGACTGAGCCTCGCAAAAGTCCACGATCAGCACTTCCTGAGAGCACGCGACTCCAGTAATTACGGTACGGAGTACATGTTCTATGTTTGGTTTCGGATATTCAGGAGGAGCTCCCAGTATTGTGGTTCTACCCCTTATTGAAGCTGACCGTAATCCGATAGTCCAACACTGTACTCCGTAGCCATCGCCTACTGAGCCTCCACCAATGCAGCACTGAAGATTGCAGCTTGCGCGTCGGGCGGTCCAAAACCATTCCTTCTCACGCAGTACTTCTGCCTATGCCGGCCTTGTATCTCGCCAGTGCCCTCTCCCGCGCCTCCTTATGCACCACGATCGGCCGTGGGTAGCCATTCTTCTTCGCAATCATTTCCGCGCCTCTCCCGTATGGATCGTGGATTGCGTTGCCATTGACGTCTTTCAGCTCGGATACCCATTTGCGGATGTACGCGCCATCGACGTCGAATTTCTCGCTCTGCAAAAGGGGGTTGAAGATGCGGAAGTAAGGCTGCGGATCGACACCGCACGAGGCACTGAACCCCCAGCCGCCGTTGTTGGATGCAAAGTCACCGTCGATCAACTGCTCCATGAACCAGCGCTCTCCCATCCGCCAATCGATCATGAGATCCTTGGCGAGAAAGGATGCCACGATCATGCGGCAGCGGTTATGCATGTACCTGTGAGACGTAAGCCGCGTCGTGTCAATAAGGTGAGTGAGTTACATACCCTGAATACCGCGCCTGTCGCATCGCTGCGTCGACGATGGGAAATCCTGTCTTGCCCTCCGTCCACGCCTTGAATTGCTCCTTGTCGTATTCCCATTCGATCTTGCTGTACTCTGGCTTGAATGGTTTGTTCATGCAAACGTACGGCCAGTTGCAGAGGACATGCTTGTAGAAGTCCCGCCACGCCACCTCGCCATACCACATGCTATGGCCCACTTTGCGGTCATCCGAGACCTTCTTCCCGGGAGCGGCGTCCAGCGACACCCTCACGCAGGTTCTCGCCGCAATAGTCCCGGCGGCCAGGTGCGCCGACAAGGTTGAAGTACCGTTCCCGCCAGGTAAGTTACGCGTCTCATGATACCGGGATATTCGCTCTGCCACGAATTTGTCGAGCCGATCTCTAGCCTCGTGCTCCCCTGCCGGCCACATATTCCGGAATCTCTCCTCCTCGTCTTCACTCAGCCTTTTCTCCTCAGGCGCCTCTGGGATTTCACACTCAAAAAGATGCTTGAACTTCTTCCTCGCCGACGCCGGGTTCCGCATCGGCGGCCTCGCCTCCTCCAGTGTCTCCGGACTTGCATTGAGGTAGGCACACCACTTGCGATGCCACGGACTGTAGACACTGATCTGTCCACCTGCCCCAGTCTTCAGCTCTCCCGGCTTAACTACACAGGTGTCGTGCACCGCTTGCATGGCGATCCCATTCTGCAACCCGTCCCTCACCAGCCGAGCCTCTCGCCGCAGCTCATCCACCTCGTACTCAATATTACAGAACAGGTGTCTCGCACCCCACTCGGTGCACAAGTCCAACAGCCTCCTGCCAACGTTCCTCCTTTTTGCCACCGTCTCGACGTAAAGCGGCACGTCGAAACCTGCTAAATCTTCCTTTAATACATGCAAGCACCGCAGCATGAAATCGATCCGTATGGCGCTCGTCAGATGCGCCTCCCAATCCTGCGGACTCGCCAGGTAGACGCAGACGAGAGGCACGCCAGCCTGTTCCGCGCACCGCGCCGCCGCACTCAGCCCGCGATTGTCTCCAACGCGGAGATCTTGCTTGAACCAAAACACCACGCTGTCGCCCAAGGCCACGTCGGCGCGCGCCGCTTCTGTCTCCGAGAGCGCCTTCTCGAGTGTTTGGATCGGCCGCTCAAGCTCTCCAGACGCGTACCGTTTGGCGCGCTCGTTGGTGATTTCGGGCGGGTAGTATTTGCGGAGCACGATGCCATACTCTTCTTCTACCGAGGAGTCTTGGTAGCGGCTGCGGTCGGAGAAGTCGGGGCGGGGTCGCTTGTTGCTGCTGGTGAGGTCTGCGGCGGCGGGAGAGGATGGTGCGGGTGCTGCACTGTCGGACACAAGAGGAGAGGAGGCTTTGCGCTTCGAGCCGGCTTTCTGCGGCATTTTGAGAGGTGTAAGGGAGGAAAGTGGTGACGAGAATGTGGATGGTTGGAAAATGAAAGGCTCACGAACGGTGAGCGCGAATAATTGTTTACGCCCGGCGTGTAGGACAGTAGGAAATCGCATGCGATGCTCGAGGCTGCATATGCGTGCTCTCAGTGTTATGACACGCTTTGTCGACTTGCGCTTACGCTGGATCCTTCTCCCAAATAGGAGAGTTTCTCGTAAAAGGACCGTTCAATCGGCGCAGCCAACGCCTGTTGCGCTTATAACTCCTCGCGGCACGTCGATCGTCGACAGCAACGATAGCACACTAGCAAATGGAGGAAAGAGAACAGAGCTTTGGCGCTTCAAGTCGCGCGACGCGAGTCAATGAGGCCTCTAGCAACTTGGTGAAAGCTACACAGCCACAGGTGACGTCAAGAATGCTTTGTTCTGAGATCTGATCTGCGGAGTCGATCGCCAAGTCGGTCAGTGCCTTGCGTTAGCGCCGATCGGGGCGAGAACGCACGTGTGCTGGAGGAAGAGCTTTGATTTGAGAGGGAACGGCCGCGCTGGAGCTTCATGTCTTGTGCGATGGGACTGTATTCATGAGAATAGGTATGTGGAGCTTAATGGATTAATAGAGACTGATCATTATCTGCTGGTGCGAGTATCGATATTGCCAGTGGAGTCAATATAATTGTAGCCGTATGGGCCAATGCTACAGCGACTGAGATCGGCACGCTCGACTGCAGATCACAGAACTCTTTCAGGACGTAGAGAATCACAATTCAATTTGTACCAAGGGTAGCTTCTGGCTTGTGTTTCTCCTAGTCCAGGACAACGACTAGCTACAATCAGACGCCCCTCTCCTCACAGTACTTCTTCACCTCCCGATCCAATTTCACGTGCTGCTCCTCGACATTCGCCATCAGACCCTTTACGAACTTCCACTCCTCCGAGTCTCCTGCTCTCGCCTTATCTTCAAGCCCACTGTCCCTGTACACGCTCTCCATCAAATCCATTACCGCCATCAGCTGGTTCGGCAACCACGTCACAATCGGGCTACCACCCGTTGCTGTTGGATGGCTTGTTCTCTTAATGATGTACTCTCTCGCAAACAGCCAGTGCCGCCACCGGAAGCTGCGCACATGATCCAGCAGCTTCAAATACAGCTGGGCGAGCTGCATATCTTTCACGCAGAACGCCCGCACCCCTAGCTCTGCTGCCTTGCTCATGACATACGCAAGGAAGGTGCGATGTGGCTTAGGCCGATAGTTCCGGAAGTCAACCAGGATATCCATGAGCGGGTTCTTGGGCATAGGGATCTCGCATAGATGGTCAAGCAGCGGGATGATAGAGTCGTTGGCGCCAGACTCACCACGGAAGAAAAGTGGCTTGCCGTTGTTTTCGCCCTCGTAAACCACGCCGTTGGGGAACATGCTCTGATTGGTGATGCCGAAGATGAAGGTACGGTAGCTGATGTAGTCCTTTGGAAGTGAATGCGACCACATGTTTTCCATTGATACCTCGATGCGATGCATGGCTTTGAGCATGGTTTGAAGACTAGCTTTTCCAGCGCTGACGTCGTCGGCCTCGACTGCCTTGAGCAGAGACACAGCACCGTCAACGAGTGGACCTGTCTCTTGTACCATGTGAATGTGCGTCAGGATGAAGCCGGCTTCGGATGAAGTGGGATCCAGGCCATTCTCGAATCCACGTATCAGGCGCAGGTTGGAGTAGACAGACGTGCCGAGCTTGGGGTCCACGAGCTTGTAGTTATAGAGAGCATAGCTGGCTGCGTAGCTCATAAAGGCAGGAATGTCCAGCACTTCGGCGGTACGCATCAAGGGACCAGCAATGCAGCGGGGAAGCGTCTGTCGACCAAGCCCGTAGCCAGCAGTGTGATTCTTACTCCAGGTCTCCCAGCAGGGTTCGAGAAGAAAAGATGATGCCAGAAAGCTGTAGTCGCGGAAGAGAGCGGTAACGATCTCCAAGTCAGGATTTTCGGCGGCGATGATATCCCTCACAGCGTCTGTAAGATCCGGGAGGGCACCAGAGTCAATCAATGGGCCAAGTTTGTACTCTGCAAGCAAGCCAGGGTGGCCATCTTCTTTCGTGACCGGCATTTCTCTGACGATCTGCGAGAGAGCATCAAACGTGGGAGGGAGGTCAACTAGTGGAGACCGCGATGGCAAGAACCCTGTTGAGGTAGTCACCGTGAAAGGGTCAAGCCCAGCCGGTAGCTCCACCGGATCATGCTCGAGATAGGGAAATAGAGTAGCTAACGGTGGCAAAGGTGGATCGTCCTGAAGGTAGGCCATTTTTCACGTGACGAAAGGTCGAAATGTGCAGGTTGTGTCACTGACAGAACCTCGAGCTTGATATACCCCAGCGTGGCCGGAACCAAATCCGGCCAGGCAAATGAGAGAACAAGTCGTTACCTTTGAGATAGGAGAAGCCCGTGACACAACAGAGCCACCATCTCAACAAAGTAAAACGATCCCGACCTCACGCAAGACCTCCTCACCGCCTTCTGATGCCACCGTTCTTCATCGCAGGATGAATACAGTTGAAATGAGGCAACCTCGAGAGAGTCTTGGCATTGGAACCCAGACGGTCCTCTATTGTGTCTGTGCAAAAGCACGTTGCAAAAGCTGGATGCGCCTCGAACATGACTTGCTTGGCAGACGGCGGCATCGATTTGCTTATGAAGGAGATTCTCATGGATTGATGTGATGAAAGAAATGAGGCAGCCAGACTCAGAGTCATTGGTGGAGGTCAAATGGTGACTTGTGATTGGCCTGGCCGGAAAGGCTGCGCGAGTCATCCTGTGATACCCGTCAAAAACGTTGTAGACGGTACGTAAGCAGAATTGCGCTCTCCTCCTGGGGTGGAATCTGACTTGTGACTAAACTGTTTGTTGGAGCCATATCCCCATCACGTGGCGATGCGGCGGCCGCCATCGTCCCAAGCAATAGTCCTGATATCTACCTTCACATTGTAACGAAGCTTAGCCCAAGCGGCAGTCCCCGGATCCAAATTGTCGCAATTTGAAAGACCGATGTATTCAATGTGGTGGGACGATGCTTCCAAAAGATCCTTCACGAAACAGGCAGTAAGTAGACGAGCATCGCGCAGGATAAGCCTCCTTAGCCTAGGCATCTTCGAGAATATGAGCGCCTGCTCTTCTGTAAGTCGGTTGTCTTGCACATCCAGGGATTGGATGCTGTTCAGGTCCAGGCCGAGACAGCTCCACGAGATATCCCACGCATCCATTTGCGCCCTGAGATGGACAAGGTCTGGCAGATGCAGCTCCGGATTTGGCTTGTCTCCAGCACGAAACTGGTACTTCATGTTGGTGAAGGAGAGGTCTTTTAACGCGGTAGGGAGATCGATGGCCCTCGTCATCGCGCAGTTCTTCAAGTGCAGCTCCTCAAGCGAAGTCAGCTTTTCAAGCTCGTTGGGGATTTGGAAACCACAAAGGTTGAGGGAGCGCAAGTTCGGCAAGGCAAGATCCGCAATCCCAACTTGCGGTTGCAGTGAATTGGCCACGATCTGCAAATGTTCTAGTCCTGCATGTTGTTGACCGACTTCCCAGGTGTGGACCCAGTTCCGAACCGGCTCGTACGGACAACTGATTGTCAGGCGCTTCAGTCTATGACACCTGACTACAGTGTCTATCGCGTTCCGCAGGCTCGCAGATACCTCGAGAGATACCAGCTTTGGATCTTTTGGCAAGTGGCTGGGGATCAATGCAAGCTCGCGGCTGTCGGTGGCGTACGAAATGAGAGTATTTCTTTGCTGCCACGTCGGTAGCCGCACTTGCATGTCTTTGAGAGCAGGATCGGTAAGGTTGGTGAGGTAGGCAGACGATGGATACCCCGTCAATCGACGTAGGCAGGCTCTGAAGGCTGCGATAGTGACTTTGTTACGAGCTTTGGAGAAGTCTATCGTGTCGGTGATTAGCGGCTCTTTGCTCACAAATGACCGCCATCCCCTAGACACGCGTAGGATTGCTACCATCTGCCGATAGTCGAAGTGCTGAAGCACCATATTCGCTATCTCCAGCGGCAGCGAGGCAAAAGGATCGCACGGACGAGATGCCATCGTCTGTGCCACAGACAGAGCTTGGCATTTCTTCAAGCCAGATTGTAGCGAAGGATACAAGGCGTCCGAGGGAGAGACATGCTTCAGGCCGTGATGGTACCAACGGACAGCAGCCTGAGGTCGATTTGCGAGGCGCTCAATCTGCGCAGCACGAATGTAGCCACGACAGTCTTTGCGGTTCGCACGGATCACGGACTTCGCGACGTCGAGCGCGGGATCGACGGCTTTCAGTTTAACCATGGCACCAATCTGCAAGTCCAAGGCGAAGATACGGTCTTGCAACTTGGCGGCAGAGGCAGCAGCCGCTGCGAATGACTTAGAGGCTTCGTCATATCTCCCTTGCTGATATGCAGACTTCCCCTGTTGCACAAGGTCCGTAGCCGGCATCGCGGCTAGTATTCTAAGTGGGAATCAGCCGGGACGAGTGACGAAGGATCAGATGCGCTAGACGACGTGAACGCCGTACGGACGAGACGAGTCCGCTTGCTTTCGGTTGATGGATGGCGAGCTGTAGTAATCCTGGGCGTGATGCTGTGTATGCGATAAAGATCTCAGGCTCGGCAATGAGACGCGGGGAAAGTCGCGTCAGGCATCGGTCTTGGCGCGACTCTCGACGTCTTTTGTTTACTTCAGCCGATCGAGCAAGTCCCGCCTTCACCAACTGCAACTGCGGCGCAATGGCGTCCTCGAGCCTGCAAAGCGCTTCTAACTATCTCAACAACCTTCTTCTAGCGCGAGGACTTCTTCAAGATGGCCAAGCCATCGAGTTTGCGCGGCCAACGCAAAGCAGCGACTCAGACCAAACCATGGCCCGTGTCATCAATCTTGTTCACGAGCTCGTGCTCCGTCGCGATAGGGATGCCGAGCAACGCGAGTCTCTAGTATCGACGATCCGGATAATGCGCGCCGACGAGAACCGGAGAGTCCTCGATATGCAGAAGGTGCAAGATAAGAATGCCGAATTGACGCGCAATCTAACGACTGTCGAGGCGCAGCAACGGACGCTCAAGGCAGCAGTTCAGAAGGCCGAGGGCCAGGCGAAAGAGCTCAGGGAACAAATGCTGAAGATGAAGTCCACGCTGGACCAGGTTCGCGCCCGATGTGTCAGCGATGTCCGGAAGCGCGACGTGGAGCTTGAGAAGCTCAAAGGCCACCTTTCGAGCATGCAACGGGGGAAGCGAGAGGCCTCTGGCATGAAGATCAATACCATAAATCCGCAACCAGTCCGAGCGCGAGGTGGTAGTGCTCAGGACGTCAACAGCACAGGCTGGACTTTGGAGAAGGAGACCAACGACTTTTTAGCGGCCATTGTTAACGAGACGAGCACCGAGAACGTTGCTCTACGGAACCTAGTTGCCCGGACAATGGACACTCTCCGCGATCTGACTGGTATGGAACAAGAGGCAGAAGAGCAAGACAACGCCATAGGCATACCTGGACAATACCGTAACCGCCAATCCACCGATGACAGCATTGTGTCCTGCTCGACCCTCGAAACACACATGACTGCCATTTTGTCACACTGCCAGTCTATTCTCAAAGATCCATCCTTCGTGCCTATCGAGGAAGTACAAATACGAGAGGAGGAAATCATCAAGCTCCGCGTGGGCTGGGAAAAGATGGCTGGGCGCTGGAAAGCGGCGGTCACGATGATGAGTACTTGGCGACAGAAGATGCTGGAAGGAGACAGCATGAACGCACACGAACTCAGCGACTTGAGCTTCGGGAAGTCGGTCGCAATGCTGCCTAATGGACAGCCTGTGCTCGGCACCGAAGACGAAGAGCTCTCTAGCATGATGTACGACCACAAGAGCGAGCTCGCTGCTACCGAGGAAGTCGCAGATGGTGCCGAGGATCGCTTTGATGACGAAGACGACTCAGACCTCGACATACCTCCCGAACCATCACCAAAGCGTCTCGCCGCCTCGCCGGCCAGGAGAGGCATCAAACTCCCTGGAGTTCTACAAGAGGTTGGGAACACGAAAGCCGCCAAAGCGCCGAGCTCGTTCATCGATTCTCTGGACGGTATCCTGGACGAGAACACGCGACCGATACCTGTGTCCAAGTCTAAAATCCCTCGCCAGCCGTCCGTGAGTAATAGGAAACCATCACTCTCCGTGGCGGAGAAGCTGGCAGAAGTGGAAGCAGAGGCCAAGGCTGCGGAGGCGGAGAGAGCGCAAGAGGTCACACACAAGCGGAAGCCGAAGCCGAAACGGTCGGAGAAGAGCCGCAGGAGGAGCACGCTTAGTCCTGAGGAGTTGGCGCAGTTGATGGGCGTCAGGTAGTGTGTGTGCAGGAAACTGAGAGTACTGATAATGACGATGACTGATGCGAGATCAAGCAGGTGTACATCGAGATCAGTGCCGTGTAGCTTGAGTGACAACGGCTTGGTTTTGACGACCACTTCTTCCAAAATTCCGTGCGAGTATACATGTGGCCTCAAGCAAACGTGAAGATTATCGTTATTGAATGGGAATACATGCCAAGCCCGCACCGCTCTTAATTCTTATACATCTATCCTTTTCTCCCCCCTTCATTGGCCTGTGAAGTACGGGCTTCCCGTCACCGGCGCCTTATGCAACTTGAAGTACCCAGGCTGCAACTTCTGGAAAACCGCCTGCGGATCGTACTTCTTCCCGATGCTCTGCAGACGCTGCTGGTTGGCCTTGCCGTAGCTGCGGATCACGTCTTCGTAGAGGCTGGCGTAATTCATGTAGACGTAGTCGCTGTCCTTGCCGCGTTTCTTGGCCTCGGCCTTGATACGTCGCAGCACCTTGGTAATCATGGTGTAGACGGTGGCGTCGTCGGCCTCGTTCTGCCACCAGCACGCCACGTGGATCAGGTAAAGTGGCTTGTTGGGATCGGTGAGTCCCAAGGGGTTGCCGCCGTTCTTGCGCATGGCGGCGATCTGGCCAGACGTGATGCCTTGATACAGAAGCACGGGATTCGCGCCCGCGACATTGGCGGTGGCGGGGAGCTCCTCGAAGAAGATGTCTTTTGCGATCTCGGCTAGGGCCTGGTCGGCCTGGACGGTCAGGCCGTAGTACGTCTCGCGCAGGCCGTAAGGGTTGGAGGCGTCGAGCTCGGTGGCATACGCAGCGAGCTTCTTGGGCCCAGTGGTGTCGGAGATGGCGGTGAGGTTGTTGTACTCATTGAAAATGACAGCGCTGCCGCCGTTGGGGTTCCCATACCATAGCTCCGTGCTCGCTATCTTGGTGCCCTGGTTGGTAAGCCAAGCCACCCATTGCCCCGCGTTGGGGTCCTTGGGTGAGTTGGCGACGAGATTGGCGAAAGCTTTGGTCAGACCGGCGAACTGATCCTCGAGGTAGACGCGCCCACCGCCCCACATGGCATTGCCGGGCAGTTCGATCGCTTCGTAATGGAATGTGTGTACGATGCCAAAATTGTTACCGCCGCCGCGGAGCGCCCAATAAAGATCGGGATTCTGGGTGGGCGATGCCGTTGTTGTCAGGCCAGAGGCCAGGATTACATCGTAGGCGGCCACGTTGTCACAGGCCCAGCCATAGATGCCGCTGAAGAAGGAGATGCCGCCACCGGTAGTCAGTCCGCCGGTGCCAATGGGTGCAACACGGCCCCCAATTACAGCGAGGTCAGACTTGGCCAGCTCGGAGTAGACTCGAGCCCAGCGGTTGCCGCTGCCGATAGCCACGGTCTTCTTGTCGGAGGAGACCTTGATGCTATCAAGATTCTCGAGGGAAATGGTGATGCCGCCCTCGATGTTGGAGGCGCCTTTGAAAGCTGCATGGCCACCTGACTTGGCAGCAAAAGGGCAAGTGGTTAGGCGAGAGATGAGGATGGCTACCGAGACTGACTTTGTGTCGGGGGCTTTGAAGATGCAGTAAGGATTGACATTGGACTGCTGTTGAGCCCAGTAATTGTCTGTGAAGCTGTCATATGCTGCTTCACCGTCTCGAAACAGGTTGCTGGAATAGATGATGTCCAGGGAGGCGCACTGTGGTTCGGTTAGCCAAGGAGCTCGCGTGGCAGGCGGGCACATACTGCCACTGCACAAGCAGCATTAGATGAGCGAGACTGCAGGTCTGCTAGAGGCAGTTCTGTGATGTCCACTCCCTCCTCGATCAAAGCCTCGGTCACGTTGAAGTTTGCCGGCTCGGTTACCTGTGCCCAAGAACTAAATGCGAACGCCGCCACGAGGCAGCTGGCACGAAAAAGCATCGTCAGTGAAAGTAGTGTAAGGAGCGTGGCCAACAAACAACTTGGCAACACGAAGAGGAGAGCAAAACCCCAACGAGAGCTAGACGTCCAACAGCATCTGCAGGTGCCCTCCGCTGCAACATGTACTTGTGCAAATTCGAGGATTGGCCGAGGCAGGCCACGACGGCACAAACAAGGGCCAGGGTAGTGCGAGACAACTCATGTAGTCTCATCTTGCGTCCGGTCGAGAAGAGGAGCTTCGAAGCACCCAGCGATTTCGTTTAAAAGGCGACTCGCCGGCAAAATGTTGCTTCTGCAGGAACAAGAGATCTTGGACCAGGATGGTGGCGAGGATGTGCAAGGTCTGAGCAGAAGACATTGGTCGATGCAGCGGCATGGCTTCGGGATCGACCACGCCATGCGAAGCCACAGTGCATGGCTTACGGCGGTTGAAGGTATCTAGCTTGCACGATCATGTTTCTTTCTTTCGGATGCAGGCCTTGCAGTCAGTCCCCGTTCTCTGCCTACCCGTGGCTGGTGGCTGGTGGCGGACATCGAAGGATCAGCGTGGTATCCGGCGTTGCGACCTAGATACGCGTGGTTTTAAAGCGAGATGAGGAGAGGCGAAGGAAGTGCTCGTGACACGAACCACGACAGGCGGAAACTTGACAGGTGGAGCAGAGTGGAAACAGGGTTACGCGGTAGGGAACGGGCGGGAGGAGGCTCCGAGTTTGGGACGTTGAACCTTGCACCATAAACCCCTCCGCTGCGCCCGAGCTTCATCATGGTCAACTTCATTACTACCGTGTGCCGCATGGGCTGCGAGTCATGAACATAATCTCCTGAATCTGAAAAAAGTTGCTAAGCTGTCGATATATGTGTCTGCGACCAACCCCCAGTTGTGGCGTTCTTAGCCTGCGCCGTTCGAGGCAACATCCTCATCGGTGACCTGGTTCACACATTATCCGGAAGTCCAGCCTTTGCTGATGCTGCGTCTCAGGGAGGTATTTGCGACAGGTCTCTCCAGGGAAGCCGTCCTCATCGCCTGAGGGACCGAGACTATACGATCTGTTCTTGGAATCCAGTTATCAAAGGCACATGTCGGCATTGAGCCTCCCCCGTCAGGATGAAAATCCAGCCTGGTCTTCCACCCTGGCCATGCTCCGTGGCTTATAGCGTTCGATACCTTGCCATTCGCCTACTGCACGGCCTAGTCGCCAATTTGACCTAGTGGCAGGCTTCCGAATCCTCAGCTAATGTCCGGGAAGGTATAGTGTCCCCCTCCAGGAACAGTCCCTAGTCACGCCAATGCTACAGCAGGTGATGCGCATGCAACAGCAACAACGGTACTGGCATGCTTTCACGACTCGCTTAGATGCAGCACCGCTGAACGGGTTCTCCCTGCAGCACTGCAGAGTGATAGAAGTTGAGGGATACCATCTGCCAGCATGCTGCATTCTTCTCCCAACTGGTGAGCAATGGCAGGCAACTACGTGACTGAGGCCTCTGTGAGAGCCACTGGTATCTCTCTGGTGGCTTTGACGTCTTTGATCGCTGGCCTGCGGGTCGTGCTCGCCATTCAACAGCAGAAAGGCTTCCATTGGGACGATGGCTGGCTTCTTGCGGCCTACATCAGTTTCCTCGTCCTGAGTAGTCTCTACCTCATTGCTGCACCCATCATTTTCAGGATCGAACAAGTCGGCCAAGGGAAGTTGGAACCGTACCCGGATATCGCCCGTGATGGGCTTTTTATCCAGAAGATCTTTTTCGTCACCACCAGCGCCCTCTGGATGTCATGATGGTGCATCAAGTTCAGCTTGATGGCAGTATACAAGCGTTTGATGGCCGGTATTCCGCGCTACATCATGGTCTGGTGGGCCGTCATCATATTCTGCTTGCTGGTATGCCTGATCCTTCTCTTGTCAAAGGTATACTCACACGTACAGGTCCTCGCAGGTGCCATAACTTCCTCGATGCTCTCCTGCTCCAGCATGAAAGCCTGGTTCACAGCAGGCGCCTGCTCCACACCCCGTGATATCAAAGCAGCTACTATAAGCCTCTGGTACGCCTACGCCGTCGACATGGTAACCGATCTCATGAGTAAGTCCCCGGACATCAAGCTCCCGCCCACCCACCCAAGCTAACCCTCTCACAGTCATGTTCCTGCCCATCAAACTCATCTGGAACCTCCAAATGCCGCTCAGCCAAAAACTCTCCATCGGCGGCCTCTTCGCCCTGGGCTTCGTGTGCATCGCCGTAGCCACCATCCGCGTCAAGGAGCTCGGCAGCACCGTCAACAACAGCCAACCCTCAGCCACCTGGCTAGCCCTCTGGGGCATCGTCGAGTCCTCCATCGCCGTCATCATCGGCTGCGGGCCCGGCCTGTACCGCAAGGCCAAAGCCATCTACAAGACCCACACCAGCAGTGCCGGCGGCTACAACTCGCGAGGCTACGCTCGATACAACAGCCGCGGCAACGAGGGCGATGTCCTTGGCAGCAGCAGCCGGGGGAACGACATTCCGCTGTCCAAAACCTTCCGCACCACAACGGCCAGCTTTGGCCGGAGTCCAAGAAGCCATGATGATGCCGCTAGCAGTCAAGAGGAGCTCGCGGCTCCGATAAACTTGGACGGGCGTGGGATCATGGTCACCAAGTCGGTCACGGTGGGTGTGCAGGAAGAAAACGCCGAAAGCATGCGCTCCTGGGACCGCGGTGGGGATGGACGACCACATGCTTATTGACAGGGGACCTGCTCGGAACTTCACGACTGGCGCTGGCGGCACGTCCCTTACTTCCACGCTCTGCTTCGTGAGTATCGATACAGACTTACGCACGGCGCCGCATGAAGACGTCTCAAGTCGTCCAAGCTGCCCGAGCTGACGAATGGCCTGTGTTCATTGACGAGCTGGTTGCGGATTGGGATGCCTTGTACGAGGATACGAATGTGCGATAGATTGTTACCTGCCGAGAGCGTTCCTCATTCTTCTTCTTCGATCTCCATTGCCCTTAGACACCGGCGATGCGAGCAATGCCACGAGGGCCGCTTTGGATATCGGGAAAGCCTTGGAATAATACCAGCGACCTCAGACGAGCACCAAGTCCCTCCAAGCACCAACTCCTCCAGCACTGTCCAGCTCCGCCGTCACAGCTTCTCCGCGCATGACACCATGCACGTACGCCTCGCCGACAAGGCGATAGCGCTCGCCACAATCACCAGCACCAGCAGGCTCACCCACGGAAATTCCTGCTCGTTCAACATCGCCGTGTTTCTCTTCTTCCGCAGCTGCTTTCACAAGATGCCGCCTCACCACAAACGGCACCCTGGCCCCCATCACCACGAAACACTCATCTCCCATTTTCGTGACATGCGGTCCCACGCCCCAGAAGCCTCCATTGGTGATGAAGAAAGCCCGGCCCTTGCACGACAGGGACATGTCGTAAAGGAAGCGGTCGGCGCTGCCACTGCCGGTCCTGGGCAAGGTCTGCTGTTGTTGCTGCTCTGCCAGTTGGTCGTTAAGATTGTGGGGACATGAGGGCAGTGCGGAGGAATGCACCGTATTCTCCTGTAATTCTGCTGGCAACTCGCGCAGCCTGCGCAGCAGCCGCCCCCAGAACGCCTGAAAATCGGCACGGTGCGTGGGCAAATCGTCCTCGGCGCTCTCGTAGTTCGTCAGTCCGGCGGTAAGCGTGAGTGAGAGAGCGTCGAGACAATGGCCTGTATTGTCAGAAGTGGTGTACCTGACGCTGGTAAAGTGCGTTGAATCTTGCGTGGCGGCAAAGATGCGAGCCAGGAGCCGGGTGAGGTCAGTTCCGCTGGGCGTTCGCAGCTTTGCATCGACTTCGAGGACGGGCCAGTGGGCGTCGTCAGCGGAGAACTGGTACACTTGTGTGATGGTGTCGAGACGTATGGCTGAGATGGTGCACGTCGGGCCATCAAGCACGCATTTGCATGGCGGCTTTTCGAGAGGCTGCGTTTTGTTCTGGGGCGGTTCTGGCTCTGAGCCGGACGCTCGGTAATAGAAAGGGTGGTAGTAGCCGAACGAGCTCCAGACCAGATGGATGTTCCAGCGGACGACCCACGACGGAGTTGAGTCGTCTGCAAGGCTCACTTCATTATGCTCGGCTGCGGACAACACCTTCATACCCTCGTGGGAAAGCATCCATTCGGTCATGCGCCGGTAGACCTCCTCCAACGGCATGCTGTAGTCGGGACGAATGATGGGCCTGATGATGCCATCCTCGCCCTCCTGCTGGCACAACGGATGGCCCAGAAACGCGTACACGTGGTCGCGAGATTCATGGCAGCCAAGAGGTTTGGCGTGGCTGAGGAAATCCACAAGGGAATATCGATAGGTCTGTTGTTCCTGCCAGCCGGCAGACCAACGCTCCCAGTCCGTGTGAATCGTCTCGAGCGGTATACTCGAGCGGCTTTGCAGTTGGGATGCGCATCGCACAACCCACCGTGTGAGCTGCATCAATTGCCGGTAGTCGAGATCGAAGGAACCCAACAGAGCTCGCGGATCTCGAGCAACGCCGGCCTCTTGAATTACCCATGCTCTACTGAACCAAGGAAGACCCATGACTCGGGCTAAGGATCGCCATCGTACATCATCAAGAATGGGGTCATCCCTGGGAAGTACGGGCATCGCAGTTATGTCACCGTGGTAGGGAGTGCTGCGGACGACGTACTCCTCAATCAGCTCGTGCACATCCCTGCCAACGCTATCTTCAGCAGGGCCCAAATGGATCAGAACGTGGTCTGCAAGTCTGTACACGAGGTCCATGAAGGCGACATGGTGAGACTTTTCTCGGAGATTTCGCTGATTGATACAGACAGCATCTGCCCAGACCAGGCGAGGACGATCCAGGAGCCGCACTCGCCTGAGCGCCGCTTCGAGGCTGTGGGTGATGTTGAGGTCTTTACCGTTGCACTCAACAACAGCATGGTCGGCCTGTCCACCCCAGACATACGAGATAGCATCGTAATCTGGTGTGTGGCTCAGCTCATGGATTGACAGCCGAATTGATATGGGATCGGAGGTTGCACCCCTGGCGATCTCGACAAGGCGGATTGCATGGCCAATAGTCAGTTGTTGGTACAGTGGATGGCCCTCGTAGTCAAAGCTGAGACGCTTGAGCGGCGCGGGGCGGGCATCGCGTGTCTGAGATGGCGTGGCCGCGTTGGGCCTCACATCGGTTCGGCCTGGCTCCATGGAAAATGCTAAAGGAAGTGTATCACCGTCAGCTGGCTCTGCTCACGGACGGCAAGATGTTGGGTCCATCCGACATGGTCCTGGGTTAGAGCAGGAATCGCAAGTGCCCTCCTGAAAGAGCTGCAGTGTCACTGCCATTCCTGCGGCCTCTCTTGACGGGCGCTTGCAGCTGCCAGTTAAGCCAAGAATGATCAAAGGTTCGTATACACGTCTGCAGGCTGTAGCACGGTGGTCTGGACAGGCTTGTCATTTTCGTAGGCATCTTTGGTCCCCGCATTAGCGGCTTGGGTGCAGAAGTCTTCGCCATTAGGAGTCGCTGCGCAGGGCCTCCCAAGGTCTAGGAGCGTGAGCTCGTATCTGTGCTGCTTGCAGGATGCCAGAGCCACTAGGGCATCTTCTGACGATGTCAGCAACCGGCCCCCATAATGTTACAAATCTGCCCTTCGTCGCGCTCCTAGCGAGACACGTGCTCATAACTCGAGCTCTCCCATCGCAAGCTCCTTCGCAATCCCTTTCCGCAAAGTTGTCAGGACTACTCTGCCTACCTCCTCCACTGGCACCCCTCTGAAGGCTTCCCTCCAATCCCAGCCCCGCTGCATCTGCCTCACACCTTCACCCTTCCCGTCAACCAGCACCGCGCTCCCGTCACTGCGACCACCTCCACTGGTGCCACTTCCCATCATTTCACTACCCATGAGACTGAAGCTGAAGTTGCTGTCTTTGCCTGAGCTCATGCTCTTCTTCAGCATCGCTCTTGGACTTGGTGGCTGACTCCCACGATATTCACCAATGCTGGCACTTAGACATGCATCGGTCGCTTCTCGCACGCGCGCATTCACTGTCTCCAAGTCCTCGATCGCAGCAAGGAGCGCGTACATTTGCTCATTGGTGAAGCTACGATTGTCGTGGTCCTTGGCAAGTAGGGCTGTGGCCTCACCTAACAATGGCAGCAGTGCATCAGCTTGAATGGCGGTCTGGCGCTCGGCATCGTATAAGCCACCGTATATGCTGTCGGCGGCGCTGTTGACTGCGGCGACGATGGCCTTTGCGGCGACACGCTTACGGGCACGGAGATTAGGCCTCGATGTCTTGTTGCGCTGCGTCGAGTGCTCTTGATCACGTAAGACGAAAATACGGCGAACACAAGCGTAGCCTACGACGTAGAACTGGAGAATGCTGGCGGCTTCAGGGTCGGCATCGATTATGGCCGCAAAGGCGGATTTGGGAGTTTCAACTAGGCCACGAAGCGCTTCGTCGAGCTCGTTCTCTTCGGGGTAGGGACATGACTGCACGAGGCAGTAGGATATCAGCATCTCTGTGAGCTGCTGGATCCGCACAGCATTGTGAGATTTGGCGTAGCACAGCAGCGCGAGGCCGTACTGTGTGGTATTGTGAGCAAGATGATCTCCGAGCTTGTCAGACATAGCACGAGCCTCATCCATGAAGCGTAAATCGGTGCAGAGATTGATTATTTTCTCGGTCCGGGCTTGATCGGATACCGGAAGTTGATCCAGAAGCTCGTGGACGGAGTCGCGGGTGAGCTGCTCGTCGTCAAGACGACTGAGGATGGACAAAGATACTTCCCAGCCCTCCACCTCAATTACGCCGCTCGGATTCTCAGTGGCGAGTGATGAAAGGCCAAAGAGCGCAGCAGCATACTGCGTTAGTACGTCGTCTTTGGTAAGGTCGGGTTTGACTCCGCCATAACTAAGCACCATTAAGTCATCGAGATCGAATCCGGCGTTCGATCCGCTGCCGATCCACCCAGCGGTCGATGCGATTTCGGCGATGGCAGCTGCCACGCATTGAGATAGAACACGGGTCACCGTGAGAAAGCCGCTGACATTTCCCTGCAGAGCGCAGCCAAGAGCCACTTCAACAGGGGACAGAGAGTTGATAGGGAACGTGTTCTTGCCCTCCGGATCTGTAACGCAGAGGAATGCATCTCGTAGACGACTCAGGTACGAGGCCAACGGTGCGTCTTCCGGGGCTTGACTGACATCAAGTCGCCATTTCTGGATGCTTGAGTCGGAAGCACCATCCCACCAGATAGTCAGTGCGCATGCTGCCTCGAGCCAGTCTTGCGATTGCGCGATGGTCTCGTCTGCACCGCCACTGAGGATACTGTAGAGTACTCTGACGCCTTGATAGATACTCCACGGGAGATTTCTCGAGCGCTGAGATTTTCGCAGCAACTCACGTCTCGGCTTGTTGACACCAAAGTTCTCGGCTTCAAAATCGTCGTCGTCGTCTCCGCCCGAAGCAAGGTGACCAAGATTCTCGAGCTCGGCTTCGATGTTGCCGCGATAATTATTCCATTCTTCTGACGTAGTTTCCCAATCGCCCGTCATGCCCGGACAAGAGTTGATGACTTGTCTGGCGCGGAAGATAACACTTTGAATGGTCTGTAGCTGCGCACCGTGAAAGCCAGGGTCTTGCTCGCCATCATCCATTGCGGTTGCAGCGTATTGGAAATCTGCGTCGGCCAGTAGGCGCATCGCATCCTGCAGGCGGCCACGAAGCACCAGGGCCAGGACCGCATCCCAAAATAAATCATGAGCCGTGGGGTTTGGCTGCGCCGATGCCACTGAGCGAAGAAGAGGGTCGTATGAGACATGATGGTTGTTGAGCCAAGTCAGGATTACTCCAGGTATTGAAGATTCGCCCGGGTGATGAAGGTTGAGTATGAGAGAGGCGAGGTAGTTGGCTTTGTCGAAAGCAGCTGCAGATGCCGGTGGGCCTATGTCTGTGGTATCATGTCCAGTCGAGTCCGCGTTATTGCGCCAAAGGTTCAAAAGGTCCTTAACCTGTACATCGATCAACGACCGCATGCCATCTTCGTCCATATTCTGCTCCTTCTCATTGTGCAATTGTTGCAAAAACAGCTCCGTGTCCAGTAGGAGTGCATCGTCGTCTTCGAGGGGCGCAGCCTTTGCTCTTGATCCTAAATCGCGAGCAAGACCGGAAATAACAGCCGGTTGACCCTTGTTGGGTAAAGTAGAGTGTGAATTTGTAGATCGCTTGAAGACGGACCGGCTCTTGGATTGTCTTGCGCTGTTTGTGCTGAACTTCATTAATGATTGCACTGGTATCGGCTCATCCTCCTCGAAGCCATCGCGCTCAGTGGATTCAGAACCTCTTGACGTGGCGTAAGAAGAGTGAAAGTCATTGCTTCTCGGCGATGGCCTGGCGTTTCGTTGCGGCGGCGGAGCATGTCGGGTGCTTTTGCTTGCTGTTGAAGGAGTCTGCTTGCCAAAGAGAGTGTTACTTTTGCCTGAGCCGAATCGAGAGCTGCCGAAAACTGTTGAAGGAGGTGGCACAAGCGGAGTGGTGCTTGAAATATTCGGCTCGTTGAAGAACAGGTCTCGACGGCGAGGGGGAGTTTGCGCGGGACTCGAAGAGAAGTCGGCAGAGAACTGATTCATGGTTATCGTGGACCTAGAACGAGCGAGCGATTACGAAGCCGAGCAAAAAGGTGTATACAGCGCGCCGCGCAGTGCATCGTTCCATCAACATGGACGTCGCGTGCCGGGACCGGCGGAACGTGTCACCGGAAGCTGCCCGCCGCATGTCAGTTTCACGAAACAACATTCTTAATGTATGTCTGACTGTGAAGTGGCACACTCGATCGCGTACAACATCGATTCATTACTTTCATTTCCCCATCAAGGTCTACAGACTGTACAGTGGCGACTCGTGAACGCTTCACGACCACTGCTTAGTCGATGTTGGCCTAGAGTCCTCAAGTCCGCCCCCATCCGAAGGTGTGGTTGCACCCATCCGCATGTTCGCCGATTCCTTGCTCGCCGGTGCTTCGAGATCTATCATGTTGTTAAGGCCTGTTTCTCCCGTTTGTGTGGAGCCGATAGGGGAGGGTCCCCGGTCTGACAATCTCGGTCCTCGGTTGCTGCTAACCACTCTTCGCCCATGAGGATGCTCTGACCGTTGCATGGTGCTGGGGTATGTCGTCGACTTGAACCATGTGGGCAGGAGTCTGGCGAAGACCACTTTGGCCGCCGGCAAACAGGCACAGATTATGCCGACTTCAGTCTCCACCACAGACCACATGATGGATCCCCAGTAGTCCCAAGTGATGTTCGTGGCGTTTCGAAGGGGGAACAGAGCGACGAGCCTCAGAAGAGAGATGATCGTCACGATAAGTCCAAAACTGAACATGACCAGAATATGAAACTTCTGTCTCCAAAAATATGTGGTGTGTAGCCTGAAGAGGATTGGCAACGGCAGAATCAGAATGATCAGGTCCAAGATCATGTTCAGTGCGGCGTGCGCGGCGATTCCAGCGTAGACGTTGATGCACTGTCCTTCTTTCTGGTCATCCCATCTGTGCCAAGCATAGTTGATGGGTCGACACTGGAATATCAGCGGCAGAATGAACGCAGTGCAGAAGGCAATGCAGATCCCCATCATCACCTGTGTTGCTAGCCGAAAGTTGCGATTGGGGAACACGCGGAGGAAAAAGATGAGCAATGCTAGCTTGGTTGCGACTGTCGATAGCAGGTAGAAGATCTCGGCGAGGTAGAACAGGCGCAGCAAATTCGTGATGTCGTCAAATGGTATCGTCCAGATATCCTTCCCAATCCCGTACTTGTAAAAATAGCCGTCCATGATGGCGACGGGCAGTCCTATGGCCCAAGCAAAAACAACAGCTGCGTCATCCCAGCCCCACAGGTCGCCCTTGTCAGGCCGCCGTGCAAGGCCACGAAGGCCCACGAAGGCCAGCGCCAGGCCTGTAAGCGCAGGGCCAACGATAGCTACCTCCAGTCCCCGATCACGTACAGCCCGTTTGCAGGTAGTAGCGGAGACATTCTGTGCCGCTGCACTTGTCAGCATGTCGCAGAGTGGTGGGAAGAACCATACTGAGGGCTTCACGGGTTGTGCAGTTGTCCAGAACGCAGCCGAGAGCATCTGCCCAGAGCTGGTCACTTGCACATATGCAATCTATGTCAGTGACAGAACAGTTGGTCGAGGGCAAGATGTCCAGAACGCATGTCAACTACAGGCGTTAGATGCGGAATGAACGCGGGTGGTTGCCTGACTCACCGCGCATGTTGGGAGTTGGGTAGCGAGCTCAAATTGGGCATTGACGGCTACCAGAAGTGCCAGCAGAGGCCAGAGAAGCCTCATGACCGCAGAGAGGAAGCGAGAAGTTGCGATCACTCGTCACGAGTAACACATGGCGAATGATCGGGCTTTTGTCTCTGCGAGCCTAAGCATGGAAGACTATGCCGTCATCTTTGCTGTTGAAGGATCATTTCGAACTTCGCCGTTGAAAGGTTGATTGGCATGGCCTAAGTGAACGGTCTAGACAGCTTTCACGACTCGGAAATGCAAGTCGTGTCCGAATTCGTCCTCGATATCTGCAGAGCAGTCTCGGTAATGGACTATAGGAAGCAAGTGTACAGGGTTGCCCCCGCCATTTCACGGAACAGTCTGATCGGCAAGGAGTGAGAGTCTTCGAGGTGACCTATCATAGATCCCATCGTGAACAGAGTTCCAGTATAAAGTCGATGAATCTGGCGACTAGCTGCAGCTTTGAGAGACTGACAGCAGTGTGGGCGTTATGCGCCGTGCCAAGATTGACTTTTCGGAGACCCGTATAGTACATGCAAGGGGTCGTTCGCGGCCTGCATTCAGACTTGACTTGCATGCTGGGGCGTCTCCTCCCGATATTGTTTCAGTGGCGGAAACAGCAAGTCAGAGGCAACAGAAGTGCTTCTCAGGATGAGAGCTCCTTAGCAACGGATTCTCAAGATATCATATCATAGAGCAACTACACTCGACGAGACCGAGGTGGGGCCAAACACTGTCAGAAACCTAACACTAGTCTACCCCAAACTAGCCCCGTGGCGCGTCCATGTTGTGGCGACTCGCTTGAATGTCCATCAATGGCTCCCTGTATCTGCTCGCGTAGAGGGAGCCTAGGTTAGACCTGGGCGGTGCTAGACACTTTGTTCTGTGAACAAGATTCTTTGGCTCGGACCGAGATGCTTTGCTTCATGTTGGCGACCAGGCGTCCTCATGCAGAGCCCTTCAGGCGATGGCTTTGACGACTCGGCGAATGGTATCCTCCAGACTCTCCTTCGGAAGACCCAGCCGATCGTTCCACAGTCCCCGAGTTGCCGAGAAATTGTTCAGTCCATCTAAATTGAAGACTTCACAAGTGATCAGGTCGACAGTGCCTTTTATATACGGACTTCCGGCTACGTTCTCGAACTCGCCCTTCGCCATCTCTTCGCGAGCAGCTTCAGCAACCTGGGCGCCGTTGACGCGCTGGATCTCGAGCTTACTACCCAACGCTTTCTCCAGTTCAGCAATGACTTGGTTCTGGCTCACCGTGAAGCTGTTGATGTAGATGTATGTGTTGCTTGTCTCGTCGTAGTGCTCTGTAGACAGACAAGCGGTGACTGCATTTGCAATCTGACCGATATTGGTGCCTTCCCATAGCTGATCACCACTATCGTGGACCTTGACCGATCGAGTCCGCAGATTCCAGCCCATGCCCCCACCAATCAGGACCCAGTCAAAGTAACCGCCATTAATGACACCAGTCCAGGAGATCTTGCCTTCCTTGGTCTTCAGATAGCCAATGATCCGCGCCTTCTCGCCGGCGGGTGGTAGTAACTCCATAATCCTTGGGTCTGAGGTGTCAATGCCATACTCGGAAGGAATGAAGCGCTTGACACCAGCTGCAATCATGGCATCGATAATTTTGATCTGTTCAGTGACCGAAAAGGTCGCAATCGTCGACACAACGGCGTCTTGTCCTTGGAAGGCTCGAGTCAGCGAAGGGATGGTGTAGTCAGACTTCACAACCTGGACATTGTCGGCAAAGGTTGTTTTGGACGTTTCGCGAGTGAGTGCCGACACGGTGAAGCCCGCAGCTAGCAAACTGTCGACTATGTGCACTCCAGTGTTGCCGGATGCACCCACCACCATGACGGTTTTGATCGGTGGAGAGGACATCGTGGATGGTGTAAGTAGTTTTGATGATAGTGGGAGATGTTGTTTTCGGTCTCTGCGTGCTCCGAAACTACCGTCTTCAAGTGCCCGGACGTCCATTCTTATACCATCGTGGCCGGTAATACATCATCGCAGTGCAGAGCATGGGTGTCAGTAATCAAGCCGTATAGCCCAAAAGAGGCGGCCCACTTCCGGCCGTAGTATGCCAAGCCACTACCATACGAAATCCAGCCATTGACTCACATGGTTCTTGAGATCTGTATGCTCAGGGCGTATACAAGTTTGTCAGGAATGGTGATAGACGACAGCGATGTTGATTAAACAACAACTCACATGCAAAGCCGTCAGTATATGAAATCACATACCTGAAATTGGGGTTTTTGATTAGTTGCGATGCCTCAGCAAGATTTCTAGCGCCAGTGACCGAACCCCGAATCTCGTGCTATCAAGGAACAGGTTTCTCTTCGTCCGGGCTCATATCCGAAGGACCTCGGGTCGAACATGTCTTGAGCGCTCGCACAATCCAAGAGCAAGCTCATGACTCGGTTTTTGGGCGCTCCAGCAGCTTGCTTACAAATGAAAGCAGCAAAGTTGGTGTATTTCGGCACTCACGACATGCGTTGGACAGGCATCGGCGCTGAGGACAGAGATGAAGCTCCCTGGACGCCGTCATTGTTGTTGCTCGAGTCCAAGTTGAGGAGAGGACTCGGGTAGGGAGACGTCAGGGGAAGGCCGACGCGAATGACTCATGACTTCCTGCGTTCCTCAGATCATCGAGTCATGCCCCTCGACTCTGTCAACGTTCTGTCGGCGCTTCTGCTATCACGTTCTCACTGATGCACATGCTTGGATCTGCCGCACAGCCACCTATCGGTAGAGACTGAACCTGCTGCATCCGCCGCTCTCGAGTTTCGTTACGACAAAGTGAGGCTATAAGTGCTTCACCACACAGATCGAACAACGAACGGATCGAACAACTGGTCAAGCAGCGTCTTGCAAAGCTACGGAAAATGGTCTTGACGCCATAAGCAGCTCAAGAGCAAGTTCAAAACGGGTGAATGGACTGTGGTCGTTGATACTAATGATTGTTTGCCCGCCTTCGACGCTCACGCGTCGGTGTTTCAGTGAAACTCGGCCATTTGGGCCCTCCCTTCCATTGCCGAGAGCCAAGGAACTCGACGACTGACCCAGAGTTCTGCTTGCGGGTCTGTCGCTTTGAATACAGCGTCGTCGTCGAGCGAGCCCGCCTGAACGATCACAATGCCTTTGAAGTCCTCCGCATCACCGATCTTCGAGATGGTACAACCACAGGTTGCACAGAAAGAGTAGGTGAGCATCATTCCACTGTCTTGCTTCGTCGAATATGTCTTCGGCGAGCCTACGGTGACCTTGTATGCTTTTTCAGGGACCAGAATATTCGTGGTGTATGTGCTTCCACTCAGTCGTCGGCAAGTGAGACAATGGCAGAGCGCCTTGTACATCAGTGACCACTCCGCTGGGGCTGGATGGCCTCACCTTCTGAAGTGGTTCGCCCTGATACTCGTATCGCAGCTCACCACACATGCATCGTCCAGACGTCATTTTGCTGCTGTTAGATCGTGCGGTATGCTTCTCGTCGGCAGAGCCTGAGGTGGGTGAACAAAACGTGGAGAGGTGACTGGTGATATTTATACGGTATCATCTCACTATGGCTGCCTCATGTCGGCCGCGGTCACAAGCTGATCAAGGACAGTTCTAGATCTGACTGAAAATCCGAAGTGTTACTCCCGGAGCGGGCCAATCGCGTTCACGCAACTCGCCCTGTTCAGGCTTTGGGGACATGAGAACTGCCCATCTCGTTTTGACTGTCTGCTCACGTTGCCTCTCTAGGCAGACCACATTTCAGCCCCGCACGGGTACGAAGTGAACATCGTGTAAGCAGTAGCTGACAAGGATGCTGAAATCGCAAACAGAGAACGCCTGATACCTTCACACCTCCAGTAGAACTCGTGATATGTCTGCCAAGATCATGCCCGCCTGACGCCGGTAAACGACCCTTCGAGGAATCCATCCTCACGCCCTTGCGAGCTGCCAATTGTGACGACTGCTGGAATAGACCTTTCTAAGAGTGTTTCACGAGGTCAGGCTACCAGAGTCATGTCAATTAGGTACAGACCAGCAGCATAAATTGGCCTTTCCGCACTTCTAGAAAGGCGGCCAATCCTCACTTTCTACCACTCCTCCAAATGTCGCCAGCAGCAACCACCTCTGACGTCGAAGCCATCTTCCGCTTCAACGACCCAGATCCTGACATCACTGCGGAGGATCGTGCATTGTTTGCCATCGCTGCGGCTAAGACCGTAACAGAGAAGAAGCTGACTCTACACGACCTCCGCACAGCCAATCATCTCCCCTCGGACTCAGAGTGTCTCCATAAGCATGGCTTCACTGTGGTCCGCAATTCAGTCGACACGAACGCCTGGTCTTCAGCTGAAAACATCGACAGCATCTACATCCCAGCCATAAGCAGCCTGTTGAAGGATTTAACTGGCTGTAAGACCGTCCTCGTGAACAACGTTGCGTTCCGTCGCAAGCGTGTCAAACAACAAGCCGACCCCAAATTCTACCACAAGCCAGGTGGCATGCTGGATACTTTGGCCAAATCCATGCCCACCGACCGGCCATTCAGTGCGTTCAAGCGGGCTCGTGATTCGCTATCCAACTGACCCACACTAGTCACACCCTTCGAGGTCGAAAAGACCATCGAGCCAGCCCGCGGCATCCACGTCGACTACACACTCACTGGTTTGCGCAACACGATCCGACACTGCCGAGCAGATTTTGCCGAAGCTGGCGCCGAGCACCTCCGCGCACTGGATGACAACAGCCCGACACGGGGCCCTAGGGTAGCCGCATTCAGCATCTGGCGCCCACTGAAGACAGTAACTCGAGACCCGATCGCCGTACTCGACTACAAGACGGCTACGCCTTCGAGGTGGAAGACATTCGAGTACCGCAGCCCGGGCTACAAGGGAGAGTTTCTGCTCGAGGCCACGGCAGTGAACGCGCCGGACGAAGACGAAGCGGATGAGCCAAAGTTCTACTACGTTTCTGAGCAGAGACCCGACGAGGTCATGATCATCAAGTTTGCGGACTCGGAGAGTGAGATTGACTCGGACGTGGCGGCGGGGTGTGGGCATGGAAGTCCGGCGATCGTGGGTCAGTATGGGGAGACGAGGGAGAGTATTGAGGCTAGGGTGTTGGCTTTCTGGTAGTGGAGCACTGGGGAAGACGAGAGTCAGCGTAGATGAGCCGGCTGTAGTCTTGTTAGATCTTGCTGAGACCGATCTGGGCGCCGACGAATATATTTGTGCTTCTGGCGGCGGATAGCCTGTAATCACGATTGTTCGCATAGCCACGACGTAACCCTGTCGGCTGCATCGCATGTGACGTGTACTACGGAAGGAGTATTGTGCATCTTTCGGGGATGCGACTGAGTTAGTCAGAACCGAATTCTTTGTTTTCAAGGCATATAACTGCCTTGGACATGACGATGCTCCTATTACGGTCGCCAACGCTTGCGCTTAGGTCACCAGTGCGGCTTGGCATGTGTACGAACTGCGAGGTACGCCTTCGTATGGCGCATACGATCGGCAACAAGCATAGAGTCTTTCAATTTTGCAAGAGTCCTGGCCCCCGTATATCCTTGCGGAAGGCCCCTGACGGACGACAGCTAGCCTCGGCGAGTACGAATGATTGTCCATGGTTATTGACCTATTGACCAATTTCAACTAAGCAAACTCAATCGTCAACATCTCGCGGATCATGCGTGTCCCAATAAGCCTTGTACTCATCCCAAGGCTGGGTTACAAAGTCTTCTGGACACGTCAGAGGCGCCAACGGGAACTTTTCCTTCTCGAACTTTGCCAACCTATCCTTTGTGCGCTGCCGGCTCTTGTTGATGCTGTAAACGCTGATGCGGTGGGCGGAGCTTGTAACATGCAGGCCCCAATTCCAGGCAGCCCGCACGGTCAACGGTTGAGTGTTCAAGCTGTTGTCCCAGGTCCTGCAGACAATCTCTACCCAGCCTTCAACATCACAAGGTAGGTCAAATTCCCATGTACGCCAGGTCCATTTATGTTTCTTGCTCAGATTCTCTGGCGGTATGGCATACCAGCTGAAGCCCCCGTCGGCAGACAGCTCGACCCGCTCAGGCCATCGACCACCGCCAGAGTAGGCCCAGCCTTTGCAGTGAATTTTGCCATTATGGATGATAACTTGGCGAGTCCATGGGTACATAATGGCCGAGCTGACTGGCATTTCCTGGATCTGTATACCATCCGTTGGCTTTTGATTATGCTTGCCAACCTGTTGTGGGAAGTACAAGTACTCTTTGCTCTGGACCGGAGCCATGGTAGGCTGTTTGATGGCTTTGATGCGATACAGCCATTTGACGCTTCGGGCTCCGATGTAGCCAAACACGACGACTCTCAGAGGATAACCATGGATCTTTGGGAGTGGTTCGCCATTCATCTCCCATGCAAGCATGACTTCATTGGCTTTGACCTTTGACCAAGGGACGCTGACAAGGTAATTCATGGCTTCACTAGCCTTGAAATAGGTCTCGGCGCCATATAGCTCAAGATGCTTGGCGCCGTCCTTGAGACCACCACAATCTTTGATGACCTTCTTCAAGCTGATGCCAACATAGTTGGCAGTGCCGATGGCTCCTTCAGCCCATGGGGCTTGGGGCACTTCGTCACCCTGCCCAGCGTAAAGTTCAATCTGCTCAACCCGGCGAGTACCCGAGCATTGGATAGTGATGAGCTTCTCCATGCGAGGGAATTTGGAATCGTCCATCAGATCGGCCAGGCTGTATGTTCTCGGGTTGTTGACGAGGCCGTCCATCTGTAGGCTCCACTTGTCTTTGTCAATCCTGGGAATGCCACCATGGTTACGAACAAAGTGCAGGTCGTTTGGAGTGATGGCTTTCGCAGTCACCAGCCTTTTTGGCGGCTCACCATTGTACGGGAACTGCAGAAGATGAAGCATGTCCGGATGCTTCTCTTTAAGAACAGTCTCCCAGGAGTCCTCAGGGACGGTGCTGAGCTCTCCGCCAACAGCATGGTGCCACATCTTCCAGTGAGTTCCAGGAAGAACCGGGTTTGTACCTGGAATGGGGCCCCATTGGAATTCCGCGTTAGGAGGAAACGTTTCTGAGGTCAAGATGGCATGTGCCTTTTTCTTTTTTTCTGGATAGTTCTCCCACTCGACATACCTTGAGGCGTCAGCAGGAACATAGGATCTCGGTGCGACTCACCCTTGCCAGCCTTCTTTCTCACGCTGGAACAGCTCATTGCGGTCACCCACAGCCTTGATGGCCTCCTCATCCTTGGTAAGTTCCGGCCATACGACAGGCTGGATGTCTTCGGTTTGCGGAGCTGTCTGATCAAGGATTGGCAGCTGTGCTGCGGACAATCCTTGTTCAATCTTCCACTCGTCGGGGCGATTGGTCACAGAGGAGTGTAGCACAACATTGGAGGTTACCATCTTGCTGAATGACACTAGATCAGTGAGTGAAGCTCCGAATGGACGGGTACATCGGTGGCTCTTATGGCAACTTGTGGAGAGTCAATCTCCTGTCCCTTACGATAGGAGAACGTTCTCTCTTCAGTGGCTGCTGCATGATGCAATGGAAGCTGGCCCGCATCCCATGCTTCCTGAATGCCACCCTGCTTCTCGCACGACCTGACAGCAAATCGCGGTGCAGTATGTGGAATGACCACAGGACCTGGCAACGCTGGTTGGTGGCTCACCAATGCAGGTGCTCGTTTCTGAGTTCAGATTGCGTATATTACACAGCTGTACAAGGATCATGGCGGAAGGGCACCTGAATCCGTCTTGTCAGTTATGATGTCTCATGCTCCTGCGATCGTTCGCACGAAGTGTTCAAGGATTCATGAAATGCGATTGGCCCAACTTCAATGCGAGTCAGCAAGGCGCGCTTGAACTTGACTTTCAATCCCTGTCAACGGACCAGCCTTTACCCAAAATCTATTGGATCAGCTGGATCAGTTTGTTTGCGAAGCAAGATGGGTCAACTCTGGCTAAGACAGTTGGCAAAGCAGTTAAAAGCTGCTTGACTATCCCGGGGAAACCTCCGAAGTATAGACTCACTGTTTACGGACCCTCACAAGAGCTTCGTCTTTGCACAGTTGTCACATTTCAACAGCATCGCTGCCATGTCTGTCGAGAACGGTGAAACACCTAAGCTCTACACTTTGGCAGAGGGACTGCCTCAGGCTAGCGAGTCTACGATCGAGACACTCCAGACGGGTAGTGGCGGTGGATACGTGCTCCTGACAAGCACACAGCTCACTGAGAATCTTGCTCATTTCTCTCGCGAGCGCATTCCTGAGCGCAGTGTACATGCCAAGGCAGCCGGAGCAAGAGGCCATTTCGAAGTTACCGACGACGTCAGTGATCTCACGGATGCCGACTTTCTGACAGGAGTTGGGAAGAAGACGGAGGTTCTTGCCCGTATATCGACAGTTGGTCCTGCACGAGGCTCTGCGGATACTGTGAGAGACTTCCGAGGCTGTGCCATCAAGTTCAAGACCAGTGAAGGTAACAATGACTGGGTCTTCAACAACCAGGTAGGTAGAGTGGACTGGGGATTGTGTTTGAGGCAGCGCTAACCATGTTGCAGCCTGTGTTCTTCGTACGGGATCCTGTCAAATTCTCATCGATGAATCGGAGCCACAAACCTGACCCCATGACCAACACCATGAACTCCGACATGTTCTGGGATTTCCATACCAACAATCAGGAAGGGATTCACGCGTTGATGTTTCTGTTTGGAGACCGAGGCATACCATCCTCGGTTCGCCATCTTAACATGTACTCTGGCAACACGTACACCTTCACGAAGGCTGATGGATCTTATCGATTTGTCCGTATTCACATCCTGACCAACCAAGGCATCAAGTATCTTACCAACCCAGAAGCTGCCAAGCTTGCTGGTACGAACCCCGATTATCACCTCGAGGATCTGTTCCAGGCGATTCGAAAGGGCGAGTTTCCCTCGTGGAATGTTTGTGTACAAGTGATCAACCCCGAAGACATCGGGAGCGCACCGATGAGCGTCTTTGACATGACCAAGATCTGGCCACACAGACAATATCCCCTGCGGAAGATTGGAGTCATGACTTTGGACACCAACCCTAAGAACTGGTTTGCCGAAATCGAGCAAGCAGCGTTCAGCCCGAGCAGCATGGTCAGAGGCATAGCGCCGAGCCCGGACATAATGCTCCAGGCCCGGATGTTCGCGTATCCCGATGCTTCGAGGTATCGTATTGGGGTCAACTACCAGTTCCTCCCGACCAATGCAGCTGTGAGTGAGGTTCACTGTCCGATCGAACGCGACGGCTTCATGAACTTTACCGCCAACTACGGGGACGACCCCAACTATATCGGGAGCGCCATCAAACCGCTCAAGTTCAAGTCTGGCAAGGATGCCGTGAAGTTGGCGGAGGTCAAAGGCTCCCGGACTCTTGACCAAACGGACAACGGCGCACCGATATCCTATACATCAGAGGTTACAGACAAGGACTTCGAGCAGGCAACTGCTCTGTGGAATCTGTTGGCCAAACAGGATGGTGCTCAGCAAAGGTTCGTGAACAATGTTGCAGCACACATTGCTGGCGTTCAGCGGAAATGGCTCAGAGACGCGGCTTTCGGTAAGTCAACCCCAATAAGCTCCTGTGGTACTCCTGTTAACGCGCTGTAGCAATGTTCAGGCGAGTGGACAAAGACCTGGGCGATAGGATTGAGAAGACGACAGAGGGCAAGATCAGTAACCAGCACGAGCATCCGCACAAGACGGCCTGGCATTGATGCTCGGGAAGGCTTGCATGCAGGTATCCAACAACGGCGTCTCCCGATGGACAAGGGTGTTTTGGAGCTTGTCGATTGCTTGCCCTCAGCTTCAAGTGGCCCGTTGTTCCTCTTGGTGAAAGGTCGTGCGAGACTTCGTGCGAAGCGGGGTAAATTTGTTCAAGACCCCGGCCGGCTCAGCTGTTGTGGGTACGTAAGCACAGCCTATCGGCCGCCATGGAACGTTGGCGCGCACTAGGCGTGCATTGCATTGCGCGAACCGAAAGTCTGGGGGAGCAAAGTCCCTGTATGCCGGCGGAAGTCTTGAATAGGACCCCCCAGTCCATGTCGCTGCGAGAGACTATCTTACTTTTACTCAGTGCAATAGGCTTCTGCTTCATGAGGAAGTCAGAGGGGTAAGCAGCTGAGAGCAGCCCCTCACTCTAGCCTCGAATTTGCATCCTGCTAAACGCAAATTAACTGATGTCGAAGTCACCACATATTGATATGACTTCTGATCAACGGGTCAGATGCCGTAACTAGCGATGAGGCTTTACGTGAACGGCCTGGGCTCTCATGGTGTGTCTCTCTCTATCTGGTGCCTTGCACCCCAGACATGATTTCAGGCTTCCAGAGCAGAGCTATACCATTGGTACAACCGTACATGCTGCCGTCACTCTGACTCAACCCCACCTCCAAACTCATTGCTTATTACGATGCTTCTCCTTGGAGAACCTATCCTTCAACTTGTCAAAGAACTTGCCCACCCCACCCTCCGTTTGATCCGAGGCCCTCCCCGATCCCAAACCGTAATCGGTCGTGCTGTCGTTCGGAGCGATTCCTTCGTTCACGCCCATACCTTGCTCAGGAGCGCCCGTGTTGTAGCCCTCCGATTGCCCCATGCCCTGCTCAGGGGCGCCAGTCTGGTACCCTTCGGACGCGCCCATGCCTTGCTCGACGGCGCCAGTCTGGTAGCCGCCCTCTGAGGCGCCCATGCCAGACTCGGGTGCGGCGACGGCATCGGTGCCGCGGCCGGAGCCCATGCCCGATTCGTAATTTGATGCCATGTTATTGTTTATGATACTGATGTTACTGAGATGGTGGAAGTTTAGCGTGCTGTTTCGCGGTATGGGCGTGGTGACCAACTGACCTCGTCAATTGGTGCTAGCGAATGTCTTGTTGAAGCCTCTTGGCCGCCCTCTGCACCCGGGCGCCTTTATGTCTATTTTGGCCGTGCCTGTGTATGATGTAGCAAGGAGAGTTCGAGCATGACGACTGCGGGGACGCTTTGAAGATCGTCTGCAGCTGCTCATGCGCCAGGTGGGAGCCGCTGCGGGATGAGGTGATTGAAGTAATCTGCGTAAGGGGTGACTTGCTGCATCACTCAAGGCCAGGCAGGCCGGGCAGTCCGGGTCTTCCTGGGGCCAGGGATGAGAGCTCAATCATAGAGCTACGCACGGATTTGGCGAAAAGGTTCGAGGATGCGGTACAGGCAGGAGCTGGTTCACCAGCACTCGTACGAGGCTGCGGACGGCTTATTGTTTCCCCAGCCTATGTGTCGTAGCCTTATGTCGTAGCCCTTCTGCAATGTTGAAAGTCTTCTGGCTATCTGCTACTGTTCAAATGAACGATGTCGTTGTCGGTGGAACTTCCCACGGCGGTATCTCATGCCTATCGTTCGGGCGATACGGTATGCGGCACGGTCACCCTTGGCGTCGACCATGGAGGCATGATCGAATCTGTGGCTATCATCTTGTCCGGTTGCACAAGCACCAATGCGTGCCCTGTATCTGGAAACATCGCATCCAGGCCGACAGCATCTCAATCCAAATGTCTTCTCTTTCGTCAGCACATTCTGCTGCGAGGTCCAGGTTGGTGCCAGAAGGGCACATCAGCTTGGCCATTCACGTTCACGATACCGCAACACAGCTCGTTCGAGCTGGCGGAAGACTCCAATCCGCATCCCACTGGAAATTCGCCCTGGAGGTCGGCTTGGGATGCCGAGAGCTATCCCCTTCCGCCGAGCATGAGATATATCGGAAGCTTTAGCTGCTCAGTCGAGTATACGTTGTTGGCTCGCGTCATTCGCCCACCTCAGGCGCATCTTTTCGGCAACGAAGACCTGACTGTTCGCCTCCCGATCCGATTCCGTCCCCAAGCACCCCTGGGCTCGTCACTTCCGCCCGCAGCACTTGAAGAAGCGTCCGTGTTCTATCTCAAGATCCCACTCAAGCAAAGACAGTCAGCTGCAATGAAGATCATGGGGGGGCGAGGTCATACAGACAAAGCAGTTCTGGAAGATCGCCGTTCTGAGGATGTCGTAGTCTTCGGTGTCAACGTACCAGTGAGACTAAACGTGCGGAATTGGGCGGCGAATATAGTGTCAGTCTTCGCCACTAGCACCATCCCATCACCAGAAAAGCAGCAACTCTTCGTGAAGAACTATCGTCTGCAACTCATGATTCATACCAAAGTCCGCGCAGGAGGACTCCCATACTCGAAAGTAGACACGATAGTGCTTGCAGAAGGAAGTCTGGCAGTTCCTGTCAAGGCAGAGCACAGATGCGTCACCGATGCCAACGACGGTCTGCACCACAGCACGGACAGTCCGACAGCGATATCGTTCCTGAATGTGCACCGAGAAGTCCGAGACTTGCCACCAGAGTTCTCCTCATCCAGTATCTTCAGAGCCTACACCTTGAGCTTCAGATCGCAGCTCCGCTTCGGCGACATCAAATCGACCTTTGACCAAAGCCAGATTCCTATCAGCCTGGTGGACGGAGAGGACCGAGAACGAAGACCCTCTCTGATGACCGTCGATCCACACGAAGCACCTCCATCATATGAAGGAAGATCGCATTGATTTGCCGTGGTACTTTGACCGCGCAAGGGGATTCGACATTGAACGAACTCTATGGGCGACAGGCCCTCGCACGAAGCAGGGTCCGGAATCACCCCTAACCATAACGGGAGCAGAATCCCTGCATAGGCTTTCGAACGGCGGCTTGGGCGTCCCCTTCTTGGCAGCGCGGCATCGGAATTGAATAAGCACCAGCTGAAGACCTTTTGTCCTCCTCAGGGCCTGCATGGTTGACAGGAAACTCCTAAACCACGACTCCGAGCTTTCAGTTACGCCATCTCTGAGTCTCGGAGACATGAAACGTCTACGCCCAGTCAACAGTTGTCTTCCGTGCCGAAAGCGTCGCGTTCGCTGTGACAAGGTACCAATGTGCTTGTGACGCACGCACTCACTAACTAGAGATCCTAGACCCATCCAGTATGTCAGCGATGCAATCAGAACCACGTCACCTGTCAGTATGATGCTAGCGCTCTGGGGGATAGTTCGACCCAGCAACAGCCCGCACAGCATCATACGTCCCCGACGACCGAAAAACGACCATGCAGCGCCCGTGTTGAGTCAGGAAGTAGCGCTGAACAACCAAGTAGGTGGCTGACGCATAACTCAGCAGTCCCTCGCTCATCGACACCAGGCCAGCAATCTGCGAAGCGGCAGAAGAGTCTCGACTCCGGCCGCGTGTACAAGCAGCCCGGAGGGAGATCCCTGTATGTCGGCTCAACGCATTGGGCGAATGCCATACCGCTCGAGGTATGAAACCAAGGGGCAGAGTGGCGTATCTAACGATCTCAGTACCATCACGGAGACCAGAACGTAGCCAAATCGACACCACAACAGGCGAATCTTTTCTCGCAATGGCATCGACTGGAGCAGCAAGACCAGTCTCAATCTATTTTAACCTCAGGTAGCTCCGCTTTGTGCAAACACTGCGGCACTCGCTACAAGCTAGCCTGTATTGTGGCGCTGCTTCCGGATCGAGCTGTCTGTGAGAAGCTGTGCACTATCTTCTTCACAAACATTTTCCCCCTACTCCCTCTACTGCATATACCCACGTTTGCAGATGACTGCCAGGAGTTCTGGAGCGAGCGAGCTGCGCAAAGTAAGCACCCATCCAATGCACCAGGCATACTGCGCCACAAGCCCGGTTTCGTGAGCCTCTTGGCTGCCATCCTTTTCTCAAGCCTTGTCTCGGGAACCGAAGCTCAGCTGAACGCGGCCAAGGGGTCAGAGGATGTAAAAACAGGTGACATGTACTTTGCTACCATCATGGCTTCGACCCTGACTGGCTTCCCGCGACGGCCAACGCTGTACACCCTCTCAGCGTATATCTTTTCTCAGAGTCAATTTGTCAGGGAAGAAGAGTTCTCGGATGGGCCAGAGTTCATCACAACGTCATTCCGAGTGGCACTCGGTATGGGTCTTCATCGTAAGCTCGAGGAAGCGGGCTTTACCGCCACCGAGCAAGAAACCCGTCGTCGTCTTTGGTGGTATATCCTTCATCTCGATGTTATGTCATCTTGCTCTTCAGGGCTTTCGCCTCTTTACGTAGATGAGAAGATGGGCAATAGCCCTGCAATATCGACAACTGACCTGCTGGAACATGTGCGCGGATCAGGCCAAGGCTCAGGTAAGCAGATGATTCAAGTGGGCGGAAGTACAGCTAAGATTACCAGACATTCGGTACGTGGTGGCCAAGGTTCGTTACGAGACCACCAAAGTCATTCGAGGCATTCTCCTCGGACACTTCGAGGAGCACTTTACATCGCTCGAGGCTGTTTCAGAAACTGCTAGCTCTATTGAGTCTCTCGGTGAAACTGTCAAAACGGCCATTGATCGAATACTTCAGGTTGGATCCAAGTTGTCACGCCATGAGCTGCTGGAGATTTACCAGAGCGAGAATTTAGCAGTACCTGAAGGGGCCTCCACTATAAATGACACCTGGCGCGTGGATGCTAGCGAGAGTCGTTCGCACGTTGTAGGGTTCGCGATATGGGCCACGAGCTTGCTACACCTCATGCTCCACAAGGCATACTGCATCTTATACTTTCCGCTCGCCAAAGACCAGCATTCAGATTTCGGCGCTGACATCCGCTTGACGTAAGTGGACGAGACGAGGACCGAACTTATGCTGATGTGTTCAGAGCTATCAAGCATGCTCAGGCGTTTCTTCAACTCTTCATCCGAGTGTGTGATGCACCGTTCTCAAGTCCGTTCCACTGGATGTACCCAGGCACGTATCAGCCCTTGCAGGCCATGTCGCTATTGCTTGCAGACCTGCTCAACTTCCCTCACAGCGATGAAGCACCCACATCGCAAGGCTTGGTCGATGCAATCTTCGATCTATATCAGGTCGACCAAGGCATGATTACCGCCAGCGACCCGCCTCGTCGCAGGCTATCGCCATCCGGCAGGGAGGTTTGGTCCATGCTAGGACGTTTGCGCAATAAAGCGTTTGAGCAGATGGATCAAGACCCGCATGTGGTTTTACCAACATTCATCGCTTCTTCTCACGTATGTGTGTGCGGAGAGCGGCTAGCTCATGAACGATTGCTATCTGAAGAAAACGAGCAGCCTGATATGCCGGCTTGGGATGGCCCGCTCGATGCAGAACTCGGAACCCCGACGGACGCTGACGCGAACCTTATCGAAACAGAGCCAAGTCACGTTGACTTCGACTGGGCGGAATGGGATGCGTATCTCGGCTCCGCAGCTGGGACTATGCTGTAGTTACGAGCAGCCAGAGCGGTGGCGATACCACTTTATCTCAAGCGTTGGTTCAAGTTGTCGGCCACTATCAGCGCAATGACCCTGTCAAATGGTATCAGCACACTTTCCCCCACGCAGGACCATCCACTTACGTATGCGGGGCGATACGCATGAAATACGTGCCGAACCCGCGGTAGAATCGCAGCACTCCTTCCTGCTTGGCAACGGTGACGAAGCAATTCAGCATGCCTGTGTATCTCATCGATCCATCAGCCGCCTTCTTCTGCGACTGCAACCGTGATTTCACAAAGTCGAACGGCAAGCTGAAGAAAGAGGCAAAAAAGCCGGCAATGCCAGACGCGGCGATGGTCTGCGTTTGACCTGAAGCACTGGTTCGCTTGGCAAGCTGATGTTTGGACTCGGAGAAGAAGGCTAGCTGCCCAAAGTTGGTGGCCATGGCTCGAATGATTGTTGGATAGGCTCCGCTCCACAGAGCGGTGACGCCTTCATGGCGAGCGATTGATCCTAGGGCGTGGAAGGCGGAGCGGTAGTTCGCTCGCTGCGCCGCAGGCAATAGACCATCGGACTGCATGCGAATCAACGCCACCTCGGTGGGGTTACCTATCGATGCTCCCAGGGCCCCTGCAGCCAGACCCGCCGACGCGCGCTCCTTGAACCCGTATGTGCTCCCATTTCGCGCTGCCCGTTGCTTGAGCAGATCTTCAAATGTGAAAAAGAAGCCAAGTCGAGATGTGCCGTAGACAACCTGTCTGAGTAGCCCGGCAGATAAGCCGTTGTAGAGATCGAGGATCTGTCCTTGCGCAACCACCTGCTTGACAACTGACACTGGAGTCGCAGCTCCCTCCGACAACTGGATGCGGACTTTGATCATGTCGATGGGTTGGATGCATATCGTCGCGATGATGCCCGACGTCCCGCCCACCAAGAAGGGCAATGCTGGCTTGATGAAGGGCTGCTTGTGCAGTGGGAGCCCCGAGGGCGGCGTTGTCGCTGGCTGAACTGACATTTTTTGCACGAAAATATGCGTACTGGGTATGGATGTGCTTTACTGGCGAGCACATAGACTACAGTCGAGACCGGCGAGACCGGCGCAAGATAATTTTCCCCGCACGGTAGTCCCGTGTTGGAGACAGCCTCGGCTCTAATGGGGAAATTCACTGCCTGCGTTTCACTGCCTGAAAGTGGATCCCCCCGCTCAGCGTTGGGGAAGTTCGGTTTACCCCAGTGCTCGTCCGGTCACTCACACCTGAAGGTGGGCTCGAACGGGCTCGAACAGAGTCTTTTATTGACGCCCGTATTGTCGTGAGCAAGCCGGTATGAAGTGCATCTGTCATGAGAGCGAAGATCGTATCTACCCTCTGTGTGTTGGTATGACTTGTGTGACAAGAGAGCACAGTGATGTACGGAGACAGCTATATTCGATTGTCAAAAACCACGACTGACGGTAGACAGACCTATATTTTTCTGGCTGGCACTTTTCAATGGATAAGGATCAGTCTTCCAGTCACCTCCCCCCGCTTCAGTCTCATCAGTGCCTCATGGGCCTCATCCCACGGGACCCTCGTCACTGGTATTGGCGCCAACTTCCCATCTGTCGCCAGCTTCGTGACATCCCTCAAATGCTGCGGAGTTCCCGTGATGTTGCCCATGATGGTGCGTGCCGTGAAGATCATCGACACCAGACTGACCGTGATCTCGCCCCCCAGAATGCCCACCGCGACCATCTTCCCACCCTTTGCTAGCGACCCCATAGCCAACTCAGCCGTCTTGGTCGTGTTGACAAAGTCCAGCGCCGCAAAGTACGGCTCGCCCGCCGTTTCGACTGCAACCTTGGCCGCCTCCGCCGCCGTGCTATCAAAAACCGCCGTTGCCCCGGCATCCAGCGCCGCCTGCCGCTTCTCGGGCGTGATATCACAACTGATTATCTTCTCATGCCCCACGGCCTTCAGCATCGCAATGGCCGCCAACCCCAACCCTCCCGCGCCAACCAGCAGTACGGGATCCTGTGGCTTCAGCGGCATCACCTTCTGAATGCACGACAGCACCGTCAGGCCCGAGCAGCCAAACGTGCACGCCACCGCGGGATCCACATTCCCATAGTCCACCAGGTACTTCGCATGCGGCACCGTGATATACTGGGCGAACCCGCCATCCGTGAACACCCCCCTCGTCTGCTGCTTCAAGCACAGATTATCGTCGCCGTCCTCACAGCGCCGACAACTCTGGCAGCCCACCCAGGGATACACGACGCGACTGGCGCCCAGGGGCGGCACATCCGACGGATCAACGTCCGGCCCATATTTCTCGACCGTCCCCAAGATCTCGTGGCCCAGCGCCCGCGGCAACGAGACGCCGCGGTCCTTGAGCCAAAATTTCTTGCCGCCGCCGAGGTGGTAGAAGCCTTCCCAGGCGTGCAGGTCGCTGTGGCAGACGCCGGCGTGGGTGACGCGGATGAGGATCTCGGTGCCGTGGGGCTCGGGGACGGGGAGGTCGACTTTTTGTAGGGGTTGGCCGTGCGAGACGCAGGCCCAGGCTTGTTGCGTGGTAGGGGGCATCGTTTCGGTGTGATCTGGAAAGGGAAAGGGTAGAGTTTGGGTGGGGAGCTCAACCTGTGTTTATAGAAAGTAATGCCCGTGCCTGTGGAACGTGTTTGTGGTCAACTGTTCGCCGGGGTCCCCGCAGTAGCCGAGGGACCTAAATGAGGGCGCGGCGTGAGGGGTGGGCTGTCTGATAGTGGGTCACGATTCGGCGAACTTTCGGGCGCGGGTCATCATAGCTGTTTGGGCATTCTCGGCTTATAGGCACAATGCTATCTAACTACTCTGGAGCTACGCAGACTTTCTATCTCGGCTTCTGTCACGCCAATCTCTCTCAAGACTTCGTCGGTATGCTCGCCGAGCAGAGGTGGCTTGCGCCTGACTGACGTGCTGGTGTTGGAGAACTTCACAGCGGATCCTAAGGCCCCTTGGGTTAGCATGTGCGGACGGGAATTGGACAAGAAACTCGTACCTAACATAGAGAGCTTTCCTGATTTTGCGGGCTCAAACTGGATCTCGCTCACCATCTCCCTTGCTGCCGTCTGCGGATGTGAGAACACCTTCTCCATTGTGTTGATGGGGGCGTAAGGCATCCCGCTACCCTCAAATGCTTGCATCCATTCGCCAGCGGTCTTGCCCTGGAAAGCCTCACTAATGGTTGGCATCAAATCATCACGATGTGTGACTCTTGTGCTGTTGGTCTTGAAGCGTGGGTCCTCCAGCAGGTGTTCGACATCGAGGATCTTGCACAGCTTCTCAAACTGCTTGTTGTTGACCGCCCCGCATACAAAGTAGAGATCCTTGGTTCGAAAAGCATCGTACGGAACCACGCTAGGGTGCTGGGTGCCCCATCGCTCTGTTTCTTGTCCCATGTTCAGCCATGTCAGCGCGACGTTGATGAGCAGTGCGATCTGCGATTCGAACAGCGAAGCGTCGATACGCTGCCCAAGGCCGGTCTCTTTGCGGGAGTAGAGCGCGGCCATAATAGCTCCGTGCATGAAAAGCCCGGTGGACATGTCGGTGAGCCCGAGACCAGGCCGTACTGGGGGCCCTCCTCGCTCACCAGTGAGATGGAGAAGGCCTGCTTCTGCACCTGCTATCATGTCATATCCAGCACGTTCTCGCCATGGACCGGAGGATCCGTAGCCAGAGATGCTGGCGTAGATGATAGTCGGGTTTACTTGCTTGAGCACTTCGTAGTCGATTCCCAGCCTTTCCATCGCACCCTGCCGCATGTTCTCGATCACTACATCAGCATCTTTGACGAGCTTGAACAGAATCTCCTTTCCCGGGGCGTTCTTCAGATCTAGGCATACGGAGCGCTTGTTCCTGTTAATTGAGCAGAAGTAATTAGACATGGGACCAACGTCGGGTTTCCACGTCTCATCTTCTCCAATTGCTCTGAAGTGTCTGGTATCATCCTGAGTCGATTAGCTCAACCAGTTGCATGCAGTGACTGGCCTACTCCCTTCCCAATATCTTCGATTTTAATGATGTCGGCACCATAGTCTCCAAGGATCTGCGTGCAGAGCGGTGCCTGGATGCTTTGTCAGAGACCATCGGCATGCGTGTGATTGCGTACCGCAAGTACTCGTGAGAGGTCCAAGACTTTTACACCTTTCAGAGGGCCATTATTGCTGGTCTCAGGGGCCAGCGAGTTGATCGCTCGCACCCTCGTCGTTAGCGAAGCATACTTCGACGAAAGTCTAAGCGTATGTCGGGTTGTTCGTTTTCCAATGCGCCCAAAACTCATGCCGTCGACTTGGTAATAGCCGTGGAGCGCGGGTTGACGGCGATGGGGAATGCAGTATAGGTGCGGGGCGACGCTTTAGGCCTTGGGGGCTCGTCCGCCCTTCCCCGGCCCTCGGCTCCGTGGACCGCTGTGGGTATGATCAGCAGCAGCTTGCTCATCCACCTTCACAGCTTCTTTTTGTTTATAATGGTGTGGTAGTGGCGCTCGTGATGGCGGCGCGGGGATATCAGATGAAGTGCTCCATTGTCAGGAGGGTGCTTGCGCAACACCGCGGCCTGGCGACCGCGTCAGGACCTGCTGTACGCATTCTCGAAGTTGGACCGCGCGATGGGCTGCAAAACATCAAGACCTCGGTCCCAACTGCCACAAAGATTGACATGATTAATCGCCTGGCAGGAACTGGTCTGAAGGATATCGAGGCAACTTCTTTCGTATCGCCGAAATGGGTGCCGCAGCTCGCAGATGGCGCCCAGGTCATGGAAGCAATCATGCCCCTGGCGAACACCGGCTTGAGACTGCCGGTGCTTACCCCAAATTTGAGAGGGCTTGAGAACGCGGCCAAAGCTAATGCGAAAGAGGCTGTTGTCTTTGCATCTGCTACGGAGGCGTTCAGCCGAAAGAACCAAAACTGCTCAGTCGACGAGGCCCTGAATCACGCAGAGACCGTGGCCAAAGCAGCAAGGGAGCAAGGCCTAGCGGTCCGAGGTGTCATTTCATGCATCTTTTCGGATCCATATTCCGGCCCTACAAATCCTGAGAGCGTCTTGTATGTTGCACAGCGCTTCTTAGACATGGGCTGCCACGAGGTTGGACTGGGTGATACTCTTGGCGTTGGTACTTCGACAGATACGGAGCGCCTTCTCGAGTTCCTGCTGCGGAAGATACCTGCGGAATTCCTGGCTGGTCACTTTCACGATACATATGGTCAAGCGGTGGCCAATGTTGTGAAGGCGTACGACATGGGTTTGAGATCCTTCGATAGTAGCATAGCTGGGCTAGGTGGCTGTCCTTACGCGAAAGGGGCCAAGGGCAACGTCGCAACAGAAGACATTGTGTACACATTCGAGCAATCTGGCATAAGTACCGGAATCGACCTAAAGAAGCTAGCCGCGGTTGGGGATTGGATCTCAAAGCAACTGGGAATTCCCAACAACAGTCGAGCAGGTGCTGCACTACATGCGATGGCACAAGACATGCCATTGAACAATGCGCCGGTGACAAAGCCGGTCCACTCCCCGGGTTCGAAGCGGCAATGGCAGAAGATCGAGAAAACAGAAGGCTTCTCCGTCCAGAGGTCTGGCAGCGCCGTCAAAGTCACCCTGACCCGGCCTAACAACGGCAATGCTATGACCACAAGTATGGTGGACGAGCTAACTTCCTTGTTCAGAGGTTATGCCAAAGATCGGTCTATTTTCCATATCATCCTTGCTGCCGAGGGCAAGTTCTTCTGCACTGGTATGGACTTGACGGGAGACAGTCGTGATGACAAGGACACGTATTTCAAGAAGATTGTGGACATGTTTGAGGCAGTCGACAAGGCGCCACAAACCACGATCGCAGCGATACAGGGTGGTTGTTTCGGCGGCGGCACCGGCCTAGGCTTTGCATGCGACATCCGACTCGCAACATCTCAGGCCAAGTGGCAACTGACCGAGATCAGACTCGGACTATCTCCGGCTATCATATCAAAGTACCTGGCCAGAGAATGGGGCCTCCCCTTCCTGCGCGAGGCAATGCTTACGGGCAGAGAAGTAAGTCCTGCACAGCTTCAAAGGATCGGCGCAGTCCACGGTGTTGCAGATGATGCTGCCGGGCTCGAGACGATGCTCGATGAGTATCTCGACAAGCTCGACAAGTGCGCCCCACACTCCGCATCAGTTTGCAAGGAACTCATGAACGTGGCTTGGACGGACCCAGATGGACAGCGCCAGGACTCGGTCATTCACCGGAAATTCCAGGACATGATGCTCCCAGGCTCGGAAGGGGAGTATGGCATCCGGCAGTTCCAGAAGAAGATCAAGGATATTGACTGGAGTGCCTTCTGGAAGGAGAAGGCTAAGCTCTGAGCCTGGTACTCCCAAACTAGTCATGGGGCACAGTAGCTGAGCTTTTCGGATGCAGGTCCACTGAGAGCTTCCCAATCCATGAGTAAATGTCTGACAGAGCAGAAGCTCTGAAACAGAATAAGGAGCTCTAAGCAGTAGCGACATAATGTGCCATGTACAGCTTGTGGGGTTGAGTGAGTATCGAAGGTGGTGAGGGCGTAACAGCCTGACAAGAGAGGCCCGACAGGCGTTGGAAGTCAAGGTTTGACGAGTACATTGATGCTGAAGCTGTAAGGTACCTATGTACGGACAGCTCACTGACCATAGCAATACTGGCCATCGATGAAATGTGGTGCTGAGCCATATATCAAGACTATGCCGGACTCGGCCCACGAGCAGCATGCGATTGCTGAATTGAGTATATAACACCGTATCAAAGTTATAGAATGCATCAAAAAAGTATGCCAATATCAGCTCCTCAAAGCTAGTGGTCTTAATGCTCGATCTCTGCCACCACGGACCGGATACATCAAAACCCCTCCACAGCGAATATGGGTTTCTGCCGCTTGTAACTAGCTGGAGGTGAAGTTCCATCAATCGGGGTCAGTGCCATGGGCCTCTTGAGTCCTCCCGTGCCAGTCGATGCCCGTACAAGCTTCAGATCAGGTGGTTGGTGCTCTTGTATCTCTTCCCAAACAGTCGGTCGAGCTTTGACGAAGGTCGCGACGTTGTCGATTGTGGCGGCCACGGGTGGCGGCAGATAGAGCGGGTCATCAGTCTTGAGAGGAGAGCGAATAACTGCGATGACTCCTTGTCAACACGTATGAAATTGAGGTATTGACAAGGACTTACGAAGTGATGAAGCTCTTGCACGCCGCTTGAATGCTTTCGAGTCATACTGCATCATCCACTCCGTAGCAAAGTCGTCGACGACTCGTCTGATGAAGCGTTTGGGTATCCGCCCTCGCCTTCGCCTTCCGCTCAGAAGATTCCAATCAAGGCCCTGGGTGCGATCGACAGCGAAGATTATGAGGGTTCCGAGATCGCGGTGAGAGATGTCAGGCTCGGGAGGATTGTCTTGCAAGTACTTGTGAACAAAAGGCTCGAGGGAGGCCTTCTTGGCTTTGATGTCGTCTGTACGTATAGTCAGTCGGGATGGGACCAAGCGGGCTGCTGACTGACCATCGTTGTAACGAGGTGGATGCCTTCTCGACTTCGACTTAACAGCGGGATGAGAATGCTCACAGACGTTGAGGCCTACAAGACGCAGGGAAAAACCGATGAAATGTTTGAGGTTCTCGATGAATGACAAAAGTGTGGAGAGCAGCGGGAGGACAGCTGAATACGATACGCAGGGTATGGTGTTGGAAAACAAGAGGCGTTGTGCAGGTTGGTGATGTGAGAAGAGAATGGTTGAACAGAAGTGGGCGAGTTTCTTTGAGCTATGGAGCAAGATGTGTCTCGCACTTGCCAACGAAAGAACGTCCCGCAGAAACTACAGCCACAAACGATCACTCACGCGCCGCGCAGTTTGTGTATGAAAAGAACGACTACAAGCCAAATGAAGTGCCGTTTTGCGCGATTCCATAGCTGGGAGCTCACGGCGTGTCTCAAGCCGATGTAGGCTGCTCTTTTGCCTACCACAAGGCCAGGCATCCAGCGTCAACCACAGTCCTGGGGACGCAGGAGAGATGTCTGTCGTCTGAGTGCTTCGGGTTGCACGTGAGCATTCGTGCTTGAGGAGCTTCTGGTGGGTGTAACTCCAGGACAGGCAAACCTGTAGAATTGGCTGCTGTATGCTGTCTCAAGATCTCCGAGTCCATCTTCTCGAGAAAATTGAATGTACGTGTGAGATGAAAATCAACGCATCAGGCTGAGAACGAAAAGGAGATATGTTCATTTCACGCATTACCAAGCCTTGCTCAGACCATTTATGCAGAAGCTGTTAGACACTACTACCTACAATGGATGCTCGATAACCATCTTCTCTCCGCCTGCTTTTCCCGCCGCCACCTCATGTATGGTTTCGATCGCGGGTTCGATGCCCCTAACCAGACGACTCCTGAACGGCTGCCACCCCTTTCCCACCTTACTCAAAGCCCAAAGCCAGACCTGGCGCATCCGTACGCCCCATTCAGGATCTGCTCCCTCAAAGAGGCTCTCCAAGCCCTTCGGTGAAGGTGTTGGGAACCCTTCCGGTTGTCGAAATGGCAGGGGAAACATCCAGTCCGGATCTTTATCTTTGGGCACGGGCAAGACTCCGACAAGCTTCAATTCGCTTTTTGCATCACAACATTGCCGAGCCAGCGCAGGTGAACTCTTGCTGTATTGTCCCCTGAGCTTCATTTCTTCTTCGGCCGACAAGCCCTCGGCGAACCCAAGCCCGGTACTTACGGCGTCGTACACGACCGTGAGCTTTTTCGGAGCAACGGCGGACTGGATATCTTGCACAACTGTGGTACTACGATAGTCGAAGCAGTGCGTCGCGCCCAGACTCTTGAGAAAGTCGTGGTTGCGAGGCGATGCTGTGGTGATGATTGGAGCGAAGCCAGCGGCCTTGGCCAATTGTATTCCTGCTTGGCCGACACAGCTACCGCCTCCCCATATCAAGATTGGAACATTGACAGGGCTTAGACCTGTCACACCTGCCGGCTTGAAAGAGAATCCCAGCATATTGAAAATTGCGTCGATCGAGGTATGAACAGCGATAGGTAAGCCCACCGCAGTGACCTCATCGAGATTGTCGGGCAAAACGTACGTCCATTCCGGATCTGCAACCAGGAAGTCTTGGTGCGCTCCTGCAGGGAGCGGTCGATCATCTGCTGGGATGCTCATCCCGAATAGCTTCTGGCCGACCCGAAAGGGCGAATCCTGCCCCACATCAATTGCGGTGCCGATCCATTCATACCCCGCAACGTAACCTGATACGCCCATGAAGAAGTGCTTCTGGTCCGCTGGATTGATGGCAGAGTGACTGACCCTGACCAAGGTCTGCTGACCCGAAGGCTTGTACTCCTCATCGATATTGCGGACGGTCAATCGACCGTCTTTCCCCAGAAAGATCGCATTGGTCGAGATGATGGCCATAATGTTCGGTTTGGACACAGATTCGACAAAACTCTTCCCCAGGGGCGGAAAAAATTCCTGACATGAGGCAAGGCCACAATTTAAATATCGTGCGTCATGGCGCTACCAACCACATCCATCTGTTCCCAGGGAGCATGGCAAGGGCTTCATTGCTTGTGAGACTGGCCCGGACAAAATCTTGTCCGGCTGCTTACAAAGTGTCTTTAGCACGATTTACTCATGCTTGGCCGCTAATGGACAGAGGGGAGGGCCCGTCCGCGAGACAGCTGTATGCAAAGACAATGATCCGGCTCCTCTGATACTCTCCCTCGGACTATAACCAACGTGGAGGTCAGTTATAAATCTCGAGACAAGGCTGTCGTCCGAGAGCTGTCCAATGCTTAGCATCGTTGACCTCGCTTAAAGCTTGGCGAGCCTCTCGGCCGACAGACAACCAGTATTCAGTCATCCTCTTCCTGCCATTGGTCAGTGGCCAACCACAATTACCAATTGTTCAATTGTGCAACCACGTTAACTCGGCCGAGCTACGCATGTCTGCGAACGTAAAAAATGATAGCTTGAGGTGGACGTACCTGGCAGATTGGAAATGAAATCGTGACTTCAGTATGCGGGCAAGTACGGCGGAAAGGCGAATCTGGGCCATGGGGACCGCAAGAATTGTGTCAGATCCAACCACCTCGAAATCAGCCCGAGCCTGATGAGACTTCTGGCAGGATACACTCAACCCAAGAAGATGGCCATATCTGGCAGGTCCGTCCATGTGCCAATGCTGACGCAGCTTATCAGCTAAGTCAGGATTCCGCGAGTTGCGCGCATCTCGGTCCAATGTTGCCCTCACCATGGACATGCACTTGCGACCAATCGATCACGAACCATATTAGAGGTGCTTGTCCTGCACCAAGAACACAGATCTTGCTCCATATCGATGTTGGCGGCGCCTCATCTACCCTGCTCAGGGGTTGATGCGGGCAGAATTCCACCCTTTGCGCGGAAGGCCTTCCGCTACCCCAGAATCTCGTTTCCATCCCGTAACGTCTCGGCTTTCCTCCAATCAGCTGTCAAGCTGAGATTCCACGCTCGATGCATCTTGGACCATCGATTGGTTGCCCATCGACTGCAGGGACCCTGGCTTGCCATCACAACAATCTGGGGATGGGACTAGATGTGGCTGCCACGTTCTGTGGAGAGTGGAGGAAGTCTTGCAAAAGCTTATTAGCGATCGAGGTGATGTATATCAGTCCCCTGGTCCCCGTCGCTTCCGCATCCGAGAGCCTTTGCCAGACGCCAACATGAGTCTCGAGAAATACCGTCCCAACAGCATGGCGAAGGAAGCCGATGTGGAGGGTTCAGGGCTGTACCAAACAACTACTGACGATGTCCGACTGGCGCAGCTGGGTCACGTACAGGAGCTGAAGCGTACGTTCTCAGTCTGGTCGCTTGGATGCCTATGTCTGTGTCTGATGGCGACTTGGGAGGCACTTGGCAGCGTTCTCGCGCTGGCGTTGCTCAGTGGTGGTGCACCGTGCTTGTTCTACAACTAGTAAGTTGTCTAGGCTCACTATCCTACTAAGCTAACACGGTGCAGCGTGTTGGCCTTCCTCGGAACGATCGCCGTTGCCTTCTCCCTGGCCGAAATGGCGTCGATCTATCCCACTGCAGGCGGGCAGTATCATTGGGTTGCAGCTCTCGCACCACCACAGTACCGCAAGGCAGCTAGCTGGTTCACCGGATGGATCTCTATTGGCGGCCAGATATGTCTTACTGCGTCGGCAGCATTCGCAGGTGGACTTCAACTGCGTGGGCTGATATCTCTCAACAACGACAGCTATGTGCCAACTCAGTGGCAGGGGATGTTGTTCTACTGGGCCGTGCTTCTCTACGCTTTGATCACGAATCTCTGGGGCACTACCCCACTCTCGGTCATGAATCTAGCGTCCGGTGAGTGTTCGACCATATCGACGACCACGCTTTCTAACTCGATAGGTGTGCTGCACATTGTCGGTTTCCTCGCTCTAACGGCAGTCATTGGTGCCATGTCTCCGAAGCACGACGCTCATTATGTCTTTGTTGAGGTCGAGAATTCCACTGGATGGCCAAGCGACGGTCTCGCTTGGATGATTGGCATGCTCAGTGCTGTCTATCCATTCCTAGGGTATGGTGAATTTGCAACCAACAGTCACTTCCGCTAACAGAAGCAGATACGACGCAGCAGCCCACCTAGCAGAAGAGATACCTCACGCGGCGCGAAACGTGCCTCTTGCCATGGTCGGCTCAGTCCTAGCAAACGGAGTACTGGGCTTCATCTACTGCCTTGTCATTTTGTTCGGTCTAGGAGATCTCGGCAGTCTTCTCGAGACGACAACCGGATTTCCTTTTATGCAACTATTCCTCAACGCAACAGGTAGCCCAGCCGGTGCGACTGTCATGTCGCTGGTCCCGACTCTGATCGCTGTGGCTGCAAACACGGCCGGCTTGACATCGACATCTCGGACCTTCTGGGCTTTCGCGCGCGACAATGCCATCCCAGCATCGGAGTTCTTTGCTCATGTGGACACGCGCCTAAGAATCCCGGTCCGCATGGTCGTTCTTGTCTCTTTTCTGCAACTCCTCCTTGGGTTTGTCTACTTGGGAAGCACCACGGCTTTCAACGCCGTCATCTCCATGGCCATTATTGGGATGTACCTGTCATACGCCCTGCCCATTGCGTACATGCTCTTCTGTGGACGAGGTTTGGGCGGGCCTCAGCCTGGGCCGTTCAAGATGGGTCACGTCATGGGGATGCTGACCAATTCTGTGGCGTTGATATGGCTCATAGCGGCCATGTTCTTTAGCACTTGGCCTAATTTCTACCCTGTCACAGCGCAGAATATGAACTACAGTATCGTCGTGCTGGCTGGCTGGGTCGCGATAGGAGCTGTATACTATGTCGTGCACGGGCGCCATGTGTATGAGGGTCCTGCGGTCGAGACCTGAACAATGTTAAAATCTCCTACATCAACATCAGCTACCTGACTGTAAAAAGAAGGGCACCTTGCCCTGTAATGTAGAGCTCAAAGTTTATGCAACATAAATGCGCAAAGAATCGCTGTTTCACGTTGAGAAGCAACCGGCCCTGCAACAAGAGCGACACCTCTCTTGCGCCTGCTCACACGGCTACAATAACGCCGATGCTGAACGCGAGCGCACTAGGTGTTATTAGAGGTAATAGGTCTGACTGCGACACCCGTGTACCCTGCACGAACCTCTAGCGAGTATAATGAGGCGAGCTGTTTGACAGAGCCTGTGTTGACGGGACTTCAAAAATGTGCTGCTTCGGCTCCAGTCGCCGCGGCGACCGTCCGTTGTGCGCGTTATGTTGTAGCGCGGCTCGTTTGAGTACTCTATGCTACAAACGACAGCTCAGATTGCTGGCAGGTAGCAGCTCGACCAAGACCCATGCATCTATTTGATAATTGTTTCACGATAGCTTGAATGCATGTTTCACCTAGCACGCTTCAGCCTCCTCGAAGAGCACGTAACAGCCTAAACTGGGCTACCATAGACGTCTGTACTGGTAGAAACATATCAAATGAGTCCAGATAGCCACTGCACACTCCTCTAGAGCTATTGGACAACAAATGGGCTGACAACCTACCTTCGATTTCGCAACAATGCAAAACCGTCGAGGTGCCTTGATCTTAGTGAATACCACAACTACCACAATTGCAGCGATATTAGGCCGATAGCTGAGCACTCGGTACAATCTGAAATCACGGTCCGTCTCTTACATATATTGCTGCCCTATGTATCAACCCGAGTCCCGCTCGATACTTTCACCGCCACATGCTCGAGCCTTCCTGACAATCGGCCCACGTTTCAAAGAGCGCTTGGCGGACCATCACATATCGTCAGCTTCTTAACTTTATTGAATTATGTCGGATCTCGAGACTGATGTTCAACGTCTAATCGACGAGCGAGACATCCGAGATCTCGTTGCCCGCTTCGCGAATGCGTGCAGTCCGCCGAACCCGGAAGCATTCGCCAGACTATGGTTACCAAACGCAGTCAACCACCCGGTATGGACTCTCAGCGAACCTTTTGCTACGATTGCGACAGGTAACGCAGATATTGTCGCCCTGTTACTGAAGCTTTTGGCACCGTGGGACTTCTTTGTGCAGCTCGTTCACTCGGGCGTTGTGGACATCAATGGACACCGAGCAACGGGTCGTTTCATTATCCGCGAGGTGGCCAAAGGCCCAGATGAGACCTACTACAATAACTTCGCTATTTACGAGGACGAGTATCTCAAGATAGACGGTACATGGTATTTTGGGAGAAGAGATTACAAGTATATGTTTTTGGATTCTGGGCCGTTTGCTGGGGCCATCTGCTCTCCGATTGCTGGCTGGTTTGGCAAAAATTGACAGTCCTGCATCAAATGTGATATTTCTCCATCTAAACTGCTGTGGCAGCTTGCGCCTGACCGGTAGACTTACTACTGGAGCACATATTTTTGCCATTCTTGATCACGTCGACATCTCTTCCGATGCTAAAGACTATATTGTCAACATCTATGAACCTCAATTCATCGGCTCGGATCTCGTCCAGATAAAAAGGATCTTTGTAAAACGCCTCCATGTCTTCGTATCTGGACGTGATGTTAGCTATCGATACTGGATAATACGCAAAGCGTGGTGTATTTGACCCACTTATCAAAGACGAATTCGGCTATCCCGTCATACTGAGGTGGAACACCAATAGCCTCGTCACGATGAGGAATGCGATGGAACTATTTGTGTGTAAGAAGTCTCCGAGCGAAAGTAATTGATGAATGACCCACTTGTACATAATTCGAAACGCCATATTTGATCAGGCTGCCAAATGTATTAGTAGGGCTTTGCTGGTAAGTAAAAGGCATCATTACGTTGGCGCGACTAGAGGTCCATGAACATTTGCCCAATGATCATAGAACTCTTCCTTGCTGATACCTTTCTTGCGGGGAATCAACAAACACATTCGCACCTTCTCGGTGTCCGCCATTGTCAGTAGGAGTCTCTTCGAGGCCAGAAACGATTACAAGGATGGAAGTTGCTAGTGTATGCGTGCGGTAGTTAATATCCGGCCAGAGCAAAGGCAGCATCTACGCGAGCATGTGTACTGATGGGTAGCGGCCGGCCTTCTCGATATTGGCGTCTATACAAAAGTCTATGAAGCCTCGGGCGGGGTATCCACAATTAGACCGTATCCACAAATCGCCCGCAACAATGTCCCGGCTGACCAACCCCGACAATTGATCCGACCGAAGGGAGCCGTGGGAGAGAGGAGGTCGGCTTGTCCTTCAGGCCTGGAATCCACTTCCTAGTGTTGGCCAGATAATCGTCCGAGAAGTCAACATCGAAGCTGGTGGCTGGGATCTACCGCTCTAAGTAGACCAGTTTCTCCATTCCAAACCAGCCAGGTCTCAGCGACAGATACCATCCCATCATGTTAGCGCAGCCAGAGATCACCTTCTACACTGCGTTCTCGCCAAATGGCCACAAGGTCGCCATAACTCTCGAAGAATTAGGACTCAAATATAACATGGTCCATGTGAATCTACCTGCGATTGAGCACAAGCAGCCATGGTTTTTGGACATCAACCCGAACGGTCGGATCCCTGCTCTGATTGATACTCTACCGGATGGTACTTCAATCAAACTCTTCGAGTCGGGCAGCATCCAGCAGTATCTTGTGGACGTATATGATCCGGACTTCAAGATTTCGTACCCCCGTGGAACGAAAGAGTTCTATGAAACCAATAACTGGGTATGGGTTCCCCGTGCTATCTACTTCTATGGTCCGTGAGCAAAATGTGTTAACCTAACTCGCCAGCTCTTTTTCCAGAACGCTGGGATCGGTCCTATGCAGGGCCAAGCGAATCACTTCCTACGTTACAACCTCTCCGACCTCCCTGAGGACTACTCCAGGGAAAGGTACACAAACGAGACAAGGCGGCTTTATCGCACCCTCGATAAACACTTTCAGGGCACTCAATCCGAGTACTTGGTCGGCCAGAAGTGCACCATCGCCGATATTGCGATCTCGTCTTGGACAAACATCTTGGGTACGTGACATTACTTTGACCTAAAGTGTTGGGAGAACAGACCAAGCTCATCTTTGGCATACCCAGGTTTCGCCGGCCTCGATATCCACGAATTTCCGAACGTGCATGAGTGGCAGCAGCGCATGGCTCAAAGACCGGCGGTGCAGAAAGGGTACAACACTCCCAAGAAGGTTGATCTTGATAACTTGTCAAACGACAAAGCGGCTTTTGTGGCCTACCTTAAAGTCAATGAGGAGTGGATCAGGCAGGGCATGGAAGAAAATGCCAGAAAATAGAAGGCCGTCCCAAGAGACTCTTGAGCACAGATTGGCAGGAATTGAACCAGTGTTTGCGGCATGCTTTTACCTTACCTTGCAGACCTTGATTTCCGTGCTCGCCCAAAATCCCGCCTCCTCTGTCGTATCTATGCGGCCTATGACAGTATTCCGGTTGAACATCAAGCTAGCCACCAATGTAGCATGTGAGACTCTCGTCGTCTGTTGTCTTCTGGGCCTCTGAAGGCCCCTCAGGGAGGGTGCTGGCAACTAGCATGGGTCCACTGTGGAGAATTGAACCCATCTAACCAATTCCATTTGGGTCAAGGGACGCAAGCAGCCTGCTACTCCTCTGCTGGAGCTCGCAAGAACCATCAACGATGGATTCATGCTTGTGACGGACGAAGATCGCCCGAAGCGGAACAAATTAGACCGGAATGTGCCGCGCATAGATCCAGCCATCTTTCGCTACAAGCACTCCGGGCGAATCTTACCCCAGATAATCTCCACACGGGGTGTCCTCGGTCCATATTTGCGGGGCTTCAGTCAAGTGCTGGAGTTCGACCATCTACGGCCAAGCACTTGGGTGGGTGGAGGAGAAGTGTGGAGATGGGAATTGGCACAATCTTCGATCCGAGGGTAAAGGCAGGTTCACTGTTTGCTGCGGAGTCGTATAAGAACAGCAGAAACGCAGTGGTTGAAGCGTCACAACCAAAGGCAGACGCCAGTGTTATTCATCAATTCAGATATCTCTAGAAACCATCACCAGCAGAACTTCAGAATGGGTCTCATCAATCTTCGGGGGAGGGCTCTCTACAGGATCATGAGCGGCGTTTGTGCTCTGGTAAGCGCTATGCTCCCCTAAGTGTCGCCAGTCTAGACACCAGACTTCCCAGATCTAAGATCCAATGCTGACTTCTGATATACTAGGCTTTCATGATGTTTGGCTATGATGCTGGTGTTCTGGCTGGGGTACAGGCCACAGAACCATTCTTGAGTGCTATCGGGCATCCAGAAAGATACTCGACGGTCATCATTCCCATGATTGCTTCGTCATACACGCTCGGCGCCTGGGTGATGTCCATGGTGATCAGCTTTATTGGATCGCCAATGGGTCGACGGAACTGTATATTGGCTGGGAATATCCTCGTCCTCGTTGGAGGAACATTGCAGGCGTCAACCTTTTCCGTTGCTCAGATCATCGTTGGCAGGGTTCTCTGTGGATTCGGCATCGGGTTCATCTCTTCCACGGTCCCGACGTACATGGCAGAGATGAGCACGAAGCCGACAGATCACGGTCCCGAAGTGTGTTTTCAATCGGTCGTTCTGATCCTCGGGGTTGCCCTGTCAGGCTGGGTAGACTTCGGCTTTACACGGATGCATAATCAAGTTTCCTGGCGTTTTCCCATCGCGTTTCAGACCTTTTTCGCCATCACCTCAGGAATCGGGATCCTCTTGCTGCCAGATACACCCCGCTGGTACTACATCAAGGGGCGGACCGAAGAGGGCGATCAGGTGCTATCCGCCCTTCACGATCTGCCCATTGACCACGAGCATGTTCAGGCTCAGCGGACACAAATCCTTCGCGCCATCGATGTCGAGAACTCACAGGAGGCTTTCAAGCTATCCACGTTACTGTGGGACAACACCGAGCTCCAGGCTGGACGTCGCCTGAGAACTTCGGCTGTCATCCTCGGCATTCAGCAACTGATGGGCATCAACCAGCTAGTCTACTACAGCACCATCATTTTCAGCCAAGTCGGCCTCACGCCGTTCTATGCGTCCATTCTCGCTGCGGTAATGAATACGGTGTTCGCAATGGGGACTTTTTTCACGCCGGCCACAATTGAGAGAGGTGGCCGTCGGGGGATCATGCTTTGGTCCTCGGTACTGCTTACCGTCCTCTTGTTGATCTTTGTGGTGATGATCAATCTGGGGGACTTGAAGAGCAGCGCTACGCAATGGACGGCTGTCGCAGCGGTCGTCGGTTATGTGTTTGTATTCGGATACGGCTGGGTTGGTATCCCGTGGCTATACGGACCTGAGGTAAGTTGGCTCCCAGCCAAACATACGAATGACCGACGGCGTGAGCTGGCATCACATCCCGGGTTAGATCGCACCACTCCGCTACAGGCACCTAGGCGGTTCTTTCGGCGCTACCGGTGAATGGTCGATGACGTTCGTTACCGTGTTTGCGGGCGGTGTGGCTTTGGAAAGGGTGGGACCAAAGATCTGGGTCTGGTACCTGACTTTTTGTAAGCTCATTTTCCTTCGGAGTCATCTTGACAGCGCGACGAGTACCCGGTGTGCTGATGAAAGCTGTGCTAGGCTTTGTCTCAATCCTGTTTGTATACTTTTACTGTCCCGAGAGTAAGTACCCCTTCGTGAATTTTCTTGCTTCCGAGTGTCATTCGTTCGACTAACTATGTTTCAGCATCTGGTAAGACTTTGGAGGAGATTGACGCTATCTTCATGAGGCATTCACCGACACTATCTGACACAAATCTGGAAGGAGCTTATGTTGACCATCTACCAACAAAGAGTTCGAATATGGTTGCTGAGAATGACAAGGTCGAGAAGCACGAGATCGGAAGCACCCATATAGGCTAATTTTCATTCGAAGTGTACTTGATAGACAACTGCTCTTCAAGAACAGGGTTCCCCCATGTAGAGATACATATAATACAGGACCTCTGTGTGGGGTCGGCGTTGCGAAACCTGTTGTCCATACGAAGCGTCCCGCATGGATTATCTTTTGCCGAGGGAATTTTGCTGTATAGAACTCTCAACAGGCTCCCACTATCGATACGGCTTTTCCGCTCCTCGGTCCACGGCAGCACAAGCCGCGCGAGCATGATGCATCCACAAGGCCAAGTGAAAGGTCCAGGTGCTGGGACCCTGATCTCATGGCATGTAAGATCCTGAAAACAGGTCGTCTAGAGATGTCGAGAAGTCGGCCAACCCATCCCAATCATCTGAGAACGGCATTTCCTCCATAAAGTTCGGCGTATTTCCTGGGAGAACGTCCATGCTCGTAGCTGAATGCATGAGATCATTGTTAAACCCTTGATCCGCGGACTCAGGGGTGGGCAACACCGTAGACGGCTGAAGAGGGCCATTGGTCGTGGTCGGATCATGACCGTGTGGTGCCATACTGCCGATGGGGGCCACACTCGACGTCACATCTTGAAAAGAGCTGTCCACTTGGCTAGATCGAGCTCCAGTTCTCGAGTACCTGCCATACTCTAGATCTCTAGATGTCGAAGGATGATGGCATATCCTGACCCCTGCTGTGAAGATACATGGTGGATCGTAGTGGATCCGACCACGGACTTGGTTGTTTGTCTTAAAGTCCGCCAAACCAGCATCAAGCGCCTTCCAATTACTGAGCGGTATCCTTGACATGTTCCAGAACTCCAAGGTTTGCCGATAGTTCTGACTTATCAGCTCGAAATTTGAGGTGATGAGATCTCTGTCTGGATCGTCATCTGCCAGGTAGCTCCGATGCAGAAGCTGTACAGCACCCGCTAGCCACGTGGTACTAGCCAGGAATGGGTTGACGTGCTTGTACTGATCGTCGGAGCAGCTCCGAAGTATGCTTACGACGTTGTCCGCCGCCTCAAAGTACTCCGAGAGATGTTGGAATTGTCTCTGTTCTGGGGCTGGAGTAGGAAGCCCTCCTGTAGTAGTGACTGAGTCGTATCGAACGCCAGCTAATGCCTCTTGGTCGTGACCAAGAGTCCACTTCGTGCCGATAGCACGAAAAACGTGATACTTCTGTATCATCAGTTTCGTGAGCTGCGTCATGAGATAGATGCTGTAAGTCGTGCAATCTGCCAATCGTCGAGGCACAAATGTCGAGTCCTGCGTGTCGAACCCGCCGAAACCTAGATGTCCACCACGGTACTTGAGATTTTTTGGAAGAGCACTAACTGCACAGTATAAAGCGTTTAGTATAGTGCTGAGGCGTCGTGCAGCTGCATCATGCTCTTGGTTTTGAGGAAGCCTTTGATTCTCATGGTGACGGTGCCTAACAGCATTCGAATCGCGGAGCTTTGTGTGATCTGCGATCTGATCTCTGTCAATACCAATCGGGCTGGAAATACGCTGCGCGTCTTTCATCAACGAGTTCATAAGAAGGAACCAAGCCTTAGCCGAAGTGCTTTTAGTAGCCACCAGCTTCATCCATCGACTGTTGACGTTGACTTCGAGTACGCAGCTGGTCGTTGGACGGCCACGGTACCAGTCTTCATCTTCTGCTGGCAGGAATGTAATGTTTTGACTCCAGTCGATGCCAGTTGGACATCGCCGAACGACACTGGCATAGACATCCATCTCCCATATCGCCCACCAGGCCCGACGCCACTCTTCATCGATGCACCACTGCGACGCGTCGAGACAGGGCTCGTCGTTCTGCGAGTGCTTGTCAGCATCTATCAAGTGCAGATTGAGCTCGTACGCTGCTCTGATACATGTTCCTAAGTATCGCCAGGCCCTGCCTTTCACGCCTTGCACGAGTAGGCAATAAGTGTTCAAAATCATTGCTTGAAGAACGTGCAGCGATAAAGGCTCATCGTCAAGCTCGGAAATTGCCTCTTCCATGTACTTGATGCTCAAGCGTCGAAAATATATGCTTGGCGGTTCCAGTACACCAGAGGAGAAGTTACCTCCGATGGTGTTGCTGACTTCTTCGTGATCGAGACCCTTCAACGCGAATGCTGAGATAGCTGCCAGCAGTGCCGACATCTGAGTTACCGTAGGAGCTTGCCGCAATTTCTCCCGAAAGTCGTTTGGTCGAAAGAGCTGGAATGATGTAAAGACTTCGAAGTAGCGCGAGATACTAGCTAACAGTTATTCAGAGTGCTCGGCGGAGCAAACAACCGAATCCAACGCTCTGCGATGAGAACTCAACATGAAGTAACTGGACATGGCCATGAACATGTGATAACAAAGCGGGCGCCGGGAGTACAAAGGAATCACGGGCATAGAAGAGAGCCATCACTCACACCTTACTCATTTGCACCAACGTTAGTCCCAAATTGCTGCACGTAGTCTTCAAGGCCTCCGTATAGATGTCATCACCGTCGTCCAGGGGCTCATCCGCTCGGATCCGCGAGGAAGTCTCAAAATTAGGGTGCAGAATGAACGAAAGGCTCAAAAGATTACACTGAGAGTCGTTGTTGCTTGTCGATAGAGATCCAGGAGTCAAGTCTCCCTGTGGATCTGCTGTCTCATGTGCTGACGTGCGAGGGACCGATCTCGTACACCGCTGCTTTGGAGAGGAGACCCCAACATCCTGGCCATCTAAAACGCGCTTAGAACGAGACACACTGTGTCAAGGAAGTCTTAAGTTGGGGGCCGGGTCTTACCTCGTTGTCGTCTATGAGAGATGGCATTCGTGCTACCTACTTTCGGGCCCGGCCTCATAGCTTTCTGCGGATAGACACATGTGTGCGCTTTGCCGCAGCACGCTCCACAAATGGGTAGCTCACGGCCACACTTGGCTTTGCGCTTCCGGCACTGATAGCAGGCCAGAATAGCGTGGGAGTGCGCCGAGGCAACGGGCTTGGACACTGATGCCATGAGGGTTCAAGGCTGGGTGACTTGCTTCATCGAGTTGTGCCTATTTCAGCTTGGCAGCTCCAAATCGTAACCAGCCTGTTTTTGCCGTTATGTCCGGAGTTCGTGCGTCGTTGGCGGTCGAACCTTTGGTACGCAATATTTGTCTTGCCGGAAGAACGCTAGATGAGAATGACAAAGGCTGTCCATGAGCTGCTTGATAAATTCACCGTGCCGCCATCTACCGTGGAGAAAGCTCGCACAAACCGAGGGGGAATTGGCCCTGGACTCAATGTCCGTCCCATTTTCGGGTCAATTCAAACGATTCCTGGGCACGCGGGGTAAACCTATGCCACTACTGGGTCAGTGCACATTACGGCAGCCCCAGTATCTGCGCTGGTATGGGTCATTGGTCTCGCCATTACCCTCAATATATAGTGAGTGTTGATATCGCTTTTGTTACGCTGGAGCTTTTATAGAATCAACTCTAGCTTGGCAAAGGCACTGTCCAAACCATCCCAGGGACATATACTTGACTACAAAGCCTAACCGGAATACAAGCCTCTTCACTACGGGAAATAATCCGTCTGAGCTCAGGTCAAACGTGTCTCTATGGACGGAAAAGTCATTGTCCTCACGGGCGCCGCCTCCGGCATCTCGCTCGCGACGGCCAAGCTACTGGCCAGCAGAGGGGCGCGGCTTTCATTGGCTGATATCAATGGTCGACAGCTAGAAGCTGTTGCAGCATCGCTTGAGAGCTCTGGAGCCCAGGTCATCCACACTGTTGTCGATGTGACGGATCGATCACAAGTGAGGCTCCTCATAGAAAAGACTGTCAGCCACTTTGGAAAACTGGATGGAGCCGCGAATCTTGCCGGGGTTATTGGTCGTCACGCAGTAACTCTTGAACTCCGAGACGAGACGGACGACGAGTGGGACTTTATTATGAATACGAACGTCAAAGGGGTCTTTAACTGCATGCGCGAAGAGCTCCGGGTCATGGAACCAGGGGCGTCGATTGTCAACGCGGCCAGTGTCCTCGCTGTGCTGGGTCAGGCGAAGAACAGCATATACACGGCGAGCAAGCACGCAGTGGCTGGCTTGATCCGAGCTGCAGCCAAGGAAGAAGGCAAGAACAACATCCGAATCAATGGTGTGGCTCCAGGCTTCATTGACACGCCCATGGTGGACGCAGTGGAGGCGGCACAAAAAGTGTCTGAAGCAGATATGAGCGCACAAGCCTTGCAGAGAAAGGGCAAACCTGATGAAATTGCTGCAATCGTGGCATTTCTACTGAGTGACGAGAGTACGTTTGTTACGGGAGCAATCTGGAGCGCTGATGGTGGCTGGAACTGTTGATAACCTTGTCCTATACGGCTGATTGCAGTAGTAAGTCATCCTAGATCTATCGTCACCACGAGTAATCCAATGCATCGTTCATAAACTCGTTACCCCTTGGATGCACCCTTAGACTGCACATATTGCCCAGCATATTCACTACTTGCGCCTGTCCGGCAGCGCCACCTGCGGGATCTCTCCAGGCACAACACCTCTCAGGCGAATGCTGGCCCGGACCGAGGCTCCATTACCAACGTCAAATTTCTGCTGGAGCAATCTATCCGGTGCATCCGCCACGCTCGCGAACGGTACATCAACGCTACCGATCTCCTTCTCGCCGTCTAGGAGTGCAATGCGGAAGTTGTCTGGACTACTGCCCACCAAATCGGTCGTGATGGGGACTCGGAATCCCTGGTCAAAGGCAGGGTTGTTGATGTCGGCGCCTGGAGCGTCGGCCTTGATGGCAGTCTGGAAGCGTTGAGTCTTGCCCCATGTCACCACGACGCTGGGCTTGAGAGCTTCGCGCTGGCCCTTGATGTCGTATGCGCCTGCGACGAGGATGGTGGCGATGCCAGAAAGGTGGCCATCGCCTTTGTGGTCGGAGGCGGTGAGGCTGCCGGCATCGGCTACGTACTTGAAGTACTGGCAAGAGATTGAGACTCTGCCGTCCGTCTCCTCGCCTTTGAGGACCAGTGGCAGCTCCTGGCTACCTCCAGCGACCAGAATCTCTCGGACTGTTGTCACTGCCAGGCCGACGTCGTCGTCCCCATTGAGGTCTTCGTCTTTCACGTCCACTTTGATACACTGGTCAAAGTCGCTCACTACAAAGTCATGCGTCTCGTTCCACGATGGTTTGTTCGTGTTGTTCTTGGTTGCTGTCTGCCACGACGGCTCTCCGCCGACCTCAACTTTAGCATAGCAGTCCGGAGCGGCGCGAGTGATCTTGTTGAAAAACTTCTTTGCAGACGACTTGGCCTCCTCTCCGAAGCCCCATGCCTTCTCCACAGTGATTCGAATCATGCCGAGCGGATAGTGGTAGGTTTTGAAGTAGTCGGCATTGGCGTCAAGCTTGAGCAGGAATCGGTTGGGGAGGGTGAACATGGAGTTGATGATGCCCAGGATTACACTGCGAACGGTATCGTCGATCAAGGAGAAATCGGCTACATTTGCTGCGCCTGTGAAATCGAGCTTCAGGACTGGTGGATTGATGAATGTTATTTGGGCGGCTCCGATCTGCACTGAATGTCAACGGAGACGAGGCGGGAGGGAGGGTGTTTGCGTACCAGAGGGATAACATTTGTGAGTGGGCAGAGGAGTATGGAAAGTCTGCCATGAAGCTGCACGCTCTCAACACCCTGTGTCACGACATCAACAGCATTCACGTTATTGCCTTGCAGCCACTCACCATGGCAGGGATGTAGTCAGCATCCAATTCGATGTCGGCTTTGCCCACCCAGTCGACGTTCAGATCGAGCTTGATACCGTCTGCCTCGGTTTTTGTTGTCTTTGCGTTTGACAACCGTAGAGGTACGGGGCCGAGATCGATCTTGGTGAAGTGCAAGGTGGATAATGGACCCGGAAGCATAGTCTTGAACATGGGTTCCACGATCTCCTTGACCATTTTGCTGCCAGCGGCATTGATGTTGGGCCATAACTGCTTCACGATGTCGTTCAAGAACTCTGTATGGTTGAGAATTGACTCAGAAGCACATAGATAACACAGAGATGCTCTTACCTGCTGATTCACCGGTTCCCTCAGCAGTCAGTTTCTCGATAAGGCCCGACATACTTGTTGCGGCTGGAATAGTTGAAGCTTCGCTAAGATCCTGAATTTGAGATCGCCTATCACTACACTGTTGTGCACAAAAGTGAAGCTCGAGCGTCAAGCAACGAGACAGTCGAAATGTGACGCAATAAAGCTTGCTGCCAACTGTTCTGCATGACCGCTCATTGGCGGTGACCAGGGTTGTTGAACAGCTCTAGGCCTAGACCTCCAATGCAGTGGCGCAGTCGTCTGGGCGCCTGTGACGTCACAGAGTGTGGCCGAGTAACATATTCCCTGGCAGCGACCATGGCACGGTACTGACTCGTCCCATTGGGTCAGCTGTGCGCAGATCTGTCCTGCCAATAATGGATAAAACGTCGGCTTGTGAGTCGCACAAGATGTACTTGTTCGACATCGTCGGTGCTGAATGTGAGGAGGGTGAGCTCCAAGCGAATTACAGATCGATTAGGTTTTGACTCTAGTCTGCCTTTGCAAACCCGAGATGAGTGAGTAATCAGGACTGTAGAAGGCCGTCAGGAACTTGCAGTCAATACTGGACTGTTTCTGCTAATCCCACGAACGCCTTGGACAAGGTAACTTTCATTCTTGCGAAAATCCTGTCAAGTGCTCCGGCTAGAATATCATTCCACCCTCATGCCAGGGATTTGACTTCCTTTCCAAACATGGTCGTAAACTTGCCATGCATGACATCCAGCCGATAGATCTGCGCTGGTTGGGCGAACCACTTCCTCAGCTCCTCCACGCGGGAAAAGTTGAGCCCACCAGGTCCTTCATCGTGATCGTGGCGTCTCTTTGCGTCTGGAAATGCCTCAAAGATTGCGAAGCTGCTCTTGGAGAAGCGCGTACCGAACCACAGGCCCGTCCCTGGTTCCTTGTTGACTCCGGTGTTGATGTCGCGCATGAAGGACTGCACATCCTCTTCATGGCCTGGTGCGGCTTCCATGTAGATGAAGTAGGCTTTGGGGCCTGGCGTGTCATCAGTGCCGTGTACCACGAAGCTGGGATGGGCTGGATCCTCGGCGGACCAGTTGCTGTAGGGGTTCGGGAAGCGTTGGCTGGACTGCTCGGTCATTGTGTTATAGTATTGGGTGAGAACTGCCTGCGACACTGTTCTTTTGGACGCTGAATGCTTCGACGGACAGCACGACAGTACCTATATACGGTCTTCCGACGTCAGCAGTATTGGTCAACGGTGCCAGTCCTGTATTGCCCGATAAATGACTAAGTTGACAAGCTGGATGTTAGTATACCTCATTAGCTGTCCGAGGCGGGTATCTTACTCTTCTCGGCAGCTGAAAGTTTCCCCTTTGGGCCAAACTTGCTACATTGGGTGCTATTCTTTGGTGGTGGAAAGTGGTGGAGACGATGGCGCAGAGTTCGAGCTTATAAACCTTTGAGAACTTACTAATGCATCTACAATCTCGAGACTCACCCTACCGTATAGAATCCACAACTTGCTGGTGTAGGCATGAGATGCTTACTTAGCCCTCAAGCCTGGCATGGTCGGGAAGTGTTCGGCATCCCAACCTTGGCAAGACACGCCACTCATGTCACACAACGCTAATAACCGAGCTTCTACTCCCGTTGCTGACTACTATCCGGTGCTTATTCTTAACATGAGGACGTCTCCTATAGTAATTCACAACAGAGCCTACTCAACATCGAGACGATATCCTGCCGGCTTCGCCTAAACCTACGAGAAGCGCGGACGAGGTCAAAAGCGCCTTCTACTCTGTTCTCCGTCGCACGAGCAGCAAACGGGCAAACCCGAGCGGTGTTGCTGCGACCCCAATGCCGAGCCGGGAATCCATTTACGGTCTGACAGGTTCCTGGGCGAACGTAGGGCGAGACTCATCAACGCGAAGCACAAAGGCAGGCCTTGCATCAAGAAATCCGGCGCCTACTTACGACGTTAGCGTGTTACAAGGCGGGATGAAACTGCTCACCTCGCTTTCTATACCGACAGAACTAATGTTACGTATTGACCGAGGGCTCCTATCGTCTTCTCTACTGTCGAACACGTAGCCACACCCAGGACCTCTGCGACACATTCAATGGTCGAGCTGTCCTTTATCAACCTCGGCGACGGCCGGTCCAGTGAACGCGCACATGCCAACTCAAAGACTATCCGCCAACATGTGCGCAGAGCCGTGATCCGCAAGCGAGCACGGTCGTCAATCGATGACCGAATCAAGCACTTTACAGGCACCGAATTCGTCGTCGTGGACACACTGCTGCCGTCCAAGTTTGGTGCAGGAACAGCGATTGGCCATGAGACCACGTCCAAATCTGCAGGTACCCAATGCGGCAGGTCACATCCCAAGAAGGTATCGGGTACTCGGAAAAAGTCCCAGAAGCTAGACGACAGAATCAGCACTATCAATACACAACCAGTTTGGCGTCACCCGTACACGGACCATGCTGCTGTAGTTGTCGATCTTCCCATTGAGAGGATCAATGCACTATTCCAAAATCGTGAGTCAAGGGCGATCACTCATTCTTACCAGGGTACCAGGACCTGAGCTGATGGAATTTACCAGCTCTGTTCCGAAACGCCACCGAGCCTCTGTTTGCACCCCAAGATCACAAACTACACGGCATCGAGAACGTCTTCCCCGGAAGCCTCAAAGACGGCACCTTCTTCAGCGCCCTGCTCTTCTCCACCCTGCAAATGATCAACCACGGCACGCCCACGCCCGAGAGCCTCGAGCTCCAAAAGAAAGCCCTCCGAGGCCTCCGTCGCAAAATGCTCACCTCATTCGAAAGCCTCAGTCCGGCCGACATCGGCTCGGTCCTGATCCTCCAAGGCGTCGCCTACCGCTGGAACGATATCGAAGCTTACGAGATCCACACGCAAGCCCTGCTGCACATCCGCAAACCGTGGCAGATGCAGATGCCGATGCCGACCGAAGAAGCGTCCTGCTGGACGCAGCTGATCATGCGCGCCATGTTCTGGCAGGACCTGACCGCCGCGCTCGTCATCGGCAGCAAGCGGCACGCCGACGCGTGCTTCAGCATCCCTCGCCCACGCTGGCGCCGAGCCACTTCACCCACCCCCTTCCCATCACCGCCCGCCGGCTTCAAGGCCAACGCCGACATCATCCCCGCCCAGCTGCTGCACTGCATCGAGGACATCATCGAAATGCAAGAGCTCACTTCCCTCCCCCTCCTCAAAGTCGACGCCGACGCCTTCGCCATCGACAACATGCAAGCCAGCATCGAGTCGCGCCTGGCATGGGACACAGCTGACTGCGCCCCCCTGACGCCCATCTCGGACTGCGTCCGCCTCGCCACGCTCATCACCTGCTTCCTGGCCTTCAACAAGACGTGGGCCAACAGCCTGGTCCCGAGCCTGCTGTCCGACATGCTGCTGAAGCGTTTCGCGGGGTGCATTACCGATCAAGCATGGGAAGGGCGACGGCGACGGCCCCTGCAGTTGTGGTGCGCGCTGGCTGGCTCGTTCGTGACGACGTTGCCGTATCATGCGGTCGAGAGGCTGGTCGAGCGATGGAGCGAGACGCTGCTGGTGCTGGCGACGGTTTGCGGGCAAGGTCGATCCCGTACGGCGGAGACGGAGGGGGGTGGTGTGGATTATATGCATGAGGCGCTGACCAAGTTCGTCTACTGCGACGGTTGGGTGCTGGAGCGGCGGCGGATCAAGGGCTGGAGGCAGCTTGAATCGAGTCTCTCCGAATCATGATTGGAGAAAGAAAGGCGACGGACGGGTAGCGATGGAGTAAGAGACACCAGTACTATACCATCCCTGCAAGATCTGTTGATTCCTGGTTCGCGTATATACTGTACCTGGCCCCCGAGGAATCTGGGCAGCACTATCCCACAAATTACCGACCGACCTACCTACCTACCTACATACCTGCCCATCCACCTGATCAACACCTTAGACCTCGGGCTTCCTCCCCCAAACCACATAGAAATCATAGAGCGCATTAATCCTTTTATTGCGCATATCCTTCCGTATCTCCGCCAGGAAAACCTGTATCTCGTCATGCGACCACGGCCCACCCGCCTCAGGCGGCAACTGCGTCAGCACGCCGAGACAGATCCCCTCGATCGCGCGATCCATCTGCACGAGATTGACGATGCCGATCTCCTTGAGGTCCGGGTCTTTTGGCCAGGGGCCGAGCGGCAGGTGGATCTTGGTGGCCGTCACGTCCACGAAGCCCGCTTCCTTGAGGTAGTGTTCGAGGGAGGGGCCGGGGCGCATGTTGTAGCCCTGTGCGTGGCGGCCGCCGGCGGTGAGCTGGTGGAACTTGTTGAGGGCCGAGTCCGGGGGGAGGGTGTCGTTCTGCGAGTAGAGCCAGGTGTTCCAGTCTTGGAACTCGACGTGCCCGCCGGGCTTGGTGTGCGTGAAGCAGTTGCGCAGCAGGGCGGGCCAGTCGGCGATGGCGCCGGCGAGGAAGCGCGCGTGGATGAAGTCGAAGGCCTCGGCGGGGGAGTAGGTCCAGTCTGGGGATTCGATGTCGTCGATGTAGAAGGACAGGTTGGGCGGCACCATGCTGGGCTGGGTGGGGGCTAGGTCGTTGCCGATGACGGTGGCCAAGGGGTGGTTGTCGGCGAAATCGATGGCCCAGATACCCGTCCCGGTCGCGAGGTCGAGCGCACGACCAGAGAACTCGGTTGGGAGTGGTGCGTAGTATAGCCGGTTCCCCATGGCACGAAAGATGAGGTGGTGGTGAAGATCCAGGCGGTCGAGTTCGGCTTCGTCGTTGGGCAGGGCATATCGCCCCGGCTGGAAGCCGTGGTAGGTGCGGCCATAGCGCGTAGGGTAGTTGTAGATCGAGGATGTTACTGAAGACGTGTAGGAGGAGATTTCGTCGCCAAAGGCCGAATCGTTGTCGAGGTCGTCTCGTTGGTTCTGGTTAAGCTCGGGCGTAACTGGAAGAAGTTCGTTGTGATCACCGGGCGCGACGGAGGAGGACGGTGGGTTTTCTGTGGGCGACGGCTGTCGCTCTGATTCGGCCATGCTTCATCATCATCTCAAATACGTGGCATCAGGTGTAGTAAGTAGGCATTCGGGATGGCAGTGAACTCTCAGTGTCCCGCCCAAGACATTCTGACAGAGTAGTAGCAACCGACAGAAGCCGTGGGGTGACATCAGCCTAGCTCCCGGGTTTCTCAGAACAGTTCAAGCGAGCACGCTTAGGCTCGCTTCGGGGCGGGCTCGGGCGAGCACGTTTACTGCCCCCGCGCCCTAACACGATTCCCGTGATAGGCGCGGTCAAACACGTGGCAGCAACCCCGCTGGTTCGAGACATTGGCATCCGATCGATAGAATTCATGCGCAGTGGCGGGCGAGATATATTCGGGCCAATATCTTTACTATCTCTGCTGCTGGGCGGGGTAGTGGGATCCGCGTCGAGTGCAAGAGAATATGAGGCGGGTCGTGTGAGCAGACTTGACTAAGCAGGCCACAGTAGAAACGAGATCACAGCATACTGAGCCATTGCACCTGTCTTAAGTACGAAATCTACTAAGTTATGATGATGTGCCTAGGAGATACCCACAGTGGCTCGACAGAGGCTTCGGCTGCCTACAGCCTCGCTTTCGTCTCGTCCAGAATCACCCTGACATTCTGATGAAGCTCCCGCACGATATCCGCAGCCGGGCAAATCTCATTTACCAATCCCACGGCAGTACCACACCAAACAACAGCCCTCCTGCTCGCGCCCAGACCTTTGTCGTCGGACTCCAAGGCTTGAGAATGTCGTTTGCGAATCTGGTCAATGCCCACACCATTCGCATAGTCCTCGTAACTCTTCGAGACGATTGCCCGGCCATCGTAAGCGGCAGGCCAGACATTAGGGCCACGCAGTTCGTCGAAGACTTTGGCACGGATGGTATACTGTCCGCCGTCGTGGGTGTCGAGGATCTGTTGCTGGTACAAGGGCGGTGCAGTGACTTCTTTGGATGCCAGAAATCTCGTGCCCATCACCACCCCATCGGCACCAAGGCTCAATGCCGCTGCAGTACCCCGAGCATCGACAATGCCACCCGATGCGAGCACGCCGACATCGTATCCATCGCGGGCCAGAGCATCCTTGGCCTCGGGAAGAAGTGAGATAACTCCAGCACCACTTTCCCAACCATGGCCACCAGCATCTTTACCCTGCATAACGAGTACATCCGGCTTTGCGTCTTTGGCTAGCTGAAGCGCGCTTCCAACAGTTCCCGTCTGGATCCATAGTTGCGACTCCGGGCACAGCTTCCGAATGTCCGTCGCCCATTCGGTATAATCGCTCAGCGCTGTCTCGGCGAACAGCCAGATCACGGCCGGTTTATGTTTGGCCAGGGTTTCCAAGAACTCGATTTTCTTCTTCCCAAGCGCAAATAGTAACAGGCCGACGCCAATGGGCAAGCAACTATTGCTTTTCACCGCTGGCTCGGCGTTGAGAAGACTGGCTGCCTTTGTGAGCTGCTCCGACAGAACGGCTGCGTCCATCAAGGCCCCAACCATGCCGAGGCCACCCGCACGGGACACAGCAGCGGCGAGCTCCGGGCCCGCAAAGCCGCCCATCGGCGCGTTGACGATCAGCGGCGAGGACGCCCATGTGAACTGTGTTCGAAATGCCATACTTACAGTACTGAAGCTGGGAATATGTGGTCGTGTATTTATACCCATGACAGCCCCGCGGAAGTGTCCGCTTGGCTATCCGCCTTAAATCTGACCTAAGAGCCCCAAGTGCTGACATAAATCCGCTGTCCACGACTCCGCACTACTGACTCTTATTCCAAACTTGCTCTCGCTGAAATGATGAGCTTTTCGATTACCTTTGCCCACTTCCGTGCATTTTTGATATTGTTGTCTTCGAAACTTTCGACAAGGCCCGGGAAGGTAGCACCAGCGTATCCTGTCCAACGGCCGGGGGCGAAAATGACATGTTTGAACCACGGACGGTCATCAAGTCCCTCCGGGTAGAGAAATTGTCGTTCAAGCAACTTGTACTTGGAGTTTGCCTTGCGCACGTCGTAGTAGAGCTTGACTTTCTTCCACCACTTCCACCATGGCATATCATCTGTCAGGCGAGTGGCAAGCTCAGCCGTGTATTCGTCGAAGGTCCGCGCAGCATCCTTGAAATCATGAATTGCAACATCGAGAGCGTTGAAGCTGAATTCGGTGGTAGACGCCTCAGCTTTCTCTTTGACGCTATCAAGGTATATCGCCAGCGCGTTGGCATATTCGGTGGCACTCAGGGCGATGATCGGAGTTTCGGAGAGTGTGATGGTGAAAAGCCCGAGCAGCTGCGCCATGGTAGTGTGATGCAACCAGCCCGGGTCACCAAACTTCTCCATCCATCCGAAGCTATCGTAGTTGGAGTGGTAATGATACACTGGATCATTGGGGCCGGCACCGTAGCCGAAATCCATCGACGCGATACCAGCAAAGTCCTGGAAGGCGGTGAAGTCGGATCCGGAGCCCATCGTACTGATATAGCCATCCCAGGTATCTTTGACCGTTTTCGAATGCTTTCCAGGGGCGGATACGGAGCCAGTGACATTGTGGATCAGACTGTTCAGTAGTGGTGAAGCTGAAACTTTGAAAGCGTCACCCCGAGCGCCGACATCGACGTTGAGATAGGCGACAGCGGTTGCTGAGAGCCAGGGAATGTACTCTTCAACCCACTCGGTAGATCCGACAAGGCCATACTCCTCACCATCCCAGCTAGCAAAGACAATCGTGCGCAGCGGCTTCCAGCCAGCAGACAAGGCCGTGCCGACCGAGCGAATTACCTCATTGAGAACCGCAGACCCAGAATTGGGGTCGCCAGCTCCACCAGCAATCCACGCATCACGGTGGTTGCCAACCACGACCACCTCATCGGGAATCGTGCCATTGACTACGCCGATGACGTTCCACAAAGGGGTGACAACGTACTCCTGCTGATTATATAAATTGAGTTCGAGCTTGGAAGGACCAATGCTGTAATCAACACCTTTGTGGACAAGACCGCCTCCCTGCCAGTACTTGTTGAAAGCTGTAGCATTCGGACCATGCCCGTTCAAAGCTTTGAGGAGGGGCAAGGCATCGGCGTAAGATATTGGGAGAGAGGGGATCTTGGGTGTCGAGTTGTGAGGGTCGACTCGAGGAGCACCTGGTTTCGAAGGGTATCCTGGCGTTGTGGGATCTCCTGGAAGCACACCTGCAACACCTGTTAGTTTTGTCAGTGCATCCCTGTCTCAATACGCACTTAGAAATTGCACACTTCCTCTCTGGACACTGCTTGGATTCCTTGCAGGTCCAGCAGGGTAAGGCTTGTAGCCATTGACCTCGGTCATGTTGCCGTCCAACTGAGGATCATCGTACACGACCACTCCAACCATACCGAGCTCTTGAGCTCGCTTGACCTTGAGACCACGAAATACTCGTCCGTACTTGGCGAGTGCGATCTTTCCCTTCAGGTCAATGCCAGCATCTACCAGATCTTCAAAATCTTGGAATGTGCCAAAGTTGACGTACACATACTGTGCCGTGACATTGCCGCTCGCCGAGTATCCGTGGAAAGTTGGGATGTCCGGGTGCGCAGTTGGGTCTTCTTTGAGGATGTCCTCTTTCAGAGAGCATTCATACTTGATCTTGTCACCGTCCAAAAGGGCCAATCTGTGATCTTCCGGATATGTCAGATAGGTCTCATATGTTGCGATATCTGCCTTGACTCCCATCTCTTCCCACCTCTCCCGTGTCCAGAGCGCCTGACTGAGGTTTTTGCCAGCCAGATGAGGCCCCGAAGTATAGTACTGGCTCCATTTACGAGCTTGTGACGGCTCAGGTGTACTGAGAATGAGCTCCTGAAGCTCGGAGAAGCTCAGACCCGTGCTTTGAGGCCATGACTGCGGGACAGGAGGTTTACCGCCATGCGGACGATGATGAGGATGATGCTTGTGCTGTCGTACAACCGACCAAGGTATGAGGAAACCGATGACCACTAGCACCAGGCAAGAGGACAAGGCAATCGTGCAGAAACGTCGGAACGTAGAGTGAGGGAATCGTCGCCTGGGCTGAGTGACCAGCACTGTCTGAACGAGGGGCGTACGTTCGTCCATCGTGCCCATTGCAGAGATGAGGAGGGCCTGAAATCCAAAGGAACAGGAAAACACTTCCACCGCTTCTGCCTCTGTGCGATCGGTAGCGTGTCGGAGAACAGCACCTCCTCCCACTCTACAGATTGTGAGTCGTCTGCGCGGTTGAATTGACTCGAAGCGATCATTGCGTCACCGTCTCCGTTATGAGGGGAACCACGAGGCTGCATACATCACGCAACAAGGCTGAGGATTTTCTTCTCGTGGATCAATGTTTACGCGACTTCTTCTCCTTCCTCTGCACAGTGTTACAATGTGCCTGGATCAATTTTCGAGGACAAATCGAGTAGCGGGAACAGCAGCGACGGTGGATCGAGTCCAGCCGATCCAGAAAACCAGAGATAGGCCGTACCGCTTCCGGACATTCATGACATGAAACCATTTTACCCGCTATATACAATAGTACTCCCAGTGAAACGCTCAGTTCATAGGCCCGCATCATCATAGCTCTTGCTCTTCTTGAGGGGCGGCTTCACAGCAGCGGGGCTCTTGCTCAAGCCGTTGAGGAATTCCTCCTTCCTGCTGCCGGTCAAGTTCATGTGCTCAGCAACAAACGTCCTCGGCGTCTGCGCCAGCCACTGCTCGACACTAAAGTCCTCGAAGCGAGGAGCGCGGAACATCTCGAGCATCTCGACGGGCTCGTCACCAATGTTCTCGACGTAGTGGGCGTGGTTCTTGAGGATGACGGCAACGTCGCCGGCCTGGTAGTTGAAGGTGCGGGCATTGCCGTTGCTGGCGAAGATGGTGACACGCGCCTTGCCGCTGATGAAGAAGCTCCACTCGTCGGCGTTAGGGTGCCAGTGCATCTCACGCAGAGCGCCCGGGTTGATGATGACATGCGCAGCCGCCACCGTCTTGGACATGGGGAAGTTGGTGCTGTCGACGATGCGCACCTCGCCGCCGTCGAACTTGATTGGCTTTTGCTCCAGAAGGCGGTGCGTGAAGCGGTGCTTGGAAGAGATGACCTGCTTGCGGTCCGAGTCGAGGGAGCCAGGGATGGAGCCTTGGAAGATGTATTTCTCCTTTTGGGACAGCGAGTCAAAGGTGCGGGCGTCAATGCGGAAGTTCTTGGCGAGGATATCCTTAGGCGTGCGGGCGAGGTAGTCCGTGAGGAGGAAGGTAGAGTCCTCGCTGAAGTTGCCATCGTCAAAGACGAGAAGGAACTCGGTGCCTTCGTCTCCAGTGCCGACGATCGAATGGGGGAAGCCAGTAGGGAAATACCTGGGCGTGTCAGTGAGGCCCGCGGAGGAGACCCAACTATCTACTCACCAGAGATCACCTTCCTCGAGATCATCGATGAAGCTGCCACCCTCGACGTCCAGAACCGTGATTCGGCAGGATCCTTTTAGAATGTATGCCCACTCCGCCTCTGAGTGCCAATGCAGCTCACGATAGACACCAGGTTCAAGCCGCATATTCACACCCGCCAGCTCTTTGGATGTGCCGAGCTCGCGCACCGTCGTCTCACGCGCCCAGCCGCCTTCCTCAAGACGCATGTGGCTGTCTGTGAAGCTCCACTTCATATTGGGCATCTTGCCGGCGTCCGTCACAGGTGGCTTGACCAGCGAGTATGACTGCTGCGCACGCTCTGGGTTATCGGGACCAAGAATATTGCTGCCTTTGCCGCCATTGATGGGCACGACGCTGCAGGGTAATGTCAGTGGGTGCTCCTCATTTCACTGCCTGTGGACGCTGCCTAAACTCACCCTTTAGATTTGGCGGTATCTCTCACACGCTCAGGGATGATCTCAGTCCATGTATTGAAATTGGGGTCACGGCGCTCCTCGAGCACGGAGCCCATGCGGTGGGTGTGAACCATGTCGTCGGTGTTGGTCGCTGTCGATGAGGTGGGGATGTTGAGTATGTCCCTACTGCTTTTCGGCAACAGCTTCCGGGTCATGCAGTCTTAAGCTTGGTTCACAGGCTCGAAGAAGGATGTAGATGACTATGAGAAGCAGCGGGAGTGGGTGTCGTATTGCACGCGTCACTTATTTATTGCATCCACTGCCTGAAGAGCTTTATTACAGCTAGCAACCCCCAACGGACAGCTCCCCTCTCGCCTCCCCATGGCGTGACGCGCTCGAAATCTGCCGCACCAACCATATCTGAAGTAAAGCTTCCTGAGCTCTCCACTCGTCTACCAAACCTTTCGCCACGACTCAAGGGCGGTTGCTCAGGTAAACGTGACCCCGCCGTTCCTCCGCGTGGCGCCCGGAGCAAGCCCAGATAGCCGGCTATACGTTCTACCACTGGCCTCGGCAACGTCGCCCCTCTCTTCTCCTGTCCATCGCCAAACGGTCCGGGTGTTTGAATTCGCGGGGGTCCAGACGCTCACGCAGGCCCTGAGTGCGGCCTTCATCCGATGCAACATTCCCATCTCCAAGACCTGGGGAACCCAAAGCTGATCTCTTTCAGGCCCCTGATGACCCTGCGGCCAAGACCTGCGAGATCTTTGAGCCGTAGCAGGGGTACCCGCTCTTCTGCTAGCCTGACAGATCCAAGAGAACGGGGTACATGAAGCTGATACTCGGCGGACACTTGGCAGATCCAGCGCTCGGTCCGTGAGAGGATCTCTCTCGTTACTCGAGCAGTGGGGTGGGGAGGCGGGGGTTCCGCATCCGCGGCGACTCTCCATCAGGCAGTGAAAATCAGTCACGGATGAAAACAGTCGCTGAGATAGTTCTCTTCCCCTACTCTTCATACACTTCCATCAAATAGATCTCGCTTCGTTGTTCGTCACTGGTTGTTCCCTCTCTCAAGCATTTCGTCTTTCAACAACAGAACACAGCTCATCAGGCTCTCTGTCCCCCGAGCAGCCCACCCAAACCACCAGCAACACCACGGCGTACTTTACGACCCAGCACCCGTCCAGGCACACACGACTCCCAATGTCCCCCGCGGCCGCCGCCAACGGCAACAACTCCGTCCCCAAGCAAAACTCGCAGACCACAACGACAACACTCTCCCCCACGATGAGCAACACCGAAGACAGTGAGTCGCAGACGACGCTCAATGGCTACGCGGCCATGGACTCCAAAAAATCGCATCTCTCGCGTTTCCGGCGGCATATGGCGCAGGATGTGCACCAGGACTGGTCCGACATCATCCTCGTCGTGCTCTCCTTCATCTCTGGCATGGTGGATTCAGCTGTCTTCAACACGTGGAGCTGCTTCGTGAGCATGCAGACTGGTAAGCCGCGTCTCCTCCTTCGATATCCCAGAACCCCTCGCATACAGCCGCACAGGTGTCAAAGAAGAGACTGACTAACGCGGCCTTTGCGAAGGAAATACTGTCTATGTCGGCCTCGGCGTCTCCGGCCAACCCTACAGCCAGCCCTACCGCTGGGCCAAATCCAGCACGGCCATTGCCTCCTTCTGCCTGGGATGCTTCGTCTTCAGTCGGGTCTCGCGGGTGTTGAAGCCCTTGAAACGGTCCACCATGGTAGCCTCGATGCTTGTACAGGTCGTTTTGTGCTTCGTTGCTTTTGGCCTCGTGGTCAGCGGCTTCGTGCCCAAGGACGCTGGTGATCGTCTACCTCACGACTTCATCGTGCTGCTGCCGCTCAGCCTGTTGAGCTTTCAGAGCGCTGGGCAGATTGTCATGAGTCGGTTTTTGGGATTCGTGAGTTTTCCTTACTCCTCTTGTTTCCCTTCGAGTTACACCCCCATCTGCCTGAATGAAGATAAACCAAGCTGATTCTCACGCCCTCCTCGCAGAACGAACTCCCCACCGTTGTCCTCACCAGCACCTACTGCGACCTCTTCATGGATTCCGCTCTGTTCACGACCCCCATCGTGACACGGGGCGCCAATCTTAAGCGCAACCGCCGCTTCATCTCCGTGATCGCGCTGGTCGTCGGTGCCGCCGCCTCGGGCTTCTTGACTGAGGACGGAGACATTGGGCACCCATTATGGATCACAGGCGTGCTCAAGATCGCCATTGGCTGCGTTTGGGTCTTTTGGCAGGGAAAGGGTGCAATTCGCCTGGAGTAGAGCAGAGTAGAGCATCAAATATGGGAGTGGAACATGCGAGTTGGGGCCTGGAGTGGTGGGCTCTTGCTGGAGAAGCCGGGAGTGGAGAAGGGAAGCAGTTGAGCACTCGACTCATCGAAGCGGTCTAGCAGTAGGCTACGTTCGCTCTTCCCTTGGCTCGAGTGCAGAAGCGCCAGCATCAGCAACGCCAGTGGCATATGAGCATAGAATCATCCCCCGTTGACCAAGCTGTAGATAAAGCCACTGCGGAGGAACAGGTCAATGGCTGGGGCCAGTGGCATGGATATGAATGCTTCCCAAATAGCATTCTCAATGAAATGAACTCCAATGCTTTCGCATCTGTTTGATATATGTAGCTTAGCTATTCACCATGATTACAGCATCATCAAATACCGACGCTATCATTCCACCACCAGTGGCTTCAGTACCACTGCTAATCCACGGATCGCGCCACATATCACTCACCACCTTTCACTTTCACCGCCTTGACCTTCACCCCAAGCACCACCCGCCTAAACGAACCCTCACACAGTCCGGCTCTCAAGTCCTCGCCAGCCTGATCTCTCACCCGCTCCAGCGCGCCCTCCGCCCCACAACAAGGCTCCTTCAACTCCGCTCTTAGTCCCGGTGTTTCCAAAACCGGCCAGCTTCTCCCTTCGGCAAAACGTTTACGCCCCACATCTCACTTTCCTCGCGCTGAACCTCCTCTATTCCCACACCAGCTACAGCCGACTATCCAGCATCCCGTTCCCACCCAACTCGCAGCTGACCCGCATACCGCCCGGTGGCCTCTGTTGCGTTCAGACTCATCGCTCAACTGCCCGACATCACGCCCCGTGAACCCGGTGGCTGGTGGACCCGCGGACGGAGGGCTGAATGTTGTACACCATCCACCGTAGTCCGTTGCCATCTCGGTATCGGAACGTCCAGATCCATGTACCAAATGCAGCTCGTAGACCGACTTTTCCCGGGGCATAGCCTTCCCACACCCAGAACCGCCACGGATACTTTTCGCATAGTGTGTAGGATGTAGGATGTATCTATCACCCGCTGCTAGAGCATGGGGTCCACCCAGTCTCCAGAGCGGAACGGTCATTGTTTCCATCACTACACTGGTCTTGGGTAGATAAGAAGGACAATGATATCGGTTTCTCGTGCCGGTACCGGGTATCGGAATCTAGTTTTCAACATATGGCATGTGGGCTCTCTCGCTGGCAGGGGACAGCCACAAAGATTGGGAAGGCAAAGGGGAGGGTTGTGGGTAGATAAGTAGTTCCGTATCTGCCCGTGTGTATGTCCTGAAGCCCTTCCCCCTCCCTCTCTTTACAAGAGAGGGTGCATCAGTTTTCCAGAGGTATCATTTCATCAAAGGTGTGCTGGCCGGCTGGTAGGCATAGGAAAGCAGTCTCCCCCGTTCCCCAGTCCCAGCCGACGGCTTGCTGTCCCAGCCAAAGGCCCCATCTCCATCGTTCATAGTTTCGTCACATCATAAAAGCAGCCCGACATTAACAGCAACAACGAACGCTAACAAGAAACAACGACCACATACGTCAATCATCGCACAACGTGCCCACCACCATCATCACCACCACCCCGCTCAACGTCCTTCTCATCGAGCTCCCGCGCCTCGCTGGGAGGCGACTCGGTCATCTGTGGCAACACGATGTCTCAGCAAAGCGCCACTCTGCGTTGGTGTCTCGAGAAAAGAAAAGAATTTCGGCTTTTCATACCTTTTCGCGGTGCTCGGCGCTACCCTCGGGCGGCGTCTCATCGCCCTTGACGACAACGTTGATATCCTCGCGCATCACCGAGCCACGATCCGTCACGGCGTCTGCGACGTTGCGATAACATCTGACCGTCTTCGCACCCTCGGGAGCAGGACTGTCAGAGCCGGAACTCGAGTCCGCATCGACCATGTCCCAGCCGGCGCGCTCGAAGCGGAAGCGGACGTTCTGCTGACATGCGGCAAAGCGGATTTCGACGTCCTTGCCGCCGTATTTCTTGATCTCAGCGAAGACCTCCTTCATGGCGTGCAGTGCTGTGGCGTCTGTGTGTGTCACTTTGGAGAAGTCCATGATGACGAGACGGATGGGCGGGAGGGCGTCGACGTCAGTGATGCCGGCGCGCTTGCGTAGCTTCTTGACGCGCTGGATGCCCACGACGGACCACATTCGGTCGGCCTCGGCACCGTTGGCGCTCGAGTATGTGGGCGCATGGTAGGTCTTGACACCGTCGACGAGCTGCGCCTTGATGCGCGTGGCGTTGGGGAAGAAGACGTTCTCGTTGAAGCGGAAGACGCGCACGTCGTCGGGGATGTTAGACGGCATACCGCGCGCAGCGTCGATGGATCGCACGATCTCAGAGCGTGAGTTGCTGCCGATGGATTGTGTGCGTTGCCAGGCTAGACGGAGGAGGTAGTAGACGACTGACCAGCCTACGCCGGCACCGATGCCGGTTTCGGAGTTGACGAAGAGCGTCAGCCAGAAAGCGAGCATGGCCGCGATGAAATCAGCCAGCGAGGTGCGCCAGAAACCGTAGTAGGTGCGCCAGTGGCCGATCAGAGGCCAGATGGCAGTGATGACGATCGCCGCCAGGGTAGCTTTGGGAATCCAGTACAGTGCATCCGTGAGTTCGTAAAGGCAGATGAGCACTGCGCCTGTGGTGACGAAACCGGAGAGGGGTGAGCGAACGTTGCATTGAGCGTTGACAGCAGTACGAGACATGGCCCCGCCCACACCCATGGCGTTGAAGAAGGAGTTGACGAAGTTCGTGACGCCCAGATAGCAGAGCTCCTGAGAGGGGTCTGTGAGGTAGTTGCCTCTGGCACCGAACGCGCGCGCGATGGCAACATGCTCAACAGCTGCAGCGATGAAGGCAGCAATGGCGTGGGTGGCAGTCTTGTTGATGAGTGCCGATTCGGGGACCTTGGGAGGGATGATGCCTCTTTGTGTCATTTTGGTGACTGCAAACAGGTAGTCATCTGAATCACGGTCCTTGTTGACGGCGTAACTGATCCCAGTGTACAGAACAAGCACAGCAAAGGCTCGAAGGATCGAAACCAGCCACGCGACCTTGTACTTCTTGCCCCAGCGGGTGCCAATGTGCTGCATGAGGCAAAGCATGACAATACCGGTGACGCCAATTGCGGCAGTGTTGCCATCAGCATCAGGAAGCGTAGCGAAAGTGTCGTGAACAATGGCGGCAAAGCCGTCTCCAATGTCACTCTGGCCGATGAGATTTTTGACCTGTCCTGAACCAATGATAATGGCAGCGGCTGAAATGAAGCCGGTAAGCACAGGCTCGGAAATGAACTCGAGCAAGAATCCCAGCTTGAGGAAGCCCAGAATGATGCCGTAGACGCCCATCCAGAGGGCAACACACGCGGCTATGTCCTGTGCCCGGTAGCCCTGGGGCTCCAGAGCGTGGACCGCCTCCGAAGTCAGAAGGCCAATCAGTGAAGTTGGGCCGGTGGAGAGATCTAAAGCAGTCAGCGTCACATTCTCGCACTCTATAACGGCGTGATTGCGTACCCTTGGAAGTGCCCATGAAGGCGTAAATGGTGGCAGGGAGCCAGCTAGCCATCAAGCCGTACTCAACTGGAATGGTAGCAATGGCAGCATATGCCAAACTCTGGGGAATCAGCATGACGGCCAGCGTCAAGCCTGCAATGACATCTGAGATGAGCCATCGTGGTCTATAGCGGGGTAGCCAGCCGACGATGGGGACCTTCTCGAGTAGATAGCCGGCGGCGGCAGCAGGCGCAGCCTTTGCTCCGATGACTGAGTATCTACCAACACGATCCCAAGTATGGTCCGTGCGGAAAGATTGCTTTGCCCTCTCAACGAATTTCGACATGCTGGGTAATGTTCAGAATAATTGACTGTGAGAGAGATGTGGCAAGACGATGGCGAGGAATGCGTGCATGTATATCAGATTGCTCGCTGTATCCCCGGTCCAAGAGGGTATGTCTCCAACCCCTCGAAGTCACAACATCAAGGACTCTGAGTGGCTGTCAGCAACACCATGTCGAAGCAAGCCGCGATCTACCACAAGGTCCGGATCTAGTGGATAAGGTCGCCCATTCTCAGATAGACGTGGCGTCTGGGGTTGGCGGCTTGTGTGGAGGCTGACCAGGAAGAAGGAGAAGCGAGGAAGCAATGAGCCCGTTGCCGGTTGCTCGCATAACCATGCGTGAAAGCCAAGAAACCCTCGCTGTAGCCATGTGGAGTTTATCGAATGGTTTGCAAGAGGAGTAGCCAATTGAGCTCGTGCGAACGGTGGACGGTAGTCCATTAGTAAAGACTACCCCGGTCTTGTGTGCGGGGGTGGGGTCGAAAGCGCCCTCAGCAACGCCGGTGAATGGCCTTGGAGGCGAGGCACCGAACAGTTCCCGCTCTCCAGAAGCCTGCTCGTTGCCTGCCGGATACAGTATTTCCTAACCAGCAATGGCTTCCTGTTGAACTGCGGTTCAACGATCTGCCGAAGAGCAGTGGCAGGGTGAACGAATAAGCTGTGGCTTTTCCGACCGCCATCGAATTTGCAATCGACATCGGCGTGCTGCTGACCGTCGACATGACTTGTTCGTGCATCGGCTAATTCTTTACCGCTTCCGACATTGTCTTGAATGTCGATATCTTATCTCTGGTGAACATATATCGACCGCCGTCTTGCTTCCTCTCTATTACATTCGACACACGGGCGAAGCTTTCGTGTTTTTACGCACGCTCCGGTGTGCAAATGATGTCGATAGCAGGTGCCACTGACTGAGTGAATCTGTCGAAAATGCTCATGAAAACTGGACAATATCCACTGACTTGCATGAGAGAGCCGTGTCGGAGGTTGACCTGAACCTAGTAAGCAGGGTCTGGGCTACAGCGTTGGCGAAGGTGAGATCTGAGCTTGCATGCGAACCGAGATGCATGCTCGTATCATTGTTCTGCGTATGACCATTGGGCAATGAGGGGTACTGGGCCTGTTTGAGCAATTGTCGCTGCACGCTTGGACCGTCGCAATCGGGAGCTGAGTTCTGGTCGAATAAGGTGGCGAACAAGACGGGGTACGGGATGCAATGCAACAAGGGCTTTTGCGCCCTAGTGGAGGGGCACCACATGACTGAGTGAGTGGCTGTAACGGAGTATAGAGCCTCGCGCTGGATAGATAGCAGTGTTGTGTGCTCGAAAAGGTTCTTCCGTCTCTGCGGCAAGGACATATCTCGTACTCCTGGGGCACCTGTCTCGGGCGTTCAAGGTTGGCTCCGGCGTAGGAGGTGCTTGTAGAAGGACTGACATTGTGCTTGTGGGCCTAACAAACTCCTGCCAATGCCAATCAAGGACATTGTGGCCATTCTTCCCCCACACACGTACTGCAGCTCTAGCGGATGTGGTCTGAGACTGACGCCCAGACGTTGCGCGCCGGCTCAGTCCCTGGCGTGGGTACTCGCAGTGCATGGACAGATGATTCGGTTGATAGTTTCTGCTTGCACGATGAGCCACAATCATTTGGCATTGATAGGCAAGGCCGAAGATTTCAGGGGTTCCGCGAAATCCTCCTTGTAACCAGCTAAGCTCTACTCAAGCACTGTTCATCTGCTTGTACTTCACTGTTTCCTTGATTAGACCGTAACAAGGCCAGACAACATGCTTACCATCACATTTCTCCCGGTTATTCTGTGTTTTGTTGCTCTCCACATCATTCTCATCAACCGAAACCATTGAGCAAGTCGAGGACGTTGGCCAAGAATACCAGACCAAAAATCGGCGACCGCTCTTCAAGTGACAGGGACGGCAACGAATTACCAGCGACGGGACCTCGGAGTCGTTTCCGCTGGAACATGACTGCCTGCGTCCCGACTACCCAGCATGGCCAAAATTGAGCAAATACCTAGTCAGTGACTGTCGGCAGCTGAATAAGTGTCTTCGATCGTAAATGGTCTGGGACTTCCATCACTCCACTCAAGAGCAAACAGCCGTGGACTTGAGAGTGAACAACAGTAGCCAGGCAAGTCCCTGCAGAGGTTGCCTTCCATCGACTTGTCAAACATCCAGATGAGGTCCGGCTACAGCTTGGACGGCGCTGGGGCAGCGCTGAAGTAGGTCCAGACACCCTGGTCCACCCATGAAGGTGTTCAGCACATAATATTGTTGAGTTGCTCAATGGCTGCGTCACAAGCATCACAGTCATTTCCACGGATCGGAGAATATCAACAAGTCAATCCTTTTCGAAACAGTGTTTCGTACGGTGCAGCCCGCGAATCATTTTGCATCTGAGGCGATGCAGTCTCGAGATTCAAGGACGGTTGCGATGTTCCCGGAAGACTTCTCACAATTCGTCCTCACCTCTTGAGAAGGCGTGGGCCATCTAAGAAGGTCTCGGTATCAACGAGCTTCTCGGCGGCGGCCCCCTGGGCAGCAGGGCCGGAATCCGCAGTCAATGAGCTCATTGCTGCCACTCGGCGCTGGAACGGAACACCCCGGATGGCACAGATGTGCGAGATCCGAGATGATGTGACTGCTGCAGGGAGAAGAAGATGCATCAACAACATTGTGATGGAAAGGGCCGCCGAACGCGACTTACCGTCCGAAAGACACACGCCACTGCCAAGAACAGGCATGGTGCTCAGCCGGTCACAGAGGACTGCATCTCGATCACGATGACGGGGACAATGACAAGCCAAAGCCGGGCGCGAAGAAACTTCTTTGAAGTAGAAGAAGTAGAACATATCGTTTCTCACTATCAAAACACATCTAACATGTCATATATAACAGGCAGTGCAGTCCACAGCTTTCAGGAAATAGCCGCCAAATATTCATGCAATACGCTGTTGGTCGTGAGCTCATTCAACACCCCTTCTCATCCCACATCTGCTCGCATGATGCCCCTCTCTTACCCAGCCTCTCGATGAGAACCCTTTTATCTATACACTGGCGCCTGACTTGGCTGATACGTCTGCAGCGGAATGGGCATATGTCCCGGCGGAGGCGATCCATACGCTGGCGGCGCAGCACCACCTCCGTAGCCGCCCTCCCTGAAGTTCATAGCCGCAGGCGTGTTCATGGCCTGCTTGCGCATCGCGCGCCTGCGCTTCAAGAGAATCAAAGCCGTGATGCCAGTGAAGATGAGAATGGTGAGGATGACGAAGCCGATAATGGGGCGGTAGTGGCCGGCGAAGCGGAAACCTACTACGGCGTTGACAAGGCCAAGGCCCACACTGAAGGGGCCGAGGATGCGGTGCACGATCATGAATTTGGCGGGTGCGCCAGTCTTGCGGTAGATGGCGTGGCCGGCGGCGCCGACGACGAGAGCGGCCACGACAAGGATTAGGGCGATGAGGCCCATGATCTGATGAGGAGCATTGATGTTGGGGGACTGGGGAATAATAAGAATCCCGGAAGGGAGGTCAGAATTGGGAAGAAAAACTCACGATTTGCTGCTGCTTGCTCGCTGCGATGCCCAATGAAGTCGCAATAATGACCACCAGAGCGGCCAGCGTCTGCACGCCCGCGTGAATAAGCACCTTGTCCAACAGCCTAAGCACCGCATATCCAGCCGGGAAGAGAATCAAGAACGCTCCAATCATCAGCACGGCATGCGCAATGATCATGGCACTTTTGTCGAAGAAGCGCGGACGTCCACTGTCCCCGACCGGCGGTCCATCATTGCTTGTGCGCGTATCCTCGAGCTGAAATTGCGGCACACCGGGCTCGCCCTCGGCACTGCGCATATCGATCGAGAAGCGACCCTTGGCTTGATGCAGTGCAATCGTGGCGTCCAAGTCATCGCTGCGCAGACTTCCCGCGCGTCCACTGCCCCAGATCATAGGCTGTGCGCTGGCGCTGGTATCGATGTTTCCGCCGCTCCAACGCCTGCAGTTCTCGCACATGCCCCTAACGATAAAGCTATCGTTTGCGATCTGGCTGCCCATGTCGGTGAATGTAACATCGGTCGTATGCTCCGGCATGACGTGTCCGGTGCCGAGACGTGGGGAGACGGTGATGCCATTGCCGGCTTCATTCTGGTAGGCGACGAATATCAGCGCGCCTGACATGCCATCGCCGAAGCCGAAAGCGCCCCATGACACGCTGCGGGCGGGCAGGCGGAAGTTGAGGAACAGGGCATCGGAGGAGTTGGAGGGTACGTTGACAGCAAAGGCGAGGCCGCCGCCGATGCTCTGGCTTGCGGAGGCAGGTTCGGCACTCGTGAATGAGAGGAGTGTAGTCAATAGGAGAACGAGGCGCGTGAAGAGAGGCGGTAAATGCCCCATCGTAATGTATGTAGTGATAATATTGCGCGCAAGGATCGTATAAGCACTGGTCAACAGCGCGCAGGGTGTTCAACACCGAATTTGAGGTATATCTTCGAACGGCTGTAAAACAAGTCGGGGTCCAAGGCAGCCTGATGGCTCTGCTTTTATGAGAAGGTCGAGGCAGACACCAGAGATTGTGGAGGCAGCTGTGCACGATATCAAGAGCGACGATATATCTCAACACAACCCGCGAGCGAACGCAAGACGCATGCGAGCGACGAAGCGAGGGGCCGTTGTTGCAGTTTGTGTCTCAGTAACACGGGTTTGGCAGGCGGAGGAGTGGTTTTTGACGCCCGCTGGTGGCCCTGGGAATCCTTTTCAGTGGCTCAACGGCGGCGGCTGGGATCGCGGCGCGTCGATTCATCTTGCTCCCAATTCAACAACAAGCCTCTTAGCGGTCAGGGGCTGATAAACCGAACCAGCTGCGGCACGATTTGGCTTTGCTTGGGCGTTGGGGATTTAGGCTCCGGGAATCACAGACGCAGAGTTTTGCTGTTCCTGAATCTGACCTGGGCAGCCAGACGATTGGATGGCCAGCAGTGACAGTCCTGAAGGAGGACTAGCGTCGTCCGCATCCGAACGACTGTCAGGGGTGCGGCGTCTCCAAGGCTCAAAAATAGGGCCGGGGAGGGTCTGACAGGACTGCCGGGCCAATCGTGCAGGGCCTAAATGCTGACTTTGACTGGTGGTTGTGGCCCTGCAGGAGGGGTGTTTGGAAATTGTTTTAGAAATTGCATTGGCCCAGATCTCAGTGGCCTGGCGGCGGCCAGTCGGTCGATGGCGACATTTGCTTGTCTCTATGCTGACCCGCAAGCTTCAATCGGAGGTTGTGTACGGGGTATGGGAACACTTCCAAAATGGAGGTTGATGAGTTGGCAATGCGTGAAAGCCTGTAGCACCGGGCTGGACTTGTAGCCTCAGTTCCAGCTGAACTTCAGCCTTGTCGTTGAGGCGGGCCGTTTCGTGTTGGCGCCCGAGGGCTTTGCTTTTCGCCGGCGCAGAAGGGTCTAGACTGATCTTTAGCCAGGCTCGAATGTCTGCCGACCAATGATCCGATGTTGGGGTAATGGAGGACGACGAGGACGACCTTGCAATCTTTGACGCACTGATCGACCCTAGAGTCTGCTAGTAGTGTTCTGCAGAGAATGCATCGCGCAGCTCCGTGCGTGACCGTGAGCGATGGTAATTCATATTTGGTCGATGAAAGCATACTTTGGCTGACCACAGAGCTAGCCCATTTTCGACCTTCGTCGCCTGCCATGCCTGGGAAAGCAAGGGTGTCTTGTGAGCATCAGACGGATGACGAGGAGATATCAAGTCAAAATCTGAATGATTGTTTGTGTTCGCAAAATCACCCAGTAGAGCCTTCCAGCAGTCATCTGAGCCGCTGCCTTCCGCCAAGCGTTGGTTAGAACTTCTTGCAGGTTTATCGTGACTCCTCCTTTGCTATGCTCCTCTTTTGCTCATCCACCAATACTGTCATGAAGCGCAGAGATCTCAACTGTGCGTATCGTAGATTCGGCGGCCTGTGCTGGATCTTCGTGTTCTGCACTGCTCAGGGTAGTCCCTCTGTTGACCGGTCTGCAGGGTGTCATGAAGGACAAGCCCAGGATTGGCTCCGACGCACAGGCATTCGACACGTGACTATGCATACCAGGGTACTTCGCCGTGACCGCTACTTGACAATACGGGACAGGCTTCGGGAGAGTGATTGCTCACCTACAAATTCTTCGGGCTCGAGCTACTGAGCTTTCCGATTGGACGTAATGAAGCATACGTGGAGAGAATCTGCCTTACCTGTGCACATGAAGACGAGTCCAGTGGAAATGATAGGTCCCGAGGCCCAAAGACTAGCTTCCAACTGGATCAAAATACGGACGAGCTGAACTCCCGAATGATCAAGGCCACCATCTGGCCTTGCGATGACGACGCACAGAACCGGTCAACGACTATACCTGCAGCCTACCCGTAACATTGTCGACTATTGATTGAGTCAACAAAACGCATACTGCTCGATCACGAGCTCCAGGTGCATCCAGACCTGGGGCAATACGGATGGTGGTACAGGGCTGAATCCTCGCCGCCGAATTGGGATCTCGACGATGGTAATCGCTGGGGGCGGGAACGAGTATAAATTGCAACCTCTTGTGTTCATCAGACTCTGACAGCTCTCACTAAGCATTCATCATGTCCAAGACTGAGAGTGTTCTTCAGAACGGTCAAGAGGCTGGCGGCTCCATGACTGCAACTGTGCGTGCCTTCGCCTGCCATGGCACGCCACTGCGAGGTCTCATGTCGACGGCCAACTCCCTCACCTTCGAGGGGCGTTTCGGTCGTATGTTCCCCAGCAGTGTCATTGCCGCAAACTATGGCACTACTGAGCAGCAGAGTCGAGACGCCTTGAAGAAATTGGGCTCGGCAATGACTTCCACGTTCGACAAGCCGAAGGACGGATTCGATGATGAGGAAAGTGGAATACCGGCCCTCTATACGTACTTTGGTCAATTCATCGATCACGACCTCACTTTCGATCCGGTAACCACCCTAACCCAACGTTTCGACCCAAACGGCCTCACGGACTTCCGGACCCCAGCACTCGACCTTGACAACGTCTATGGGCGTGGTCCTGACGATCAGCCCTACATGTACGACGGAAACAGGTTCATCCTTGGTGCAAAGCTCGCTAACGGCGCCCCTGATCTCCAGCGGAACAGTGCTACTCCCGCCCGTGCAATCATCGGGGACCCACGCAACGACGAGAATAGCATCGTTTCACAGTTTCAGGCACTGATGCTACGATTCCACAACCGCGTTGTGGATGAAAACCCAGGAATCGACTTTCCGTCGCTTCAGAACATCGTTCGCTGGCACTATCAGTGGGTAATCATCAATGACTTCCTCCCACGAATCATCTCTTCAAGTGTGCTCGACAAACTCAGAACCAATGGTCAGTACGACCGCACGAAGGTCAAGTTCTTCCAATGGAAGGAAAAGCCATTCATGCCTGTCGAGTTCTCAGCTGCTGCTTACCGGCTCGGTCACTCAATGATTCGCCCGGGCTATCGCCTAAATGATCACAAATTGTTGGCAATTTTCCCTGTGCCAGTCACTGTTGACGGTGCATCAGATGGCGAATTCTCGAAAGAAGGTCTGACCGGTTTCACGGCGATGGACAAGGACCGCTATATTGACTGGGGCAGGTTCGTTGATGTTGGGCCCCTCCGGGCTCGCGGTAAAGAGCCAGAAGACAAGAAGCCTGCAGACGATGAGATGAAGAAACGGTTGCAATTCGCCTACCGGCTCGATGCATCCATCGTCGAGCCATTGGCCGATCTGCCCAAGTCTGTCGCTGCTGACGATCCGCCATCACTGGCTCAGCGCAATCTCCTTCGTGGGTTTGAGCTTGGTCTGCCATCCGGACAGTCCGTGGCCCAGGCAATGGGCATCACACCCCTTTCCGATGATCAGATCTTCATCACCAAAGCGACGGATGACCCTCGCAAACACGAGGACTCCATTGCCGGCAATCCAGCCTACGCGATTTTCCGGGGGAATTGCCCGCTGTGGACTTATATTCTCGCCGAAGCTGCAGCTACCGCCACTGAGACGGACAAAAAGATCCCAATACCTGTTCTGCCAGACTCGGATGGCAAACCAATCACGGTCACAACGCCACAGCTTGGTGAAGTTGGCGGCCGCATTGTGGCCGAAGTGTTCCTGGGCCTTCTCTTCGGCGACAAGAGCTCCTTCCTCTCCGCTTGTCCCGGCTGGACTCCATCTATCGGCGGCGTAGGGAGTGGATTCGCCCTTCGCGATATTGTGGCTTATGCTCTTGGTGACAAGGCCCATGCAGTCTGATTTAGCTAGGCGAGAATACCTTCGTTGTCTGCTGGTGGCGCTCTAGGCCGACTCAGCGAACTCGAAGTACTTTCTTCATGGTAATTTGCCCCGTGTATCTGAAAAGCGCTATAAGTTGCAGGGCCTGAAATCAAAATTGAAAGCACTCCTTATGCATTGTTAGTATGGTGATTAGCCAATAAACAACGGCCATGATAAGCGGCTCGAATTGCGAACCTCTCGCCATGTACCAAGCTATGCCCGGCATGCACCCTTATCGTGACTTCACTTGAATGTTCCCTCTCTCACATCTGACGGCACCGGAACTCGGTCTTCGGTATCGTGCAGAAGCCACAATTCAACAGACAATTCGCGGTAGATAGTACTCCCGACGATGGCGGAAGACATCAGCCTTCCGGTTCTTTGTGACACATAGCTCAAGATGAATTTGTCGTATCAGGCCCAGGCTGACGAACACCCCTCACAGACTTTTTCAAGACAGATCGGCAAGGGGAAGCGCTCTACCTGCCACAGACAGCGAACCTGTGTGCCCACAAAGTAGGCAGTCCTGGTGGGCCGGCCTTCTTGGCGGACGAGGCAATTAGGCGTAAGGCAATTGTGCCACGAACCGTATCACGTCCCTCATCAGTCGCCACAGCGGGACCTACACATACGTGATTGCGTACGACGCCACCTGGGCGTCGAGAAACTCCATAGAGCTCTAGACCTCTGACGGTACGTGTACGTGTACGGACAACGAATGTTCGAGCCACGAGGAATATGAATGCACTTTCTCCTTATCATCTACGGGGCGGGCGCGGGCAGCAACAAACGGAATACTTCACGGCAACACCATTGTAATACCCGAAGGACTTGACCGAGACCCTCTAGCGAGAGTAGATTATGATTTTCATTCCTCAATTCTGACACTCAAGCGCTATTCTGTAATTACAACTATAACGCAGCAAAATCCCAACCCGCTTTCTCTACTTTAAGACGTGAACCTACGTCTGTGAATCCCAACCCACATTCCAGCCCTAGTCTGTGCCTTGTAAACTTGCCCACGATATAATCCTATGCCAGAACGAACTCCATCTTCCAAACACCAACAAGACCAGTGAGTGCATGAAACATAACTTCGTAAATCTCCTTTCTCCCCCACTCCCCCACTCCCCCCTCTTCTCCGCGACCGCTCCCCCTAATTCCTTCACCTTCTCCACCACCTCCACCACCACCTCCCTAAAACCACTCCTGCTGCATATCCATCAACCCGCGGATAGCGGCATCATCGCCCAAATTCGTCATCCCATTCGGTCCCACCAGCCCGACCGAAAAATCCCCCACGCCGGGGTTCCAACCGCCCCAATCCAGGAAATCCTGGCTGAGCTCCATCTGCCCTCCTCCTCCTCCAAGTCCGCCATTGTCCACTCCATTGTTGCTACTGTTATTATTCGCCATGCCGCCAAACGACGACATGTCGATATCCAAGTTCGGACTATCCTGCTTCAGCGCGCCGCCACTCACATGCGCGTTCGGCACACCTCTCATCGCAGTCGTCGCGGCACCAAAACCCGACATGGGCGCGCTAGTCGGCGTGGCCATTGTTCCTCCGCCGCCGCTCGCCCCACCAGCACTAGCACCAGCAGAAGGCTGCGCCGTCTGGCCGCGACTCCTCGCGCCGGAACTCTGGCTGTGGCTACCGGGCGTCATGACGTCCCGGAGATCCAATCCCAACGCCTGCGCGTTCGCGCCCATGATGTTGTCCGCCGACATGATCCAGCCGGCCGTCCAGGGATCGGGGTCCGCTTGGCCGTTCCAGTCGGTGCCTATCGGCGGCTGCGACGGCTGCGGCTGCGGGCCTTCACTTCCACTGGCGTTGCTGGGCGACGACAGATCCCAGCGACCGGACGTCATGTCGCCCTGCACAGCGCCCGCTTGGCCGATACTCTGCACGCCTGTGGTGGCGGCGGGATTGCCGCCCTGCGATAGGATGTAGCGCTGGCGCACGGCCTGGGCGCGCCGCCACAGGTGGCGCATGGGTTTCCACAGCATGCCCTTGTGGTTGACGCCTTGTTGGATGAAGCGCACGTTGTAGACGGACTCGACGGCGCGCCAGCCGCGCTCGACCTCGGGGCCCCACGGGCGAGCGCAGATTTCCGAGAGCACAAAGGCCACGCTCTGCCACTGCATGTAGGTGCGGAAGAGCCAGCCCCACTTGGCGGTATTTTCGTTGCGCTCGAGCAGGTACGAGAACTCGATGACCTCGATGGAAGTGATGAAGAGGCGATCTTTGACTTCGGGCGGGGGTGCGTCGCCGTCGTTGAAGTAGGAGCGCGGGTGGTGCACCATGAGCCACATCTTTGCGAGGATCAGGCGCGCGACTGTGGCCGAGACCCAGAGGATGGGCAGACCCATGTCGCAGTGTCGAAGGTATTTCTCCTCGATGCGTCGGTGACAGCGGTCGATCATGTCTTCTTTCTCTTGCAGCGTCTGGTCGCGCAGACTACATGCCTCCATGCCGGGGCGTTGACGCAGGTCCCCGACGCCTGGCGACGTCACGTTCAGGCGACGATTGAAGACACTGAGCTCGAAGCGAATCAGGCAGAAGGTCATTTCGGTGGCTCCCTGGCGCTCTGTGGGCGGCTCCACCATGCCGGGCCAGATATCTTCATCGTTGACGTTGAGCGGTAGTTTGGTGTCGTAGAACTGCTCGGTGAAGGTCGGGTCGGTGCCGTGATCTTCGCTGCTGCGGTTGTCGAGAATGGAAATGTGCCACCAGAGACGGCGGCGCATCTCGGTATCAAACGGGGGAAGTCCGAAATGGGTCCCGTCGCGGTGGATGCCGAGAGCTTGGGAGATGTGGATGGCGAGCCCACCGAGTGCCCAAACGAGGCGGGAGTCGTCCATGTTGCGGACGAAGACGAGATAGCCCACAAATGCTTGTAGACACATCAGTGAGCTACTGTTGAGGAAGTCGGCACGTGCCAGGGCCTGCTCGGTGGCGAAGCGGTACTTTTTGAGGAGGTCAACGCGGTCTTCATCGAGGAGCTTCCGACACTGCTCTTGCGTGAGGGATGTGACGGCGCCGTAGTAAATGCTGAAGAGGAGTGCTTCAGCGGGACGTGTGATCTTGTCGGTGCTGCTGGCAGCATTGAGGAGAATGTTACGGGCTGTTGGGCGATGAATGAGCTTGACTATGGGATCAACATTCTCTTTGTAGACTTCCCACAAGATGAAGATCTGAGAAGGTGACGGATGTAGCGATTTCAGGTCGACTTTCAGCGAGGAGAAACCAAAGATGAAGCCCTGGTGGGAAGCATAGCGATCGGTCGAGGGGGAGCTCTGGTCATCATAGACCTCGCTATCGTCTGCGGAGGATGGGGCGTCGAGTAGATCCCTCATTTCTGCAATCTCGTCACCCATACTGGCCCAGAATTGATTCGAGACATAGCGACTCCGGTCGTCACTGATGACCAAGCGGCCGAGATGCTTGTCGATGCTGTGTCTCTTTTCTTGCTCCAACCGTCTCTCCAGTTGCTCGGGATCTTGTTTGCCATTCTGCTCTGCGTTGTCTGTCGTTGGCTTGTCACGGATCAAACCGTCGCCGCCCACTTCGACACCCAAACTTGTGACGACACCCTCGAGACGCTTTAACCGCGCGAGGAGTTCGGCATCTGGCGGCTTTCTCGACTTGCGGGGTGCGCGCCCCGGCCCAGGAAACACACATTCTATTCCTGCGCGCACGCAGTTGGCGCACGGGTTCTCTTTATTGCATCGTACTTTTCTTCGCCGGCAAGTCACACATGAGCGCGGGTTTAGACCGGTCGCGGACGAGGTCGAAGCGGAGCGAGCGGGGTTCGAGGATGAGGTATTTTGGATGGAATTGGACCGCTGCGGAGAGTCGGCGAGGAGGGCGCGGTAGTCGTTGAGAGGTTTGCTGTCGCTAGCCGTGGATTGTTCAACCTCGGTGGGGGATGCGGCGGTAGGCTCGCCGGTTATAGTGGGCTCCATGACAGTGTTGGGGAGGAGTGCAAGGTTCGGGCGGGTGTTCACTTCATGTCATGCATATGACTCAAGCGGGCCGCGCCCTGTGATACGAGTTATCCGTGGAGTATCCGGCCTCTCACGCTTCATAGACAGACAGATGCCGTGGGAGATGTCAAAGAAAGGTCTCTGCCCGTCGCGGTCCTCAACAAAGGGTCGCCGGTGTGGGTTGATCGACGTCAGCGGGCCATCGGCCGGGAGGATTTCTCTACCAGGTCCAGTGCCACAACACGATGGTTTGCGTCAATTTCTAACCCCACCAATCGCCACGACTACCCTACTATGGGTTGGAAAGGACAGCCAGGGCGTGGAATCCTCCATGGCGATGGTCGATGGCTGATGGCTGTACAGATCTAGTTTAGGTCTGCTTACCTGATGTACGATGAAGGGTCTAGCGGATTGCCAATCAGCTTTCCTCGCGAAGTCTCCGGGTACGGCCCCGAGGGCAAGAAAGGTCCGACTGCGCCGTCACGAGGTCGAGGAGTAAAGTGCCATGCAGAGTAGGATCATAGTAATAGTAATATTCACTAAGGTGCTTGTAGAAGGCAGATAGCTGGTACTGGAAGTAGTAGCACACGTGCAAAAGTCCTTCGAAACCCATGCAAGCCTCAAGTCGCTCTTGGCTGCCTCTTCCATGCCAGGCCGTGAATAATATCCAGTGACGGCGCCATCAATATCAAAATATGTTGAGCCCCAGATAACGCCGTGCCGCTGGAACCCCCAAGATCAATTCATCAAGTGACCGAATTCATCATGCTATCGCTAGCTGCTGTGAGAACGCAGCAAGACCTGGCTTTCCATCAGTACGAGAGGTTTCGATTGTAATATGTCCTCACATTATTGACCGCGCTCGACATTGGGTCTGGCTGGCCGTCCGTGTTGACCGATGGACTTTCTAGCCCATGCACCGGACCCGTTGTCGTTACCGATCTCTCCGAGTAGTTCGGTCTTGTTGGTGACATCGGAGGAGGCGGTGCAGGCAGCTCGAGCATTCGCGCACTTTGCAACGCTTCCTGTTCTTTGGCTGCATTGGCCGTGTTGACCCCTGTCGAATTCGATTTGGTGCGGGCATGCTTGTTAAACATGGCCGTCACTCCATCGGATGCCACGCGGAGTATTGTCTGCATCAGCAGATTCTGTTTCAGTGGCTTGGATAGGTATTCGTCCATCTGAGCCTGGATGCATTTCTCTCGGTCGCCCAACATGGCGTGCGCGGTCAACGCAATGATCGGCGTTCGGGGTAAGCTGTTGTCCTTTTCATACTGTCGGATCTCGCGCGTGGCCTCGAAGCCGCCCATGACCGGCATTTGCACATCCATCAACACCACATCGAATCGTTGCGTTTTGATGGCGTTGAATGCGTCTAACCCATTGCCCACCACAGTCACAACATGGTTGTATTTCTCCAAAATCTTGATGGCTACTCTCTGATTGACCTCGTTGTCTTCAGCCAGTAGCACGTTGAATGATTTCTTGTAGTCTTTGATCAGCGGTGTACTGCGTCCCTCGAGAGCTGGAATCATGCAATTGCCGAGATCGATGAGCTGGCAAGGCGTTGTCATATACGAAGCAATACCCATATCCAGCACAGTCTTGAGGCTGATGGCCACGGACGCGCTGAGCAGTACAAATGGAATGTATTTGAACTTTTCCTGTGCCCGGAGTGTTCTCGCCGTTTCGAGATTGTCGATGATGATAACGTCGTAGCCAATCTCGGTAGTTTTGCCGCGCTTAACAGGCTCCGGCTCTGGGGCATCGGCCGCGTCGTTCACTACCAGCAGTTGCAGACCAAGCTCGGCAATCATGCCGGGGATCTGTTCCGAGAATGCCGTCTCGCCATTATCCACGAACAGTACTCGATGTTTGCGGAACGGCCACAGCTGCGAGCTGATGACGCTGATATCCTCGGCCGCATGTTTGACGATGCAAGAGAAGTGGAACTCGCTTCCTTGACCAAAATCCGATGTCACCCATACATTGCCACCCATGAGGTTCACAAGGCGTTTGGAAATGGAGAGACCCAAGCCGGTGCCGCCAAACTTCCTAGTCGTTGATCCATCCGCCTGTTGGAAGGTGTCAAAGATCAGATCAAGTTTATCCGACTGGATGCCTATGCCAGTATCCGACACGATGAACTCGAACGGAAATTCGTCAGGCCCACAATTACCCAGGAGCTCGTTGGACTTCCGGATGGTGACTTTGACCTCACCTTGATCGGTGAATTTGATGGCATTGCCCACCAAGTTGAGGATGATCTGCCGTAGTCTGAATGGGTCGCCGACGACATAATCCGGCACCGAATTATCCACATCAAATGCCAGAATTAACGACTTCTCGTGTGCTTTGACAGCCAGAGATTTTAATGCGTTGAAGACGGTACCCCTCACAGTGTAAGGGATCGCCTCAATGGCCATACGATTGGCTTCAATCTTCGAAATATCCAGAATGTCATCGATGATGGTCAGCAGGCTGTTAGCCAGATTATGCACAGTATTGAGCATTTCTCGTGGATGAGGTTTGAGGTCGTCGGAATCGAGCGTTAGCTGTGTCATGCCGATGATGCCGTTCATCGGCGTTCTGATTTCGTGACTCATGTTGGCAAGGAACTCAGACTTGGTCCTATTCGCCAATTCAGCTGCTTCTCTTGCAGCTGTGTTTCTCTGGATGCTGTCGCGAAGGTTGGAAATCATCTGGTTGATTTTCCGCTTCAGGTCATCCATCTCACCAGACGCATTGACGCTGATGAGTTTGGAGAAGTCGCCCTCGGTGGCCGCATCAGTGATCTCACCAAAAGCCCTGACCTGAGCTGTTAAATTCTCGGCCATGGTGTTGACGTCCTCCGTGATCTCTCGCCAACGACCGGATACATCTTGGACATCGGCTTGACCACCCATTTTGCCATTCACACCCACGTCTCGAGCGACTCTCCGTAGTTCGTACGCAAATTGTGCCAAGCGTGAGACCATGTTGTTGATCGTCTCCTTCAATAACAGGATCTCGCCTTGCGCTTCAACTTCGATCTTCTTGGACAAATCACCAGCAGCGATAGCCTGGGTAACGTACGAAATGCTCCGCACTTGATTGGTGAGGTTCAAAGCCATAATGTTGACGTTGTCAGTCAGATCGCGCCATTTGCCCTGGACGTTATGGACTGTAGCTTGGCCACCCAAGGTTCCGTCTGTGCCGACCTCCCGGGCGACTTTGCTGACCTCAAAAGCAAAGGTATTGAGTCTGTCCACCATTGAGTTGATGGTCATCTTCAGGTCCAGGATCTCTCCTTGGACATCGGCCTGTACCTTCTTTGAGAGATCGCCATTTGCAACGGCAGTGGTGACGGCGGCAATTTCTCGCACTTGAGTTGTTAGATTCATGGCCATGCCATTGACGTTCTCGGTTAGATGTCTCCATGTTCCCTCGACGTCGTGGACAGTCGCCTGGCCCCCGAGGACACCGTCTGTGCCGACTTCTTTAGCAATCTTGGTGACTTCCTGGGCAAATTGCTGCAACTGATCCACCATGTTGTTGATGGTGACCTTGAGTTCCAGAATTTCACCGCGGCATTTGGCTGTAACTTTTCGAGTCAGGTCTCCTTTGGCAACAGCCGTCGTGACCATGGCAATGTCTCGCACTTGCGACGTCAAATTATCAGCCATGGCATTCACACTGTTGGTCAATTCATTCCAGGTTCCTTGCACACCCGGTATGTCGGCTTGTCCGCCAAGGACGCCTTCAGTACCGACGTCTCGGGCGACACGAGTGACCTCGGTCGCAAACATGCGCAGCTGATCCACCATGGTATTGATGGTCTGTTGAAGATCAAAGATTTCGCCTTGTGCTCGATTGTGAACCTTTTGACTCAGATCGCCCTGGGCAACGGCTTTTGTGACCGTGGCGATTTCTCGTACCTGCGCTGTCAGGTTGGCGGCCATGACATTGACTGCGAAACGTCAGTATAGCTCTGGATGCGATGTATGTATACGTACCATTGTCTGTCAGCTCTTTCCAGATACCTTGAACTTCTCTGACTTGAGCCTGACCACCCAATATGCCTTCAGTTCCGACTTCTCTTGCCATTCGAGAGACTTCACTGCCAAACATCTCGAGTTGATCCATCATGGTGTTTATGGTCTTTTTGAACGTCGCAATTTCGTCATCCATTTCTGTTGCTTGGATTTGTACACGGTTCGACAAGTTGCCTCTTGCGACCTGCGTGACGATGCCACCAATTTCGCGGAGGGCTTTCTGGAAAGCCTCGTTGGCTTGTTGGTGTTTGCGTAATTCTCTCTCAAGCATGCCAACATCCTCATTCTCGACTCGCTGAAAGGCCTGCTTGGCTTGCTCTTCTGAATTTCGAAGACCCTGACTAATCTCAGCAATGGTCTCGCGCTGACTCTTGATCTGATCCGCCTGCTTCTCGACATGGTCGCGAAGAACGCTGATGTCTTCCTCGCTCACAGTTCGATCGGCATCGAGGTTCCGGGCGGCAAGCAGATTGTTGACACGTCTCGAGCGGTTCGTTATTGATGGATGTCGCTCTGAGCGCATGGGATGTACTTCGGAGCCATTCTCGATTGGCTTGGACAAGGGTGAGGCGGGACTTTGAAATTCGCCAGGCGTGTCAGGAAGTGATTTGCCAACAAGCTCAGCCCGAGACTCAAGATAATGGATCCGTTGGGCCAAAGCAGTCAACTCGGCTTCAAATATCTCTTTTTCGGCTGTATCAGGCCCCGGCAGATTGTACGGAGGGAGGTTCAGGCCATTGAACGAGGCTTTGTCGGTACTCGCGGGCGATGGACCAGCACCCCTAGCCAGGCCCCTCAGGATATCTGAGGCGGCGACCAGTGTCTCGTCGGAGCGAGACATGGCAGGGACGAAGTCGTCTATCGAAAGGCGGCGGCTGTCATGAGTGAATTCGGGACAATCGCAAGGCTGACTCTGCAAGGTCGGGAGGGGTGGCCGCGTCCAGCAGAGAAGACAAAATGGACGCAGAGCCACTTTGTTCGAAACAAAGAAGGGCGACAGGAGGATGTGTATTGAGGCCGTGGATGGATGGGGCACAAAGAGCGTCACAGCGATAGCATCTAAGGGTTACAACAGCAGAACTGCCCGAATTCGAGGGAGGGTGGAGAGCAGATGAGAGGCAAAAAGGCTTGGGACGCGATTCCACAATGGACAATCTCGGCTCCGGAACGGGTGATTGGTTGCACGCACCCTAGGAGCGGTGACAGCTGGAGCCCGTGTGACGGTATAGGATAGGGTAAGGATAATTGAGGGATCGAAAAAAAACGAGGGCGGCGGAGAGGATAGACCGGGATGTTGTCACTGTCATGTGTCTGTCCCCTGAAGTTCTCTCTTTGCGCTTGCCTAATCAATGGATAGGTGCCGTTAGGGTGCAGATGGGTTTGGGTGGGCAGGTGCCAGGTGAGATTCGTGGGAGGCAGCAGTCATTCGCAGTGTGTCCGGGGGGCGGGGCCCTGCGAATATTGGCCAGGCGAACCCATCCTACGCAATACAAGGTCGGCACTCATAACCGGCGTCACCTGCGCCACTCTTCACACTGTATACAATTAGCTGCATTGGCCTGCATTGGCCTGCAGTATTGTTGCCCCGTGCGCTGGCCCGCTGGGCCCCCATTCTTTCCAGCATCCGGAGCCGTACATCTGCTGGCTGTGTATGTACCTCACCGTCGACTCCAGCTCGTCTAACAAGTCATCAAAGCAGCTGTGCGGTCTGTCCTGAAACGATCCGAATCAACGAGTCGCCCAACAGCAGTTCACGTCGCCTGCATCTAGTCCGAAACGCGACCCTCAATCTCACCTCTGCTCGTGTGGACACGAAGAATGTTTTCCACCGATGTCATACTTGCCCGGGCCTATCCACCCACCCCCCCATCGCCGCCCTCGGAGGACCCCCAAAGCTCTTAGTAGGCGAGACTGCCAGCCAATTCAAGAACACCTCCTGAGTCCGAGAAGCAGCCCAGCAAAGAAGCACGGAAGTTCAACCCTATCACAGGGCACGTGTCGGCCTCGCTTGCAGCACTTGCATGGGCAAGAGGCGCATCTTACTCGGCATATTCCCGCCTATCTGTCGTTCGGACAACATCAGCCAAACTTGTTCACGCGGTGGCCCTATCATCCGGGACCTTTGTCGTTGGCCTGCCTGAGTACTTGTACATGTACAACTGTCTTCCACTTTAGCCTTTCACCGCCACATACTCCCTACCGCGTTATAGCTTTTCCAAGAGCCAGCAGGCCCCATTTCGGCAATCCCAAGGGTCTCTGACTTTAGCCCCCTGGCCACATTGCTGCGGCTCCCATTAATGCTAGTTCTCCATATGCAAACCTTGCTGGATTTCCCAGTCGCAAGTCGCTGCTGCCCCTTTTTCTCAAAAAAGGCACCGGCTTCAGTGGCCAGTGACACAGCGTTCATACCCCCTCGACCTCAGGATCAGCATTCCTTTGAAACGTGCTCCTCGGGCTGTGAAACTCCTGGCAATCAAGTCCACCTCGCTCGAGCCCCAGGCCCGGTGGACAATCGAGATGATGCATTGATGGACATCCACTAACGGCGCGCAACGCTCGGCATTATATGCTTAGGGTTGCCTGGTCGAGAAAATCTGCGCGTGCCCGGCGCCGAACGCGTAGCACCGATCGGTCGGCCTTCAGATCGGCAGTTTCAGACTGGGGCTGGATGATGACATAGGTCATTCCCACGAGCGTTGATCGCGGTCCTGGTTGCTCTTAAGCGCACATGGCTGTCAAAGAGCCAGAACTGCACGAATAATAATGGTCCAGAGATTCTCCTTCATCGCCGCCGCATCTTGCTGCCGCCGCGCCTTGCGGAAAGACGCTCGTGCAAGTCCTTGGGTGCGCGACATTTGAGGCCAGGTAGGTCATGGGCCGGGGGCGTGCTCCATCCTCACTCGTAGACGCCTGCGCGTTCTCGCGATCGTGTAGCGCGACCGTGTTTGACGTGTTCGACCTCGCGGGATGAGATACTTAACGACACTTACTGTCGACCTGCTAGTCACCATCTCCGCGCTGACACCAACTTTAGCGAGCTGTTGCGCATGAGCATGCACAACGAGAGTTGCAAGATCTGGCCGGGACGCAAACGAGACCGACGTAGATGATAAAGTCAGGCACTGAAGCTCAGAGCTCTGCTATTACAGCGCTATATCAAGAGCAAGGGTCATAACGAGAGCTTGCGCTAGCTCGAGTGAAAATAATGCACATACTCATTGAACTTGTTGAGGACGATGAGCTCTTCCAATGTATCCCCGTTCCGCTGTCGTTAGATCGTCTGCCGGGCAATGTCGTAACTCACATAATTACATGCACTCGCCGCACCGTCCCCTACCTTCCCAGCAAGCACACTCATGATCCTAATACCGTGCTCTGTCCACCCCATCACCACCTCAGCACCCACAACTAGATACTCAATCCCTCCAACGCCTCCAAAAACCCTGCGATGGCCCCCGCGCCCAACAACCCCTTGGTCGCCCCCTCGGCCAGATTCTTCTTCGCATTCGGCTTGCCTTCTCCCAGCGGCCGGCCCTTCTCATCCACCTGCTGCTGTTGCCCTTGCCCCTGTCCGCGCCCGTCCCGGCTGTGCGCCGGCGAGTACGGCCGCTGCGCGTGCCTGTCGTGGTAGCCATAGCTGTCCCGGTAGCTGCCGGAGCGTGCCGCCAGAGGTGGCGGCTGCTGCTGGTGAGAGGGAGAGCGAGGGGCAGGCCCGTCGCGAGAGACGGGGCGTTGCGATGAGGATGTGTACGGCATCGACAGGCGGTTGGGGTTGAGACTCATGTTTTGCATCTGACTCTGCATCTGGGCGATTGGCGCGGGCGGCGGGGCAGGTGAGGCGCTTGCTGGCACGTACCGCGCGTGGGCGGCGGGAACGGATGGGTATGATGGGTATGTGGGATACTGAGACGGTGTTTGCTGGTAGCCCGGTGGCGGCTGCTGGTATGCCGATTGTGGCTGTCCGGGCGGTGGCGTGCCCGTGTTGGCGTAGGGGTTGTGCGCGTTGGCGATGTTGATGGGTGGGTAGAGGTGCCCGGCGCCCGGGGCGGTGTACGCGTGTTGAGGATGTGGCCGGCCCTGGGCTTGTGGGTGCGCATTCATGTTGGACATGCCAATACCGGCACTGGAGACTCGGGGGGAGCTGTAAGCGTGCTGCATCACCGGATGGGCTCGCTCTGTCTTTGGAGACTCGGACCCACGACGCTGGCGGGGTCGTGACTGTGCTTGAGGCTCGTGGTCTGAAGCCTCAGATTCGGAGGACGAGTCGATGATGTGGTGGCGTGGCGCCTTTTTGCGGGTATGGGAACCCGTTGAAAAATTCGATTCTAGATCGCGCTCCCCATCGCTGTTGTCAGCGGATACAGAGGGTTGGAAACCTCTGTATTGCTGCCTGCGTCGACGTGCGGCTGCACGTGCTTCTGCAGAATGAGGCTGTCGCCAGTCGGTGGTGCTGCCCTCGAGATAGTATCCGCGGGATCCTGCCTGGGGTGAATTGTCACGTGAATCATCGTAGCGACGATGGTAGGGTTTCATACCATCATCGGACTCGTCGTCTTGTGGGTTGTCAACTGTCGGGACGTAGCGGTTCTTGGCTTCCCTGCTGTGCCGTTTCTCACGGACTTCGTACCAACGAGTCCAACGGTCGAGGAGAGGCTCAATTGCGTCGGTCGAGACCTGGACCATGTCCTTTGGAGAGCGCTTGATCTGGTGGAGTGTCTGATCGAGTTCGCCGAGAGAATATGACGGAAGTTTTACCAGAGCCAGGGAAGATGAGTATTCTGGGGGTGGCGCCTCAATAGCGAGTTGTCCACCAGCTGGACCGCCGTTGCTGCTGACTAGAGCTAGGTCTTGATCGTCTTGCTCAATGGCGGCGATTTTGTGGTCCTCGTCTTCGACCCTGGACGCTTCCCACAAGCGATCCATCTTGCTCATTTGCCAGTAGCGCACGATGAGGACATTTTGGGTCTCTGCACGCTCCTGTCGGATGAGCTCCTGTTTCATTTGTACCTCCTCTTGCGAATCGCCCTTGTTGGTGGATGCCATCAATTTGCCCAATTGCAATACCTGTTGTATGAGCGAGGCATTCATTTTGAGGCAATCGAGGTGGCCGAGCAGATACAACACTCGATGCCTCCTGAAGCACCACTGGAAGCGCTGATGTATTGAAGGTATAGGTCTGCCCTCGGCAGGTTTGGCGCGGACCTTGTCGAGCATCTCATTGAACTCATCAAAGACGTCTGTGGCATCTTCGGCAATCTTGTGCACGCCATCGAGCGCTTCAACAGTATGGACGGAATCGGCATTCTGTAGTGAGACACCAACTTGCTTGAGGGTCAGGGAGAAGAGAGTGACGGCCTTGGAAATGCTGTGGACTTCGAGTCCCTCGTTTGCGACCTCGCAGCTTACGGCATTGAGGATGAGCGAAAGGCGGAAACCAGCACCGGCTACGCCGATTATTGAGGATATGATACCTGACTGGTTAGCACTGATTGAAGTCGCATAAATCTCCGCCTTACTTTGCTCTTCGACGGAAACCATTTGGCGGAGTCGCTGATGGCACAGTCACGAGTGATCGCTTGAAGGACAAAAAGGAAGAATCGCTGAAAGTCAGTGCTTGTGTAATAGCAGAAGCAGGCAACAAGACGGGCGCAAGGGATTGTGGTTACACGTTTTGAATGTGCGCAATTCGACCCTCGATTCAGTTTCCGGGCGATCAGGCCTTACTACCTGACGAATGGTCTGCATGATGGCGCGGTGATAGTGGACGGAAAAGTAGCAATTGGAGGGGGTAATGGGCACATGGCGAATCCCCTCATTCGATCCAGCTGGAACAGTGGGGAGCGTCTCCTGCATGATTGAGCTGGCAGCCAAAGCTTGGGGCAGTGAAAACAGAAGAACTCCAGTTCGTACGGCCGAGGGCCTGAGGGGGACAACGGTGACCGGTTAGAGGCAGCAAAACACGAGTGCCGGAGAGCCACGCTTCATATGAGGCTTTTGGTTGTTGCTCAAAGTTCTTCATCCGCGTAAATTGACAGGACAGGATGTGGATGTGGTGGGCTTCTGGATGCCTCATCGGCTCCAGCTCTGGGCAGTCTCCAACAACGAACGCTGCGAGTCAGCAAGTCCACCCCACCCTCATCACTACAAGACCATCCGAACAGACGTTGCCAATATGAAAGGTAGCTAAAGAACTGATAGATGCGATTAGCCGTTCGGGGAATGCGATGCAGTTGTGCAAGATCCCTTGTGCGACAACTGAAACCTCCCTCATCCGAAAGCGCAACGCCCCCATTCGCTTGTGCAACGCGTAAAAATTCGTGTGGACGAGTCTGGCCCTCGTGTTGATGCTCGGCTCGGAGCTGATTGTGTCTTAGGCGTCGATTTTCCTTGGTTTTGCCAATGTTTTGGGACAGCGGGGGGCGTGTTGGGGGGCATGGCACCATGCCGCTAGTAGGAATGCGATATGGCTACCTCCGTAAATCAGAGCCGCTAAGCCGCCTGGAGCCGCAAGCTCGAAGCGAGGCCCCGGGCGAGGGTTTTTGGGTTGGTCAATCTGCCGATCGCGACTCTGGGCAATGTTCAGCGCTGTTTTCTCAGCTCCGCTGTCCTGGTGGTCCTGCCGTATCCGCCCTAAGAAAGTTACCTACCACGAGGGTATTCCAACGGCCGACCCATCCGGTTGTACTATTACTTGCCATCTTGAAGCCCTCGACGTGTTGAGCAAAGCGACAACGAACGTATAGGAAGGAACACAAGGACCGGTCACCACTTCTCCGCCACCTGCGCTGGGAATTCACAGCGTTTCCGGGCGTCCTCATTGTCCCTTCTCCCTTCGCCAGGGACGCAGTACCTCTCACCACACGAAGTCCAACCATCGCCGCTGGTCATCTCTTAAACTCTTCCTCGATCGATATTCGCTCTGCGCATACCAAAACAAAATGAAGAGGCCCTGGCGGTAGCCCTACTCGCAAGTCGCGGCCTTCCACTCGGCCTCCTCATCGATGGTGTCGTTGCAATGCGGAGGACGGACGTTTAAATTCAAAAAGATGCGGATATCTATACGCGAGCAGTTGGGCCTACTGGTCCTGTTCACTGCCCTCCTCTCTTTGATGGTGTTGGCGCTGGCAACAGTATGTTCTTCCGTCACACCACTTGACCTTGCTAACAAGCCCAGTGGTTTCAAAACAAGGCCTTTATCACCGACATTCGCTTGTCAGGCCTGTCTCTGACAGCCTCGTTGAAGGCTGCTCAAATCGCATCCACACTGACTCTTTACGAGAGTCAAATCCATGCCGTCGCTACAAGATTACTCATTCAGAGCGCCTTGCAACGGTACAACGCTGGTAGTACATCTCACTCCTTCATTGCGTTGTTCATCCCTGGAACCGCATGCTGACATTGACTACACACAGGCAACGTGAGTGCGGAGAATTGGAACCGCTCCTACACCGATCTGCAAGGCGCCCTTGGGAACGGGAATCTCCTCGTTCAGGCCGTGGTCTTCCCTGGTGTCAATGTCGGCAATGACACGGCACTGTCTGGGCTCGTCAATGTCACAGCCGCTGAGATGGAGAACACAGTCGTGCTCCCATATCTATATCCGAATGGTAGCGAGGTCCTACTCGGTGACCCAGGCGCTGGCTACCCTCCTGCCTTGTATCCGAATCTTACCTATGGACCCAACACATCCGATTCGGCAGCATCAGAGGTCAGCTACAACGGTCGACCTCTTGACCCTGAAGAGATGCTCATGCTTGGACCCGTCATCGTAAATGAATCGTACGCTTTACTGTCTGGTACGCTCGGGATTGTTAATATCACTGACCCGAGCTTCGTGCTTGGTTGGTTGACCATTGTTATCGACGCAAGCATGCTATTTTCGATCCAAGAATCGCGGGAAGGTCTGGGTCGGTCTGGTGAGGTCTTGATCGTTGGACCAGATCGGCAAATCAACCTCTTCGATAACGATCCTCGAAACATGTCAAGAGAGGAGGCTGGCGAGCAGCAGGTTCATTTTATTCTCCCACCAATCAACGATCAGCAGAGACACCAAGGGCGAGCATCTTCGCTCAATTCTACGACGCCATTCACCATGTCAGACTATCCAGCTGTTGTAGCAGCTTGGACGAGAGATAATGACCAGGTCAACAACGCTGGCGCATTTATCACCACCAAGAACGAAGACAATCACAAGGTCTCCGCCGGATATGCCGTCATCAACACCAGCTTTGCTGACTGGATGCTGGTCGTGGAACAAGATCACGGCGAAGTCATTGCGCCCATCAACCATTTGCGTGACGTTGTCCTCATTTGCGTCTTTTCAGTTACAGGTCTGCTGCTACTCGTCATGTTTCCAATGGCACATTATTCCATCACCCCGATTCGCCAGCTGCGTGCTGCGACGGCCAAAACCGTTGAACCATATCAGCCCGAGGATGGTAGTGAGTACGCAAGCTCGTACGGACCTAACCATAGTGATGGGCAGGACGATGCAATTTCACCTGACACCGTTGACGAGAAGAAGGATAGCTTCTTTGGTAAATTCAACCTTGGCGGCAAATCGTCTAACTCGAACAAGAAGCTGAGAAAGAGAAGGACGTTCCGCATCCCAAGCAAGGTGCCGGAAAGGAAACATTGGGTCACTGACGAGTTGACTGAACTCACGAGTACTTTCAACGAGATGTCAGATGAATTGGCGATGCAATACGAACGACTCGAGGAGCGGGTACGAGAACGCACGGCCGAGCTGGAGCGGAGTAAGAAAGCCGCAGAGGCTGCGAATCAGAGCAAGACTCTGTTCATTGCGAATATCTCCCATGAGCTGAAGACTCCCTTGAATGGTATCTTGGGTTTGACAACCGTCTGCATGAACGAGGACGACGTTTCCAAAATCCGGTCGACTTTGAGTACGATATACAAATCGGGCGACCTTCTACTCCACCTGCTAACCGATCTACTCACATTCAGCAAGAATGAGGTCGGCCAGCAACTTTCCATCGATAAGACCGAATTCAGGATATCTGATCTCAGCACCCAGCTCATGCCAACCTTTGAGAAACAGGCTCGCGAAGGTCAGATTGACTTCAAGGTGTACTATCTAGGAACCAGCGATGCCTTTGGCAACACTAGCGAGTCCGCCGGCGAGAGACTATATGGCCCCCACGGCACCGGGCGAATTCGGGATATGTGCCTATGGGGAGACAAAAACCGTATTTTGCAAGTGTTGATGAACTTTGTGAGCAATTCTCTGAAGTTTACTCCACCGCATGGCTCAGTCACTGTTCGGATAAGATGCGTTGGTATGGTCCAGAACCAGGACCAGAGTAGAGCGGGCAGCTTGCGAAAGTCGTCTGTCAACTCTCGCAAGTCGAAAGCATCCACCAACAAGAAAGTGCGCATGTCAGATTCTTCTCTCGCGCAGAGAGGCTACTCAGATTCTGACTTAAGTGACACTGACAAAGGTGGGCAGCGTGGCCACAGTTCGCCAGCAAGAAACGGCGAAGAAAGCAAGCTCAGCATCAATCTACCGGGCGGAACTGCTCACATTACGAAGATCGTGGAGCGGCGCAGATCGGCTTCGCCGCCCCTGCTAAACACCAAAGATCTCGCCTTCGAGTTCGAAGTGGAGGACACTGGCCCAGGTATACCTGAAGATCAACAACAGAAGATCTTTGAGCCATTTGTGCAAGGCGACCTCGGTTTGAGTAAGAAGTACGGAGGCACCGGGCTTGGTTTGAGCATCTGCGCTCAACTCGCCGCGTTGATGGGCGGTCAAATCTCCCTCGACAGCCAAGTCAACCAGGGGAGCAAGTTCACAATGTCCATTCCCCTCAGGTATGTGTCTGAAAGGTCGGCGTCGTCAGCATCGTCGATGAACCGGACACATTCGAAAGCAAGCAGTCTTGTCGGGGTGCCGTTGCACAATGCTTCGGATACGGCTTTGAACCGAACCGTCGACCAAAACTCGTCGTCCAGCTCAGATCTCGATGCAAGCCCCGAAGCTTTGGCAGACGTACCTCGCATTGTTGGATTTACACAGCCATATGTGGCATCAGAGACGAAACAGGACACAGCCAAAGCCAAACTCAAGGAAATGAAAAAGGCCGAGACAGAGGCGGCCAAGAAGGGTAAAAAGGTCAGAGTGCTCGTTGCCGAGGACAATCCTGTCAATCAAGAGGTGGTTCTGCGTATGTTGAAGTTGGAAGATGTTTACGGTATGCACGACCCTGCTTTAATGACGTTTTTACTGACTTGATTAGACGTGACCATCGCTAAAGATGGCCAAGAAGCGTTTGACAAAGTTCGTGATTCTATGAGACATGGCCATGAAAGGTTTGACCTCGTCTTTATGGACGTACAAATGCCGAACGTAGACGGCATTCAGTCGACGAAGCTCATCCGTGAGATGGGCTTCCGAGCGCCCATCGTAGCACTTACCGCCTTTGCAGAGAAAAGCAACGAGGACGAGTGCATGGCGAGTGGCATGGATTACTTCCTTGCCAAACCGATTAAACGGCCGGCCCTGAAACAAGTACTTAAGAAGTACGCACCGATACCCGAGGAGGAGGGCGAAGGCAGTACGGCTGCCGTTCCACGCGTCAACGAGCTGCGCCAGAATCGGACCGAGTCACGCAACACATCGCCTGCAGGGCTTCGAAACGGCACGATTGCCACGCCCAAGACCGAACCTGCTGTCCAAATCACCCACAAAGACGATGGTGACATAAGTCCATTAACATCGCCAACGGGCTGAGCAGGTCAAAATAAATGAATGATGGAAGGCTGTTGAAGAAGTGCACAGGGGTTGCACGGATGATGTCCAGCATTTTCAAGGGGCGTTCCGCATATCAAACAGGGAAACAGGCAGGAAAAACTTACACGTTGGATCTTAATGAGTGAGGAAGGGTTTTGCATCAAAAAGCATAGGGCCTTGAATCAGATCAAGTATACGGATAGAGCGATGGCGCAAGGGAATTCGAGATAGGCCCGAAAAGAGGGTGGCTACAGTACTGGGACGCACTACTGGAGACAGGTCTAGGACTGAGACGGAGCTGTACAGTGTTCAACGTCTAGGATGCAAACGAAAGATTTGGCATGCATCTCTCTCTGAATCTCTCACACACCCATGACATGTTTGTCCACGTATTTCCGCTCCCCATTCAACCCGCCAGCGCGACATCAGGTATTATCCGCCGCGCACCCCAGCCAGCACCAGTCAGTAGGTAGGGAGAACCGCCGCTTCCCGCGAGGATCATCACTGGCACGCCCCGCCAGCCCTCCCTCTAGCGAACCCACCACCGCAGCCCAACACGACTCACGCCCCGACTCCCCCGCCGATTCGCGCGGAAGTAATACGGCACGAATCTCAACTCCCCCTTGAGCGGTATTCCCCTGGCCCAACGGCCCTCTTGGTCCTGCGCGTCCTCGCCGACGGCGACACTCACATCGACGCCCGGCCCCCTACCACCTCGAAACGCGGCATCCACGGCCTCGAGGTCCAGCAACGACGCCCCGCCCCGCGCCAGAGTCAAACCCACGTACGTCTCCGCCGTCTCGGCGTCCGTGAGGAGGGCTTCGGTGATGGGGAAGCTGGGGTCGATTTGCAGGGAGCGGAAATGCGCGTGTGGGCTTGGATTGACGTCGCCGGAAGAGAAGGTGTGGTTGAGGACCCAGGGGTTGTCGACGTCTTCGACGCAGTAGATTATGGGGCCGCGGGCGAGGGTGAGGCTGGGATGGGAGGCGTAGGGGTGAGGAGATAGGTGGCGGGGATGGAGGGGGAGGGTGAGTGTGAATGTTGATGTGGAGGGGGCGTTGGGTCTGGGGTGGAGGTAGGTTGGGGGGAGGTGTAGGTAGTTGCTGCGGAGGAGGGGGGCGGTAGGGGAGGAGGGGAGGGGTGGAGAGATCTGTGGAAGGAGGAGTTATCTTAACTGCGATTGAGTGTTGGGTGGTTGAGGCGAGGGGCAGAGGGGAGCGTACGGTGTGAGTGTGTAGGGGGAGAAAGGTGGACTTACACTCCATTCGTCTTTTGCCCAGCCTGGGATTCGGATGTTGAGCCCCACGAGGTCATTCGCAGTCGTTTCCAGCGTGAACTTGATATCACCCGACCACGGGTAGTTGGATTCCTGTGTCAGCCTGACGTCGTGCGCCCCAACCTTGAACGTCCCCGTGCTCGAGATGAATAGGTGCACATCAATCTCCGCCTCTCGCTGGCTGTACGCGTATCCCCCGATCTGGCCCAGCAGGCGCAGCACGTTCGGCGGACAGCACGCACAGTCGAACCACTCCTCCCGCTCCGCCAAGGCGCCGTCGCTGCTCCCCAGGGGATTCCAGTACGTGAACTTCTTGCCGTCGCAGCTCATGCCCGTCAGCACGGCGTTGTAGAGCGCCAGTTCCATGACATCGCCCACGGCACCGTCGAGCTCAATGCGCAAAAGTCTCTCTGCCAACATCATCACGCCAATGGCTGCGCATGTCTCGACGTAGCACCCGCCTTCCTCGGCCGACTGAGGCAGGAAATAGGGTAGGCCGAAACCCTCCCACTGCTTCATGGCGCCAATCCCGCCTGTGACATACATCTTCCGGCCCACCATGTCGTCCCACAGCCGCCGTATGGCCGGCAGTAGCTTACCTTCCGCGACCTTGTCGCCCTCTTGGAGACACAGATCCGCTGCCGCCGCCAGCAGGTACATGGCGCGCACACTGTGGCCCTCAACGCCCGTCTGCTCCACGATCGGCACGTGCGCCTGCATGTACCACCACGCGTCAGCCTTCCCACTGAAACGCAACCCCAGCCGCGGATCTTCGCCCCTCCGCTCCGCCTCGACGCGGTAGAAGTGCCTCTCAAAGCAGCCCGTGGGGTTCCCGCGCTCCAGAATGAAGTAGCGCGCCAACGCCAGGTGCTTGGGTTCGCGGGTGTATGCATGCAGGCGCAGCAGCGCGAGCTCGATCTCCGGGTGGCCAGGGTAGCCGTGCTGTTGGGTCAGGCTGGGGCCGAAGAGGGTGCAGAGCAGATCGACGTATCTCAGCATGGTCTGCAGAAGGAGGGAGGGCTGTGGGTGGACGAGGGCGGCGTGTGCAAGTGCCGCTTCGAGGAGGTGACCCGCGTTGTAGAGTTCGTGCATGTCGCGGATGTTGGTGAAGCGTTGGCCTGGCGCGACGACGCTGTAGTGGATGTTGAGGTAGCCGTCTAACTGCTGCGCACTGGCGATCATGGGGACAAGCTCGTCGACGGCGGCAAGGATAGTCGGGTCACGTTGGGAGGGTGGGGTGGTGAGTAAAATGTAGCAGGCGCCTTCGAGCCATTTGCCGATGTCGCTGTCCCAGAAGAGGTGCTTGGGCACGCCGGGCGAGGGGACCGGCTCGGAGTAGATGGGGTGCCAGTTGAGCTTGAAGGCATCGTAGCGTCCTGTGGATTTGAGGACTGATAGCTGATAGTGCAGGGTCTGTTGGGCTGCGGCCTTGCGACGGGCGAAGAGAAGTGTATCGGGATGGAGGGTTACAGAGGGGAAGAGAGTCTGTGGGTAGGCCATCTTCGCCTCGCGATCGTGGGTGTGAAGGCGAAACGTGACGCGTGCCCTTGATCAACAGGGAAGAGGAGCGAGCCCCTGCCTTCTCATGCTATATATCATGACACTCATACTGTCAAAGAAGCACACGTGGGGTCCCGCCCCGCTGTGTACGCTCTTGTGCTATGCGATGAGGTCTCAGGTGGGATGAATTATCCGCGAAGACGGTTACTTCCCGGCGGGATGGATGCGGCCTTCTCCAACTACTACCATCCTTCGCTACACCGCATCAGCCACTTGGCATGCTTGATGTATATCTTGGGTTCCCGGATGCTCGATTCCCAACTCCATGGGCGTGTTTCTAATAGTCGTTTGTTGAGCGGCATTGGGCTGCCGACTGATTTAGCACCTCGGACTCGGCTTTGTTCTAAATTTCAACTGCGCGTGACGGCTTTGAGAGAAGCGCCGTCTCATGCTGCAGATAGACTTGCCGGAATGGATGGAGTCCCGGCCAGGAGGACAGTGGTTCCGAGTTCGTTGAAAGGAACATATTTGATAGGGAGCGGATTCAGTAGCAGCAACACCAGCATGAGACAAGAGGGAAAGAGATTAGCCAGATATAGCACATGGACTCACCGTCAGTAGCCCGGAGGAACTTGAGGTCCAGGCAGTATTGATATGTACAGCCGTTGCTCGCAATGCATTTCGTGCATCAAGGGGGTTTGCGAAGCGTCAACAAGTCGGACACCGAGAGCCATATCACGGGCGGTCTGTACTGGTGTCTCACAAGGAAACATGTGGTCTGTGGGCGTTGCCACACATCGCCAACAACTCAGACTACGGTTCCGTATGTCTGTGAGAATCTCGCGCGGCATTCGAAGCCTCACGGTGGCATACTACACTGAACAGAGACGAAGAACAAGGAGTCGGAATCAGGGAGGAGAGTGGTGTAGCAACTCGCGCATGATTGGGCCGGATATTAGAGAGAGGGCTCCGCCCATATCTCCGCCAAAAAGTTCAAGACGACTGACCAAACCAACGACAATATCCACGCTGTGTAGCCTCACAGACAGTCGAAACAGTCGCTCAGATGGTGAAAGCATTGAAAGAAGTGGCCGGCTTCCTGGCACTGCCAGTGACCCTGCGATCCTCCCTTGCGACGTCCGAAGATGCCAAACACTACCTGTATCTCAAACCCCACGACCCCAAAGCCGCAGACGAAGATGCTGCGAGATCTCTGTTCCTAGTCAATATCCCAGTCACAACCACCGACGCGCACCTGAGACATCTCTTTGCGACTCAGCTGGCTGCTGGGCGTGTTGAGCAGGTACACTTCTCGGACCAAGGCTCAAATCGTCCGGTCATTGCTGCTGAATCAAGAGGCCGGAAGAGAAAGCGCATGACCGCTGACGAGATCGAAGCTGGGCTCGACCAACACCACTTGCCCAATGTATACGAACAAGACTTGCGGCAAACCGGCGCCACGGCGATTGTGGTACTTGTTGACCGACCGAGCATGGAGTTGACTCTCAAGGCGGCGAAAAAGGCAGTCAGAACTGGGCAAAACATAGTATGGGGTGAAGGGATCGAGAACAAGATCCCCGCTTTGGGACTTCGGCGATATGAACGAGCAAACCAGATGAGGTACCCCTCACGGCGCGAGCTGCTCAGATCTGTCGATGGCTACATGACGGCCTACGCCCAGATGGAGGAAGCACGGGCGCAGGAGAACGCCCACAAACGCCAGATGCCCGACGAAGACGGCTTCGTGACCGTCGTCCGAGGCTCCAAGGGCGGCGTACGAACGGAAGACGCCAAAGATCTCGGCGACAAGCAAAAGGCCAAGGACCAGAGTCGCAGTCTCGAGGATTTCTACCGTTTCCAGATGCGGCAGAAGAGGAAGGAAGAGCAACAGCAGCTGCTCAAAGATTTTGAGAACGACAAGCGCAAGGTGGAGGAAATGCGGAGGAGACGCGGTAAATTGAGGCCTGACTGAGCCATTCGCTCATATGTCACGGTAAGAATCCTTTACCGTGCTTCGCTTTCCTTTCATGATGAGGCCGCTGGGGCCAGAAGAGCAGAGCACCCAAGCTCCGCGGATGACTACAATAACCAGCCTATACATCTTCTCAAACCTTTCTGAACATTCTACTACCCATCCGGTACCGATCACAAGTGAGATGCATGCTGATAATAGCTGCAGACGCCATGTGGCTCAAAGGGAAATGGTTCCGCCAACAAAGCGGCACTAGCATTGACCCACACAAACACGTTCTGGAGACTTTGTTTGCAGATAATGACTGTCAGACAGGGCGTTCGCCAGCATGCCACAGCTCAAGGATCGTTCTTAATCTGACTCGTGGTCCGACTTTTCCGACACCACGCCGATTTCAAAGATACGTCATGGTTCATCTCGGAAAGAGCAAAGATAAAAACATCTCGCCACCCACCGCTGGAGAGGTAGAGGTCCTCCTGGGTCAAGCCCAAGAGGTCTACGGCCTCATCAAGAAAGCCGCCGCCAGCAGCAAGACGGGCGACCGCAAGCGCAACAATGCCGAGCTCCTGGTCCAGCTCGGCAAAACAGCCAAAGGCGTCGTGAATTTTGCAGTCGACCAGCGCCGGAAGCACGCGGCAAAAAAAGATCTCGCGCGTCGAGACATCGCTTGCACCATTCCATACTCGCGCACCGTGAGGACTCAGTCTGCCGTACCGGATATTCCGACATTCCAGGCACGTTTCCAGTTTCGAGGTCCGTTTGAATCCATTGTTGTGGATGCTGGCCCATCGCCTGAAGAAGGGGTCACATCCTCGATATGACCTGCACCTGAAGAAGGGGTCACGTCGGTGATTAAATCTGATACACCGGTGGTCGATGCCGCCTATGTACCACTTGCCGTGCTTTCAGATGTTGGATTCGAGAAGAGGAGTGTAGAGCAGTCTGAGGGAATATTGGTGAACAAGGTCACAAAATCTAAACAGACTTGATATTTTGACACTTCCTCGGGAGAGGTCTCTGGTCCGTTGTCTTCACACCGTTCGACATATGCCTGCAGAGTTGTGAATGACTCGGTGTTGTTCGAGTCTTCATTTGCGATGATACAATCTCGAGTCGAATCAAGCGCGTCTTGGAATGCTGTGCCCGGTTCGCACAAGGCGGCGTAGTCCTACCCAGTGTCCTGAGCAACTATGATTGCATTGTCTGTTGGAGTTAGCGGGGTTCCTGTGAAACAATTGTCACACGCACTGAAGATCGAATAACATATTGCTGGTGCTTCTGAGTCCGACTGGTGTCCCCAAAGCCCGTTTTCGCCGAGTGCGCTCAAGCCCAATATCAAGGCGCCATGTTTCATGCTGCCTGAACACCGGAAACTTGTTAGGCCGACCTTGATGAAGCTATACAAAGAGAAAATCCATCAGGCTGAGCATTCGAAGGTATCAATGCTTGGAAAGTAGACGTGGGGTCCATTCTCGTGTTCAAAAGCCATGTCGTGCCATGCAACCTCGTATGCTGCCTAGGCTTGATATGAAACCAGTTATGGGCGAACAAAGGATGGTCGAGGTGGATGGCGATGCAAGCGAGGCAGGACTAGCCAGCTGCCTGGAGTCTGGGCAGGATTGTACAGATGGTATGGTTCAGCCATGTCCGACAGATCTTGGGATGCGTCAACGGCACGCATTGTCAGGTAGATAGTACTATTAGCTAGGTAGCAAGCTGGATTCGTTGCTGCAACAGGAGATATCGAAAAGTGATGGAGGAAAGCCTGGAGGAGATGGGATAGACCCGCATTTTAGAGCAAACCGGGTCCATGCCGACCGCTATCTCTGGATCGGTAGTCCGCCAGGCAGGTTTTCGCTGGCATGTTTAGAATTCATATGGATCGTTTGTCGAATCGATCATGGTGATGATGCGGATAAGGACTTCACCCAGTGCAGATGAGACACGTGGTGGCTGCCATTCAGCCTCACCAGGCATTGTCAACCAAGCCAAACCAATCATCTCGCGCGCCCAGCACGAAACTCGACGCTTACTTCCTGCCAACTGCAGCTTGTTGATGATATCCTTTCCGATATACCGACGTAAAAAGTATGGATGCCCTTCTTGCTGAGCGTCTGCAGCTCGAGGAGCTATCCTGCGATGATGACACGACTCTTGCTCTCGCCCTCCAGCTAGACGAGTACCTCGACAGACCCGCAATTTCTGGTGTCAGGCCGCAGCCTAATGAAGACACAGCTCTCGCTGAGGCGCTTCAGCGAAGTGAGTACGATAGCAGACCCGCAACCCTCGTCTCCGCACAGCAGCGTTACGATTCAGGCTTTCCGCGTGGACGGAAAATCATCCCAACGCCAGGCACGAACCTCCGCTGCGGTCTCTACGCGATCATTCTCAGCTACCGAAACCAATATCCTTCGCGGACGGAGATCCCGACACTTAGCTCACTCATCGCTATTGTCAACTCGCCGTCTTACCTAAGTATCGTGTCAAGACCGCAGCAGGCGAGCAACGCCCACGAAGCATCAATCATGGCCACTTCCGCGACAAGGCAGTCTTCTCGGAGGGAGAATCTAAGCGAAATCCTCCATAATGACCGATATTTTAGTCCTGATCAATTGGATCTTCTGTTGCGTCTGTGGGGTGAGCAGCGAGGGCTGAAACTTAGACTCGGTTATGTGCGAAGAGGAAATGCTATGCTACTGAGTCGAGGCGCGGGAGATGAGGCTGGGGATGCGGTGTGGATAGACTTTGACGCACGTGGCAAAGGGCACTACAGCGGGATTGCTGCTCGGAGATAGCCTGAGTGGAATATGACATGCAGTCTCCGGTACCTGCTGACTGCTGCATCACTGGACCCTGCCGAACTGCCAGTCCCGCAGCAAAGAGCAGACTGAGCGATGTTCAACCACTTCGTCAGGCAGTGAAAGTCTTGGCAGTAGCCTCGTAGCCTTGTAAGTCTAAAGTCCGGAATCTCCGGTTAATCTACGTCTTCGAGGTTTCTTCGAGAGAGCTGCGCCGTGCTGTTCTACATTACCGCATACTGCATTCTTTTCGTCCATCATGCGTCGGCAGATGCTGCGCAGTATCGTCACATCTGGGCGATCAGTGACACCTTCCGGATGTCGCTGTGCGCAGATAACCCTGTCCAAGGGCACACGAGCTCCGCAACCGAGGCCGGCCCGTGATCTCTCGTCTACATCTGCTTCGAAGGCCACCACATTGCCCGTAACTGGTGCCGGTCCCCCACCCGCTGTCCCAGAACCAAAATCTCCCGCGGGCTCAGACCGGCTTGCTGCACACAGACGAAAGACCGCCCTTCTCGAGACCGCAAAAGAGATTCGACAGCAGCAAGAATCCCCGAGCAAGTCGTCGCCACTCAAACGGCGCTTCTGGAAACATGTTCATGTACAAGAGACCCCTGAGGGCTACCAAATCTTTCTAGACAAGAGGCCTGTCCGGAGCCCGACCAAAAACATCATCACGATCCCGTTATCCAAGCCAACTCTTGCGCACTCCATCGCTATTGAGTGGGACATGCTCAATTCGGCGCAGGAAGCGCTGAAGAACCACAAGATTCCCATGACATCTATAGTGTCACGAGCACACGATGTACTAGATGCAGACGCGGCGTCAGGTCCGGACAATGATATCAGACAAAGCATTGTGAAGACCATGATGCGTTACCTGGACACAGACACACTATTGTGCTGGGCACCAGAGAGATCTTCCATCGAGGCAGCATATGGCTCCAGACCTACCGCTTCATCCGAGGACGATTCACCGAAGAAGTCGCTGCGTGACCTACAGATGGAAACTGCGAAGCCAATTATTTCTTTCTTGACCGGCACGATATGGCCTGGCGTCTCCATCGTACCGACACTCGATCCTGATAGCATCATCCCGACCACGCAGTCTGAGATGACGCAGTCAGTCATCTCCGGATGGTTATCTGGCCTGCCAGCCTACGAGCTTGCCGCACTGGAACGCGCCGCTCTAGCCACCAAGAGCCTGCTCGTTGCGGCTCGGTTGGTGGTTGAATGGAGCGAGGAGTTTCGACATCTGCAGGCAGCGCACGAGAGCCAGACAATAGAGACCATTTCGACGGCTGCGGGCGGTAAGACGTCGGTTGACACGTCTACGCCAGACGAGCCCCGCTTTGGGATCGAGTCGGCGGCTCGCGCGGCCAGCTTGGAGGTCAATTGGCAGACCGGCATGTGGGGAGAGGTCGAAGATACCCACGATGTCGAGAAAGAGGACGTCAGAAGGCAGCTCGGCAGTGCTGTCCTCATGGTGAGCGGAAGTGGCACTGGATCGACTAAGAACTAGGCGGCCTGATGCTTGTACATAAACATAGCCACGATCGGCGCTCACACTAAATGCAAGGGCATTTACTTGGTAGAGGAGTCCTTTGATTACTCAACTAATTAGCCCGCCTAGAGATCGATCTTGTTTCGAGAGGGATTATGTTGTTGAATGTCAGCCCTGCCTGACGATGCGAATAGGAGTGCAGCAGCACAAGAGCCTCGCAGCTGGACTAATGTCGATTGCACTGATTCCGGCTTGTGACCCAGCAATTTCTAGTCGAGTACAACGATAAAACATGTCTACAGGTGTATAAACTGGTTTAGGAAACGTGTCAGAAGTGGGCGTCTTGGCAACGATGGCAGGCCCTACTACCGCCACTGTCAACTCATCGCGCGTACTGCATTGGAGGCCGTCAGACCCTTAGCGGTGTACCCCTTTCTTTCTCGATATCAATCCAAGGCAAGTCCAGGGTTAAGTGGCCAGAATCGCGGACGAGGCAGCATCAGACATATTCCTCCTTGGCAATTGTCTCATGAGAGTCGCAGGTATGCTCACTCTATGGCGTCCACTGTGCAAGTGTTGCTTACGCGATTCGAGAGCCGCGTCACATCCCTGGTGACGAGTATACGAGCCCACTCACACGCTAATGCAAGGCCAGTCGTCTTACTTGTGCTGGCAGAGGTTACTGTGGGGTATTGTGCTGTGGCCGGAGGCTCGCAACATTCGAATATGACCAACGGAGCCTAGCCTTGCCGAGGATACATTGACAGCGCTTATGTGGGCAATGCTACATGTAATCGAGGACCAATCGGCCTGGGGTCACGGAGCAACCGCATAGAGCCCCACGCTCAGCCTCTTATAAGCTATGAATCGCCCTGGTCGAGCCCAAGACCACTCCTCGTGTCCAGGCTCATACCGTACTCTTTTAACACACGCCATACTTCGCCCGCAGACATGGCGGTCACCTGGCCACCCGACCCTCCGGCAGCACCTCTGCCGCAGCTCATACTGACCGAAGGCCTCCAAGCCGCTGATGTAGATGCCGACAAGATTGTCGAGCAATGGCTCGCTTCACTGGAAGACCGCTTCAAGAGGAAAGACTTCTCCAATCTTACCGATCTATTCATCGACGACTGCTGGTGGCGAGACTTCGTCGCTCTTTCATGGGACACCAGGACGTTGCATGGCCATGGTCTGCTCAGCGAATATCTGACATCCGCAAAGACCGAACTTTCAAAGTTGAACACTATCAAGCCCGGCGGATTGCAGCCCGCCCTGCTGGACATGGGTGGCCTGATCTGGGTCCAAGCCGGCTTCAGCTTCGAAACCAAATTCGGATCCGGGCAGGGGGTCGTCCGGCTCGCCAACGTGTCAAAGAACGAATGGAAGGCGTGGATGGTCTTCACCCAACTGCAGAACCTGCAAGGTCAAGGCCAGCCAGATTGGAACATACGCTCTGATGGCACGCCAGCCTCTGCAGCACCCCACGCAACCAACGCCACGACCACCAACGGCACCAACGGTGACTCCTCGTCTTGCAAACCAGATTTCCAAGTTATCGTCGTCGGTGCAGGCCAAGGCGGTCTCGGGTTAGCAGCCCACCTGAAGAACCTCGGCATCTCCTACCTGGTCGTCGACAAAGGCGTACGCGTCGGCGACTCCTGGCGCCAGCGCTACCAGACCATCACCTCCCACACCCCAACCTACACAGACCACTACCCCTTCCTCCGCTTTCCGGACAACTACCCCAAATGGCTGAACCAAGAGAAACTCACCAACTGGCAGGAAGGCTACGCCACCATCATGGAGCTCAACCTCCTCCTCTCCACAACCGTCACACACATCGCTCACGACGCCTCTGCCCGCCGCTACAGCATTGACGTACGCACCAACGCCGCCACCACCACCAAAACGCTAACATCCACGCACCTCGTCCTCGCCACCGGCATGTTCGGCCTCGATCCCAAGACGCCCACCTTCGCCAGCCAGTCCACCTTCCCGGGCACCGTCTACCACAGCAAGTTCCACCGCGCCGCCACCTCCATCCCCAACGTGCACGACAAGAAAATCGTGCTCATCGGCGCGGGCACTTCCGCGCACGACATTGCGCAGGACTACGTCAACGCCGGCGCCAAGGCCGTCAGCATGGTGCAGCGGCACGCCATCTTCTCGGTATCGCGCGCGGCGACCGAGACACATGCCGTGGGCATGTGGGACAGTGCGAAATCCGGGTTGAGCACGGCCGAGGCGGATCTGTTGGGGAACAGCATCCCGTTTCAGGTGGTGCGGACGATGGGCGTGGGGATGAGCATGATGATGAGCGCGCAGGACAAGGAGATGCTGGATAAATTGACGGCGAGAGGCATGAAGATCAAGCGCGGGGAAACGGGGGAGGGGTTGGTGGACCATCAGTTCTTGCAGGGCGGGCATTTCTACGTCGATCAGGGCGCGTGGGAGATGATTGCGGATGGGCGGATTGAGGTCCTACAGTGTGAGGGCGGCGTGGTGGATGTGGGGGCCGAGGGCGTGCGGTTGGCGGACGGCAAGGTCGTCGAGGCGGATGTCGTCGTGCTGTGTACGGGCTTCGAGCGGAACTACGTGACGGTGCAGAAGATGATGGGCGAGGATGTGCTGAAGCGCGTGGGTGCCCTGGGACTCTTGGATGCCGAGGGTGAGAGGATCGGTTGGTGGCGTCCGACCCCCATCCCGGGCTTCTGGTATATGACTGGGAGCTTCATCTGGTGTCGTCAGTTCTCGGCACTCCTGGCGCTGCAGATTCAGGCGATTGAGCAGGGTCTCAATGAGGAGCACTGGAGAATCTGAGGAGAGGGACTTTGATGGAGTCTTGTCGAGCAGAACATAGAACGAATTTGAAAGCGTGGCAATCGACCCCTGCTGCCTCTGTTTCCTAGCCCGCGAGACCCATGACTTGCATCAGTCGCGCTCACGTTCTCGTGAAGCCATAGTGGATTGTGGAATCATGAGTTGTCTGATAGCCACGATACTGAAGTGTTGTTACGATACGGGTGTGGTGGATTTCCTATTGTGCCCCGCCACCAATTAGTGGGTGGTGCTAAGTACCACCCTCCGCCGCGCCACCCCACCCATTGCGCAGCCTAGATCTTCGCAGCAAGCTGTTAAAGAGTCATTCCCGCGTGTTATCGTACATCCAGCGACGGTGCTAGCTTAAGAACAGCCACACGTGATCTGGCGTATAAACTGGCGCGACGATTTGAAATCCCGGATCCACCTGTATGCACATGACATTACGAGCCGATCTTCATTCTTTTGCATTCTTGTATTCTGATCAATATATCTCCATCAAGTCCCTAACACAGGTATCTGCAGCAATGGAGAGTCTCGACCTCGAGCCAGCAGCGTCCGTGGTTGCTTACCCAGAGCGCGGTCTCAAAGCCTACAGCGTCGTCTTGGGCGCATGGCTCATCCTCTTCCCAGCCTCAGGGCTGCTGAACTCGACGGGAATTTTTCAAGCTTGGTTACTGGAGAATCATCTACAGGCTTATTCTGAGAGCGAGGTCGCCTGGATCTTCAGTACATTCGCTTTCCTTTTCTTCTTTGGTGGATTTCTGGTCGGTATGTGCTTCCCTTCCGAGTAGTGGACTCCTCCCCTGATATAGCTATTTTCTTTAGGCCCATCCTTCGATAGATATGGGTCCAAAGTATTGCTGCCTGCTGGCTGCATTGGCTTAACTCTTGCCCTTTTATGCACCAGTCTTTGTACAGGTGTGTGTCCGTGTCCTTGCTTCAGCTGTAGTGCTGATGAACAGACTATTATCAACATTTACTTGCATTTGGCTGCCTCGGAGGCAGTGCTTGCTCGATCCTGTGGACATCGAGCATCGCTATCCTTGGACACTGGTTCCAGCGAAACCGGGCTCTCGCAACGGGGTTGGCGACAACGGCGGGCGGATGTGGCGGTGTTGTTTACCCACTCATCTTCACCAGGTTGGTTCGATCGGTTGGATATTCCTGGACTATGCGGATCTTCGCCTTGATGAGCGCATGCTCTTTTTTTCTTGGTCTACTCCTAACAAAGACACGACTCCCTCGCAACAAGCAGGCCACGCTGTTGCTGAATTGGCAAGGCTTCAAAGACACGCGGTTCCTGCTGACCATGGCTGCGATATTCATCCTCGACTGGGCCGTTCTGGTGCCGCCGGCTTACATTACAACATATGCTCTAGCTGCACGTCAACAAGCACTTTCCAAGCACATTCTTGCCGTCCTCAACGCGGCTTCGATCTTTGGACGATGCCTGCCCGGCCCAGTTGCCGACCGCATCGGTCGCTTCAATGTCATGATACTTTGTTCGACGGTTTGCACGTTCTCCATACTAGGCATATGGCTGAATAGTGGATCTCAGTGGTCTGGTCTCGTGGCTTTTGCCGTGACCTACGGCTTTTTCAGTGGCTCGGCGTACAGTTTGACTCCTGTTTGCGTCGCTCAACTTTGCAAAACCGAGGAATACGCCAGCCGGTACGGAACAGCATACGGAGTCGTCAGCATCGCCACCTTGGCTGGGGTGCCCCTTTCGGGGCTGATATTAGACACAGCGGACGGCACGAACTACTCTGGTTTGATTTGCTTCTGTGGCGCCGCCTACGCAGTATCTACCACACTATTCATAGCAGCTCGCGGTATAAGTAGCGGTTGGAAGCTGCCGATAAAGTTTTGATAGACCATGATCTTAAGTGTCTGACGGCCACCATAACGAAATGCTCTTATGATAAATGTGTGGTGGAATTGCTATTTTGCCCCGATAACCACCTGAGAATAGATTGCTTTTCGCGTGCTCCACTCTGGATCAAGATATCGAGACGTAGGTGTTTCACATCGTCTGTGAATCCAGCATACTCAACCTCCGCCGTTGGGATCTGATCTGACGTAGGTCTCAACCGGGCCGAGATCGTCATCAAGCCGTCTGCAGTGTCCAATATGACGGCCGCTTCGTCGACAGGTGTGGCAGTGGATCTGTCACCACACCACACCGGTGCTGCCGTATTGTCGGGCGTCATATCAGGTCTCACATGGATGGACGGAGTGGGAAGCGATCCGGTGATATATATGATGCATCTAATATTCTTTTGTGTATGGTACGACGTCCCCGTGGAAAATCGAACAGCAACCGTCCAGCCTCGGCAATTCTTGTAAGCCACACGCCGTACTGTCTGAGTGCGACGGCTAAAGAAGTTGAACTTCCTCTGTGCCGTGCGAAGTCCCGAGGGATGTTCTTGCCATCGGGTGATGTCAAGTATTTCAGCTCCGGGTGGAGCTGAGGCGTAGATACAAAACCAGTCGCCCCATTGAATCGCGATTGAAGCTGCATCAACCGTTGTGTCATCATCGATGTAAACCTTTTTGTAGTCGCACCTGTGTTGGGCCAGAGCTTTCAGCGTCGAGGAGTCGATTTGTCTTTGCGACCGAACGGTAAAGCAGTTCTTGGTCCCTTGGACAGCCTTTAACTCGAGACAGACAACCTTCGACCCTGCGAAACAGTTTAGCGGCATGAGTGATAGACTATCGTCAGTCATGGAAAGAGAGCACAAAATGATAGCGTCGACAGACACACCCTTGCAGGTGCTAACAAATTCCGAGCGATCAAAAACCGGTGCCGTTGTGAGCGATGCTATCCCACCAGCAAAAGCCTCTGGGGATGAAGCTAGCAGGCTTGGTCGTCGGACTTCTGCATCTGGCAATAACAGATGCATTGCATCTGGTAAGGAGAAAGGGCTGCGAACCTCCCAAACGAAGATAGATTCATCGTTGTAGGCACGCAGTATCTCAAACTGCAGTCGACGCCTTGTCGCCTTCGACGTACAGTAAAGGCATGCTGAGGCCGAAGATACCGAGCAAAGAATCTGCACGGTCTTCTTTCCGCGTTGTGGAACGCTTCGAGGCCCAGGACAACTTTTGTGCAACAGTACACTCCGTCTTGAAGTTCGCCACTTGAATTCTTCTGATACCGGTGGCTTGTTGAACAAAGTTAGACAAAGTCGATCGGGTTCCAATCTCTTGCCACCACTTATTGAGGAACAAGGAAGCGAGGTGCCAGGAGCTCTTGCAGGGTTCAGCCACGCCGATGCCATCTCGAATCTTGGAATTGTTTCCAGTCGCTATTAGTGAGCTCTGCTTCGATTTCTGCTTCGATTTTTATGGTGGCGCTGCTGTTTTCAGGTTCTCTGAGAGGCGGGTGAAGTTCTTCGACATCTGCAAGATACGCGTAACAGACAGCAGCATTCTCGTACCACTGGAACATCGAATTAATGGCTTCTGATAGTTCAGCGCTGCTGGACTTATCGATGTGCAACATCGGTCGCTCCTAGAGAGCTGTCTGAAGCATTTACCTCAATCGACCCCCATGCCCCGGCTGGCTAATGTGGATGATAGTGGAGCTTTAACAACCGAATCGCGTCCGGTCCTTAGAGGGGCGATGGCAGGTGACTAAGGTAGTCCATGTCTCGGGGATCCACCTGTAGAGCTATGGTGATGGCCCAGATATGGGTCGCGCTTGCTGATGTCACCCGGGGTAGTTAGGTGCCGTGAAAAGCCACAGACTTTCAGTCGAGAAGCCCCGCTGGGGCCTTTAGGCGGGTACGGCGGGGGCCTGGTTCTGGCAGTCCCAAAGATAGGCTCTCCTAAATGGCTATCTGTTGCAACCACGGTTGATAAACAGGTGACACTAGCCCGACTGCAGGTCCCGGTAGGCCATCCACAGCCTCGCGACGCAAGGCAGTTTCACGTGACGACCTAAAAGGGAAAGACTTGGCACCATGCTCCCGTGGAAGCATAAAACATGGAAACACGGTGTGCAGGGAGAACTACCGCTCTGCAGCACTATATAGGAGACCTTTCGCCTCGCTCCTTGGTAGGGCTCTTGTAGTCAACTTCATACTTTGATACGCTCTATTTGGGTAGGACAGCTGCGATCCACTGCGTCACTGTTTGCACTAAACTTGACCCAGCTACTACTGCCCTCAGCTGCTAAAACCATTTGGACCAATCGGAAGAGCGTTTCACAACAGCTGCTGCTTTTAAAGCACAGCCAGATCCAGGAGCAAAATTATCTCAGAGTGAGACTCAATGTATGAATAACGTTTTTTGAGCAGGTCTTCTAATCTCACCATTGCATCTTTTCCTTTGTGCCAATGATGAGATTGACTGAATGATTTGCATTAACATAGATCAACCTCAGTCCCTGCCAGCGTGTGAGGAACTGACGACATCTGTGCGCAACGTTATTTTCAGTAGCCGACTAATAGCTCATGCAGGAATATGATTGCCAGTAGCGTCCTGGCTGTAATGACTCACCGACTGAGTCTGACGCCTAGGCAGTAATAGTTTCACGAATTGGCTTTGGCGCCCAGGCAGCAATGACTGACAAACTGAGTCTAGAGCCCAGGCAGCAACGCCTCACGATGTGGACCAAACGCCCCGATAGAATACTGTGCCTCGGAAATTCGACTTCTGTGGATAAATGGCTACTATCGAGCGCAGAGCAAGTCTTTCATACTTCACCTAGATTTGATTAGACCATGATTGATCTCGATCCAGTCACGCTGAATTTTCAGCGTTCATTTCTCCTGCCTGCACACATCACGCTTTCGATGCCAAAGTACTGCCACATTTTTCCTCGGACTGACAACTACGTCGTACGAGACCATTACACACTTAGGTCTGTTCTGTTTCGCTGCTCCAAGTGAGATCACAAGATCGCTGGCGAGATCGATGTGTCTCCAGTCTTGAAGTGAAAAGAGACACCAGGACATTTTCTGCTTATCACGAAACATCTCCAATATGAAACAAGTACCCTATGGCGACTATGTAAAGGCGCAAGCCTTGAATCAGCAACCACGTCTAAAGTTGTTGGCAGATTTCATGTCCAATGGCGTTAGCATAGCCGGGTATCATTCGGATGAAGACGTCCGGCGGAGACTGACGAAAGTAAACGTCACGGTGATTAACAAATACGGCTCCAAATCCACTCGCAACGATTTCATCAATTATTCGGGCTTAGTTGAGCACCTAGATGCAGGAAATTCAGCTCACGGTTTCCAACTTATAATTACTGAGGGACTCTCCAGAGACATTATTGAGCTGCTTGGAAGCCGCTACGATCTAGATCCTCGATTTTTTGAGAACCATCTAAGAGGTCTAAATGACTTCCTCGCCGGCAAATGGTCAGGCGATCGTACCAGCCGACTCGAGTCCAGTTCAGGTGAACTCTTGGAACGCCCGTTTCACGATATCCCATTCTTACGGCCATTTGAATTCAACGGCTGGCCCTCGGCGTACTCGGCACGCCGGTTACTAAATGTGCCGCGCGTGGGCTGTGTAGCACGCAATCTCTACTTGAAGGAAATCGTGTCGATCTACAACCCTATTTCATGTGCGGAAGGACTGACTAGTAAGTCGTGAGCGCTGTTTTTACCATCTCATGTAGTGATTAATTCTAGTGATTGTGGCTTGTGATCCCCTCCTCGACACAAACTTACCTACGGGTATACACTTGCGTTCTCATGAAAAGATTCAGGCATACAGTGCTCAGCAAACATCCTTTGTGGGGCCTGACCACTCTCATAAGCACGAATCGGTAACAGACCGCCTTTGTCGTGCATTGGACTCACAAGAGACCACCGAATCACATGAATTGGTAACAGCATTACTTGGATCTATCCTGAGACAAGCATGCGACTTCTGCGCTGTAGCACTCCACGACTTGAAGCGCATTTCATATCTGACCAACTCTCTATATGCTGAGTTACCGAGACATACATATTCGTCGATGCTGAAGCTTCACAATCAGAGCGGCGGCCGTGCTGGAGTGCTGCGAATGGTTCGCCATACCCTGCAGCATGTAAAGCTCAATTGCAAACACCGATTACCGCCCACTGATCCAACACGTCAACACCTGGAGCTTGACGTGAACGATCAGGAGACCACGGTCTCCGATATAGTCGATAGATCAGAACATTTACTCCGATTTCTTGCAGAGCAAGAGAGACTACGCGATGCTCGCGAGGCGTTTTTGCTAAGCAGGATTGCTCTGCTATTCGTCCCTTTCTCTACCATAGCGACTATGGTAAGCATCCAAAATATCGAACGGCTCATTATATTCTTGACACTGGTCTTACCAGTGGTAGGAGTTGTCGTCCTATACAGCAAATTTCGCATGGGGTCCACGTCCATGGATTCTAGTTGGAGAATGGCTCTCTCCCGCCTGGTACCCCTGCGGTTATACAGCAAATTTCTTTCTTTCACATACAAATCCAATGCCAATTCGACCGCCGGAACAAGTGGTACAGAGGCACAAGATATGCAGATTCGACGTGGTCAGGATGACCAGGGTAGAGTTTACAGAAGTGAACCATCAGGGTCTGCTTTTGACCAAATACCTAGGATCAAAGTCGAAAATGCCGGCCGCCTAATGCAGTATCTCGCTAATAGTATCGGAAGCAATGGGGGAGTAGGCTCTCAACGAGACAAGGTAGAGTAAGATCTCTGTACACTTACGGAGTACCCTTGCATTCATCTCTATTCTGAATGAGAAGATACGCCAGAAGATCCATGATGCATTTCAGGTCAGGCAATGCACGTTATGACAATCAAATTTGCATCAGATTGCTGTAAACATACCTTGAGAACAGAGTGCAAAAAACCTGTACTCGAGAGGCTGTATTAGGAAATAAAGAATATCGGAAACAATCGAACTCGAGCAAACTGCCAAGGGTAGCAGCGTGTTATGGAGCGCTCCATTATCGGGTCAAAACTGGTGTTTAGCAGCAAAGGGAGGTAGTGTCAGGGTCAGATCGACTACAGACTGATGACACAGGGTGAATTGTGATTGTCCTAATCAGGTAATCTTGTTGTGTACAAGCACATTATAGAGCGTCGGTATTGACAAAGTAGACCACTGTAATAGGTCAGCGTCAGGTATGCCGGAGGCAAAGTCAATCAGCGATTGTGTTCGATCAGGGCCATATACGAATGATCCGTGAACCATAGACAAGCCTGGTAAAACACGAGAACATCGCTCAAAGAGCTACATGAGGATTGCAGGTTGCTGTCCAGGTTGTAGAGACGCTCGGTCAGCATTCCCAATAGGGAGATATGCCACAACCCGGTTCAGTCAGGCCCGGAACCGTACTCTGTGACTGTTGTTTAAGATCTCACAATGAAAGTGGCAGTGACATTGGCTTCATACTTAGCGCAGAGTGACCTGTCTACTTGTTGTCCTACTAAAATCTAGGCTGGTGCCTGCTTCTGAGCCCAGGGCTAAGGCCCGCTGGGTGTACAGGAGACCCTTCGCCTCTCTACAGGCTGGGTCTCCAGCGTCTTACACGGGTCCACAATCGAGCCTTCTCTGCGAACTAGCGTGGGAATCTGACTATCCACTCTGCTCTGCAGGTCAGATGCGATTTGCAGGTGCAAAGCGCTGAAAATCAGAGAACTAGGGACAAACTTATGGCCCTTGCAGACCTGTAGCTTTGCCCAGGGCATTCTGGAATTGTTAAGCCTCGACGTCAGCCTTGTCTCAGCTGCACCCAGAGCTTAAGACTATCTCCTATATTCACTGCCATCCAGATCTCTATCTAACTCATTTGTATATTCTACGATCGTAGTTTCAGCTTAACATAGAAAGTGTATTTAAGAAATTGTAGTGAGAGTGAGGATGTAACGTTAGTTCTATAAGACCTGCTTATTGGGACTATATCACTAAACTTAGTCTACTCCTGGAAATAATCCAGGCAGTGGATCAAAATGTGCTTCAAAAGTAGCAGCGCACTAAAGAAGGTGACTAATGCTGATTTGAACAACCCATGACTTGGAGGGGCAGGGTGCAGAGTCTGCACTGCAGATGTGGCGGTAGATACCGGCCCTATGGTAGTGAAGATTCCTTGAGAGCAGCATTCCTAGATGCAACACGCGTCAACCCATACAAAATCGAAGCCATCGGATGCAACTTTTTGGTAGCAGCAGACCAGCTTCTCGTGACCTTGCTTGTTCACCCGCAATAATGAGCCGCAAGACACTATATCCTGGTAGGTGACCTCTTCTGTACCCCAGGTGTATGATAAGATAGCATCTACCGGCGCTGTGATGAAATCGTGTAGCTCGAATGTAGAAGTGTGCATCAACCGCATGTGGAGATTTCTGCTGCCCTGCCGCGCAACAAAGTCAAATTTCACCCCTCGAAGCACTCATTCATAGTCGAAGCTCCCGAGGGATTGAACACAAGGTACATCAAGACGTCGGTGACCATGAAACAGAGCTGAATCAAAGTGTCAGTGGCAGTGCACCAGCCCATTTTCAGGAGTTGCGCATTTATCTCCAGCAAGTGCCTATTGGTCAATGATCGCGACAGGATGTTCCCCTTTGTGCAAAAGGACCTGGATTGGGACGACGGGAACTTTGGTAGTCTACAAAAGTTCCCAGCCATTGCCGACAAAAGCAACCCTTTTCTGGCGTCAAGATTGCTTGGTCATGCTCGCCTAGGCCACAGATGTCCAATCACATGTTGTCAGGAAAAGCAGTGCAGAAACGCCTCTGAACGCCCTGGCGGCGCCCGCGGACGACTGTCCGGGTCAGGAGGCACACACACTAACTCGGATCGAGAAAACATATCACATTTGCATGCACGAATGAGATCTATTCACGTCTGTAGCAGCTCAGGTACGTCCTAAACAAGGCGGGATGGCCTGCAGAGGATCATGCAGCCGACGATGCTTAGCGTCATTAGGTTTGGCACATCACTGGATGGGTGTTGGGTATCAACACTTACAAGTCCAATAATTCGATGTGCTGTGAGGCATTTTAGAACGCCCGGCTACAGTGACGCCTGGCTGCGGTTGTAGAGCCACCAAAGTGAATCACAACTTCAAATAAAGGCTATTGCATCTCTTTTCTGACTTGTACTCGCCACTTGCAGTTGGTATCTACTTTTCTTTGCTCTTTCCGATTCTCTGCGAACCCGAGCTTCCTTCGGCTCTACAGCCATCGAGAACATGGCGGTCGATGACGATTATGATAGCGAAGATTATGATGATAGCTACGACTATAAAGAGCACCAGGAGCGCTACGACAGTCTAAGGGAAGAGTTAGACGACGAATCTGACAATTGGGACACAAACAGACGGCGCGAACACCTGGAGAACATGAGGATTGCTAGTGAAGAGTAAGTAATTGCTCCTCCACGAAGGCCAATCAGTGGGTGGCGGACTGCACTACTCCCTTGGCACTCGAGTCGCTCTCAACCGATTCATTAAAATCATAATAGAGAACTCAGAGGTCGTGAAGAAGCACGCGAGCAATGGGCTGAATATGGTGACGACAATGAAGGTCATGACGACCGTATCGATCGTATACGAGATCGCAATCTGCTACTCAATAACGCCATTGCGCATGAAGATGGCGAATATGAATACGATCACCGCAGCATGCAGGAGGGAGACTCAGACGTGCATGAGGAGTTAGAGCGGGAGAATGAATGGCGGTGGGCGAACCAAGCTGAACCACAGCACGAAGAACAGGAGGATACTCAGGAAGCAGAGGATAGCGACATGGACATTGAATCGGATTCGGATAGTGACTACTAATGCAACTGAGTGTATGTCAACTCTAGACTATGGAGGTGCACCTGATGGTCTGGGAAGGCTATACAGCAACGACGATACGCTGTCCGCCGTGGACTTTGCGGAGACTTTCTTACTACCGTACCATAATTTGTCTGCCACAAGATGGGCCTTGCTACCAGGTGTTTCTGTGTCCGAACCTTCTGATTCAAAGTTTTCCTCCACAGCAAGGTCCTCATGAACGATTCAGGCAACAGCCTCTCAAATCTCAAGGCTCCCAGATTCCAGATCTTCTCAACTCCTTTCTTTATGCGCCTTTGAGCACCCTACCTTGCTACCAGACCAAAGCGTGGAATAAGTCTAGCACTATGAATATGACAAATTATCTTGCGCACCCACAGCAAGCCTGCTCAGGCGGTGCTATGCTACAAATACTCAAGGATAGCCTGAGCCCCGGCCAGACGATTATTCCACCATCTTCTAGGCGTACCAGGACACTCACCGCCAGAAGTTGCTCACGAAATACGTCAGAAAATCTTTTGATAAGTTGATCAAGAGCGGGAGTAAACTCAGAAATATCTTCTTAGTAGGACATAACATCAATAGCGCCATGAGGTTACTTAATGACAACATGGGTTTCGATATCAAACCAACACCCTCCATCGTCGCCATTATCGACACTCAACAACTGACTCGGTGCGTCTTCAACTTGCAACATAAATACATTTCTCTACAACGGACACTGTCAATCCTAGGATTTCGAGCTAGGTAACTACATAATAGCGGCAATGATGCAGCATATACCCCCGAGGCCCTGATTCATCTATCATGCAACTACCAAACGGACGTCATGGACCAATCGAAGCTCTGTGTCGGACGTTCATCCCATAAGCAAGAAAAACCTATTGAGCTGCTTTGGCGAGAGCGACTCGATCTTCTAATACAGACTGCAGACTGCTGTTGTCCAATCTCACGGCGAAAAGCTACGCGAGCTGGACGTCACCCCAGGCCTCCTCGCGTGGACTGTCCAGATCCGTTTATATCGACAGAACCTCTGGCGGAGGGGCGGAGGGCGCTCTGACTACCATGTTCGGCGATGATGCATGACACAACTTGCAGGATTGGGCCGACGTTCGACACGGTACGCCACGGAAACTAACCCTCCTAAAAGCATAATCATCAACATCATCGCCAATTGGTCGAAGTACTAAGGTGTAACGCGCCAGCGGCTGACAAAGTATTTCGAGGATGGTGGTGAAAGTCGAGAGTCATTGAATCGCTGTTAACAAGAATAGCCGCAGTCCAACGACGGAGAACCAGGACGATGGAGGAGGAGCCGCTTACTACTAAGCAATACATCCCTATAGACAAGTGACTCAATACCTAGAGGGTGGGAAGGATGGAAGAGTGAGCTCCTTCGCATTCTATGAGGTCTACCCACTCATACGCGCTACTAGAAAGGCCTGTGATGTCTACTCCTTCATTACAAGGGTATGTGGTGCACCCTGAGCGACCACGATTTCCAAAAAGCTTTCGGGCGGCGACCTTACGTTGGCAGCCTGTGTATCCTGGTTGGAACATCGGTCCGTCCCACAAACTGATGATCGGTCTCGGACGCAGTGGCCAGTGGCGATCTACAAGACAGACATAACAGCGGCTAGGAGCACAGTGTTCTTCCTCAACAATACAATGTGCATCTACAGGCATTCGCATGTAGGCAATGATTAGACTAAGGGGTTGGGATCCGTCAAGATTCCGCGTTTGGAAGCAGGCCGCCGGACCCCTTCTTGACGGTTCGGTCAGCTCTCAAGAACAAGGCAGCCACATCCTCCAGCCCAACAAACGGATTTGATTGCATGGCTGACAAACGTTTATGTCCAGCTGGGGTTTTACTGGAAGCCTTGCTGCGGCTCTTCACCCGAACATCCTTCGAAGCTGGCTTCAGTGACTCGGGGGCTGGCAACGGCTCACAGAGCTTGTCAAGCACGCTCTCCGCCGAGTTCAAAAGCGCCCAGGGCTCGCAGGTCTGGTAACGTTCCTCCTCGTGCAGCCACGCCGTCCATTTCCGAATGACCGCCATGGCGTGGTTGATGTCCACGTCGAACCATTCGATATGTGCTTTGCCGCACGGGCAACTGCCTCGGCGCTGTCGGACGCGATATTGCTTCAGTTCCGTGTGAACGAGGCCCTCGAGACGCCTCACGTTGCGGACCCGCAGCTGCAAGGATTTGTCGCCCAGTCCGCAGCCTTGGGCGTCATGGCCGCACTCTCTTTGCCACTGTTGTAGTCGCTTGGCCGTGGTTTTGGTCGTGTATCCGATCTTGATGAGGCCGAATGTGCCCTGTTTCCAATACACGTAGAGAAACCCGTCACTTCGTTCTTTTTTGGTCAGCGGACGTGTTAGCTTTTGACGCAAAATTTCTTGCGTTGGCATAGCGTTGATTTCGGAGTTCTGTTTGTAGTAGGGCTCATAGTCTGAATTCCATGGCCGGGCGCCGAGCGCCGCAGGTTGAGCCACTGGCTTGCCTTGTAAGCGATCAGACCTCCGGAGTGGTCGTTCGATGCTTGAGGTGGGTGGCTTAGTCTCGCCCTCACAATGGGAGAGGGATGTCTTTGGACCAACAACCGGCACGACTGCCCTGGTGATGATAGCCTCAAGCCATGCTCTGATTTCGGGGCCATTGCCGGTTTCCCAGGATTGCGCCTCTTCACAGGTTCGAAGGAGCGTATCCAGGATGGTGTTCGCTCGCGGAAGATGGTGACCACCTGTGCAACATACTACCGGCAGGATTTCCTGAACGCGACGGAGAGCTAGGGCAGGGTGCGGGTCGTTCCAAGCAGTAATTAGAGCTTTGGTGATATTCTGGGCTTGCATCTTGCATGTGAGTTTTTTCGTGCAGCGGCGAGTTGGGTCTCCAGAAATCTCAGCAGGACATATAGACTGAGCCTGCTCTATCCTTGTCAGCAAGGTTCGGGATAATAATTTGTCCAGCCGTTGCTGTTGGTCGCACACTAAGCGGCGGCCTTTGTTTTTCTCGGGTTTGTAAGGTGACTGAATCGAAGGGCGGGCGTCTGAGCGTTGCTTGTTGGGATACGGTATCTGCTCCTTGCGTAATTGGGTGGTGTCCTCAGTTCTAGTCATGGATGGCGTAGAGAAGTTAAAATCGACCTCCTCTCGGAACGTCAGCATTGTTAGAGCGGCATCATCAGTGACCGTTTTCACAAAGTGCTGAGCAAGCCATCCTTCAAGCTTATATATTGGCGTGTCAACATTCCAGAGGTATTTCTTCTCAAGTGCATCCACTACCCCGGTCGAGCAGTCGACTTTGAGACTCAGAGTAAAGCGTGAAGCGCTCTGCTGTTTCACATCAGAAGTCTCAGGGACGATGTCAGCTGCGTAGTTTTCGGAAACTGTAATGCTTCTACGTGCAGCTTCGCTGGCATCACTGTCTGGTGTTGAATTACTCTCGGGCAGGGTCAAGTTCGCTGAAATAGAGCGGGTCCTATGAGTCTTTGTGGGAGTGTCGGGCAGGTCATAGCCGCCGTCGGCAGGAGTGGCCGGCGTAAATTCCGACTCATCCTCGAGCACACTACATGGTGTAAGAGCAGGTGGAGACGTTGATGGCTGGGGCGATAGTTGACCCAAGTCGAGTTGAAAACCTTCCGGTGCGAATGATGCCGCAGCTGGCCGAGGCAAGCATGGAATGGGTACGTTCTTGACGGGGCTTTGCATAGAAGCCATTGTTCGCGGGAAAAAGGACCCTGAGTCCTCGAGAAATGCAGGAGCGTCGAGTTCAAGTCGAAACGCGGGAGCAGAATTCACCAACTTACGGAGTAGAGATGTAGGGCCAAAGAGAGCTCTGCTGCTTTTAGACACAGCAGCTCGTGGTAGGGTCTTAGTCTCAGGCCTCTGCAGCTTCTCTGTGAGCCTATCTGGGCGGCGTAGTGGCGTCAGTTAGCCTGACGGCCGGGACGGGTTGTCCATCCCGTTCGTAGTCTAACGGTCCGTACCGGTTCCCGGTCGAGCAGCTTTAGGCAATTCTTCCATGTACCAAGTACGCTGCTGCGACCAGATGCAGTCGTGCCGCAAGGGGGCGAGACGGACTCAGCGCGGCTTCGCTGCAGCGCGTAGCAGGGATTCACTCACATTTGACCATTCAGCTATTAGCTGAATCACAGCCACCCGCTGCGACTCGACGGCGGGAATCTCGCTAAGACAGGCTACCCTGGCTGCCAAGCGGTCAACGCAGGCGGTGCTCCCTAAGCGGCCGTCGTTGCCTTGTTCCCTGGTTCTTGGTGCAGCAACAAGTTCACAGCGGCGTCGACGAGGACGCCGTTGAAGACCGGATGTCCAGCTCAGGTGACATCAAACACAGCAGGAGATAGATTAAGTAGGAAATCATAAGCTTCAGGAGGGGAAATATGCAGAAGCTCTGAGCCATAGTCGTCGCAATGCTGCAGCTGCAACATGTGGCTGAAAGTGCAAACGCGCGCGTCAACGCCTAGTGTGTGCGGAGACGCAGGGGTCGCGTTAGGCTCGGATTGCGCAGCTAAGCGCCTGCAGTGCGCTTGACCAGGTTCGTCGATTTGGCCGCGAGTTGTGTTGCATTTATGCGCGCCGAGACAGTTGATGTAGCCTTGACGAGATACAGCAGTGAAAGAGAACAAAAGTACAACAATCTCGTTGAATTGATTGAATTGGTCTGATTCTCTCGGAGTACCAGGGTGCCCGTTCAGGGGTACTCAGCCTTGCTCGCCTGGCCGGAGAGACAAACCATCTGTGATGCACCCATGGCCAGTGCCGAGCAGATGCGTTTGATCATTATGAGTTCTCTGTGTGCCGATTGTCCCGTTTGTCTAATCATCACGTCCACCTTTCGCATCGCCATAGACGCCCGAGATGGACGCTTTGCCCAGCCCTGCCGTATCGCTCAAACGCTAGTCCCCCCCCCAAATGACAAGCTCACTCAAGCCCCCGGCACGCCGCCACCATGACACTGCACACTCTTAATCAGGAACGGCGCCGCACAGCTCCCTCCGTCATTCCACAACGTCGTCTGTATGCCCTTACAATTCTGCTCGGACCTGTAATTCCAGATCATTAGCAGTCGTCCCTCTTACCATCGTCAGACCCCCAGAACTTTCCAAAACTCACCACAAAACACAAGAATCAAAGAACCCAGTGCACTCCCCCACCTTGGCCGCGTACATGCCAATGAACAGGTTCTGGCACCCGCCATCGGGCTTAGCAACGCCGTAGAGAGGCTGCTGTGGATCGCCCAGAGCGCCACAGCCCAGCTCTTTGGAACTTGTGTAGGTCAGGAGGCAGCATTCGGAGCATTCGGAGCAGCCGTAGCCGTTGGGATTACAGTCGCGGGGTGTGAGGTTCGGGAAGGAGCTGGAGATGGCAGTCGTGGTGTTGGTGTTGTGAGGCGAGGGGGCGGCGAGGGTGAGGGCGAAGAGGATGTTGAAGAGAATGACGAGGGTTTTGGTGAACATGGTAATGGCTGTTGGGTTGAGAGGTATGTGTGGTTGAGTTTGAGCGTGGCGGATGTGTTTGGCGATACTGTGCAACTGGAAAATGGAATCAGAGTGGGAAAGTAGTCTGTGGAGAGAACGAGTGCGTCGTTTGATCGAGAGGTTTTGGTATTTTTCAGAGCACAGAGGGGACGGCCGAGTGCAGTCACTGCGGTAGTCCGTCACCTGAGCGAAGGCTCGAAGAGAGGTCAATTCAGGCCCGTTGAATGATACTTCACCGCTGCCTTCAGTCCACCTGAAGCGCGAGGGGAGCGACATTTTGGAGGCAGTGGTGAGGATCGCATCGGCGCTATCATAACTTTACCTGGACTTCGTTTCGACACCACCGACGATAGCTGAAGCGTCTTCAAGCAACGAGGAGACACGATTGATCGTCCCCAAAATGCTCTCGTGGTGAGAAGCAGAGACAGTTGAGGTAGAATGATCCACCATCACCCTCCAGGATGTAAAAAGTAAAGTTTGGTGAAGCATTCTTTTATGATTTTTTCTCGAATTTTCTGGGTTTTAGTATTATCTTAACGAACATGGCAGTTGACCATGCTGTCCTGTCTGATTCTCATAAGCGCATTGTCTGAAGTCATGCGGGCTCCGACCACGCGGTGACGCCAAAGTCAACGCCAACATCCATTTCATGCACCGCAGGATCCATAGCGCTTGCGCGATCTGCTCCGAACGCCTAGCTGGTTCAGCATCTCGTCCTCCTGCCGTGATGCCTGATGGCTCTTGGCCAATGCCAGTCTCAAGACAAAATGCGATAAAAATGGTGCACTGAAGGAGAACAAAGCCGAAAGTGCACATGAGTCTGCTGTGATCCGAGCCTCATACACGCATCGCGGCGTGCAGCGAACCGGTAATCGCTTGAGGGTGTCGGTCGATTTGTCGATTTTCGTTTTCTGCTTTTTTTGTTTCTTTCGTGCTTCTTATGAATGTCCCTTCGGACGAAGCGGGGATCTGCACGCTTTGCTGAGTCGTCGTGGCGGCTCTTGTAGTATTGCGAGAGGTTGGTCTTTGTCAGATGATCTGCTGAATTCCGATAGAGTCATGATGGATGGTTTCGGAAATTAGAACAAGCGTCAAATCAGTCTAAGCTGCTGCTGGCGTAGGAGTCTGTGATTGCGTCGGGGCGGGAGTAGGAGTCTCGGTGCCAGTCTTCTGCCGCTTCGAATCTCCGTTGACCAAATTCTCCGCCTCTTCCGTTCCACGAGCGAGGGGTTTCTGTTGCTTGAAAATTTTCTTGACGGGTTTGACGGGCTTTGTCTCCCCAAGCTTCTTGTCAAAGAGATCGTCAGGAAGTTCATGAGCCTTGACCGGGACCGCATCGATGAAATGGAGGTTTGGGTCGTAACTCTGCCAGCCTTGGCAGACATTCTTGAAGTAGGAAATCGCCGCCGAGATATTGAGGTTCTTTTGCGCTTGCGGAGTAAGATCGATACCAATGTAGAAGGTGTACGTGTTGAAGTTACCACCCGGTGTAGGAGAATCACCTCCACTGGCGCCGGTGGCATCACCGTCAACCACGAGTCCAGGATTGCCGTTCTCGACAATCTTCGTCTGCTCGACCTTGTACTTCATGCTGCCTTTTCTTACTTCCATTCTCTGGGCATCATCGTCACAATGATGGGCTCGAGAAAATCCTTTCACGAATGGCCGCGCAAGACTGATTTGGTCATTCTGGAGCTCGAGCTGCATAACAAGGACGCGCACTTTGGATTCGACCATGCCTCCCCATGCTTTGACCTGGTCGGGGTCTTTGGCAGACACAATCACCGAGAGGTAATATTTGTGGTCTTTTGTAAAGAAAGTGTGTTTCTGGAACAGATCACTCCACTTGCCCTTGCCAAAGAAGATCTCTTGAGTGATCTTACTACCTCGCTCAAGCTCTCGCAGAATGACCGCCTTGCCAGATTTCGAGATGTTGTATGTCGAACACATGCTCGGGTAAGCGGGTGTGATGATGGGCATAATGTTCTTTCGGTCGCCGGGGTAGATCTGAGGATTCCAAACTTTCTCCTTGCCATTGCCTTGCTCGATTTCTTTCAGCATCACAGGGATAGGCCATTTCCAGTCTTTCATGACGAAGAAGAACTTGTGCACAATAGTTGCGCCCACCGCATGCGGATAGAGCTGACAGACTCGCGCGACGAGCATGGCCCATGCCACTCCTCCAGGATAGCCAACGATGTTTGCATAAACCGCTCTCCGCTGCGCCCATAATTTGATCGCACGGAGCGCAGTCCGGAAGGTTTTGGCTTCGGGTATTTGCGCAAGGATCTCATCAGTTACACGAGGGCCAGTAATGGCTCTTATCGACGCCTGATCCATGCCATCGAGCAACTTATTGTCATTCAGGCTCAAGTCTTTTGGGATGGTCGACAAGGTTTCGATGGAAGCAAAGATGAGATCGATTTCGATATCGTTCAGAAGCATCTTAATAATCGGAACGAATGCATCCACGACTGGAATGAGGTAGCCGATAGATGATTCCGGTACCATGCGACGCAGAATATTAGGGAAGTGTTCGAAGAAATCGGCTCGCTTGATGTGACGAGGCGCAACGGCGAGAGTATCAATATCGGATCCTGTCAACTGTTAGTGGCGTGCTCAAGTGATGAACTCACAACATACCTGGTCCATAGACACCCAGTCGGTAGCTGCCATAAGGATAGACCTTGCCACCAAACTGGGCGATCTGAGATTCAGGCAGACGTTGACTTCTGCTGACTTCTTTGACGAACTCGATAACGCATCGCTGTAGAGTACCAAGCGTAGCCATGCGCTTCTTAGTCTCGTCTTGCGTCTCATAGTTGTTCTCTCTCTTGAGTTCTTCAACGAGTTCGGCATTCTTCTCCACGTCGTTCTGCTCGGGAAGCGCGGTAGAGATGGGAGGCGAAACGCCGTATTGCTTGGATGCAGACGCCATTGTTCAGGCGAGGATCGACGAGTAGGCCTATACGCTTAGCGACTCGACGCGAAACCGTTGGCAGTCTAGGAACTATGCGTAGTTGTCATGCGGCGTCGAGGAAGTTTAGAAAGCAGACCCAAACTCCAAAATGAAAGGACAGAAAGAAATTGCGTTGAGTAAAGGCAGTCAACAGGCGCAGACTTCCATGAAGCGGAGTAGATGTCGATTTGAACAACTATCTGCCTGTGCCTGGCGCAACAAGACACCGAGTCAAAACTTGAAGTCAATGATGAGTCTGTTCGGCGTTGGCCGCGGCGCAAAGACGTCGACGCGCCAAGGCCGGCCAGTAACAAGGCTGCATCTCAGCCTCGCCATACTTTCTGCCTACACCTCAGCTTTCTTCATTTTGTCGGTGACCTCTTCTGTCCCATCACGCTTAGGAGCTTCCGCAAAGTACCGTGCCAATCTCTCATCCAGCCACTTTACATCCTCCATGTTTCCGGGGGGACCACCGGCCCAATGGCCCCAGATAGATGGGTAGACATCCAGCTCTCCTACGCCAGGAGACATGTTCTTGACCTCATACTCGGAATCTTCTGGTCTAAACTCCTGTCAGTAAGTGGATGGACATTCCCCGGCATACTCACGGAAAGTACAGATCCGTCTTGGATGGCAGCACAAGTGTTTTGGCCTTGATCGCGGCCATCGCCTGCTCGAAGTTTCCATTGTACGGCTCTTGTTTAGACACGTCTCCTGCTTGCCACGTGTGCAGCATGACCAGTAGATTCTCCGGGTCCTTGCTGAGGGCCCAGGTCTCCCAGAAGGTGACCATAAAATCCTCGAGGTCTTTCGCGCCATACGATTTCTCGTGCAGCTTCTCGCGATAAAAGGCCTGGCTGAAGCCCCAGCCAGCATAGCCTCTTCCAAATGCTTTGAGGCCAACTGTACGCTCCTCGTCTGTCCATGTTCGAGCCTCGGAGCCCTTACTTTCGACTCTACCAAAGGTGGATCCCGCAGACGAAGTCTTCTTCGCCGCAAGTAGGGCTGACTTTACACCTTCCAGGAAGACTTGATTGTGCAACGATGTCTTTGCACTTCCGCAGAATGGAACACAAATATCCATGAAGTTCGGATACTGTGTAGCCCATTGGAAGGACTGAGCGGCGCCCATAGACCATCCAGTCACAGCTCGCAGATGCTTGATGCCCAAACCTTCTGTCAGCAGCTGATGCTGTGCCTTGACATTATCGTAGAAGGTGACGTCTGGGAACGGCGCAATCTTGGAGTTCGAGGGCGAGATGGACTGGCTGTTACCGAACAGAGCTGTGATGATAATGAAGTATTTCTTCGGGTTCAATGTCTTGTCCTCGCCGATCAACCATTCATTGTCCGAGATGAGACCAGAATACCAGGAGGGGTACAGCACTGCCGGCGAGCTCTTGTCGCCAAAGGTCTTGTATGCAAGCCATGCTCCTGGTAGGGTCCCACCACCTTGAAGCTTGAAGTCGCCAAGGTCATATGTCTGATACTCCGGCATGGTCGTAGTCAGGAAGCGGTTCAGCTGAGATGAAGTACAAGAAGACGTCACTCATGGTGCAAGATAGCTGCTATCTATACTTCCCAGGTGGCTTCGTGTTTAGGTAGCCATTCCCCGCAAACGGTCATCTCCATGGACGCGTCTGGACCCATTCTACAGGAAGATTCCCAGTTTGTCTTAGGTCACGATTAGCCAACGCTTCAACTTCAGAGGGCTCCAGGTGACGTCAATTTTGCTGAATGATAAAACATCGCAACTTCGCACGAAAAGGTAGAACAACCGTCCCTTTCGAACTCGAAGTGTTGTTTGTCATTATTTTTCTTCTTGTGGATCGGGAAGGGTTCCGAGAACTCGCATCGCCGCTGAAGTGCAGATCGAGCGCTGACAAACCGCTGGCGGATATATTTCTCAACAGGCTTGGGCACATATTCTGAACCGAAACAAGACATCCACCATGCCTTCAGAACCACAAGCCGCCCAAGAAATGCACGACGCGGAGAGTGTCATCAAGCGCAATCCACATGGCGATGTATGTCGGCTCCTGTGAAGCGGCCCGCAGTCTAATCATGTATTAGTTCAACACAGTCCAGGAATCCCGGCCGGATTGGGACCATGAACGATCCTTTCATTACACGAAGACCCTCAAGCCAGACTGGCAGTACGGGGCTGGTAGCAGCAAACCGTCTACCGCTTCACATGTCGGCATCGACCCATACGAGGAAGGGAGACCGCCAGCACACAATTACAAGCTTCTCATTTCTGGCATTATTCCTCGTCCTGTCGGGTTCCTAAGCACCGTCTCGGCTGACGGATCATCGACGAACCTCGCTCCCTTCAGCTACACACAAGTTGTCAACCATGATCCGCCTATCTTCATCGTGGGGTTCTCGGGTGGATTGGATAAGGCCAAGGATACTCTTCGCAACCTGATGGACACGGGTGAGTGTGTCATCAACATCATCTCGGAGGATTTCATTGAGGCAGCCAATGCTTGCGCCATTGATCTCCCTTACGGCAAGTCGGAGTGGAGTGTGTCGGGATTGACACCGGGCGAAACATCTTTGGTGAAGCCGAAGCGCGTCAAAGAGAGTGTCTTCTCGATTGAGGGAAAGTTACAGTCGACGCAAGAATTTGAGAGCAGACAAACACCGGGCAAGAAGACTGGCGTAATCGCCATCATAGAAGGGGTCAAGTTCTGGGTGCGGGAGGATGCCATCAACGAGGAAAAGAACTTGATCGATCCAGAGGTCCTGAGGCCCATCGCGAGATTGGGTGGAATCACATATGCCAGGGTGACAGATGGTTTCGAGTTTCCTAGACCGGTGCTGAAGGAGGAGGTCAACCAAGGAAAGCTCGACCAGGACATCATCAAGACCAAAGTTGAGGGTCAGTGACGCAGATTGATCACTGACGGGTAATGCAATCTGCGACAGCGCTTTCCTCCATTTATAGAACGGTTGAGATGGACGTATAGAAGGACTGCCGCACCATAGAACGTCATTATAAAATAGCTGACCTTGGAGTACAGCAGAGCGTCGGCCACTTCCTACTGCATACATGCAAGGCCTCCTTCGCAAAGGTCGCTGTCAGCATTGGCTTGGCCCATCTGGTAGCGGCACAGCTAGTGCCTGTACACCGGTCTTTCAAGCGGCTCAGCCACGGGGGAGGAGAGCAGATCTTATGAACCTCGCCCCAACCAAATCTCTGGTGCGCGGACGAATGATTTCGGGCAATGATCGATATTGCGGAGAGCATTTCCATTCTCCTTTATTGGATCAGCGGCTCTCTCGGTTTACCTGATTGGGAATGCCGCCCATCCTCCTCGCGAAAATGCTCATTCACAGTCTCGACTCCTTCTTCCAAGCATGGCGCGTCCCACCGAAGCCATGGAAAAGCCACAGATCTTCTGTTCCTCGATACCCTAAGAATCAACAGGAAGGACCATGCGATCGGTTTCGTCGGTCTGTGCCCGAGGATCTTTCAGGTACAAAGATAGAGCACCTACCAGCGTCCCAACCAAGCCCGGAGATCTCGCTGGGCGTTCGTGTCACCGGTACCGCGGCCCCCCAAACGCATGGCCTAGCTGCAAGAGCGGTAGCTGCTAGGTCAGGGGTGGCGTTGACACCTTCCAAAGCGGATCTACGGGGTGGACTTAAGCCTTCGAGCTCAGGGATACTGACAAAAAGTCTAGACGTCCCAGACTAGAGAACGGATGCGCCGCCACCGTTGAGGCACCCTATAGATGGAATTGATATACAAGCTGGCTCCCGTCCGCATGGTGTAGCCAACACGTGAAGACCTTGAGCATGTGGTGAAGGGTCGCTAAAATCCCGATTCCGCCTTTTCCCCGCGTTGGCTCCAGGTGCGAAGTCTGGAAATCCCTGTCAGCTCTTGGTTTGTTGGAGTACAAGGTGGACACGGACCAATCGCCATGAGCGGCCAGCGCCCAGGTCATGGTAGCAGCGAGAACACCAACATTCCCTGGTGGCAGTCGGAAGAGCTTTCTCCTCGACATTTGCCAGCCTCCGACGATACTCTGGACACTTTTACGCCTGATTTTCCAACTGTCTTCCTTGACTCCCCCTCAGTCGCCGCAAATTCACCCGCATCCTTTCACACGCCCTACTCCGATTCGTACCTACTCGGCCCGTTGACCTACGATGTTGCGCGGCCCATACCTACGCGCGAGGCTCCGCGAAGCATGAGTACCAGCGCCGTCTCTGCGCCAGAGAAGCCGCTTCTGTCGACCTCGGCGCCACAATTGCCTCCTCCGCGGCAGATTCGCTTCGTCTCTACCGACGGCCAACCGCACGCGAAAAGACGACGAATTAATGCTGCGTGCTTGACCTGCCGCAAGCGCAAAACGAGATGTTCAGGCGAGCGTCCAGAATGCAAGACTTGTATCGACACAGCGCACGTGTGCGCCGGCTACAATACCAGGCCGACACGCAAGGGCGATGATAAATTTGAAGACGACTCAGAGGAAGAGTCGGGCGCTTCGTCGCCCAAGCGGCAAGTTCGGAATGACCTCGCTTCGCAGCTTCATCAGAGACCAGCGCCCGTGCCTGTACCGGCACCGAAACTCGAGCACGCAGATTCATTAAACTTGCCGCGTTCGTTATCAAGGGACGATGCGGACATCAGAAGTCCGGGAAGCAATCACACGGCCAGCAGTACCTCCGCAGCCAGACATGGGTAAGTCGACGTCAAGAGGCGACTTGAGCCGTAGAAACGTGTGACATCGGCCAGCGTTTTTGGTCGCATAATCATGCAGCGTTTTCCCCATTGGTTGACACCGCTAACATTGGTTGCAGAGTACCGTACTTCCGCTATTTCGGACCGACGGCAATTGTGCCTGGTTTCAAGCAGATGGTCGTAGCAGTCAAAGACCACAGGAGAAGTCTGCCATCTGTCTCTGGAGAGTCCCCAGTTTCTGGACAGCATCTGGACTCCGTGTCGACTACAGGCATTGATCGACTCCCTGTCGAAATACCATTCTATGATTCGACTGATCCATCGCCAAATGCCACTCTCATCACACATCTCTGTGAGACATTCTTCACCCATCTAGGCTGCAATTATCCCTTTCTACAACGAGAACGATTCATGCGCGATCTCGAGGACAAGAAAGTCGACGCCATCCTCGTGGATGCTGTATGCGCCGTCTCGGCTCGCTTTTCGACCGATCCAACCATTCTGAGATCTAATGATGATACCATCTTACGAGAGGACAATGGCGATGTCAAACGCCCTTTTCGAGGGCATCCCTTTGCGCAACGGGCAATGTCTGCCATTGTTGAGACGTTCCAATTTCCAACTATTGCTGGGGCACAAGCGTCGCTATTGCTGGCATATGACGAATTCGGTACCGATCATGATAGTGGACTGTGGATGTACTTGGGAACGGCAATACGCATGGCTCAAGATCTTGGAATCCAGAAGTTGCAAGGCTTGCAGTTTGAAGGCCGGATAGGCCCTACACCGAAAACCGCAAAAGGTGGCGAGGAAGGCAAGGTCGAAGAAGCGAGAAGAGCAGAAAAGCACAGGGACTTTTCTCGGCAGCATGATTTAATTGATGCAAAGGAGCTCGAGAATCGAAAAGCGAGCGAGCAGGAACGAATCGACACGTTCTGGTCCATATTCTTCCTCGACCGAGCTGTATCTTCTGGTGTTGGCCGACCGGTGAGTCTACGGGACAAGGACATCGAAATCTCCTTCCCATATCGACCGGACCTAGAAATGGTCAACGGCTATCCACATCCTTTTCCGCCCATGATCCGGATCGTTCACATGTACGGTCGTGTGGCTGATGTGCTCAACAATATCAAGGATATAAATCAGGTGACTCCGGATGTTTTGAAGAAGCTCGCAAGCATGGAGAAAGACCTGACTGGCATTTATCAACGATTGTCGCCGAAGCTACACTTCAACGCTACCAACTTCCAGCACTACGTCAAGGCCGAACAAGGGACAAATTTTATACTGCTGCACTTCTGGTTCCACACGTTGATTGTGCTAGTACACCAGCCGACATTGCTGCACTCCTTCGAAGGTCGGATCCAACAACTGTTTCCCGACAGCAGAGAGCTTTCCATGTCCTCAGCAAAAACCATCGCTGATATCCTGGCTTTCGCAGAGCTGATTGACGTGAAAAGCTTCGTCGGCAACCCATTCACCAGTCAGCCAATGTACGTCGCAGCCTGCGCCTTTCTGGCGGAAGCAACAGCGCACACTTCACAGCCTCCCTCACGAACTGGATCACCGCCCGGAAAGTTCAGATCAGAACATGTGCCATCACAGAACGCAGAGCAGCGGGCTGCCAACGCAAAACATACGCTCCTGGCCTCAGCCGCCAATCAGAACTACCAAAGATGCTATAAGGCGCTGAAAATCCTTGATTCGTACTGGGCTGGCTGTCGGTACATCTTGACCGCGTTGGATCAGAAGTCCAAAGGCCTAATGGACCCGCTACTTTACACGTCGGACGACATCGACGGACCAATGCCTTCGACCGAGCCTTCTTTCACCAGCCCCGGCTGGCGCAGAAACACTTCCTTGAGCGCCTCGCTCGGCCTCAGTCGTCTCAAAGCGATGCACGAGCAAGGAGGTCCCTGGCCCGGCTCCCCAGGCATGGACTGGAACAAAGCCATCGGCTGGTCTCTCACCGGCACCGCCAACTCACCACAACCCAACCTTTCATTCCTCTATCCAAATACCAACACCGAGAGAGGCACCTACTCCCCCTCAGCGAACGACCAGCAACACTCCCACCACACCCAATCCAATACATATCCCTACCAGCATTCCGCACACATGATGCCGCCACCCCGCCGCATGTCCTCCCTCCCCTACGACCCCGTATCTCACACCGACGCCGACCTCCTTCTGAACCTCAATTCCCCCTACCCCACCGCCTCTACCACCAACCTCTCCAGCAACAACAGCGGCGGCGTCGGCACCCCGACTCCCTCCCTCAGCCAAACTTACAGCCACGACTACGCCGCGCCCCCACCACCACCGTCACACATGTACAACCCCGCTGCTGGCGGCGGCGGCTACCCAAACTACGGCGACATGTTGATCGAGAGCCAAGACGTTGACATGATGACCGTCGCAGGCGCCAACGCACTATCTTTTCCCGGCGGGGACATGATTCCCTGGCTTGAATACCTGCCGCAGGATGTGCTGAGCTACTTTGGCGAGGTCGGCGATGGCGAAGACGCGCTTGCCGGCGTGGATGGTGTTGGGCAGGCGGTGGGAGTGGCACCGACGCAGCAACAGCAACGGCCGCCGCCGCCGCCGCCTCAGGATCCGCAGCAGCGGGGACCTGGGGAGAGGTGAGAGGGTCATGTACATTGTTCGGGTCGGGCTCAAGAGTGCTGGCGCTGAGGGAGACGAGATGTTATGACACGATAATGTGGGACTGAGCAGACTGGCGGGCTGTACATATAACCAGGCGACCCAAAATTTTACCTACTAATACAAAAACTGTGCAAACTTCATATTGCACCGCGCTCATTCCGCATGTTGTTCGTTTCACTCACTCGTTCATACATTCATGCCAGCTCAAAGACCTAATGCTGCCAGGACAGCCACAAGCCGCGACCAAAGACCAACAACCAACAACCAATAACCTTCCAACCCCCTGTCCCTTACTTCATTATCAGTCCCTCACTTCCCTGGCCTCCTCTCTCGCCACGCCCTCCCCTCCCGCCACCTACCCAACTCGCCCACCGCCTCCCTCAACCTCACCCTCCACACCCTCTGCTCCACCCCGTTCCCAAACCACCCCTCCACCCTCTGGTCTCCCATCTCCAGCCCCACAACAACCCCATCCAACCACCTTCCCACGGCCTCCCCCTCCGCCCTCCCCCTCCCCCGACACCACCAATGTGGCACCCCCTCCAGCAATCCAAACCAATACCCCAGAATCAAGAGCGCCAGGGGTTCCCTGGCTTGAATGAGCTGCTCGAACCCCGGTGGGAAGCGCGAGGGGAAGGAGATGAGTTGGCTGAAGTTGTTAAGGTCTGTGGGGGAGAGGGTCAGGAGACCGAGGAGTTGGGTTAGGAGGGGCGTGTAGATAGGACGGTGGGAGGGGGGTGTAAGGGGGAGGAGGGCGTGGAGGTGGGGGAGCGGGGTTGGAGGTTGGGTGGCTGGGGCGAGAGGCGGGGCGACGATGTGGCAGATTGTTGGGTGGGGGTTGTCCCCGTCGAAATCGAGGGTGTTGGAAGTGGGAGGGTGAATTGGTGCTGCTGGTCTGGTGGAGGCTGCGGAGGACAAGAAGGCTCCCGCTCCCGCTCCCCTTCCCGCTCCGGACAGGCCGAGAGCGGTGATCTTGTCGGCGGGGCCGTTGCCGTGGGTCTCGTCGCTGGATTCGGCGAAGAAGGGGTACCAGATGCTGTGGGGGAGGTGTTCGCGGAAGGGCGTGAGGGACAGCAGGATCGACATGCCGGTCACGTTGGTGAGCCAGTTGATCTGGAGCTTGCCGTCTTGTGGGGCGCCTTGCAGGTTGAGCGGCGGAGGAGGAGGGGCTGTGTTGTTGGAGCTGAGGCTCGGGCAGGGGATGCTGTAGCTGTGATTATTGATGGAGCATCCGAGGAACTGTGGCGCTTCGGCGTTGCTCATGTTAAACGACTGGTTTCGTGGAGGCGATGCGTTAAGCCAGGTCGATGCCCAAGACCAGCCGGACTCGTCGCACCAGACGACGTGGTAGAAGAGAGAGGTCAGCATGATGCACGCTGCCACCAGGGCGTCGAGCTCCTGTCGTTCCTCGTCGCGTGGCCATCGGCGATTTGTGATGTCAGAGACCATTGACTCGCTCAAGGCCTCTCGGGAGCGGTACTCGGCGATCTTGGCGGCATAGCCTCGCAGTGCTCTTCGTGCGTGCCAGGCGGCCGTGACGCCCATCTGCATGTCTTTGCTCTGCATCTTGGCGTTGTGCGGGTTGAGATGCTCCACATGACCTAGCATGTTTTCGTCCCTGTCGCTGCTGAGGTGGATCACGTGGCTGGCGCTGAAGGCGAGGATGGTCTCTAGGAGGAATGGAAAGCGGATCACCAGTTCTGGCATCTTCGTCTTCAGGATCTGTTGGCCAGTGTGGGAACTTAGAGTCGCATATCCTGATGTAGAAAAGTGGTGCAAAAGGAACGGGACGGTGTTGGGCGAAGTTCGAGTGATGGTGTGCGATTGTGTCAAGCTGCAGATCGATGTAGCGAAGACATGCATTCCCAAAGTGGCTTCTTGGGTGAACGAAACGTTCTGCAGGTCGTCCAGTCCAGTCTCTGCGGCACGTGCTTTGGCCGTTGCACTCGGTAGCTCTGCAGGACTTGCCGCCGGGGTCAAGAGGCTACCTTTCACTGCCTTGGAACTGTTCGGTCGAGTCTCTCGCTGCCGACTTCCAACGTATTCGCATTCTGTCGCCCTCGAACTGCAATTAGTGCATATTGGTCGGGTTTCGTCACACTGTGGTGGTCAGCGGTGTCCGGTCGATCCCGGACGGTGGACCTACTTTGACCCTTCGCGTCTTGCAAGTCAGACAACCCTTGCGTGACTTACGATGGCTTCGGCGCGTGGTTTGGGGCTTCTTGGGCTGAAGTCTTGGGGCCTCCGTGATCCACTCGAAAGCTTCCACCGTCATGGCGTTCAAGTCCGCGTCCTTTTCAGGGCGTTGCCAGGTCAGTGATAGTGGGTGAGATGCATCAAGGGGATGCCGTCGTCGCCGCCGAGTACAGAAGGGAAGAGAAAAGAGAACGAGAAGTCTGCTTGCGAAGACGATGTCCGAAGACGTCGTATCCAATCTGGATTAGCGTTGGTTCGCCTCCTACTCCTATTGGTTGGCACGGTTTACTGCCTGGATGCCTCGGAGCAATGTCGTTGCGACGGCACGTCGATCCTGCTACTGCTTCTCCTAATGACTCTCGCAGCCTCTTGATCGTGATTTGTTGGTGATAGACGTTTCGAAAGGGCGTGTGTAGGCCATCACGCGGAATGCCTCGCTCTATGGTGGGCAAGTGAGTGAAAGATGAAATCGGGAATGAATGAATATAAATAATTGATATGCTGTGCACAAACATTGACCATCAACACGATACCGCAATCATTTTGAACACCACTTTCTTTATTTCCTTATCGACAACATGAGCGAGACAATGCAAGTCGTCCGCTACTACCCACCTGGCTCTTTTGAGAAGCTACGATACCAGACAGAGCCGGTCCCAGGTGCTCCTGGTGCAGGCCAAGCCGTCATCGCTGTGCATGGCGTTGGACTGATCTGGCCCGAGCTGACTTGGCCGATCTATCAATCGCCTTCTGGGGAATATCTCCCGCATATTCCGGGCCATGATTTCTCTGGTGTGATTAGCTCGGTCGGCTCTGGAAGTGACCTGAAAGTCGGCCGGGAAGTCTACGGACTGACAAGCCGGCGCAACCACGAAGGCGCCATGGCGCAGTATGTCAAAGCGGACGTGGACCAGATCGTTGCAAAGCCGAAGAACTTGTCCATGATTGAGGCGGCAGCTGTGCCTTTGAGTGCTCTCACAGCTTGGCAGGGACTGTTTGTGCATGGAGGGTTGAAGAAGGGCCAGAAGGTGTTGATCACTGGTGCAGCTGGAGGGACGGGCGTTTGGGCCATGCAGTTTGCGAAGTGGGCTGGTGCTGACGTCGTGGGCACTGGTTCGGCAGATCGCAGCAGAGAGATTGTGGAAGGCTTCGACGTCAAATTCGTGGACTATAAGACGACCAAGCTGGCAGTTGTGGCGACGGACATGGATGTCGTCTTGGACTGTGTTGGTGGTCAAGTGACGCACGAGTGTCTTGACTTGGTCAGGAAGGATGGTATCGTGGTGAGTATTGCTGGATTTGATTGTGCTGAGAGTGCAAAGGAGAAAGGAGTTCGAGGATCGTTCTTCATCGTCAGGATGGATGCGGACCAGCTGAATCAGATCACCAAGTTAATCGAAGATGGAGAAGTCAAGGTCTTTGTCGACGCAGTATATCCTCTGGAGAAGACGAAAGCAGCATTTGAGGCCGCCTCGGAGGGTCATGTGCATGGGAAGGTGGTCATCAAGGTTGTATGAGGAATTAGTGGAGGGTGTAGAATGGGATAGTGCCATCTGAGTGTCACTGTGAGGGGATCATTCCCTACAGGACTTGAAGCATTGAGAAGTCGACATAACCACAAAGCCAGCTTATAGCTCACGCTTGAGCCATAGTACAAAGAGAAGTAATAGATACACTCAGGCAGTGAAAGGCTTAGCATTGGCAGACATGCCAATGAATGCTCTGTTCCGAGGCACGAACCCGATGTTCGAGCATAAGAAGCCGTATGCAACTGCAAGTGGAGTTGCAGCGTATTCGATACCAAGGCCCGAGGAGATCCAAGAACAGTCCGCTTGAGTACAACCACACCAGTGTGGACTGTCCCACGACTGAAGCGGAAGTCAACAGCAGCCGGACACTAGTAGCGCGAGTGGCAGTTCAAAAAAGTGCAAAAAGAGATTTGGTTGATCAGAGTGGGACTCGAACCCACGCGGACTGATGTTGTTAGTCCTCTGTAGGCTTCAAACACGGGCGTGCTGATGCTTACATAACCCACTAGTACTTCCACAAGAAGCTGCTGCTTCAGGTAGGCCTGAAACTGGAGGGAGTTAGGGCATGATCAAGATTGGATCTCGTAGGGAAAAGTACCTAGCGCCATAACCACTCGGCCATCTGACCGCTAAACCTGTGCTCATTTGTGAGCATATTTAGAGACAAATTTTGGGCCTACGCAATTATGAAGAAGTTTTCTGGGAGCGGCCGACAGGGCGGAACAGTGGTGAGTTCCGGGGATTTCACCGCATATTCTTGGCTGCTGAGCCTTGGCAACGACCCTGTGTCAGCTCCACTAAGAGCCTCATAGTACGGGTGGATATTGCCGCTCCTCTTGAAAACAGCCTCCAGCAGCGGTGTGGGAGCATATCGGTAGACAAGCTGGAGTCGTTGGATTGTAGTACATCCCGAAGTCAAAGAGCGAGTGACCAGGTCGGGGCCAATCATTCAGAGTATGTCGTGGTGTAGAAGCGGTGGCCGAGCACGATGCTCCGGGCTCTGGGAAGCCTCCAAATTCCAGCGATCAGCACTGGGGAACTGACGATACTGACTCTTGCGATACTTCCAGAAGCCACTGACTGGAAAAGAAAGGGCAGCAGGGCTCTCAGCAGCAGTATACAGTGTATAAAGTCTGGCAAAACGTGCTCTCGCACAAGGACTAGACACTAGTGGCCTCTGCGGAGCTATAGTCTGCATTCGTAGATAGAATAGAAGGGAATTTGTTCAGTGAATACGGCGTTCATCATGTTCATTACTTCTGGGTTGCTCGTTCACGTCACAAAGGAGATCAGCACCGACTTGAATCTCGGGCTCATCGCTTAGCATATGGCGAATCTCAAGAGGCAAGGAGGTGAAGCTGAATTGCCGCGACTGCGAATCTGACGGGTCTCGGCACAGCGACCACGTTGCCCCGGACAACCAGCGCCCAAACGGTGACAACACTCGCGACCGCCTCCAAACCAGCGACGACGACGTCTCGCAATTTATTTACCATCACAACAACAGAGCTTCCAGCATTCCCCCGCGCTCATCGTGCGCCTCGATATAGATGTCGGAGTCCACTGTCGAGGTGGAGGATTTTGCATTCCAGCAATCTTCTCCACTTTCTCTGCGTCAATCCTCAGTACTCTCATCCCCGCCTGCGCCTCCGCTCGGTGATCCGGTCAGCACCAACTTCGACTACAATCTGACAGAAGACCCATTCAAGACCGACGACCGACTACTCCGACCGAGTGCCAGCATACGCCATGGCCAGCTCACGGATGACCGCCGCATTTCAGGCAACTCGTCTATATCGTCGTTCCCTGCATCCGTGCTACGCCACGAGGATGAAAGAACACCGTCCGTGTCACCAATACACTTGAGGCATGGCTCTACCGGTAGCTTCAGCAAGACTCCCTCGCCGCGGCGAAACAGAGGTTTCGGTTCCGCATTCAGACATCCAAGTAGCATCCGCGAGATGCAGCTGAACGACGACACAGGCGACGACACCGAAAGCGTCATGTCGCACCACAGAAGCGGATCACGCATGTCGGTCAGGAGCCACGGGAGCAGCTACTCGACGAACACCTCGCCGTCGAAGCGCAGCAGTCGCAGCGCTCAGAAGAGAGGCAGTGGACTGAAAAAGGAGTTTCCCCTGGTCCTACTACATTGTACCCTCCTTCCACCAGCCAACAACTGGCTCGGTCCAGCGTGCGACAAAGACCTGTTCGCCGCGCTCCTACCAGAGCCGTACCGCCAACGCTGGACCCAGCTTCAGGACCGCCTTGGAAGTGCGGAGCTTCGGTCTCGGGGTATTCTTCTCCCTCATCCACAAGAGGACTATGAGCTCTTAGAAGAGAGGCTACTCGAGGCACTTGAGCTGGAGCGGCCGCGAATCCAGAGCAATCACTATTTGGAGCACGCTGGAGACAGTGGATTCGAAAGCGGTAGCCAAACAGAAAGCGACGTCGATGTTGAAGACAAATGCCCGGACTGCGGAAAGCACTTGCGCACCGTCGCAGACAAGAAGTGGGAGATCAAGGTATTTGCAGCAAACGGGCTCATGCGAGGCGCCGCTTGGTCTGCAGCTTGGAGGGACATGGAGAAAGTCGATGTGGAGATTGGCATGTGGATGCCGGAGGATATCCGCCAGGAGATGGATACGAGGTTGGACGCGCTGAAAGCCGCGCAGGAGGAGGCTGAGGTGCAGCAGGAGCAGAGGCATGACCAGGCAGAAGGGATGTTCAAGGACCGGCGACACTCGTACGAGAGACAGGATCCTGACCGCCATGCCCCGGCGCCGGAAGCAGTACCTCGACACGAAGCGTCAACCCCTCAGAGCACTCTTCAGCTCTTCGTACAGGATCGCAGAAATATTGCCATTGTCATTCTCAGCATACTCGTGTTGGTCTACGCGGTACTGAACGCCAGAGGTCAAGGGGCATCCAGCGCACCAGCTGGCGCAAACAAGGCACCCAACACTACCCATATTACGAGCACGGAGGTCTGGACCACAACAATTGTTGCACATGACGAGACAACAAGTCTAGGTACAATCGCCCAAGGTGGAGCCGAAGCAGCAGATCCGGGGACTCTTATCTCTGCTAAGGCGAGCGAAACAGAGGCCCGGACCGAGGAGACCCATCCAGCTGAAGCCACCGGGGCGCGGGAGTTGGATCCCCAGGTTGGAGACGTCTCAGCTCGCCACGAAGCTGCTGAATCGCATACGAGCGACCCAGGAAACGCCGAACAGGACCATTAATGCGGAGGGACACGAGCCAAAGGAATTGTTTTGAGGAAATGTACAAGCGATACCCCATATGTGACGACAGGCGAGATTAGGCGAAGGAAACATCCTGTACATATTGTAGGTTCTTTTGAACAGAAAGCCATTGGCACTTCACCACGTTTCCGATGGATGCCAGCTATCACATATCACATGTTCCAGAAGCACCGAAGGAGCGTGCGAGGACCGAACAAGTGTCAAGCGGGTTCGCTCGCATTGGAACACGAGAAAAGTGGCAGAGCCTAGATCCAATGTCCCAAGAAAGATATACGAGGAAGTTGCCTCACCAATCCTGTCTCCCCTTAGGGTATTGGTGCGTTCCGATGTCTTTTCAGCACAGCCTTGCCCCAAAGCGTCGGAGGGAGAAGCTACTTCTCTTTTTTTGTTCTTCAGCTTTTCAGCCCTGTTCGTATCTCACACTTTCACCTGTCAGTAGTTCACGCTAAAAGCCCCCCCCCAAAAACAAGACAAAACCAAGATCAGAAGATCGACCCGTCAGTCCAATCTTTTTCACTCACTCACCAAATGGCAAGGTTCCATCTTCGGGACGTTTCGTATCTCAAAAAAAAAAAAGATATCTCACCCGAAAGTTTCCAACGATTTTTATGTGACGGGAAAAATCCAATACCAGACATGACATGACACTCCCTACTGCTGGGCTTCTTGGTCCTCTTTCACCGGCCCCCAAATCAAAGCCCACCTTTTGTTCGGCGCCCTGTCCCATCTCTCACATACATACATAAGTGCATTTTCCCCGAACGATTGGATCCGGCATTCCGGCATCCGGGTATCCTACGCTTACCCTGAGAATCCCCTTCGATGTTCGCTTAGCAAGGGGAAAGTCTTGGTAACTGGCGGCCTGGGCTTATTTTTCCCTCTTTTTTTTTTCCCGCGCGCCGATTACTGACCGATGTGTCCGCGTTGCTTGAAAGCCGTGAGCAGCGGGCACAGCGGGCAGCGAGCCGGGCGCGTTGTGTTTGCCATTCAATCCCTCATGCAGATACCGCTCAGTAGTACTTACTGCCGTAGATGACAGGAGAGAAACCAGAAGGGCGAGGGCCGCTTCTTCGTTAAGCAAGGCGGAAAAGGAAAGCGTTACTGGCCACGTTTCTCCCGATGGTCTGGTTTTCTGGTGCCGAGATTACAGTACGAAACAACGGCACGCCGTGTTGGGTTGCCGAACCGGGCCTGACAGGGCAGATAGACGGAGAGAGGCTCGGGAGTCTGGAGCTTGCTAGAATATGACTCCATAAGACTTGGTATGCGAAGGGGCGCGAAAAATACCCGTGCTTACATACGCCCGTACTTACATGTGCAGCTGGGGCGTGGCAGGCTTGGTGGCGTTTTGGGTCGCGCCCTGCTTTTGCTTGATATGTTGACCGGTGGCCCCGTCCCGTACGATTAGGCTGAGGGTCTTGTTTCTCCCTTCTTTCTACTTCAGATTTGAGGTGTTTTGTCTGGTTGTTGCACGCGCGCAGGTCACGAAAGAGAAAAGATTTGCCAAGACCGACCGAAGCAACCATGACGAACTTTTTCGACTTGCCTACGGAGATCAGGCTGGATATCTACAAGAATGTGTTTGGGACGGGGAGGGTGGTCTTTTCTACCAGTCGATCGGATACGGATTCATTACTGCCGCGAGCGGCTACCCAACCGGTATCGTGTTGCCGAAGTTCGCAGCTCCTGGCGGTATGCAAGACCATATTGGAGGAAGCCAGGCCGATCCTGTACGCCGGCACGACCTTCCAGGTGGTGTCGCACGTCTTCGCGGGTAAACTGCCTGCGAACTTCTCGGATGGTGCGCTCATGGCGCCGTACGTGAGACATCTGGTGTGGCAGGTGGATTGCGACATGTTGAAGTGGATGTACCAAGAAGACCTTCAGATCCGCGACTCGGACCTGACGCAACTATCCAGTCTCGAGGTCCGGTGTCGAGCAGAATCATGGCGGGATTCCTTCCTGGGCGAGCACTGTGACCGTGATCGCTTCATCCAGGGCAGGGAGCAGGCCATCTCATATGCCCGCTTTCTGCAGGAGCGGATGGCGAACAAGCCTCAGTTGGTCGAGGACCGACGGTTACTGGGAAGAGGCTGTGTGATTCTGCGGCTGCAAAACCCAACGCCGGTGTTATCTGCCGATGTGAGTTCTCAGATCGTTGCTGAGCAGCTCATGGCCGCTGACACGGTCACCCAGGAACTTCTGCTCTGATTGACGCACTTTCCGATCAGATTATACCCCGAAAACGTCTGTACTGCTACGATTGGCGAGATATATATCATTGGACCAGGATGTCAATGGGATTCGGCGTTTGGAGAACGCGTCAGGGCACGGCTCTTTTGCTAGTATTTGGGGGTTGCCACGTGACCATTACCAATCCAGCCTAGCGTCTTGTCGGCGTTCATCGTCACAAGCTCCGAGCCGCATCTAATCGTTCCCCCCGCCTTTGCGCCTCTGAGCTTGTCTCTGTGGCACTGAACAACTGTTGCTGACTCCTTTCGACCAGCGCAAATGCCGCGAGTCACTCACCAATCACTTCTTGTCCCCCCCTAAGGAGCCACTTGGTGACTATCAACTGGTAAACTGACAACAGGACCATATCTCTCAGGTATCAGGTACTTCCCTGCTGTGCCTCAATTCTATCCAATTACCGCCATGCCGTATGCGTGCCGCTGATCCAACATCCACCCCCCTCAGCTGCCGATCTTCCTATCATATGTACCTTTTCCCCTCTTCTCGCAGCTTTGGCATGATGCCACTCAAACTCCCATTCCACTGATTGACATTCAGTCCCAGACAGGGTCAGCGGTTGCTTCCAACCTTGATGCACATAACTCGTCGCCTAGTGACCTGTCATGACCATCCATATCCCTACCCCGCAACCAGGAAGCTCCTCCTTTTGGTCAACCTTGCACCGATACGAGTACCTCTGTTCGTCATCGCCACAATTCCACTGATAATAGCACTGAACAACCATTAACTTTGCCCGGGTTCACGGTGCTCATCGTCATTCGGTTGCACGTCCTTCGTTCCTTTCCCCCCCAGCCTGGTGAACCGACTTGAGTTATCTGCTACAAACTCATGCCTTGTGCTCGCAGCATCACGACTGCATGATTGGTTGCAAACCACGTCTCTCTTTCGCCTATTGCGGGTCACACCTTCGCTGACCTTGTGCATCTGGGTCGTCTGGTGTAGTCTCGCCGCGTTTTAATGTCTAGCAGGCAATCCACTTCCGGCGCCGTGTGACCTTCCGACCACAGAACTCCTTCACTCGCACCTACCGCAGACACCTTTCTGCAACCAGCTTCCTTTCTGCATGACATTCTCACTACCGGTCTTGACCTCGCCAATGGCTGTGTCTACCCACATCGACTTCGTCTAGACTATCCATACCTCTTCACCATGTCGTGAGTTCTGGTTTCCATTATACATTTCTACCACCACCAGGTTGATCAATCTGAATGGTATAGCTCCCAAAACGACACGTCAGCTGACACGTCGCTAGAACCCCACCACCATCACACAAGCGACAGAAGTCCAATGCCTCGCCCACAAAGGACATAGCTGAAGTCGCCGCGGCACCCACAATCCTCAACACAGCACCACCACCGAGAACGCAAGTATCGCTGATTCCGCCTCCAAGAACGCCACCACCCAACCCACGCAAGCGTCGCGCGTCAACCAGTCCGAAACTCGATACACTTCCGCCCGGCACCACCCTTCCACGTCCAGAGCCTAGCTCCAGCGTCTCCATTCCTTCGTTGTTGAGTGAGGACAGTGGCAAGAAGCGAACAGGCAGAACAAATACTCCGTGGACGGCGACCGAAGAGCAAAGACTCAAGCAGATGCGAGATGTCGGCAACAGTTGGAGTGAGATTGCCAAGGTGAGATGTGCCTGTATGTTGCGGCAACGTTCTGATAACGGTGCAGGCATTTCCCACCAGAACTGAAGGGAGTGTGAAGAAGCATTGGTACAAGGTCTGTCAGAGTTGCCATAACTTGCATCGGAGCTCACGTGGGATTAGGACATGCACTACGCAGAGTTTGCAGAGGACGAGGTACATGCACTGTCACCACGAGTCTTTCACTCTATTGACCACAAGACCAGTCTGTTGCTCTCCGCGAAGCCATACGAGAATACGAAGCAAACAAATGGAAAGCGATTGGCGCCAAGCTTGGAAAACCAGCAAAGGTTCGTTCCTGACGTCTACACTCCCTGACACATACACACACGCGCGCGTTACTAACATCCATCACCAGGCTTGCGAACAATACGCCAAGGAGCATTTCAAGAACATCTGAGATACACATTGCATTCGGACCCACAGCACGACCAAAGCAAGGCGCTTGGTAATGGCGAAAGCGCTTCGCGACAGAATTCCTTTTGCATCATTGATACGGCAGTATAAGGAAAGCCATCTATTCGATGGCTACATTGTAACGGCAAAACATACCTTAACTTTTGATGGGCAGCAGTGAGTGAGACTGCACTTTACACGACAGAAAGAGGTTCACAGCTTTCTTTCCGATGTCTGGGAGAAGAAGAGCAGAGCAGGTCTCCCTGCGCGTTGAAAGTCACTGGCAGTAACTGTGGTTGCTGTCGTTGTTGTCATGCAAAGAAAGCAAGGCTACTGTGACCGGGGGACGGGGGCATACGAAAGGGAAGTCGCATAGTGATTGCGGGATGCGGGTACGGATGCGGATGCCGGGAATTGGGGGCATGTGGAGGGCTGTTTTCTACGCCTGCAACCTGCAACCTGCAACATCGGTGGGAATCTCCCTTTCCGGAGCCACGAAGCACTGCATTTTGCGCTGTAGCAGAAAGGGCGGAAAGGCGGAAGGGTGCAAAGTACCTTTGGTATTACCTGGCACTGGGGCGCCCTGGATACCTAGGTACCTCTCATTGAAGGTAACAAAAGCCCAGCCCAGCCCAGCCCAGCCGGCGATTAGCCGGGCAGACGCCCCCATGCGTAATGAATTCAAAGCAATGAACTTCTATGTCCACATCAGGTGCCTACAGTGCAGGTCTTTCTCTTCCAGCCAGCCTTACTCGTCCTTCGTCATTGGTGACACACGAACCCAGTCTGAACCACGAACCGCGTTTTGTACCACTCTGACGGCCCACGCACAGAATGATGTGGTGCTGTTGCTGTTTCTGTTGTCATCTCCTCGACCCCTCCTGCTTTGCCGCTCTTCTGCACTGTCCTGAAAATGAAATGATGTGTAATGCCCGCCCGCCCGCACGTACGTACGCACGGACTTCGACCCTGAGCTGCGTGCACGACCTCGTCGATCAACGGAACAGGGGAGTCCAAGCGCCTTGTGGGCTGGCTGGCTCCTTGGCGCCGTCTTCCTTGGCCGTTGTGCAGATACCCGCCGCGGTCAAAGGTGGACAATCAAATACCCAGTCTAGACCCCATGGGACGGTGCATGAACTGCTGTTCCTCCCCCGTGTGCCGCCCCGTAACGCTCTTGTATCCCCGAGGAGCTTCCGCACTTTCCGCTCGGCCACTCCCTGATCCGCGAGGTTGGTGGGTTACACAGAAAGCACGGTTCTGACATTTGGCTGCCGATTGGCGGTCGGTTCTTGGGTGCGGAAAGGTATGAGAGAGGGGGGGAGAGGCTGCGGAACTCTCACGCAGAGTAGCCGGTTGTAGTTGTACTGCTCGGCCGCGGGTGAGTCGTGGGGCATGCGTGACTGTACAGCAAGCAGTTTTGAATGACATTGGCCGTTGCACGAATGGCATGTGCGTGAAGGAGATGCGAGTACAGGAGCAGACCTCGCGGCGCTGTCGATCTTGCGCTCTGACCAAAAGTGCAGGAAGACCCCTTGCAACAAGGCGGCCGCTTTTGAGGGAATCGTGGTCGGGGTCGAGATCGAGGTCGGTGCGCTGGCCTTGTGGCTCAGGCTTCAGAAACTTGCGAGGTTCTCGAGCGCATTCATCGTATCAAGCGGACTTGGTTGGGTTAGACCTTCGACTGCACTGTACAGCAGGGGTGGCGATCCTGTGTATGAAGATGCTGATGCCTTGATGTAAGTATGTAGCCTACAAACTAAATGCAAGGTCAGGGTAATGGCAACTTCTTTCAGGTCAGATGGGTTCTGTCTCTGACCACGTGTCTACCACGACGTGCTCGGTAGCCCTCGAAGCGGTCAAAGAATGGGTAAAGCTTCGTCTTACCACATCTGTCGCTGTCGCCTGTCAACTGGTACTTTGAGAGAGGTCGGTGCGTGGCGTGTGATGGGTGGATGTGCTTCAGCGGCGTGTTGCCACATGGCATGACTCCTACCGCCCATGCCGCTGTCAAAGGTGTCAACAATCCGGCCTGGGCGATGACGCCTTACTCGAGGGACGTTCAGTCCGCACGTCGTTGTTCTACAATCGACGACTCTCAAACAGACAAGCGCAGAGATTGCTCCTCGATACCGGAGGCAGCTTACTGGCACGCCGGCGACGCTGGCTGGATGGACGTTATTGCAAGGCGTCGACCAGTGATTCGTCCATTATATAATAGGAGATACTGTTAGCTTGTGATGTACCGGTGCTCGTCTGTTCCTGCACTTTGCTGACGGGGTGGGTGCTGACTTTGGCGGTCCTTGCCTTCGTTCTCCGGACCGCGCACGTTCCCTCCCTTGAGTATCAGAGATTCAGACTCTCCTCCAGTAGATACGCAAGTCGATGATCCTATTTCAGACCCGCGCATCATTTGGCCGACTCTCAACATCGTCGACAAGTCTAGACAAGACCAGCACTCTTGGTCCGGCTCTCGAGCCAATGAATTACCCGCCTGCAACTGCTGCGCCACAAACGCCTGTGCAAGGATGTGGGGATCGCGAGCTCGCCCTGCATTCGAGCCACTTCTCTTTGACGCCGGTCAAGCCACAGCTTAGCTCCCACTGGAGCCACTGACGCAGCGGGTGCAGAAGATCGGCAGCCCGAGACCTCGCTGTTCCAAGGTTTTGGCCGTCTAGAACGCTTGACCATGCTCCTGTTTCGGCCCGTCACGCAGGGACTTGCAGTGTGTGCTTTTCTCTGTGGCCGTTGATAACGGAGTGAGCTTGGGCTTTAGGGGTTGTTGCACTGCCTCTCCACTACATGATGACATTGCTGGGGAGGTACCTCCGTCCCTGCAGCGGTGAGCACTGATATCAAAAAACAGGTCTGGACCCACGTCGCTCGTTTTCTTCTTCGACTTGCAATTGCGGCGTGTGCTTCACATGCGGGCTATTCACGACGTTATTGATACCGCTTGCTGAGCTCTCTGCCGCAAGTTGGACTCCTCCTACTACCCGATTTTGTTCCTCCACCGTCACGATGGCACGCATACCACTCTTCAAACGTTTGGTCATCATGATGATGAACATACTCTTCCCACCCATCGCAGTGGCTATGATCACCGGTGTCGGCATGGACACGCTGGTCAATAGCGTGCTGTTCCTCCTCGCCGTCATTCCGTCCCACATTCACGGTTTCTATATTTCATGGGTCTACTTCAACCGCAAACGCAAGGTTCGCAAGGGCATCTATCCCGGCGACAAAGCTAGCGGCATATCTAGCGACCGAGTCAACAACGGTGGAGCCACACGAAGGGAGATACAAAAGTTGAAAGAGGAGCGGGATTTTGGCAAAGTGGAAAAGAGCACGAACAGACTCTCCAGACCTGGTGTAAGTCGACAGCTCAGCAACCGAGTCGCAAATTGGGATGATGGATTTGACAAGGAGATGTTGAGCAGAACTAGCAGCATGAACCGACCGAGCACGCTGAGTCGGCACAATTCTGGAAGGAGTGGACGACGGCAAGAAAACGGCACTGTTCCTCGGTCCAGGAGCGAAAGCAGGACGAGGAGCCTGACCAGGCAGTTGTCCAACCGTCTGGAGGACCATATGGTGAGACGATTGACCGATCGGGATGACAGAAGGAGACGAAGGGACTATGACTACGACGACACGGGGAGCTATGGTGCGTCAAGCGAAGCATCGCCGGCTGCCATGGCCGAGGTTAGACGATGGCGGTAAAGCAGGGGGAAATGCCTTATGCAAGCCATTCAGTCGCATGATACCGGATTAATGCACTGCACATTGATTGTGGCTCATCTCTTGCATCTACTCCAGTCCGCCCTTGAAGTTCAGCCTCGGCGGCTTTGACCTCCACTCCACCCCACTCCACCCCCTTCCCTTCCTCCCTTGACGCAGACATAGCAACGCCACATTCCACACTCGCACCGCTGCCCACAGCAGCATGGCATTCTCTAATCAACGATTGATCCATCGTCTGCCCATGGCAACCACCTTCACTCATAAACCCGTGCCGTTCCGCGCTGTCAATGAATCCCTGGAGGACCATCTACTGATATTCAACGATTCATCACGAAGACTGTACAAAAACGAACCAATTTGCAATATTCATCTCGAGCTATCTATCCCGCCGTGCCCCTTGCAGGGACGACAAACTTCAGCCACAGCAATTCCGTTCTCACTCTCCTCGTGCTGAATTAACGCATCCATCACGCAGCAGAAATGCGCTCTCCCTCCTCTTTCCCCACCAATGGTGCAGAGGCCACAACACTGCTCCTCATTCTTCTGCAAGCTCTCCCTGCGGCCGCAATGACAACGTGGTCACCTTCTCCCCTAAAATTCCTGCTTCGCCACCCCTTCTCCCCCGTTTCCCCCAAGCCAACTCCTGATATTTCTGTAGAAACCCTCTCCCATCCCTGGGCGGTATTACCAGCTCAACCGCCAGCGCCCGCTAGGCTACCGAAACCGAAACCGATATCGATACCGGTCACAATACCGCTTTCTCAAGCAGACGCTCGTGTTGGAGTCGTCGATCCCGCAGTCGACGACGAGTTTTCACCATCGCTACCGCACCCCGAATCCCCATCTATCGAAGACTACGAGTCCCCGTTCGTACAGCCACCTGGCCCCGAAGCAGAGACAGGCACGGAGACGTCAACAGACGCTGCATCCGAGCCGTCCGCTACTGGAATCAGACTGATCGCGCCCCTCATCCGACCGGACTCGCCCGTCCAGCACCTTGCTCCCCAGTCTGATCCTTGCGAGGACGTGGTCGAGACAATACGATTCACTGAGACAACACCGACAACAGTCGCTGCATCCGACGAGTCAACAACACGTCCCGCGTTCTTCAACGACATGGACACGGACATGGACTTGAAGTGGGACGCTGATCAAGGCCGAGCGGATACCCCATCACAAGACCCTGCACCCGTCAGCATCGCCCCTGGTTCCGCAGAGACCCATCCCACCAGCCTGTCCGCCGCGGCCCTCGACGCCCTGCGCGCCAACGCCACCTACCTCGTCCCCGCAACCGCCTTCGAGTGGTCTGTGTTTGGCCTGAGTTTCTGGCTCACGCTCTGCGCCGTGCTGGGCATCTGGCTGCGGAGTCGTCGGCAGGGCGGGAGGCTGAGGAGAGGCCGGAAGGCGTGGCAGAGGAGGCTGAGGGCTGTGGTGGTTCAGCATCATGGCGACGAGGAGGCTGCTGTTGGTGCTGAAAGAGGAGCGGCTGGAGGAGACGGTGCGGACGGCGTGAGGGTGTTGACTGAGGGACAAGGTGTCTGGGTCAACATGGGCAGGGGACGCATGGAATGGGTGACCCTGCAGGGAGATGTGGTCGTTGGGTGGGATGGGGAGCCAAAGGAGGGGTATGGGCAGGTCTGATTGCTCCAAAGAGCGGGATCATGGACTGGAAGAGGTTGTGTGGTATTATTGTACGGTTACACCAGGGGAGAGATCAGTGGAAGGGGTCAGCAACAAAGAGGCGCCTGTCTGTTTCGTGCGGAGTTCTCGGCAGAAGAGATGGAAATTGCATCATTTTTTGACAGACTGGACGGACTAACGACAATACGATCGGAAATTTCGAGGTCTCAAAATCACGATATAGAAATGATACATAGATGGCTCACGTGCCACACGCCATGCCATGTAATGAGTAAGACGCTGTGGAATACAAGAAAAGCTGCTGCTGTTTCCAGCAATCATAATCCTCAGGTCGTGGCAGATATGAGTTTTTGACAGCACTGCCCAGGCAGACCGCTCAGATACCTACCTCCTTTTCTGTATGGACCTGCCTCTCACCCCGAACTCTCCCTCAGATCCGTCAACAGCTTATTCACCGTCCCAGACATGCCCGTGTCCGTGATATCAGCGATCCACTGCGCCCAGTCCAGGTCATCAGGCTCATCCTGATGCGAGGCTGAGCTCGCCGCCGCAGGCTGCTCGTCCCGGCCCTGCTCCACCAGCATGGTCATCGTACGATTGGCGAGCGCCTCGAAGATATCTCGATACGGCGCGACGCCGTGCCACCGCTCCGCCATCGCCACCAGCAGCATCGTGCAGTCCATGCACGTGCTGCTGACCTGATCGTTGCGGATCCTGGTTCTGACTGTCGAGGATGTCCACAGGCAGTGCAGGTACGTCAGACCGGCCAGGAAGAGGAAATGCAGCGCTTGCCAGGTGTAGCCCACGGAACGACCGATGAATTGGCGGCGGTAGCGGCGGCAGACGTTCGCGGCGGCGGTGGCGCACTCCAGCAAGATGGCGTCGGGCACGTTGCCGGAACCGTCGGCGAGCTTCATGCGGTAGAGGAGGAGTATCGAGAAGCTGTAGTTGGTCGAGAACCAGTCCTCGCAGCCGAAGAGCACCAGGGCGTCGGTGCCTTGAGCGGGGACGGGTGGTCGTGTGTTGAACCAAGTTTCGATTTCGGCTCGGAGCTCTTCTAGTCGCGGTTCGGGGGCTGGGAACCGTATTGCCATGTCTGAGAACAGTTCGGTGTGGATTCTCGCCCAGAGGTATCGACTGTGAAAGACGTGTATTGCGACCGACATGGTCGTTGGCGGCTCGTGGCAGGAGGATCTTGGTGGCTTGAGGAGGCCGTTCTCGCTGATGTATTCGTCGTCGAGGTCGAGTGGGTACTGTCAGCCATACAGGTTAGCACGCCTGTAGAGGAAAAGTAGGAGACATTGAGCTACCTCGGCATTGATTTCGTGGACAGGAACGCCCAGCGGTCTTCCTAGTGTGGTGGACTGGGAGCAGTCGATCGTAAATGCGGTCCAAAACGCACGACGCTGCAGTTGCAACCGGACGGGACTGCTAGTGGCACCATGTCGACTCGCGGTACGGTGATAGCCAAGATCGATACATTGTCGCAATGCTAACCCGGAGAGCTTCCTTTGAAAGACTTAGCACCTGTCGTCCGACGGTATCCTTTCAACTTGCCAGATTGATGGGCCGGTAGCTGCTCTCAGTGAGTAGACTGCACAGCATAATAGTGCCTGTATGGACTCGAGGTTGTCAAGGGGGAGGACGTGGTCAATATACAGCTGAGCGGACGCGAACAGACGCTGAAACGTTAGTAGGTCTTGCTTTCACGGAACAAGGAACAGCCACCTGTGCGTTATGACCGCTTTGCGGTAGTAGAATGGCGCCAATGGCGTACACCTGTGGGATGTCAGTCAAGGCCGATCAAGTTGCTTTACGTGCCTACCGCATAAAGGAAGAACAGCGGCAGGTAGTCAGAGGAACTTATTTGCTTGCCAGGACTTAGCATGTCGTTTTCCCACTCTCTGAATGTTGGTTCATATAGAAAAGGATACTGCTGTTGTATCGAACGAAAGTATGCATTACTTAATGCGACGGCCGATTCATACTCTGGAAGTAGACATGCAATCTGCTGCGAAGTCTCTTCGACTTGCGCTGCTGTGTTGTCGTTATGCTTGACAGGAGCAGCTTTCAACAGCGATGAGCTGATGATCCTTGAGAAAGAGAAGGCAGAACTTGGTCCCAGGTATCGAGGTTCGAGACCTCCAGCATTGAGTCCCAAGGTGGCCACCCTTGAAGCGAAGGTATCACTGGCGATGAGATCGTCTCCGGTCTGGAGCCGTTGCGAATGCTGAGGAGACACTTCACTAGCGGCTAGAGGGGAGCTCTGCGCGCTGGGTCGTTGTTGAGCCAGAGCATCTTCAAGCTGAGCGACGCGATGCTCTAAGGCGTCTATGTAGTTACGTGGCTGTTGCCTTTTGGTGATAGGATCCTCCACCAGACAGTCTACCACACGATTAGACTTGTCTGAAAGGCATCAGCGGAGTCTTCTGACCGGTCCCAAACCGTTGACAATTCTTGCATGATGGTGTTTTGTCATCGCACTGATATTCTTATCAGCCAGCCAGACTTCGCTGTGATCGTCACTGTAATAAGCTTACCCTCAGCTTCTTCTCCTTGCACTTACTACAGGCAAGTAAAGTACGTGGTCCGACTCGAATCCGTCGAGCTTGCTTACGGGGCGAGTCCGGCATCGTCCATGGTACAAGCTCGACCAGAATGCCGTACCAGATTGAAAGGAATGATAAGATGGGGTTGCAGTCTCTAAGTAACGCTGATTTAGAGCCATGTCCAGGGGTGCGGGGGTGAGCGCCAGGGGTACATTGGGGGCCTGCGGGCGCAAAGGTTACACCAAAAAGAATGGCACCTGCTTATATCTTCACATTTTCTCGTGATACAAATGAACAAATTCTATCTGGGAGTCTGATCGATAAACCCAGAGCTAGTACTAAATAACGTGCGTGGTGGTCATTCTCGTCCGTGGCCTGCAGGACCTCACTAGCTACTTTCTGTTCTACGCCGCGCGTGTAGTGGCAGCAGATGGAGTCTTGCTTTCACCATGCAGGTTCTGGGTAGCTTCTTCGCGCCATTCAACCTCAGATCTAGTATCTTCGTCAGCGAACGTCCCTATGGATCAGCTGAGAAGAACTTACGATAGATCATGCTTGTGTCCATCCAGATTCCCAACTTCACCTCGGACGAGTGATCGTTTGGATCGCTTGTACGCATTGAACCACGGTCCCTTGAAGACCTCCTCAATTTCTTCAACGCTGAGACCTGCAACTTCCGGGACGACCAGGAAGACATAAACGATGGCGATGAAACACCATCCTGCGAAGAAAATGAATGCTCCCCAATTGTCCGTGTTCTTCAAGAGAGACGGGATACTGAACTTCACAGCATAGATGAACAACCAGTGAAACGTTTGGCTGAGGGCACCTCCAAATGAACGGATTCGGTTTGGCCAGAGTTCACCGCCAAAGACATATGGTAGTGTTAGTAGTCCTGTTGGTGAAATCAGCCAAATTCAAGCATCATAAGCGATGTCAGCTTACCGACTGAATAGCCGAATGCATGGACAAATAACATTCCCACAGCGGCTTCTGACGCGGTTTTGGACATTGTTTGGACTTGCTGGTACTTAATAAAGACACCAATGTATATGTCTGAAACCATTTGCAGGAAAGCACCGATGAAAAGTGAGTTTCTCCGGCCCAGCGCATCGATGAAAAGAAAAGACGCAATCAAGCTAAACCAAAATTTCGAGAAGCCGTACATGCCGCTGAGGAACATGTTTCTCGTTGTACCGCCGCCAGGACTGATGATCTGCATATACGGCACAAAATAAGACGTAATCGAGTTGGCGCCAGACAGTTGTGCAAGAGCATACGACATTAGTGTCTGCTGCACACGACGGAGATTTGATCGTTTGGTAAAGGTCTCTTTGACGAGCTCCAGCAGTGTTGGCTTCTCAGATCCACCAACTAAGCTGATGGATGCCTCGATGTCGCGAATCTCGCCTTGCACCCTGGGATGGTCAAGCGGTAGCCCTCGCAGCTTGGAAAGAGTGTCTTCTGCTTCTTTGCGACGTTCGGCGATCATCAGCCACCTAGGCGACTCGCAGACGAAGAAGCTGCAGATCACACAGAGTGCCATGAAGATACAAGGTGCGAAGAAGACGATCTGATACTGTAGCCGGCTGATGGGTACATGCAAGTATACACCCAACGTGCAGAAATTGGCGGTGAAGAGTGAAATGCCCATGGCGACCACGAACCAGGACGTGAGTAGGCCGCGAATCTCAGTTGGAGCGATTTCGGCAAGGGACATCGGGCCAGAAACCGACAGACCGCCAATGCCCATACCAGAGATGATTCGGGAGGCCCATAGTCCAGATATACCGGGAGTGGAAATGGCTGTTAGCTGCCCAATGAGCCAGATGAAGAGATACACTCGGTAAGACCACAGACGGCCAACATGGTCATTGATGAAGAACGACAGCGCAGATCCGATGGCATATCCGATATAGACGAGCGAGACGAAGTTCCTGATTTGACCTGGATTGCTTCCGGAGCTGATGTTGAAATGATGCTGGAAGCCCGGTAGAGAAGGCACAACAGCCCCAGCTCCTTGGTCCCAAGCTGAGTCTACTGTTAGGGTCTTCCACTTCTGAGGCAAGGGAACGGCACTTACTCATGGGAATCGCCGAGGAAGCAAATATCAATGATGAAGCGAATAGCGAGCCATTACATACAACAGAACGAGGGGCATTGCGAATAACCCGAACGTATGCGGCCAGCGCCAGGTTAGACCAAGTGCGCTTTACAGACATGATTCTCGTTGTGGGGAATAGTCAGTGAGGTCTGGAGTGGTCGACTGGGGAAGTATTTATGTTTTCGCTGAGTCTGGCCCAGCCAGCGCTACCCTGAGCCCAAGCATCGTCAACTTGCCGTTCCCGTCAAAGATAGATAGTGGTCAGGATGAACTTGGGCGCTCGTTCTCGCCCGAGGGCCGTTGAAGTCTCGCCGCCAAGAAGCAGCTTCGAGATAGGCACCGGGAGAATACGAGCAGCCAATAGAATTAGAGTCAGCGGCGACAATTCCTGGATCGGCGCCATCAGACTGTCGGCAGAATACGAGGACCCAATCGGCGCATGATCCCGCCAGGATCTGGGGTTGATCAAGTACCCGTACATGACTGGAACTGCGGAGCAGGTCGGTCTGTATAAAAAGAGTGCTCGCGCTGCGAAGAGATGCATAAAGTCACAGACGACTTACAGTCTTCATCATGGTATCACACGAGTCTAAAATCATCATCGTTGGGGGTGGCGTCTTTGGGCTAAGTACCGCACTTTGGCTAGCTCGCGATGGCTACAAAGATATCACTATCTTTGACAGATGCCAATTCGATAAGAACTTCTACAGTCCATCGAATGGCTGCGATGGTGCTTCCGCAGATCTGAACAAGATCTTTCGCATGTCATATGGCGACAAGGTAGAGTAAGCTTACCGCGATGGTTCCTGGTACAGACGCTGATATCCAGATGCTAGTTACCAGAATCTCGCTATTGAAGCACGAGAGATATGGAATTCATGGAACCAGGAAATTGCCAGCAGTTCTCCAGCCGATCTTCCTGCAGGAGTCACGACGGACGATAAACTTCTGCTTAACTGCGGATGCTACTATGTTGCTGATGGGAAAGAGATGAGAGGCTATTACGCTGACAGCCTAAGCTCCATTGGCAAAACAGCACCAGAACTTCGGAAGAGGCAGTTCATCAAGGTACAGGATATGGACCATCCAGTAGTATTGCTTCTAAGTTGACCTTCTACAGGGCAACGAAGAAGACGCCCGGAAAATTCACGAGCTGGGCGGCAACTGGGCCAAGAAGTATCATGTCATTGACAAAATCAACGGAGGAGATCTAAACGGCTTCCTTGACACCAACGCAGGTGTTACGATTGCAGATAAGGTGAGATACGGGCCGGTCATCCAGACACCACCGAGATTCTAACACAAGACGTGTATAGGCATGCACATACGCACGCTTTCTCTGCGAGAAGGCAGGCGTCAAGTTCGTCCTTGGAGATCCTCAAGGCAAACTCAAGCGTCTCATCTCCACGTCAGAAGGCTCTAAGAAGCGTGTTTCCGGGATCGAGACTCATGACAACAAAGTCCACGATGCCGACTTCGTGATCGTTGCAGGTAAGTGTCCCTCCGTTCCATCGCAGGATCCCTACTAATACATGGCAGCCGGTGGCTGGACAGCATCCATCCTCCCAGAAGCCCACCGCACAGTCGAGACCACGGCTGGCACGCTGATGTTCATCGACATCCCACCCTCCCGGCAGGACCTATGGCAGAAATTCCACCCCGACAACTACCCTGTCTGGCACTACCGCCGCGGCGACGGCGAGAGCTACTACCAGGGCGGCAGCTTCCCCATCTCCAAGACCGGCCGCCTCAAGTTCGGCTTCCGCGGCCGCAAGTTCACCAATTTCCAGGACCACCCCACCCAGCGAGGCTTGCGGGTCTCGACGCCGCGCACCAAGTACACTAAGGAAAATCCGATCAAGTCGGTGCCGCTGTACGGCCTGGCGAAGATGAAGGAGGTCATCTACCAAGCGCTGCCGGAGCTGCGGGAGTTCGAGTTCACTGACAGCCGGCTGTGCTGGTACACCGACAGCATCGACAATGAGTATGTGATTGACTATGTCCCTGGATATGCGGACTCGTTGTTCATCTGCACCGGTGGATCTGGGCATGCGTTCAAGTTCCTGCCGATTCTAGGTCGGCATGTGAAGAATCAGATTGAACGGGTCGAGGACCAGTTTACGCAGGTGTGGAAGTGGCGCACTGTGGTCGAAGGTCAGGCGAACAATGGTCTGGAGGAAGGGGAGGATGGGCCGAGGGTCTTGGAGCGTATTCAACTGGCGGAACGTAAGTCTACTCCTGCGGTGATCTGCCATGATACGTGCTAACATGCTGGCCTAGCCCATGATTTCAACTTCGACTCGGTTCGCGCCCGGGTGGACAAAGACCTGGCTCAGACTTCCGACAAGACCGCAGCCATCGCCAGTACGACTGAACTGTCAGCACAAAGAAGCGAGCCAATGTCGGTCAAGTGATGGTCAATTGCGTTAGTAGTCTGCTTCGATAATGAAGGTACGCTGTGCGCAATAAATTGTCTGCTGTATCTCTGCTTCTGTAAAGCCTTTACTCTCATTTGATGGCAAGATCGTACTCATACAGCATGATACACCCGCTTCATCAGATTCCTAGTCCGCAACAGCACTCTGCTTTGACCATGATCACCAGTATAACCATGCCGCCTTGTCTAAACAGGTACTGTAGGAACAAGTTCAGATACCTGCAGTGCAGATCTACTGTAGAAGATGCCGCTAGAGGCTGTATGTGCAAGCCACTGACGTAGACGTATATAAAAAGTTGGGGGCTTAGAAACAAGGCTGAGGGGGGCTGTGTTGAGCGGTCCATACTGCCGTATATAGCAATGCTCAACCCCACACTAGACGACGTGCAGGCCTGCTCCTATACTTAAGCAACAGCGACGACCAGCAACGCTATTGAGACATCAGAAAAACCATCGGTAGACTCTCACAACAAGCAACAACCTACAAACTTCAAACAATAAACAATAAACAATAAACATGGCGAATTCACTAGCATCAAACGGCCACGGCAGCCGCACCCTCGAAGTACGCTATCACAACTGGAGCATGAACATGGACGTCATCGACCTCGCAACATCCCAGCAACTTTACACGCTCCACGGCGGCTCGCTCGGCGGCACATTCACGTGCGTCAACAATGCCAACGTCGTCATCGGCACGGGTCAAACGTCGCTGATGCGCTCGAACGTTACCGTCAGCATGACGGGCGCCGCTGGTGGCATCGCGGGCACTTTTCAGACACACACCGGCAAGCTGCTCGGCGGATCTCCCAAGTTCAACTCACCAGCGTTCGGTGGTCAGCAGATGACGTGGAAGAACAAGGCCATGTCATCGAAGATCATCTATACGCTGCTGGATGAGAATGGGATTGCGCTAGCGCGCTTTGAGAGCGCGGGCATGAAGTTCAAGAAGGTTGGCAAGTTGGAGATTGTAGATGCGGTCACGGATCAGGCGCAGGTGGATGAGATCGTTGTTACGGTGCTGACGCTGTTGTACCGGAAACTAACCGAGATGAATTCGACGGTTGTGGTCTGATGTCGTGGTTCTCGGACTGGCTCGCAGCGCACATCACAGCGTCTGCTTCCCCCTCGTCTCAATCGGCAACAACACCATCGCGATGAAAGCCGACAGCATTAACCCTCCCGAAACATAGATGGGTACTTTCGGATTCTCAAGCGCGCCATAAATACCGATCAGAGGGGCGCACAAGCCAGCGATTCGGTTGAAGCAGCTGGCAATGCCCGTACCAGTTCCGCGGTTTGGCGCAGGGAACGTCTCGGGGGTATAGGCTATGGAAGTCAGTCAGGCTGAAGAGGATAGGGGTGGTTGAGTGGGGCGTACCGTAAAGCACGCCGTACATGACGTTCTGGAACAGCGCAACCAGGCAGGAGAATGCGAGTTGGAAGCTCCCGTTGGCGGATTCGGTGAACAAGAAGAGGAAGATGCCGGTCAAGAGCGTCGCAATTGCCATGGTGCCTTTGCGTCCGACGTACTTGATGTCGACCGTCAAGCAAGCGATAATGCTTCCAGGGCAACCGACAATGGAGGTGATGGCATAATCGCGATAAGTCGTACTGACAGACTTGCTCTCGCCACCTGACTCGGAGAGGTATTGAGGCAGAAAAGCGTTGAACAGCGGGTATCCCATGCCAATGGCCGTCCAAATAAACCACAAGAGTCCTGTGTTAATTCCAAGACGTTTGTAGCCAAAGAGTGGCTTGATACGCTGGGTAGAAAACTTCTCGGCCTGGCGCATGATGACCTCCTTCGCAGTCAAGCCTTGCTTCTCGCCCCCCTGGGACTTGCCCCCTATCTCGTCCAGGATATCCTCAGAGAGCCAGGTTTTGCAGCCATTGTGGTACGCAATGCCGTACACAGCAGCGACGGCTTCCCTTTGGCGGCCCTTGCTCAACAGGAACTTGGGGCTCTCGAAGAGGTGGAACAGGAAGAATCGGCAGATGAACATAAAGAAAGTGAAGGCTCCCATGGTGTAGTTCAGGTATCGCCATCCCATGTTGCTGTCTTTGGTGCAGCAAGCGGCACCAGCGTCAACAGAGCTGCAAGAGGGAAGTGGCGAGCCGGAGCCATCGGTGCAGCTGTAGTTCGTGAGGAATCCCCAAGCGATGAGTGACCCTAGAAGCTGACCAAAAGGCCACCAGACGGAGAGTAGAGTAAGGAGGTTGCCGTTGGCGAAAGGGAGGAATTCGAGGAAAAGTGCCCCATCGACTGGAAGGTTACCCCTGGAAGATGTGAGCAAGCCTGCATTTGTCCAGGGAGAACGTTCGCGCGGAAGACGGAAGGAACGCAGCAGAGATTGATTCTCAGATTCCCGGAAGGGGGTCTCCTATTCGTCTCAAAGCCCAACAGGATAATCGACTTACCCAACGCCGCATCCCTGAGATGAGGTTAGTGAAGGTTGCTTGTCAGGGGTGAAAGAACCTACTAAGGCAGCATACAGTGCACAAGCCTGAACCCAAGTGCTTGTGCCACCAACAGCTGTTCCAAAAACCGCCGTGATAAAGAGAGTCAGATTAAACGCAGGTCTCCGGCCGATCACATCCGAAATGGTTCCCCAGAAGCTTGCACCAAGACAAAGGCCGAGAAACAAAGAAAGCGTGGTGAAACGCACGTTAGTCTCAGAGACACCATACTCCGCCGTGAAGGATGGCAGTGTTAACGCTACACCTTGCAACCAAAGGTTGTCGGCCAACCAACCGAACCCCGCAAGAGAGAATAATTCCCACTGGTATCTTCCCATGGGTTAGTCCCAAGGCAAGCAGATAAGGCAAGAGTGGGAACGGCAAAGAACATGTGCAACGCACCGGCCCATCCCAATATCCTGAATGGCTTTGTTGATGACCTTTGACTTGCGATCGTAAGCGGAATCATGACCGGACGCGGCAATGTCGGCCTCGACCTCTTCACGAAGTTGCTGAACGGTAAATTGCCCACCGATGGTGTTGTCAGAGGACGTAGATCTACCTTTTTCGAGCGTGTTGGCCTCGGCCGCGCCGACTTTGGTCTGCTCAGACTCGGGTAGGGACGCACGTCGAATGGACTGGCGGCGTTGGTTCTCGGCTACGACGCTGGGGTGGCGCGCGGGCGCTTGGTCCAAGGGAACGAGTACCAGGTCTTTGAAGTGTTCGACATCGTATTTTTTGAAGGGGTTTAAGAACGGCATTTTGACGGTCAGCGTGTTCACTGGCGATTCACCTGTTGCTGTGGGCTAAGGTCATTTGTCGCTGCTTTTGTCGCTGTGGTTGTTGCTCTCGCTGTTGCTGTGGGCGCGTATCGAGTCAAGTCGCAAACTTATCGGCAGCAAACCTGAAGATACCAGAGTGACTTGCCAACAAAGCTGAGTTCTATTGACGTTGCAGCGTCAGGCTGATGCTGTCGCTGGAATCAAGGACGGGATAGGTGGCTTTGGAAGACTCAGCGATACCAGGAAGGAGGTAATGTGAGGGACAGGACCCGAGTGCGGAAGCAAGAACGCTGCTAGACATATAAGGACGATCACTCGGTTGGTTCGGAGATGCGAAGACCGCGTGTCACGGGAGGTTGACAGGCTGCCAACGTTCTTGCAAGCACTGTAGGAGGGGCGGGTCGTAGGTGGACCTGCGCAAGACGCAGTTGCTTCCTTGGCATCGTGGGCGGTATGGAGGGTGACCAGATACTCCGTATCGATCGAAAAAAACAGTGCTTGCCAGAGACCCGCACGGGACCAATCGCAGGAGTGTTTTGGCAAAGTATGGGAGACGACTGGGGGCCAACTCACTTTGACATCATAGATACAGGCATCTTTGTGCGCTGTTGCAAGCAAGGCTGACGCTTCTCCGTTGCTGTTTGTGTCGGAACGGTACCAACCTTTATGCAATGCATTAAGGCCGCCTGAAGGATGCACCTCCCTGAAGGACTACTTGTGAAAGTCGATCACTAACAGATCTCAACGGCACAAAGTGTCGACGTCGGTGCGCTTGACATCATACCCCCGCGATACGCATGCCAAGCAATGCCACCACAACCAGGCGAAAGGTCAAGCCGAACTAAGGCTAGCTTCCCGCCTGATTATCGTCCGTTCACGCCCTACACGACGAGCTGCAACACATCTGAGATCGCCTGCTGCCGATGGTGCCGCTCTATAGGACTAAGAAGGCATATGCAGCGCTGGTCAAGAAGATGCAGCTGATCGCGTGGGGACTTGTACATATGTGTGGGGATGCCATTTGTTATGCCAACGCCTTGCAACCTGCAAGATGCTAGGGTCTTCGAACGAGCCAACACTGCTACAGGTTCATGCCATCCCGAGGCTCGCTCTGGAAAACCCGAAGTCTCACATCAACAGCCCCTGATACGAGAGATATCACAATACACCGCACGTTCTCTCACCGACTCTAGGCCTGTTGTCGTTGGTGTCGAATCCTTCGTTACCTCTCGTCTTCACTTCAGTTTCGAGCCTTAAAAAAGGCTTGACTCACCATAAAAAAAGGCTTGAGCGCCACCAGCGGCCGCCACCGCACATCCACCGCAAACATCCCCGTCAAGCCCCGGGTTTCCCAGCGCACTGCACTGCATGTATGTGCCTCGGTACTTCTATAAGCATACCGCAAGTAAGCGACAATAACAGCAGACTGGCCAGTTCGCCAACCTAACGTGCAAATTTCACGAATTCACAACCTGAGAACGGCCCACTAACGTCCAACTGGTGTATTGGCTATTTTCATTGGTCTTCATTTTCATTACGCTGACGCTGGGTATGGTGTGTATTTGATGGTCTTTGCTCTGCAACAACAAGCATTGCATTAGCGGAGAGCAACTCCTCTCTATATGGATCGCCTAGAAAATGTCTTCATTTCTCCTCCGCGTCCACAAAGACATCCACTTCGCTCGTTCCCGTGTCTGTTCGCTGCAGGGGGCTCCTGGGCTGCATAGCCGGGTTGGACATATTGAGGCTCGACACCTTGTTCGTTGTATCATGCACCTCATCGTCAAAATCGAGAAGGTTGCCTCCTGCTGCCGCTTTGGCGTTTCCAGTCGGCGCTTGCGTGACCGTGGATTGGTGAACCGGTTGTGTCTGTTGAGGGTCAGATGTTGGGTGAAGCAGGTTGTGCTGCTCGGTCGCGCCCTTGTTATGAGACTGAGCATCAACCTTAGGCTCAGGAGGAGCGGTGCTCGCGGGCCGAGAATCGAAATCAATGAGGTTCGATGTCGCCTGGTGGGCTGCAGAGGTTCCCGTTGAAGTTGTGCTCTCCTTTCCTGAAGTCGTCTCGTTGGGAGCCTTGACCGACCCTTGACCGGCACCCGATCCCGGAAGAATAGGTGCGATGGCCAGAATCTGCTCTGTGCATTTCTTCGGATCCGATGTATCGCTGTGTCTTGGTCAGCCACTGCCTTCCACAACCTCCAGCACACTTACAACTCGGCATTGATGATCCATTCCAGGTCCTCGCTACCCCCTTCAGATTCTCCAGATCCAGGACGAACGGGTCGAAATAGCTTCGGAGCCCACTGCTCGCCCTTTTCTTCCCGCTGACGCGCCTCCTCTCGTTGCCGGTCTTCGATTTTGGCTTTTTCATCCGTGGCTTTGACGTGGTCCTTGACATGCACAGCTTTCACGGTGGGTAGCCACAGTCTTTGTGACTCGCGCTCGCTTTGCTCTTCGATTGGCCGTGTTAGAGGAGGCGTATGCTTGGCATGCGTTGCATCAAAAAGCGGTTTCTTCTGTCCTGTAGTCAAGTCTTTGATGAACATTTCACCGGTCCATAGACCGGACAGCTCATAGAGTTGCTCGCCAGTCTGTTCGTTCTTTATAATGCCTCCAATGGCGTTGTATGTACCCGCCACCCAACCTTTGGTCTTGAACTCGAGATCGGCTGAAAGTCCGGTTGCGGGACACCGTACGTAGGAGTGGTCGCCGAGCTCGTACTTCATTTTGCCGAACAAGATACCACGGGCGTACATGTTCGGTTGCGTGATGATGCTGCTCTTGTCAATTAAAGCTCACGCACACCATGACAGACCTTACTATCTTTCATTCTGCCGGTTGAGGAATGTGAGGTATGAGATACCCTCCATCAGACTGGCGGCAGAGTTGCCGAGAAATTTGCTTCGAGGCCGCAGCGTGCCATCCACCCTGATGTGGTGCTCGGGTGCCATAAAGAAGTAGGACGACTTGGGAGGGTGGTGGGACGTCTGCTCGGAAATGTAGTAGCCCTTCGTTCCATCCTTGTACTCCCACCAGCAGGTGAAGGTCTCTCCGAGAATAGGATTCAGCGGCTTTTTCACCCCACTTCACCGTCATGTTAGCAAGTAAGGTCTTTGGAGGGGTTGTTGACTCACGGAGGCTTGATGTGCCAGCCGCTTAGATAAAACTTGATAACCGACACAAATCGCTGGACCGGGTCATCGATTTCTGGCATAGGCAGCAGGGTTTCGGGATGTGCCATGAAACTGCGGCTTGTCAGCTGTCGAGACCACTTCCGTTCCTTGAACCGTCACACACTTGGTTATCCGCTCGAGCATGGATCTTTCTTCCAGAATGAATGTCGGCAGCGTGATCCGCGACAGATCCGCGCCGGGTCGTAGTTGGGCGATAATATGAGAGAGCACTTCACGACATCAGCTACCAACGCCTATGCCAGGATTGCGGGGTAGTTACCATTGTTCTGCTCCGGTTCAACGACCGTCTCTTCTTGATCGGCATCGCGTGTCTCTTCAGTCGATGACCTATTACCTGTAATGTTATTGAGCATATGGCTGTGCCTGTGCGAGGTTTTCCTCACTTTTCAAAGACTCGCTCCGTGGGCGCAGGGCGGAACCGAGATGGTGTCTCATCTTGGAATATGGCAACCCCTCATAGAAGACCGCCAACGGGGAGCAGCAGGCGATGCCGGTGAGAGTATAGCAGGCTAGGCGTTGACGCTTGCGTGGTACGCTGCGATTAGGATGCAGGAAAAGGGCGGATGTCGTGGAGGAATCAGGCAGCGGAGCTGTGGGGAGGCAGCTGTCGGAGATTTAGGACCCAGTCGTGCCGAGCGTCCATTCAGTATTCATACACCAGTTATGATCAGACTGGCGTTTGCTGGGGAGGAGTAGGTATCACAAGGCGCGGCTGAGAAGATGAGAAACGGGAGGATGTCAGCTGTCGTCGAAGGAGAGTTGGACGAAATGGAGAAACGCAGATCTCACGGGCGAGCCAACTCAGACAAGGGCGGTCCGCAGTCTGGTGGTCCCCGAGCTTGTGCTTCCTTCTGGGCAGTCTTTCATGCTCCCAATTCCATCATGGCCTGCATAATAGTCAGTGCCCAAGCAGTGCCCATGTTCTCGTCGCGCATCTATGACTGGACAGAGCCTGCGGATGAAGCTGGGATGACGTCAATTTGGCGGGGCTTCTCTGCCAATTTTGGGCGTTGATGAAAGTCGTTCTTCGCGTAGGAAGCGACAAGGTACTTCGTATATCCAGTCTCTCACGTTCGTTTCATGCTACTGCGAATACAGCTGGAAAGAGATATCGTCTATGCGGACGTGACCGATCTTTGGGCCTCAACACGTCGCGTCGCGCTAACAGTGCCCTGTCCGCTAAACATATGCCCGATCCGCTGAAGTCTCTCATGGTCACCAGCGGTAGTATCCCGCAAGCCTACCAGCAACCCATCGTATGTGAAGTCGCTCGTCATTGGCGATCCATCTCACGAGGCCTCGATACCATGGCACATCCTGGGCTCACTGCTGCTTCTTCGCTGCCCAATAGGTATATACATTTGCATTCTTCCCGTGTGATTTTCTATCACGAACTCTTTCATGAATAGCAGCCGTCGATGCGGCGAACGCCAGCTCTGATGCCTGATCCTGTTCAAACGCCTGAGTCGCAATGCTGTAGATCTAGTCTAAGTTTAGCTGTGCCTTATGCATAACTCCTTGCTGATACGCAAGGTTCACACCCCGAACTCCCGTGTCGCCTCTATTCCGTAACCGTGGCCGATATTGGGCGGTCACCTCCGGTGATCTTCTTCACGAACGCCGATGAGGGCTTGTAAAGCATGACATGGAAATGTTCTATGACTGTTAGTCATTGTCGGTGGTTACTTTCGAGGTGGCTGCAATATCCTACCGAGTGCGTGTATACTCTTCAAGGAGGACCAATTCTTGAACCAAATGAGCTGGTCCCTGGCTATGCCGTCTTCTCCGCAAAACGTCCTGACCACGAATTCTTCGATCTCCTGTCTAGCCTTGGATGTCAGATCGTCGGTAGCAGGGTCGTCCTCTAGATTGAACTTCGTCCAGACCACGAGATGCACAATATCCGGATCAACTCCGTACGGCCAGTCGTTGTACAGAATCTTGTAGTCGGCGGGATTCGAGAAGGGTGGATCTGCCGAAGGAGTGGCGCTTGCCCAATGCAGGCGGTGCTGTTGCACAAACGCCATGACTGAGCCGTGTTGCTTCTTGAGATCGTGCATAAACTTGAGGTAGCGTCGCAAAGCTGTTGGAGACCGCTGGAATAGATCGATACGGTTGATGTTGATTAAAGCCTTGGCCTCGTCCCAAGTCGTCTGTACGTAGTCTCCATCGTACGACGATAAGACCCGCTTGCTCTTCTCTGGCAGCCCTTGAAGAAATGTCGGGCACTCCTCAGTCCATCGCTCGCGCGGCACGTTGAAGTTCCAGTATTTGGCTGACAGCTCCTCCGCAGGCATAGGCGAGCTCTCGCGTGTCGAATGCACGGAATGAGGCATAGCTCTATGTGAAAGAAAGCGAAATCTGCGGCCGGTCGCGATCTGGGACCTGGTTGGAAGAAAGATCAGCAGGCGCGACACCAGCAATCCCGTTTTTAATGGAACCTGCCATAACATGGCAGCGGTGAAGACGCGAGCAAACAAAGCCCCGGTACAAGAGGTCGGCGCTGAGCAAGCTGAGCGGACGAGGCTGAGATTCAGCCTTGGCACCTGAATGCCATCATTCCATCCGGCGGCAGGATCGCTTGACTTAGTGGCAAGCCACTGATGCTGCTATTGCGACGCAAATAAATAATTGCTGGGTACGAGTACGTAGGCAAACAGTATGGAATCAACCAGATCACACCCAAGAGGCTATGCTTGTGAGCGGAATTGAGATCCGAATATAATGCCTATGTCCTGGCCCATGAATTGACGAGCCCGATGGCTTCTTTCTCACGGTACCTGTGGCACGCAACGCAACGCCTTGATCGTGTAAGAAAATGAGGAGTCTCAGCTATCTTCCAACAACTCGATAGAGTAAACCTCCAAGCCGCATCTTTCCGGCATGTGACCTATCTACGGGGATCGATATTGATATTGTCATCTCTTGACTTTCCGTGAATGCTGCTTCGTAGAAGAAGCTTGCCTCATCAGTTTACAGCATCGTAATTCCCATACTCAAACCTCACACCTCTGCTTCTTGCTCTCAACCAATGATGTAGAAACGTGCTTCCTGACTACCGATGTGCTTGCGGCCCCAGAACAAATCGGGATGGAGGACTCGGACGTGCTCAATGACGCCAGCAAGACCACGCGGGGCAAGTGTACCAGAGTATGGGCAAACCAGACAAGCCCCTTCCACGATTCGGGGAAGTAGCTTGAGAACGCGCTCCTTACCGCCACCCTTCGGAACTAAAGCGACAGCTTGGGTCCTAGGATCTGGGTGGGTATGGAGCTTTGCAAAAATAACCTTGAGACGTCTGGAGTAGACAAAGGGCGATTCGAAGCGTTTCTTGGAGACAATTGATCTGACGCCATTCTTAAGCCCTTCCGGATGAAACGTGGGAAGCAAGCGAGCGGTATGGTACTGTGTGGCGATCTCGACAAGCCTAGTCATCGAGTTGGGCGAAGAGACGAGCTCTTGCAGCATTGCACGTGCGGCAGACTCAATGGACGTCGCATCTTGCGCAAAACGTTTGGCTGCAGCACTCGACTCGATCGTCAAGGTCTGGTCTCTGGGATAGACGTCCGTACACTCATGGGGCATCAGCAACGCGATTCGATCGAGAGCCTTTGGAGGGTAGAGCACCTCACCAACGCGAGACCAGGGCAAGAAGCTCTGACTCCAGTACTTGAGCAGCTCGAGGTTGAGAGCCTGGCCCATTCCATCAGCTTTACATTCCTTGAGAATCTTTTCGGCAGCGGCAACAATTTGGTGGCGGAGCTTGCGACGAAGAACAGCAAGATTAGAATCTTTGTTTTTCAGCTGCTTGATTTGATCGAAATACTTTGCCTTGGCTTTGGCCGTCAGATAGTCAACGCCAAGTCGATCTCGAACGATGTAGTCGGCCACAGGCAGCCAGATGAAGAGTGGAATCTGCCCGTTGGGTGCATGAACTGAACGGTTGAAACCAGTGCGGGGGCTTGCGATATGGGGCAAGACATCTTTGACGTATTCAATGACTCGACCTTGCTCTTTGTTTGGATCGATCGTCCACTTGCCGAGGCAGCCTTGGCACAACAGTAGTCCGATGATCTTGGTCTTGCGATCACTGCTACGGAGCATCTCGAGGCAGATGTCGCAACGCACACCAGCATGGAAGTGACCGAGGATTTCTCGGCGGTAGGACAGGTAGTGCTCGTAGGGTCCGCCGAGTGCGAGGTTTCGGACGCGATACTTCGAGCCGCGGTCGGGGTCGGACGACTTGATGAGTGGGAAAGAGCTAGAGCGATGGAGGTGGTCGAAGGACTGAATCGTATTGGTCTCGTTAGCTGTGCTTGAGCAGTTGTCAAGCCATTGAATGCCCATTCTTCTCAGACTAGTGCTGTCGCCGATGCGGTTATTGGGCAAAACACCGATGGATACAACGTTCTTTTGTCTTCGCTCGATGGGCCCGATGGTGACTAAGTGGTCTTAATGCCGTCAGAAACATCCTCAGCAAATGTATGTGCTTGTGGTCGATCTGGGGATGGCGATCCTACGCTCGCGGAGAAGACACCTCTCGTTGGAGCCAGCTCGGTTTACGCAGAGGGTATGGGACTTACCGTCAACGATCCGAGTTTTGTTATCACCTCGGTCGTAGAAATAGCGCTTCGCCAGCTCTGTCTGCTTCTCGTTCTGGAAGGCTTCAGGAGTACAGAAGAGGGCTGGTGGGAGCACACCATACTATCAACACGTCAGCTTCCATGTGGCATGTGACTCGAGCCTGACGGCATCGAGTGGATCAGAGATGTGCTATTTACCCAGATCAAGTTGGCTTCTTTGTGCGTCAGGAACAGAGCAATGCTAGGAATAGCTCGCTCGATCTGGAACAACCAGATCGGCTCGAGTTCGAGGAGAATCTGAGAGAGAATGACAGCGGGAAACTGCTCGAGGAATGGCCCATTGCTGTGATCGAAGTGCAGGCCGGAAGCAGGAGGAACTCCAGGCTTGTCGATGCAGCGACGGGGACCAGCCAAGAACGTATTGTTGATGGCATTCATGAAGTTCTTGATGATGTCTTTGCGTTCAGCAACTGCAATTGTTAGCAAGTCACGAGGATCATGTAGGGTGGAATCACTTGCGGGCGACATCAGCCTCGGTCGCAACAATGAGGGATCCCATTCTTGCCGGCGAGCCAAGCCCGAAAATTTGAGTCTTTCTCGTGTCGGTATGATGCAGTCGTCAGCAGGCTGATCTACAAGATTCTCAAGAAGTTTTTGAAAAGTAGCACATTTGGTGTTGCAGAGGAGAATCTATGACCACCGAGCTTGCGTGTGAAAAGTGATAGCTGCGTTATTCGGTGAATCGAGTCGCTGGTGTGTATTCAGCGCAGTAGGCTGAATAGGCACGTGCGCTTCACGACCAGCATTAATTCGATGCACTGCCTTGACGAAGTGACTGGCGACGTGCGACCCGTTGTCTCGGTTCCAAGGTGTTTGATCGTGGACCTACATGATGTGTACGGAGGCACAGATGAGGAAGGACAAGTGGAGATCGTACCGAATTCGTGGTAAACGTTTCAGCTCGACGTCGTGCTGACCCGGCAGAAAGGAGCAGAACTGCAGAGGTTGTGACCGTGAACCTAGTCTGAATGTTGACCACAACTGGGTTGCCGGGAGAACCTCAGCGTGTGTAGCGAGGACGACAGTGCAGTCACCTGAACTCGATGGTTTGCAGCCACGACGCTCAATCGCGCAGCCTTGGGGGTTCATCACATTAGTAGGTCAGAACACGCTGCGCTTCGACACCATCCATCGCAACAACTTTGACATTCGCATTGGCAAAATCGCTTTTGACCTCATTCCACGCTGACGGGTCCACACAGCGCTGAGCATCTTCGATCACCGAGACATTAAAGCCGGACTTCGCTGCGTCAAGAGCGGTATACTTAACGCAATAATCACCAGCAACTCCTACCACCAAGACGTCGGTCACTCCTCGATCTTTGAGTATTTTCGCAAGATCGTCACTCACCCCGCCGGTGCCAGATGTGAGGTTTCCGAAGGAGTCCGCGAAGGCAGAATACATTTCGACACGGGGGTCCATGCCCTTCTTGAGGAACAGGTCGACCTTATCAGTGAGGAGACCATCAACAATATCAGCCCCTTTGGTGCCTTGAACACAATGTACAGGCCACAAACGCTGCTTCATGGTCTCTTCGGGTTTGTTGGCGACCAGGTTGGCCATGTCAATGAAGGACTCGAATGGCTTGTTATTCGGAGCTTCATGGTTATCAGAAAAGGACACATGGTCTTTCGGGTGGTAGTCCTGGGTGGCAACCTTGATCTCAAAAAGGGGTGATTCGAGTAGCTTGTTGATCAGGGGAATGGTGTCTCTTGCTCCGGTCACAGCCAGAGAGCCATCCTGGTGTCATGAACATCACCTCAGCTGATTCGCCTACATGAACTTACCGGAGGGCAGAAGTCGTTCTGCATGTCGACCACTATGAGACCAGTCTTTGAGGAAGCCATTCTCAGGTGAGGGTCGAAATGAGCAAAGGATGTGTCGGAGCCCAGCCGCTGAATCAGTCCAATGTGCGAGCGAAGATGATGAGTATGAGTTGAGATTACAGCCTTAACCAGGATAGCACATTCAATGTCTTGTTGGTTGAGGAGTACAGTTCAGATACATCACAGAGAGATACTACAAACTATCTACAAAGCGGAGAAGCTATCGTGTGAAGTTAGAACAGGCACAGTATTCAGGCTACGTTAGTCTATATCCGGACTGGCGTGGAAGTAAGTGCCAAGCCATCCTGGGGGTCATGAACTAAGCCGCTCTCCAACACTTGACAACCCAGACACCACTGCCAACAATCGCGTCGCCTCTCAAACTCGAGTCAACTTAGTTGCAGTAGCGTCGGTCAGATCATACAGTGCTCCGCGGCTATCTCAGCCGGGTCTGGAGGCAGGAGAAGGTGGTGGTGAAGCGGACGAGCCACCCGCTCAAGTGGCGCAACACTCTCCGAAGGCATCTTGTCCGATAAACCACGATCCAGCGATTGAAGTTCTTACGAGCAAGACTACGACATTCAGTACGACCGAGCGTCAGCTATCCAGAACTTGTGAACATGTCCAAAGCCACAGTGGTAAGTTGCCACTTGCTCGCCGAGCAAGCTGCAGCCTGCGCAACCCCAGCAGCTTCAGTCTGTCGCTCATCGCTAATGACTGTTCAATAGGGCGACGTCTACGCGAAAGTCATCAAGGATGTTGTAGAGAATTCGCGAATTGATTTTGAAGAGGGTGGTGTTGAGGCATCGGCGCTGGAGCTGTTGCAATCGGTGAGCACCCATCTCTTATCATCCCAGATCTCAGACACATCTTGGAATCGGCGAGGGTAGTGGCGACGAAATTTGTTCCTGTGGCCCTGCTACAAACAATCGAATCGAGCGAGGAAGAACGCAGGAAATAATCGCCGTTGAAGAGCAGCGCAGTGACCCTGTGAAAGAGTGGCCTGAGCAACGGCCTCCGTCAGTGAGGGTTGGGTTGGCGGACGCGGCGCAGGGGCGGGGTCGGGAGTTCTTTAGGAGCCAGAAGGGCGGGCGCATGTGCAGGCTTTGACTCATGCTCTTATACCCAGATTGGCTGCCTAGACTCGTTCCACCCCCGGCGCCTATCCGCATCGGGTACGCCTGACGCGCCACCCAAGTGGCTTAGGGTCGTGAGCACGTGACAAGAAATGGTATTGGAATTGGTATAGAATTTGCTAACATTGTCAATAGGAGTGGCAGAAGAAACTCTCTAGCTTAGGCGTTGTTGCATTGCCTTGGGACCCGGCACCACCAAAGGAAGAAAAGGCCAACAACGTCAAACAAGAACCGTCACGGTCGATGCCCAGCAATGGCAACCTCTCCAACCAGCCTCCACCACAAACAACCCTCAACACTCTCCCACCCATCAAGTCCGAACCGCCGACACAGTATCCACCGCAAATGCCACCTCAGATGCCACAACAGCAGTACTCCAACATGCCGATACCTCCTAACCGGTCTATGAGCGAAGCTCAGCAACGAGCAGCTCAACTTCTCCAGAATCGATTTGGTGATCAGGCTAGTCAGCAAGTCGCCAGCCTCAACGGCACCCAAATTCCCCCACAACATCAAAACTCACCGTACATCAAGGAGGAGCAAGGATCAGTCCCGCGATACAATCAGCAACCCAACGCTCCCCTGAAAACCGACCAGACTGACGGTGCTGGCGATACTCTAGACACATGGCAAGCAGAGTATGCGCGACGCAAGGCAATGATCGCTCAGAACAGAGAGCATACCGACAGCTTCATCCGTGATCATGTCATGGCTTCTCAGCAGCAGCTTGAGGGCGGCGGTCTACTGCTCCCTTTAAACGAACAGCCTTCGGTCGAATCCCAAACCAAGCGGAACCTGAAGAAGGTACGTGATGGTGACTCTACTGCCGATACCTCCCTCTCTCGCGCTCAGGGTGATATGGCCGCCGATGATGAGAACGACGAAGATGCCATCAACTCCGATCTTGATGACCCCAATGAGGTTGAGCTGAATCCCGATGGCGAAGAAGAGGCCAGCAAGGTGATGCTCTGTACCTACGATAAAGTGCAGCGGGTCAAGAACAAGTGGAAGTGCACCCTGAAGGACGGCATCCTCCGTCTTGAAGGGGCAGAGTAAGTTGTTCCGCAACTCCAGATACCAAAAAGCTGACGATGGTAGATATGTCTTCCACAAGGGCCAGGGCGAATTCGAGTGGTAGTCCACGCATGCATTGATCTACTGATACGGCGCTATTGCCTCAGAGCTTACGGTGAAAGCAAGCAAAGCATGCTGCTGGCGAAACCAGAATGCACAGTGCTACGTTATGTTCAAGCGAGCAGTCGAGCAAGGAGAAGTGGCGGCTGCATGCTGCTGCGGAAAGCAGAGTCTACTTGACGGCTGAGCACGACCTTCTGCTGATTGTAGCAGCCAAATGATTGGGGTATGGACAAGAGCTAATGTTGCTTCTGGGGATGCTTTTCGGCTGCGACAGACGGATCGACCGTGGCATGGTAACGAGACCAAGCCTTTTAGTGACTAGGTATGCCACATAACGAAATCATGTAACAACGCCATCGTTCCGTATGTAGTAATAAGTAAAATCGTACTGCGAATGTGATCAGCAGGCAGAAGGCACTGTGTGCGGGCGACGCAACGTTTGTGGGCGTGTGTGGCTGTCAGGTCAACCCACGAATCTTGTCTTGTGACGTAACTGCGTAAACGCTGCATCACACTTGGTTTGCGTGGCCATTGGAACTTTTGCTCCTGCTTCTTCCACCACGGAAATCGTGTCTTCTTCTCTCGTACACAGTAACTCGTCTTGATACCAACAAGACTTTCAGTTCCTGCATCCACACCTTTCACCACCTCGTCAACCTTTCTCTATCGTCGACTATCGAACTCCGCCATCATGACGCTGTACTACAGTCTGGTAAGCTATCCTCCATCGGACCCCCCGAAGCCCCTCCATTGCCCGAGCTCTTTTGCAGTCCATCTCTGACCACCTAATAGGTATTCGTCCTTCTCATGGCCGAGATGGCCCTCTTCATGGGGCTCATCATTCCCATGCCCTTCACTGTGAAGCGAAAGATGTTCAACTTCATCTCCGAGTCCCCCATTGTGGCCAAATTACAATACGGCATGAAAATCACCTTCATATTTATCTTGATCCTCTTTGTCGACAGCGTCAACCGCGTCTACCGTGTGCAAGTTGAGATGTCTGCGCTCATGAAGGATTCCACTGGTGCTGGGTAAAGACCTACCCCACTTCCCGCATGGCCAGAGCCAAAATGTATGATGCAGCTGCTAACGCGTGACTTTCCCACAGACGTGCTGCCGCTGTCGGTTCCGAGCGCATGGAGGTGCAAGCCCGCAAATTCTACAGCCAGCGCAATATGTACCTGACGGGCTTCACCCTCTTCCTGTCCCTCATCCTCAACCGTACCTACATGATGATCCTTGACGTCCTGCGTCTGGAGGAGAAGGTCAAGATGTACGAGGGCGACTCGGCCGCCGACCCATCCAAGAAGGATACCCAGAAGCTTGACGAGGGCTACCGTGCCGATGCCATTGGACAGCTGAAGAAGGACTTGCAGAAGAAGGACAAGGAGCTCGAGGGTATGAAGAAGCAGGCCGATGGGCTCCGTAGAGAGTACGACGAGCTGAGTGTCAAGTACAACAATCTGAACCCCGGCGACGGCAACAAGAAAGGGAACTAGGGACTCGATATACGGAAGTTGAGAAATGGTGTGCTTAGGATGGAAGGCGGGAAGCGGTCCGTAAGCGAGGCGACAGACTCGAGATACGGGGACTTTGTGCGGCACAGTCAAGAGCTGCGAAGGTTGAGGACTCTGCAGCAGTTGAGTCGGTCGGTGTCCGCTTGACGATCGGCAAGCAAACGAGTAAGCTACAACGAGAACAGATGTTGCGTGACGGGATACATCTGCAGGCGACATGGCTAGACGTGTAGGTCGGGGCCACATAGGCAGGCAGGGGTTTGGCAGAATGCCATACGGCTTTTTACTGGCTTCATCGAATCGGCAACTTCAAACGCGATCAGAATTATCTTATTAGACGGGTAGGCGTCAAAATGCAACACAGCGATTTCACGAACCCCTTTTCACAAAAGTTCATTTGGGAAAATACACTGGCAATAGCAAGGCATATAGGCCTGGACTTTTCATTCGTTTCTCGTAATGGTGATGATATCTAGTGTGCGGATACCCATAACTCAGCTTAAGCGTAGTTCCCCTCAGCGAGAACATGAGAATGTGTCTTTCTCGCAACATGCGCTGAACCCAATGAGCATTACTGGATGCCATCGGCTGGAAGATGGACGGATGAAGGCCTTCTTGGTATTTGGGACTTTGTGTGTATGTATGGCTCTTTCGATTTGGTGATATGCTAGCGTCGAGGATGCAGCAGGATGGTACATGCGTCAACACAGGTCGAGTGGGTTTGTGGCAGCACTACTGAGATGTGAAGCTGTGTCTCGAGAGGGATGAGGAGAGTGGCGGGGAATGTCGAGAAGGTGCAGTAAATGCGACCTGTGGACGATTGTTGCACCATCCAGCTGCATTCCGCGGAGACAACACAGCTGTCGCTTCCACCCTGTGGCGTCCTCTAGCCCTCCGCCTGCCCCTCATAGGCGTTACTCTTGTGCTTTGGCTCGAAGCGGAAATCCCGGTGCGCGGGGCCCAAGAACATCTCACTGATCTTGATCCAATCCTTGTAGTTATCACTGCTCATGAGCGTCTCCAACTCATCGCGGCCGCGGTACCTCGGCGGGCGATCCTGGATATTGGGCGGCAGATACTCGAGCAATCCCACAGGCACGTAGCGGCAGGCGAAGCTCAGCCACTCGAGCAGGAAGCGGCGGGTCTGGCCGACGCCGATCTCGTCGGAGCCCCAGGCCTCGAGGCCGTAGCGGCAGAACTGCTCGATGTAGCGTAGCCGCTCGGTCGACGACTTGTCCAGGTACTGGTTGGAGGCGATCTCCTCGAAGAGCCAGGGCTTGATGAGGGCGCCGCGCGCGGACATGACGGCGTCGACGTGCGCGTGCTGCAGATGGGCTTGGTAGTGCTCGTGGCTGTATACGTCGCCGTTGCCGATAAAGTGAACTTTGCCGGCGCGGGCGGGCGACGTGTTGGGCAGGTCGCGGGCGTCGGGCTCATGAGCCGTGTCGACCAGGGCGTCGCGCTTGGCGTTGAGGTCCTTGATGAGGGAGGCCGTCTCGGAGATGTAGTCCCAGTCTGCACAGCGTGTGTAGCGTTGCTGTCGGCTGCGGCCGTGGAGTGTGATGGCGGCCACACCGCATGGGTCACCGCGATTGGGTCCCCCACCAAGGACCAGGCGGTCGACGAGGCGATGGGCAGTTGGCGATTTATCCTTGGTGCCCATGCGAATTTTGACCGTGATGGGTGTCTCGCCTGAGACGTAATTCATCCCACGCAGCATTTTCTCGAGCTTGTGGTGGCTATCCATGAGAGCACTACCGGCGCCTTCACGGTAAACGAGGTCAATGGGACAGCCAACGTTCAGATCGACGCACCGGAGCCCTCGCGGCAAGAGGGTGGTTAGAATCTCGGTCGCTTTGCATGCCAGCCATGGCTTATTGGCGGCGATCTGGGCACCGAAGTGCAGGTCGCGGGACTGGTCGTAGCCGTAATCGTAGACGATGTTGGAATGAGAGGTGAAAGTGGGAGGCTGGATCTCGGATTCATGGGCTTTGAGGAGCGCCCATTCTGACTTCTGCCCCTGTAGTAGGGGCATCGACATGGCCATCTCCGAGTAGGTAAAGGTAGCACCCAGAGAATTGCAGAGCCGGCGGAAAGGCAGGTTGCCTTGCGTAGTGAGCGGAGCTAGAACCGGGGTATCAGGACCGAAGTAGAGACGGCGTTTTTCCGAGGGCCGCAGAGGCGGTTCGACATAAGCGGCAGCGTCATCCTGTTTGGCCTCTTTAGCGTCGCCTTCAGGCTCGGGTGAAGATGAGTTTCGCAGCGGTGCTCTTGAGGCTGATCCGTTGGACTTATGATCGTCCATCAGAGATGCCACGTATTCGAGATACTTATCTGACCTTGGAGTGGGAAAGTTCTTCTTGGTCAGACTGATACGCTCGGAAGCAGAGAGAGCATTGGCGACACCAGTCTCATTGTCCTCGCCTATTGCTTTGTCGAGGGACTCGTCTTTGGTATCTTGTTCGCTGAGTAGTACGAGCTCCTTGCGGCCGTCTGCATGCTCGACTTCCTTGGAGTGGGAGCCAACGAAGCGGCATTTCCACCCTACTGGACAGGACTGCTTCACCTCAAACACAGGACAGACACCGGTGAATGTGGCCAGATCCTCGCGCTTGTGCTTAAGATATTTCCTGATATCGTGCTCGTACCGACATTTGTCCCCGAAAGAGCATTGCTTTGGTGAAAACTCGTTGTAGCGAGTCCTGCTTGAGCAGAGCTGAATCTCATCTCTGGAGCTGCCAAACTTCCTCGCCTTATTCTGACCTTGATTCTTCTCCCGGCGCTTGTGCTTAGAGTTATTACTCGTGGGTTGTCGGTCCTGATGGTGGAAAGCCTCGGCGGCATCATCATCACCCGGCTCCTGTAATTGAATCTCTGATGCATGGTCTTGGCGGTGGTCCGAAGGAATCAAATATTCTGCTTTGATGGGCGCAGTGCCTTTTCGGCGCTTGCTTTCAGCATTGCTCTCGTCCTCGGGGATTTCAGCCTTCCGCTTGACCGAGGTAGCGGTGCTGTCCAGATTCGACTGATTGATAGGCGGCTCAGATGTCGTGCCGTTAGCACCCAATGAACCGTCGTCGGCCATGGTTCACCAATCCGCACGCTTCAAGGTTGGTCAGTATTGTCTCAGACGTAACGTTGAGTCTCAAGGGCGGTGGCGCCAATTCGTCGAGGCGTTTTTGGGGCGATGAGCTCAGATTTACCTCACACAATTATGCTCTCGTGCGAAACGAGGTGGTCTAGCCTCGCATGAATCAATCCACTCTGTCGGGACGTCCGGACAGCCTTACTTGGGAGGAGGTCGTGCGCCACCTTGCTAGATCCGGGTTCCTTTGTGGTCGAGCCAATTGATTTGTTGTTCGTCAGCAGAGGCGTTCATGAAGCGGGTGGAAAAATTCCACGATGTGCAGTGTTTGACAATTGCCTTGGCGAGACCCACTTGCCACGAGGTCCACGGGAGGCGTAACACGAGCATGCAGCAAGGATGCACCGCAGATGGTTGCAGATCAGGAACTACCACCGAAACATGTGCGTTCAGGATGTTTTTTTCTCAACAGCAATATTCGGCATTTTGGAGCCAAGACTGCGCCAACAGTATATGCAATCCGGATACACTTCAAGGGTCGTGCTGAGTTACTGGTGCCGGCAGGATAGCCGATGTAGCTCTAGGAATCTCCCGGTGCCAAGGGCAAACTACGGGTGATGGCGGCGTAGATGGAGACGGCCATGTCAAATCACGAACGGTGTCAGCAGGACAAAATGGTGGTTCTCTGCAAACTACAGTGTGTTCAATTTGGGGCCGCGTCAGAGGTTTTGCATGACTAACAAGAACTCATCACTGAGCAAGAAAACAGCTGCACTGATCCTCGCGAGGCGACGTAGGTCAAGCTAAAACGTGCAGGCGAGAACAGCCGGATGTCGACCGGCAATGCATGTCGCGGGCGACAGGTAGAGAAAAAGATGCAGGTACGATCTCGACACTGTTCAAGTGGGTGGAATATAGCATCTCCACAATGTCGCGGCCGGGGTGGCGATGTGCAATATCCCAGATTCGAGATTGAATCTATGATTGTCCTTCGAGGCACGAATGTAAAGCCTCGCAAAACCTCGGGTCGGCTGACGCTCGGCAGAGGGCCTCAGAACGGAAGGCTCAAGCATTAAGCTTTGACGCACTTGGGCGTGTCAGCGGTCGTTTGTCGTTGGACCTGCCATAAGGAGACCCCGAAGTATGTCAATTCGCTGCTCCCTCGGTCGGTGTAGGTCCATGCCGTCAGCTGCTGTGATTGACAGCTGAGTTTTAGGGGGCAAGTGTCCCAACGCAGCAACAGGACGGGTCAAACAGCCAGCGGCTGCTCAAAGAAGCGCAGGCCGCGAATGTCACATGGACCGTAGGCGACACAGCCTGAGACAAGGCTGGAGACTGGCCAGTTTCCAGAAGGAAACAGGAGGAGCCCCTCAGGTACCTGTGAGAGGGGTTGGGCGGATCCGAGCCATCCCACGAGCTGGGTCAACCGCTAAGGAACCGCCCCATCCAACTCCAGGTGTAGGTTTGCGCAATGCACGGCAAACTGCAACCACTGGCCGAAGGAACAACGACATGAACGATAGAGAAAACTAAACGTTACGGAAGATGATACCGACGGCTTGATAGTCCTCAGTGCTGCAAGCGACCGGATAGTATGGCAGCTTCCGGCATCGTCATCATCATCATCACCTCACAGCGCTGAATGATTAGGCAGTTGATCATCGTGCTTAAGGGACATATTTCGGCTACGGAGGTCCTCAGCCCCCAGTCAGGTGCTGGCTCAGCGACCAAGGATGCCGCCTTCTGCCCGACAGCCGCCAAGTAGGCGCGACTCACCGCACCGGAACTGAGTTTCCTTCGATCGAAGTGACGATGGTGTTGGCACCGACAGGCGGCTCTCGGACCTGGTGTGTGTGTGTGTGGCGGAAGGGCAACGGTGGTTCAAGTAATCTCGTCCTCGATTCGCACTTTGTCGGCCTCATTTGCCTCGGTGGAGGTGATGTGCTACGGCAGCGCGGCAGTCTACTGCTCTTGAGGAAAGAAGCCGGTCTTGTTCTCGTAGTTCTAAAGTCTCGAGGGAACAGGGCCCTTGGTGGTGGGCTCGGTGTGCTCCACCGGCAATGCGACCTGCAAGTGGGCTGGCAACCATGCCGGAAGAGGTGTTGGGGCATGTGGGAAGGAGGCCACTCAGCTGCGCTTCAGGCGATGGGTTGGCCCTCATGATTTCCGCTTGTCCCCTTCAGCCTGAACGATGCTCGTCATATTATGCCTCTCGACTGCTGCTCGGCAGCCTGCACTCATTCTCGAGACTGTATGTTCTACGCCGATATACATACCTGACATAATTCGACATAACACCTCATCCATTCTTTTTATTGCTTCGGCCTCGACTCCAGTATTCTCGTTACGCTCTCCAACTAAAGATCCGCTGGCGCCCATCATCCTCCATACCGACCTGACTGCCTACGCCCCTCGACGCCCTATCACGTCACCCGGATCGTAGTCCACCTCACCGCATTAGACGCTCTCGCCCCCCACTCTGCCTTCCTTTCCACTCTTATGTTTGAGTACGCAGACAGCCCTCCGTCGCTTCGTCACTCGCCAACTCCGAGTGACTTGTCGCAGGGCCCTTCGCGAGATTCCACTCCCATCACCCCCATCTGCGCCACCCTTCCAACCAGAAAGGACTCGGCCACTCCGTGGTACAAGAAACCCATCGACATAGGCCGAACTACCACTCGTCTCTGTGTCGAAACTCCCGTCCTCGAGCCCGATTTTGACGACAACTCCTTCCCACAATTTGGCGCATCGCCACCAGAACATTCTATGGCTGGCGCTGCTGGCCCAATAAACATCTCAGCACGACACACTTCCACCTCACCCCGCGGCAATCAACCTTCGACTCTGACATCTGCTCTGCAGAAAAGTGCGAGCGACAACAAGCTGACCTTTGATGGCATGAGCATGGACCAAGCACGTGCGACTCCACAATTCAATCAAAACCCGATGACCGACAACTACGGCGCCGAGAGTGGCGCACGGCCCATCTCGGTCAAGGGCCGTCCCAGTGACAAGATACGACGAGAGAGCCTGGCTCAGAGTTTGGGCACCGGCATGAGTTGGGGAGGCGTTTCAGTCAACAGCTGGATCCGGGACGAGTAAGTCGATGATGTCGAGTCAGTAAAGAGATCGAGGAAGTACTAACTACTCTACAGTATGATGATGGCTGGAACATCACCATTCGCCTTTCAATCTCCCTCGTACCATTCGTCTTCGTACCTTCCTAAACTTGAGGCCAACTTCATGAAAGATTTCTCCTGCTGCGGTCTTACCCTGCCGACTCTCCATGATTTACTCCAGCATTATGAGGAAGCGCACGCGCAGAAAGACCCCGTAGGCATGGATTCAGCACAGCCCACTGTGCCAGATACTCGCGCTGCACTTGCAGCAAATACTGCCAACCAGGTGCAGCAGGAAGCACAGCAGAGGAGCATGCAAGGCTCAGCATTCAACACTGCTGTGCAGCCCATGGGTCAGCAAATGCCCCAACGAAGTGGACTATCCAACACACTGCAAACTGTCCCGGATATGGACACCGTCGAGGATATGGAGATGGATATGGACGATGGCAATGAAACTACTCCTCCGCCCAACCTGTACACCCGGAGTTCTGCGACCACTTCACCACAGACACAATTTGCCACCATGCAGCAGCCCCAGATCCCCCAGCTCAACACCACCATGATGCAAGGGCACCAACAGTACCGCCAGTCAGCTCCGAATACTCCAGTGGCCACTAGCAGAGGACCAGCATTCAATAATGCGCCATTGTCAGCAAACCCGATGCAGCAATTTCAAGACCTTCAGAACCCTTACCGGCACACTCCTGACTCATCAGCCCCGGGAACACCGGGAGAGCTGGATGAGAGCTTGATGGCTGGAATGGATGACATGTCAATGCAGAATCCTCTTTTTGGCAATGATGCATTTGGCAACAACTTCGGCTACGGCATGAATAATGACATGATCGATCTTTGTATCGATGAACCCGCCAAGAGATTGTTCCAGCAGAACCATCGGCCCGGACAACAAGCAAACGGCAACGGCGCGCACTCTCGTCTCGGCAGCGGGCAGTATGGTCCGAATAGCGATATTGCCAGAACGATCCGCGAACGACAAGTCGCTGCTGGTCTTCCGGACACAACCACCAACATGCTTCCCCACGAAGAACCCAAGCCCTTCCGCTGTCCCGTCATTGGATGCGAAAAAGCCTACAAGAACCAAAATGGGCTCAAATATCACAAATCGGTATGTCTAGATAACACTCCCCCCTGTGACCACTATCCGCTGACATGTCATAGCACGGCCACAATAATCAGAGACTGCACGAGAACGGTGATGGCACATTCTCGATCGTCAATCCGGACACGCAGGCACCATATCCCGGGACCCAGGGTATGGAAAAGGAGAAGCCATACAAGTGCGATGTCTGTCAGAAGCGGTACAAGAACCTCAACGGCCTCAAGTATCACAAGACTCATTCACCTCCCTGCAATCCAGAGTTGCAGGTCAACGTCAATCGATCGCCCTCGATGGGCATGTCTGGTGGAATGACGACAAATCAAGGGATGGGCAGCTTAGGAGCTGGGCTCCAACCGGATCACCAAATGATGTGATGGCATTCCCTGACGACTTGAGACGGCCAACTTACCTCACGACCAACATGAACAGCCCACGAAAGGCAGGTTTTTGTCAAATTTTACTCACGACATTGTTTTTTCGCCTCCCCGTTCTCGGACTGGCAGTTCACCCACCCATAATTCCTGGCCAAGAGCAGAGCACCACTTGGAAAGTGATAGAGGAGTTCGATCTAGAATGGGGGCATATCGGGCGTTTTGCATTCAGCTGGGAGTTTTTCACCAAAAAAGTTGATTGAATTGAGATCAAAAGCGGGCGGGGTTAGACAATAGATGGCACAGTCGTGGATTCACTGAGATGGCCCAAAACGGAGTTGCACCGGATAGAGAGACGGCTGGGCTCCACGACAGAGAAGACCACAATACCCCCATTGCCCTCTGAAGAATGATTGCGCCAACAAGAAGCGCGGATAGATTGCGTCGCGGCAAAGCAGCGGCCGAGGAATTGAGCAACAGGAGGGAAAACGAGCACTGAAAACCGATGCTCAAAACACCAGCCACGCGCGGATTCTCTGTTGATACCTTCTGATAGTATTCGACAAATGCGAAAGATCATTGTTCAAGTTTGTCCTAGAGCACTAGCCGACGAGCGAGGCTCGCATGTGCAGCCGATATCTGATACATGGATAAGAATAATATGGGCATGTTTCACATGAGCCAGGGGTTGACTGGTCTGGCGAGGCGCAGCGATGTGGTGCTGGTGGCTTCACGGGGAGTCCACATTTCGAGCCTATTGACTGGCACGCGTAAACCCGACTCCCTGCGAACAAAGAGAGGCCCATAAACTTTTGAGCCGCCACATAACCATCCCCCTTGACAAGGCCTGCGGCTGCTGCTGTTGTCTTTGGCTGGACTGCTGCGACTCCTTTCTACGAACCGCACAACGAAGTGTTTTCCTGTTCGATGTATTGATGTCGATGGCTTGAAACACCGCGCCGCCCGCTTGTCGTTCCTTGGCCCTAAGCGCGCCCCATTTATCGTCACTCGTTCCAGCCGCTCGCGGCATCCTACAGCCATTCCATCCCTCCAGCTCGGCGGCCAGCTGGCCTCTCCAAGTAGTGACTTACCTCTAAACGTGTCGGCGACCAGTATACATCGCCTCAAGGACACCAACATATATCTGGCCGCACTAGCCCCCTGCGCCCTGCATCCTTCGTCGCATTACACCTCGCCGACCTCGGCTGGTCTGACCAGAGCATGGAAGACAAATGGATCGGCCTCGCCCTGGCCATCACATCAACTCTGGCCATCGGCACCAGCTTTGTGATCACCAAAAAAGGCCTCAACGATGCGGCGGATAAGCACGGGTTTGAAGGAGATGGCTTTGCATACCTCAAGACCCCTCTCTGGTGGGCGGGCATCGGGTCGCTCGTCCTGGGGGAAATCGCCAACTTCGCCGCGTATGCCTTTGCACCCGCCATTCTTGTGACGCCACTGGGGGCTCTCAGTGTATTGATTGGCGCGATACTGGGCGCATACTTCTTGAAAGAAGAGCTGGGCATACTCGGGAGGCTAGGGTGCGCCATGTGTCTGATCGGGTCGGTCATCATTGTGTTGCATGCGCCTCCGGACAAGGAGATCCAGACGGTAGACGAGATCCTCAACTATGCGCTGTCATGGGGTGAGTGAACATGTGGCCGCCAACGCGCGACGCAGGCTAACAGGTTATAGGCTTCATGCTCTACTGCATTGCAGCGGTCGCATTCTCCGTGGCAATGATATACGTATACGCGCCGAAGTATGGCAAGAAGAATCCGCTCGTTTACATCTCTATCTGCTCGACGGTGGGATCCATCTCGGTCATGTCGATCAAGGCATTCGGCATTGCGCTGAAGCTCACGGCGAGCGGCAACAACCAGTTTTCGCACCCTTCGACTTATGTCTTTGCCATTGTCACCATCGTGTGTATCATGACGCAAATGAACTATTTCAACAAAGCCTTGAGCCAGTTTCCGACCCAGATCGTAAACCCGTTGTACTACGTTACATTTACAACCGCGACATTATGCGCATCCTTCATCCTATTCAGGGGGTTCAACACCACCGATGCCGTCAACACAATATCGCTGCTCTGCGGCTTTCTGGTGATTTTCACTGGAGTCTATCTGCTCAATTTGTCGCAAAAAGATCCCAACGGGACTCACATGAACGGCAAAGCCATGGGCGAGGATGCGATACCCACCGACGCTTTGTCGGGTCTATCGACAAGAAGGAGCATGCAGGCGCGGCGGAGTCTCGACCCGCACAGGCGAAGCAGCAGCATCACCTCGAATTTCAGCCTGCAAGGCATCCAAGTGCGGAGAAATCCTGAGAGCGCAGGGCTGATGCACAGCTACGATGTCGAGCAAGGGGCATTTGGCTTGTCAGACCTGGCCGAGTCACCGACAATGGCCGAGCCGTCGAGTGCCAGTCGGCGGACAAGTGGAGAGATTCGAACGTATCATGATCGACCGCATCAAAAGAGTCTGGAGCGGTAGCGTTTGAGAAAGGCAGTGTGGGAGAAGAAAACCTGTATTAGTAACGATGTTATATGCATAGCCATGGCACACTTTTCACGAGGGATATTCCAGGACCGCGCTGGACTGGGGCTGGACTGTTGGGAACGGCGCACGGTACACACCGAGATACACAGAGAGCAGAGAGACCGATGGTGACAGGATAGAAACCATTGATGGAACGATTGCAGAGTTGCAGAGTTGCAGAGACGAGGAGACGAGCAGGGCTTATCTCTCAAGAGACACAGACAGAGGCACGTGCGGCCATTCTGAGTTTCCGCCGCCCGTAAAGCGTAAACCTGGACCAAGATCATCTCGAACTTGGCAGCTTCAATTCCCAGCCCACTTTGTTTCCTTCTGGTGGCCAGATTATGATTGCATCATTGCCCTCTTTTCCGCCTGGTGGCCCGTCTCCCGACACCTGATCCTCGCTTTATCCTTAATTGTCTATCCTGTCTCCGAACCCGAAGCCTCGACGCCTTCTCTGACGCTTGGAGACTGCCTGATAGCCAAGAAGCGGGCGACCATGCCCGAGACCCCCTCATATTCGCCCTGGGCGCGCTCTCCCAACATCCCAGCACAGGAACCCAAGAGTAAGAAACTTCCTTCTCTTCTCTTCTTTTCTTTTCTTTTTCCGACAGCGCACGCGACATTGGCCAAGTACTGCAGCAAACCAATGCCACTATGCCTGCCAACGGGGGATCTGGCCTGCAAACGGCTGGTCAAACCGCCATGTCGTACCACTCTGACTATAAATCCCGCTGCTCGTGCCCGCGTGACCTCTTTCCTTCTCTTGCTAAGCCATTACAGGTGTCCAGCTTTCAGAAGAGCCAGAAACCATTCCTCCTGCAGAGTATGATGATGACAGGGGTGCCTCCATACAGAAGCAACACAGAGCCAGCATAACAGGAAAGAAGATGACCGGACGCCCCAACGTCACCCACTCTTCTTCTTCTGCCTCACTTGCCCGCCAGGCTTCAGGTTTGAATCTCAACGAGCAGACTCCTACCCAAGACTGCTATTTTGATAGCCAACCTCTAGATCCTCGTAGGGTTTTGGCTCAGGTAGCAGAGTGGCTGCACAAGGAGAAATTCAAGCGGCACAAGGCCAAGATGCAGCAATACGGTGCAAAGAGCTCCCTGGATCCAGTTGTTGCTGACGGCGACAATGCCGACGCTCTTCAAGAAAACCCTGACGACGGCCCTGACCTCGACCTCTCTCTGGACAAGTTGGAAACCATCATGGCTGGCTACCTCAAGTCGACAACCTCGGGTTTGACCAAGTCCGCCTCTCGTTCGCCTCTCGCTGCCCCCAAATCACCTTTACTGTCCGTGAGCAGAAAGGGGTCTCTCGCAAGCAAACTGAAGCGCAATTCGGTCAACTTGTCCTCCGATACCGAATTCTTTGGCGAAGAGGTTCTTGTACCAAACGTTGAGGCTCTTCTCGACAACTCCAAAACCCTATCCTATTCCGGTGGCGCTGGAGACGCCGATCAGGCCAGTCGCAAGGAGAAGAGAAACTGGGTCACATTCAAGGAGGACATCCTGCGCCTCACTCACACACTCAAGCTCAAAGGATGGCGCCGCGTTCCCATGGACCGGGCAGGAGGGCTCGAGGTCAGTCGTCTCTCTGGTGCCTTGACAAATGCCGTCTACGTTGTGAAGCCCCCAAAACCCAAGCCAGAAGATGCTCAGCCCGGGTCTGTCAAGCCTCCTCGTCCCAAATATCTCCTTCTACGCATCTACGGACCCCAGGTCGAGCACCTCATCGATCGCGACAACGAGCTGCAAATCCTCAGACGCTTGTGTCAGAAAAATATCGGTCCTCGCCTTCTGGGTACATTCTCCAATGGCCGCTTCGAGGAATATCTCCACGCTACAACCCTGACAGCTGAAGATCTTCGCGTCCCGGAGACCAGCAAACAGATCGCCAAGCGCATGCGCGAATTACACGAAGGTATCGAGCTCCTACCGTCAGAGATCAAAGCCGGACCTTTTATTTTCAACACCTGGGACAAGTGGGAGGAACGCTGCGAAAAAGTCATCACCTGGCTTGATCGCCAAGTCGAAATATCTCTACATCCTAAACCAGACGTACCAGCCCCGCCCAGAAAGTACACTCGTTACGGCCTTATTTGTGGCGTGCCTTGGGGACTCTTCAAGAAAACCTACCACAGCTACCGCGAACGCCTTATCCATGAGATCGGCGGCAATGCTGCCCTGCGCAGGAAGCTAGTATTCGCTCACAATGACACGCAGTATGGTAACCTGATGCGTCTCACACCATCTGGCGAATCACCTCTGCTCAAACCTAGCAACCATCACAAGCAGATCGTGGTGATCGATTTTGAATACTCTGGCCAGAATACCGCCGGACTGGAGTTCGCGAATCATTTTACAGAGTGGTGCTACAACTACCACCATCCTGAAGTGCCGTGGGCATGCCATGCACAACAATATCCCACAGAGGACGAGCAAAGGCGTTTCATCAGAAGCTACGTTATGCACCGCCCTCAGTTCAATCCCGATGCCAGCAGCACTCCAAGAGCCATGGAAGGAAGGGAGAAGACCAACATTCCGGACTTTATGCTTGACGCGCGTGCCGTACCGGGCCAGACGACAGATTACGACGCCGAGGAAAGCGCAAGAGAGAAGAAACAAGACGAGGACATTCAGAGGCTGATGCACGAGACAAAGTTGTGGCGTTTGGCAAATTCGGCGCAGTGGGTTGCGTGGGGAATCGTGCAAGCGCAGATCCCAGAATTGGACGAGCCGAGCAAACGAGACAGGATGAAAGGCATGCTGGACAGGGTGGTGGAAGGTGTGCAGAGCCACATGCCGAATCGTCACGTCGTGGCCGAGAGCGATCCCTTGAGCGAGGAGGATAAGCAGCACCAAGCAGATGCCGAGAAGGACCGACCCGACGGACGGCTACAGGAGGAGGCGCACCACGAAGGGAGCGGGAAGGATGGGAGCGGGCATACAAGCGGTGGTGAAGAGGAGACGGAAGAGTTCGATTATTTGGCGTATGCGCAGGATCGCGCCATGTTCTTCTGGGGCGATGCGCTGCAAATGGACTTGGTTAAGAAGGAGGAGCTTCCGGAGGAGTTACTGACGAGGATCCAGACGGTTAGGTACTGAGTTGTGTTGGCACAATGAGTCTTCCCCGAACAGCCGAGAACTGACACAGACACGGCGCAATGTATAGTGCGGGACCGCATCAATGACGACAGGCAAGTCCTGTGAATATGACCATCTCGGTAATGATATCTCAGATTGCGCGCGATGCTTCACATTAATTACAAATTGGTTTGGTACATCGTTTGCGGCGCTGTTCAACTGCGGAGCGCTTTCGGCAGGGGACCCTCAGCGGCTTGCCTGTCATCAGCTCCCGCACCAGCAGCAACACTACGCAGTCTAGGGTTGCTATTTAAGACTACATGCGCCGCTTACTTGGCCTCGGGTCCCAGCCTTCGCGGATTAAGGAAGCTGGGATAATGCTTCAACATGGTGAGTGGCTGCACAGCTCGTTGCATCCAGACTGGACCGCGGTGAAGCATAGCAACCAAGGAAGAGATCAAGGTTTGTTCTACAAAACCAAAGAATCTCTCCAGAGGTCTTTGTGAAGATAACACGTGGCCTCCTGTTAAGATGGAAGCAATCCCACACAGTGCAATAATACGTCATGGACCAGGTCGTTTGCCTTGCCAACGCCTTGTTCCTCAGCCTTGTTGCCTGAGGCACCACCCCACCCACCCCCTGCCCTCACAACTAACCGTTCATCTTTCTTCCTTATCCTGATTCCTCAAAACTTGTCCAGAATAGAGAGTGCGTGAACTTCAAACATCACAGCAATGGAGCGCCCCATCCTTTCCTCGCCGCGGCTGCCGCGTCCACAAACCCTTCTCACCAGCGACCAGATTTCTCTCTCAACAATCCACACCAATATCACCACGACAGAGGACAGTGACGACAGTCACAACGACCAAGACGCCCCGCCACTTCCACCCCTCCCAAGCCCCTCCTCTCACCATCACACCTTCCTGCAACCAAACACCCCACAACATCCCGCCCACAACGCTGACCTCGATCCAACTTCCCTTCCACCTCTCCCGCAAGACCCCACCTCAAGCTACAGCGAGATCATTCGCTTCCGTCCGCCCCGCAGTGACAGTATCTACCAGCTGCACGACTATTCTTCCTCGCCTGTGGGTCCAGCAGAAGATGAAATAAGCCGAGATGGTAGAGGTGGTGCTGCTGGAGGCGTGCCGCCGGTTCCCCAGCTGAACTGGCCGCTACCTGCCAGCGCGCCGGAGAATATGCGCGGAGCAGTTCCATCAGCAGCGACGATTTCCGGCCCACAGGGAGGACTTGCGCGAGAGGCGCCGAGTATGACGGCGCTGCCGCCCGTGGTCATGACGGAGATCTATCGGCCGAAGGTTCGGGTCGAGGCGGCCGCGAAGGTGAAGGGGAGCGGAGTTCGGGTCGACGCGGAGAAGTCGGCAGCGATGAGAAGCGGGCAAGTCACTGCCCACACCGATGGAACCACCGACGCGCCGTGGTCGACCTCGCCATCTCTCGGTCGCCGCGTGCGCGCTTTCTTCTCCAAGCTCCGCCGCTTCGGGCATCGACGCTCAGATCGTCGGGCTACTGACATAGGCGACACATCCACGGATGATGGCAACCAAAAGGCCGCTTCTGCACCTGCACCTGCATCTGTATCTGCATCTGCATCGGCCAACAAAAAGCTCCATAAACGGCCACCACGACACAGCGACTCACTCCTCCCGACCAGCAGCCACGCTCCTCCCACGACGTCCGGCTCCGGCTCCGGCAAAATCACAAATCGCGACGGCAGCACCACCGAGTACACAACGGAAGTGACCACAGACCTCGACGCGGCGGCCGCCTCAGACGACGAAATGGACATCTTCGAAGCCCTGCGCAGCCCGCCGCCCTCGCGCGAAGCCACGCTGCCGACGATCCCGTCGCTGCCGCGCATCCCGCGCTATGTGGCTCGCGAGGCTGGCTCGGGGCGTGTGAGGCCGAGTTCGATGGCCGTCGCCGTCGCTGTTGCCGGTACTGATGCTGGCGCTGGCTGTGGGGTTGGTGCTGGTGGCGCTGCCTCCAGGCCCGCCGACAGAAAGCAAGAAGCGCGCGCCGAAGCCAGCGGCCATGCGACATCTATAGCCACCAACGCTGGCAATAACGCGTCTGCAGTCCCAGTCCCAGCCCCAGCCCCAGCCCCAGCGCCGGTCACGCCGCCACGCCGCACCTTCATCTCCGCCGAGGAGGCCTGGGCGCTGCAGCAAAAGGACGCGGTGCTGCGCGCGGAGACGCGCAGACTCGAGGAGGAGAATCAGGCGCTCAAGGCGCAGAAATTGAGGCTCGAGGGGGAGATGCGGGTGTTGGAGGTGGAGAAGGCGGGAGGGGTTTGAGCGTGTGGAATGTGGTCGGGGTTTGGAGGGGGAAGGCCTCCTCATATGTCTTTTGAGGACCCTGGTTTTTGAGGTTTCTTGATTGTGGTCATTGTCTTGTTTCGGAGAGCGGAGGTCTCCTCATACGCCGGTGAAAGACCGGGCCTGGCGCGTCAGTTAAAAAAAAACCTGAACCTACCGTGAATACCGCTTTACCATCTCAGGATTTGTCTTCAAAGTAACATTAGGGTTTATGGACGCCTCGACGCCCCGAACTCTAAACTTATTTGGGCGTCTAGGGAAAGGATGGTGTGCTTCATAGAGTATTCTATGAGCGGCCCACCCGCCACCGATGATATCAAAATCACAGTCGGATCCTCAGTCCCGACATGTCCAGGGCAAGCGCCACGCCTGTGCAAGTAGCTGCATATAGTACAAGGACCGCCATCGCGCTGAGACCGCCCATGTCAAGCGTGTTGAGCGTCATATTGACCAGACCAGTCAATAAATTCGCGATCAGAAAGACCACCAAACCGTTCTGGTTGAAGACTGCAAGAACCCTGCTGGATGCATCCTTGATCTGATGTAGATCATCCTTTCTGTAAGATATGCGAGGCCCACATGCCTCGACGAGCGCGAAAACTCCGATCTGGGCGCTATTGAAGGCAGCAATCCAGAAGACGTAGGGAAGATTCCCCAGGCGGCGTGAGACGTTTAGGTTGAAGCCAAAGACACTGGTGGAGAGAACATAGATGACGGTGTTGAAGACGGCGTCGAAAGCCAACATTCTGAGAAGTACATATCGTTCTCGCTCGGCTTCGAGGTGGCCATCGGCACCGGCCTGCAGCTTTGGCACGGGCTGGAGGACCACGATGGGGGCTCCGGTCGAGCGACCCTTCAAGAAGATGGCTAGGTAGCCAATAAAAGAGAAGACGCCTTCGCGGTTCTTGGAGAGGAGATCAGGACCTCGGTCGCTGACGAGGATGTACCAAAGGAGCTCGGTGTTATTGAGCACGATTTCGTAGGCGAGCGAGATGATGAGTGCCAAGATGGCGTAGCTGCTGTTCCACTTCCTGATACCTGGAATCGAGTCGGCCAGCTCGACAAAGGGCGGCAAGAAGCCCAGGGTGAAGAAGAAGTTCCAGTGGACGCCATACTCGGTGACGTGCTCGGCATACTCCAGGCCTTTGACACTCATGAGCCTGATGAAGCCGAGTATCAGAACGGGTACTGAGTGGCGTACAGATGCGAGCATCCGAGCCCCGAATCCAGGTCTCTGGCTTCCTGAGTCATCCCGCTTGTGAAGCACTCTAGCGGAGACCACGCCGGCGGCGAAAACGAAGGAGCCGACACCGAGATCCATGAGCGAGGTTCCCCAAGTTTCGACCTTGGCAAAGCGGCGAGGGAAGATTGGGAAGTCGACGGCGAGGATGGCGATAAGGGTGGCGACCATCATGGCTCCACGATAGTGGGTCAAGAACGGACGAGCTACGAGGGTACTGGTGTTCGAGGAGACTTCGGTCGATTTCTTGGACTTCGATTTCTTGACTGAGCCGTTCGAAGCATCACCCTTTGGTTGCTGTAGGAGGAGAAGTAGCAGAGATGGGGTAGCCAAGAAGATATTGAGGGCCAGGGGAGCAGAGCTGTAGGCGGTGAAGGCGAACAGGATGGCGCAGACATTGAGCAGGAAGTCCACCAAGTAGGCCAGAGGCGTGTATGGTGTGAAGAAAGATTGTGTCCGTTGAAGTGCAGTCCAGAGAAGGAGTGCTGCCTGTCAGATGGGTAAGCACTGAGATACTTGGGGCGGGTATGTTTCAAGGCTACTTACGGGTGCAACCAAGGTGACGAGGTTGATCTCGGTGATAGTACCTCCCGAAAGATTGGACACAAACGCTTCCTTCCTGACCTTGTAGTCGGCTGCGGCGTTGGTGCTGGCCATGGTGGAAGATATCGAGTTGGTTCCGTTTCGGTGAGGTCGAGTGTGGATGTAGACCAATGGTTTGGCGCGAAGGGTCCCCGATGTCAGTCACGGGTCGACCATGGGCGTCAATGAAATGGCGGATGGTGGCTGTGATTGTATCATCTGCGCATCAACGCAGGCTCCGGACTGCCACAGATCTGTCTTCGGCTAGACAGGCAATGATGCGATGAATTTGATAGGTGGCTTGATCGTCGGCCAGTCTCGTATTGTGATAAAAATTTCCTGTTCCTGACGGCGTGGATCAAGCTCGGAATAGGCCCTAAGCATGGCTAATGACAAGCCTAAAAGCTTCCGCCCGGGGCGCCAAGTTTCCAGGCTGAAAGAGGCAATGCGGAGCCCTGTCCGTATTGCTGGCGGTGGGATAGGCTGTCCAAGAGCCCCTACGTCAACACTTTGCATCTTTGGCTTGAGGATGGCTTGGCCACGACATCGGGCGGGACAACAAAGGAGGTCTGAGAGGCACCGAACGCTGGCCAAAGACTGCTATATAGAAGGAAGCCACTCCCACAGGACGACCACTATCAAGAACCAGCACCCTTGGTCAAACGAACAGCCTAGCCTAGCCCCCAACAAACGACCATCAATATGTCCGACGAGTGCTCTCGAGTGACGGGATACGTTGATCCCAACTGGCCACGACCTGATGACGATGGCTCGGCGTGTATTATCATCTTTGGGTAAGCTGAAGGCGTACAACTGTAAGCACGATGGCTCACAATCACCAGATACGTTCCCTCCTTCGCCCTCGGAGTGCTGGCGGCAATCCTCTTCGCAATCGCACTTGGCTTCCATCTATGGCTGCTGTTTCGCCATCGGACATGGTACTTCAGTACTGTTGTAGTCGGAACGCTCATGGAGATCGTCGGCTATGTCTTCAGAATCCTTGCATCGAAGCGCAATCCCTACTCGGTCGCATACTTCGTGGGCCAGTACTTCTGCATAGTTGTAGCCCCGGTCTTCTACTCCGCCGCCATCTATACACTGATATCAGTCATGATCAATCGCGTCGGCAAGCAATACTCACCCCTGCCCCCAAAGCTCATCCTCTGGGTCTTCATCCTTTGCGATGTAGTTGCAACAGTCATCCAGATCACCGGTGCTGGGCTAGTGGGGTCTGCCTACTCAAACGGCAAGGATCCCAACATCCCGAATAATATCCTCCTCGCCGGTCTCGCCTTTCAAGTCTTCAGCTTCGCCCTCTTCATTGCCTGCTTCGTGTGGTTCGTCTCCAAGGCGTGGAAGGTCTTGTCTCGCGATCTTCGGGTCTTCGCAGCCGCAACATTTGTGGCGACCCTTGCCGTCTATCTCCGGACCTGTATTCGATTGGCCGAGACCGCCGAAGGCTTGTTGGAATTCCTTTCGACACATGAGGCAATCTTTGGCTGCCTGGAGTTTGCACCCATCGTTGTTGCTGTATATATCTTCATATACTGGCATCCTGGGCGGTGGCTGGGTCCCAACTCCAGGAAGCATCACGAAGAGGTGTCGGGTCGGCAGCATCAAACTGAGAAGTAATATTTGAGCATTAGACTGTATTATGTTAATGGCATAGCGAGAGTATTGGGTGAGGCTGCAGTCCGGTTATAAATTCGGCGTTCCTTGGTACAAGCAGTCTTTCATCGTCTGTTTCATCTGTTAGCGATGGCTCTGCAATATATATTCCAGACGTACCTCTAGTATTTTGACGTACTCCCCCGCAACCACCCATCTCTTGCTCATCTCCACAAGGATGGATCTCAGGGAATTGTAGCCAGTGATATATTCCTCAGAACCTGTCTCATGAACCAACCATTGAAACGTGGCGGTGGCCGAGTACAGACAGTCTGCCAGGAGGGGACTGATGGCAGACAGATTCTGGTCCATTAGCTTTTGAAGTACCAAAGAGAATTCAAGCACTTTTCCAGCAGCCTCTTGCATGCCTGGGATCGATATCGCTTGCATCTCTGTCTCCTCCAGGGTATGGTCGCCTCTGTTGGTTTCTGTGCAGCTGAATGGCTCACACAGGTGAAGAAGACTGCTATAGCAGAGTCCCATTGCTGTCGAGTACTGCGCTGCACTCTCGGACACTTCGTAGGGCAGGACGTTGGATAGTGCTGTCAGGGTGCGGTGAAGCTGAATTGCTTCAGCAAAGCGAGTGGCAGGGTCAGATGAGCGATCGTTAAGGACCCGAATCATCCTGCCCATCAGATGAGTGGCCTGACAGGTGCGGGCAAACGCGCCCGCGCGGACGGAAGTCGGAGTAGACATGTAGAGGGGTTCGCTGGTCGTCATGTCGCCTTCATCCCATGAAGATTCGTTGGCTGGAAGTACTGTCTGCAATGGTGGATCATCCGTCGCCAACTGATGCCCCTCGCTGCCCAGGTGAACGTAGCGGTCGAAAAGCATGGCTGCCCACCAGCAGCGTTTGATCTCCTCAACTTCTGACCATGCGCCACTTTTTCTCAAGATTTGGGGGGCGTGGTGGCGATCATGAATACCCATTAGGATTCCAATCCTGGTACAGTGACCGCTTGAGAGGTACGCCGCTGGGTAAATCGCATTTCCAATCTCATAGGCAGTAATGAGCAGTGCGGATTGCAAGAACTGCACGGTCATCAAGCCTCCAGACTCGACCAACGAAAAGCAGTGCTTAGCCATCCAGTACAGAGGCGATTGGGCTTCTATAGGATTTTGATGTCCGCCTTGACCGATCAGCTTCATCGCCAATAGCAGAAGAGCTAGATCGGCTGGGATGTCTGGAGCGGGCTTTTCAAGTGTCAGTTGTGTGCGCTTCTTCGACACAATTGGTAACCACAGATGGACGTTCTCGAAATAGCGATCTACGATATCTCTCACATCGATGATGGAGCCGAGAGTATTGTAGACTTCTGGGCCAAGTTTAATGGCAGGCTTAGGGATGATCATCCGAGTCTCCTACCAGGAGTCAGCTGTGGTCTCATCCATGCTGTTGTTGATCGCGAAATTTATTTTGCAACAGCCCTCTGCGCCAAACTGGCTTGATTGACCTACCTTGAAGATCTCCGAGTCTAGCAGGAACATAGGAGGGAAGCTTGACGACTGCTCTGGGGGCAAGCTCTGGTCAGGACTCGAGATATACGATCTGCCGCCTCCAATAACATTCGTCCTGCCCCACGGCGTATCCCTCGACTCGAGCTTAGCCTCCAGATCGGTGACTTTCTGGCGGAGCATGGCAAAATCATCAGCATTCGGAGTCGGCGTGCTGTCCGAATAGTCGCACGATCGGCCCATGCGCGAACAGAGTGAGCACAACGGTAACTGTTTGTCACATTTTCGCTTCTGCTTCCTGCAAGCAACGCACGCCTGAGCCGCTCGCAGACCGCGATGTTCTGTTGGTGGAGAGGGATCGTTACTGGAATGAGGCCGCACTCCATAGACTCCAGGCGAATCGAGCATCTCTATCGTGCGCGAGTATTCCATGTTGTCCAGACAAGGTTCGGAAATCGGCAGTGCTCGCGCGAAGAGAAGCCGCTCTCGCGAAGTAGTCGACGCTTAGAGAGGAGAATTATGATCAAGATAAAGTAGTCGCGAACAACCGCGCAACGTTACGCAAGGTTCTTGGCAGCAGCCTGAATCATGCTGTGGCGAGCTGAATAATCGTGCATTCTATAGGTTACATGGTGTACTTCTTCTGTAGCGACTTGGCTATCGTCGTCAACTGAATGTTGCTCGTACCTTCATAAATGGCGCCAATCTTGCTATCGCGAAACATCTTCTCGGCAATGCCATCGCGAACGAAGCCCATACCTCCCATCCACTCCACAGCCAGCCCGCTGACCTTGCCAGCAACCTGACTGGCATATAACTTGGCCATGGCAGCATCCGTCACGAAGTCTTCGCCGGCTTCCTTCTTGCGTGCAGCGTTGTAGACCAGTGCCCGGGCCGCCGCGATCTCGGTGTAGGCCTGGGCGAGCTGATGCTGCATACCTTGGAACTCGCCAACCAGCTGTCCGAATTGCTTGCGGTCGTTCCACACGTATTTGGCTGCATTCTCCCAGGCGCCGAGAGCCAGACCAGTCATCTGAGCAGCGATACCAATGCGACCTTCATTGAGCAGACCAATAGCATACTTGTAACCTTCGCCCTCCTTGCCGAGCAGATTGCCAGCCGGCACCTCCACATCATCAAAATTGACCACGCAAGTGCTCGAGGCCCTGATGCCCAGCTTCTTCTCTTTCTTAGCAATGCTGAAGCCCTTCATGCTCTTGTCGACGACGAAAGCCGTGATACCCTTGTAGCCCTTGTCGGGATTCAGGTTGGCGAAGACAATGAAGAAATCAGCCTCCATAGAGTTGGTGATCCACATTTTCGAGCCGCTTATCCGATAGCCGTTGTCAGTCTTGACAGCTTTGGTCTTAAGAGCGAACGCGTCGGAACCAGAAGCGGGTTCCGAGAGGCAGAAGGAGCCAACCGTGTTGGTGGCCAGCTTGGGGAGCCACTTCTTCTTCGACTCCTGTGTGCCGTATTTGAGGATGGCTGTGACAACTAGAGTATTGTGAACGTCGCACAGGACCGACACAGATGGGTCAACTCGTGCCAGCTCTTCGATACCCACGATGGCTGAGGTAAAGTTCATGCCCGCGCCACCATACTCTTCAGGGATTTCGAAGCCCATAAGCCCTTGCTCGAACATCTGCTCAACTATAGCGGGATCCATCTTCTCTTCCTCGTCCATCTCTCGCACCTTTGGTGCGATCACCTCATTGGCAAACTTAGAGACGGACTCGGCCAGCATGATCTCAGTCTCGGAGAAGTGGGTGATGGGCGTGGGTGTGAGGGCCGCATAGTCGACCTCGGCAACCTCAGCATACTGCTCTCCAGCCGATGCGTATCTGCGGCGAGGCGTGGTGGTCAGAGGTCGGGATGTGGCGAGTCTGTAGAAGGGAGCGGATCGAGGCAGGACGCGAGGAGTGGCACATGCGGAGCAGAGGAGGGGGGCGCGAGCCCGCAATGTTCGCGTCAGAGAAGCCATGTTGGACACTACGAGAAGAAAGAAGAGAAATGGCACGAGGAGTTAAGAAGTGAAATACTTTGGCGAGCACGATAATAATGTGTTCGGCGTCGGAATCGACGTAGCTTTTTCGTGAGCGGCCAGGCCAGCACACGGGGGAGCTGGACGCCCCGAAGAGAGTTCCTGGGGAACCTCGGCGTAGCTGGACCGCAAGCATCCGCGTCTGCCCGCAACCCACATGCCACACAGCGCCAGCAGTACAAGGTGCGGTCATCACGTCTCGATCAACTCTCGCGATGCCCCTTTGGCACAGAAAGCATTTAGCTCTACGCAAACTACGTTGAGATGTTCTCAACCGACACCGCACCTGGAGGGAGTGGTAGTCTGGCCCCGTAGACTCCGCGTCAACCAGCCACGTTATCGCAGGTACAAGAACTGTAACGACACAGCCACTTTCACTTCCATTGGTTGCCTTGAGCCCTCACGAGCCACAAAACTTTCACTATTGTGGCGGTGCACCGAATGACGGTCGAATGACGTTGATCGTTGGTGGGATGGGTCGCAGATGTGAAGCGCCTGATTGTAGCGGTAATGTTCCAGAAATGCGCTGCGCCTCAATCCAACAAGCACAAGCTGCTTGGGTGTATCATAGCCGCCTGCATTTTGATTACCCCTAAAAATCTGCCTGGCCCTGCTTGAAGCCTTATAGCATCTGACCATCTCACCAGAACAATCCTCCCTCACTACAGCCTCTGACACGGAATTGCAGCTTTGCGTCAACGGCCTGACCACCAGAGCTTGGTGCTTCACCCAACAATGTCGTCAGGACATTCAGAACCTCAGGTTCTGTACAGCGTCAACAACATTCGCGCATACCACGTGCAAGATGGTCAGGAGCACGAGATCACCACTTCGGGACCCCAAACCCTCTCCCTCCTCATGGTACCAACATCGTCGCCATTCGCGGACCTCTCCTCGACCAACCCTACCTCGCATGCCCCCGAAGAGGATTTCTATCTGCATCTACACCTACCACCCGAGCTCGACCAACCCCTCCCAGCTACCACTCAAATCTACCACAAGCCTCCCTCCAGCTATCTCATTCCGCGATGGGATCTAGGTCCCGATTCCGGCGCCTTCACACGCATCGAGTTTCCCAGCATTGGGCACGGTCCCAACAAAGCCACCCAAGAAGAGATCGATACCTTCGAGACAATCCTCGCGCAATGCACCGCCTTCCTCGAGCGGGCTCCTGCACCAACGGGACATGACAAATACGACCCTTCCAGCTATCGTCCTGGTGAAGGATATATCAGCACCTCCGCCGACCAAGGTTCTGGCTATCCCAATGAGAAGCACCCGTCCCATGGCCACGGCCAGATTGTGCTAGTCGACGAAGAGAACGGCTCCGTCGTAGGCGAGCTACAAGGCGGCTACAACATCAACGAAGGACCAGGCGTGTATCCTGGCAGCAAGACACCGGTGGAAATTCAACTCCCCGCTGAAGGCGCCGGCAATACGATTCAGGTTGGTCCCATTAACGAAGACTATCTCGAAACCTCGAGGCATCCAGCATACGCCAAGTCCACCATCGTGCAGTCCTCCGCCCGTGCCTCCCGCCTTCTTGTCACTACCTCTTCGTATGTGGCCAATGCCATGTCATCAGGCGCCGACAACTTCCAGCGCAAGACACAGCCAAATCCCAAGCCCATGACATTCAGCCCCGCTACGCAGGCCAACCTGCGCCGCATCCACACCTTCACGCAAGGCGCCGCAGGACTCTCCGCCAAGACGGTCGGGCAGGTGGGGCGCTACGCCCAGAACATCGGCGCCACTTTGGCGCGCAAGGGCGAGAAGCAGAAGAAAGGCTTTGACAAGAGTGGCAACCCCGACACCGGCTACAAGCCCGGCATCTTGAACAAGAGCATGATCGCATTCAGCACCATCGCGGACGGCATCGACCACGCTGGCCGGCAACTGCTCGCCAGCGGTTCCGCGGCTGCGACAAACGTCGTGAACCACAAGTACGGCCCCGAAGCCGGCGACGCGACGCGCAGCCTAACAGGCGGCATCAAGAACGTCGGACTCGTCTATATCGACGCTGTCGGCGTGTCGCGCAAGGCGGTGCTCAAGAGCGTAGCCAAGGGCATGGTGGTGGGCCGCATGCCGAACGGGCAGTCGCTCGTCGTTGGCGCCGGCGACGGCGGCGTCGTGCCGGGCGACGCGTACCCTCAACAGGACGTCAAGCGCGTCGACAGCAATACGAGCCAGGGCTACAACGTGGGCGGCCGTCTCAACAGCGCGAACCAGAGTACGACCAGCTTGCCGGGCTATGGGGTGGAGGGCTACGGGAATCAGGGCTTGCCGCCGGCTTACGGCGCTGGAGGCCCCGGTGAACCGCTGCATGGCCAGCCGAGGATTGGGGACCAGAAGCGCTGAGCGTGACGCGATGTGGAAGGGGTCAGTTAGGATGGAAAGAAAAAGAAACTGATTTTGCTGCGTTTTCTTGGGCTCTTTTGGGCCCCTTAGCAGGCGTGTCCTGGCAATGAGATGAGATAAATGCGTGTCGTTGCGCTGTTTGGCGCGCTTATGATGGAACATGAAACTAAATACTCAGATGACGGATAGAGCAAGCAGAGAGGCACGACACACAGATGATATTATGACTGAAGTGGCAATGACATGCGTGAGGATTTGATTTCTTCCCAAGTATCAACTGCTCTGTTCTGCTTATAGTGTGCCATGTAGTGCTTCCACCTACCTGTAGACCTGCAGTTCTGTACGCCTGTACATTGACCGATGCAGGCAATTGCCATGAGTGTTGATTCTGTGCCAATGCGTCGTCACTGAACCGATATTGGGTAATAGGAGCGTAGTCTGCGCTTCGCTGCACGGTGATTCCCCTACCTACGGTCCTGTGCAGCCAAGAATAAAAGCATATGAATTGGGGGCCGATGCTGCCCTGATGGACCGTCACCAGTCTGGTATCTGTCAGCGCCGAAAATGTAGCGAGTTTCACGAGCAAATGAGTGCCGAACAATATCCTCCCTTCTCCCTGCGGGCCGGGTCTGTATCGGGACTCATGCGGCAGGATACGAGTCGGGATCGCCGCCCTGCGTTGGTGGATCTGCAAGGGCAGGCGTGCGCGTGCAAATAGCACTCTACTGAATCGATCTTGCGGTGTGCGGACAACAAGTTAGAGCGCGGACTGAGATATCGTTCGACGGCCTTTGGCGGCATCGAAGTATTGATTTGCGGCAGAGTGAAACAGGAGCTCTTCTCTCGAATGGACGCTGGGTGGCCATGTACACCATCTGGCAAGTAAAGTCGCGGCGGACGGAGAGCGCAGTCGCGTGACTTTTCGTTCCTCGAGATATCAAAAGGCAGTCTTTCATCCCTTGCATCGCAGTGCTCTTAAATGGCAGGCTGTCATGGTTGCATTGCGACTCCGTGGTTGAAAATTGATGGGGTCCACAGTTCAGACCCTGTCAGACTTTGTTGTAGTGGTACATATCAGGATGACTGATGTCTGCAGAATAGACGCGTGTCGCGAGGACAGTGGGAAGGATGAATAGGTAGATGGCGGAAAGCATTGCGTCGTGAACGGATACATCTCGGATGCCCCTCCATGATTCATGTGTGGCGGATGAGATTGTCCTGATCTGCCCGATATCACATGCATGACATGATCGGCGGACAACGCACAGCGGAGAAGCTTGGAGGGCAGATTATTAGGCATTTTTCGTAGGCCTCTAACAGTTTGTTTCGGGCAATGTGGATGCGTGTTCTTTCAATGGACTCAAATTGAATGGGCGTCAGTTTCGCTTAGCGGCAAATAGTGTGCTGCTCGGAGGATTTGGACAAGCTAGACACCTGTGGTGACCAGGGTAAGGCGTTTCAGCCCCGGTTTAGTCGCGGTAACACATCGCGTCGTTCCTGGACATCCCAGATTGATGGAAGGAAAACAAGCGGCAAGCCCGGCGATGTGTCCCTCTGTCGTTAGCTTCCGTTGATGATGACTTTCGGTAGATGGCAGGCAGCAAAGATTGTTCTGTTGAAGTCCAGGTCGAGGCGGACCGTCGGGTTATTGCCCCTGAAGCATGCATGTACACATGATATTTACGGTGTCTGCATCCAGTACTCCGTAAAGGAGGGCGGGCGAGTCACCAGGCAGACTGCCGTGTCGCTAAAGTCTGTTGAATGCTCGATGCAGACAGTAACTCGCTCGATGCGATGGAAGCAGGGAGCCCGAGTCATGGCGGTGTAAGATAGCCCTGAGCGTGGCGGTCGTGGGTGCCATGCCAGTGGATTTCAATGCCCAAAAAGTGGGCTGGGCTTCGGCTGGGCAGTCTTTAGCCTGGCCACTAGAGCGCCGATGCGAAAGTGTGCTGGCACCAGGCGAGGACGAGGCTTGCATCTGCTCCTAACAGGCAGAATCTCTGTAATTACCTGGAGTTGTCCTGGAGGCAGATTCAGAGGCGGTGGAGTTGGTGTCGATACGCCAACCTCGTCGCTCACCCGCGCGCAGAGCAATCCAAGCCCAAGCTGCCTTTGCCTGCGCCTTTCAGTCCTCTGTACCACCTTTGACAAACGCAGCTACACTCCTCACTCCTCGCCTCGATCCCTCCTTCCCTCCAGTCGCCCCTTGCGAGCTTCACGTACACACGTCTTTGTTCTTTTCGTGCGTGCAAGCGCCTGTTTACTTGAGGTCCCGATTCTCCATCCCCCCCCCGACGACCATTCTCGCTCTCTCACAAGCCGGATTCTCTGCGACTCCGCCATGATCGCGACCTTTTTTCGCATTCGCTGGTTTTCGCAGATTCGTGGTAATTGATGATTGGTCCTTAATACCATCTTTTCAAAGCCTTGTCGAGCCTCTTCTCAACGACTGACCCTGGGCGACCCTTATCACGACCTCAATCCTTCAAAACGCCCATCATCGCAGGACGCGCCTTTGACTTGGCCCCGAAGCCTGGAGCTTACTGCCCAAGCAGCCTCACGCCTCTTATCGCGTTGCATCTGCGTCACGATCGATCTCGTTCCTGAAAAGATCAAAGACGGACTCGTTGGCACTGTGCATTGCAATAGCCCAGCTCCGTCAACCAAGTTCACTCCACCTCCCGCTGCCACACGGCACTTTCAATTCAAGACCACTACAACCTCGACCATTTCGTTCCAGCGCTTGAGGGTACACTAAGCGTCAAGTCGACGCCTTTGCCCAGGCGGACGACTCATTTCCCCTCCACCTCACCGCCTGAATATGTCTTCGGCGTCTGTCCATGCTGGCAGCCATCCAAATCATCTCCAGTCGTCTCCACCCTATCCACCATCCCACAACGACCTCTCCTACTATGATCAACGATCACCAAATGCCGACAACTATTACGGCACTACATCCACGAGCGGTAATGGACGACGTGCGCCACAACAAGAGCAGCGATCTTATGAGTACTCGCCTCAATCGCAGCAGGTGCCTTCGCAAGGAGAACATTCAATACCGTACCCCCCGCGAGAACAACGAGAGCAATACGATGGCCCTGCACCCGTTCCGCCGCCGCGGACTTCTTCCCAGCAACAATCATCTTCGCATCCCGTCGCACCGTCAACGGCGCCACTAGAAGCACGAGTCGCTGCCTCAAGACACGCTCGACAAACTGCGGAACAATACAGCAGAAATTCTCCCCATCAAAGAGACGACGGCACTGCCGGAACTTCTTCCTCTTCGCGGTCACGAAGAAAAAACCCGAACAGCCCAGATACTCCTCAGCGCTCGACTAGTGTAAAAGATGCCACAACAAGTCGAGCAGAAGGCTCATCTCATGCCAATGCACCTGCCCCTCTTGTCCGCGAGTACAGCGAGGTCATCAACCGTGTTGTAGTGTCCGATCCTCGAGTCGATGCAGAGCGCATGCAAGAACGCGTGGCAGAAGCCCATCCTGTCTCAGGACCCCAGATCGATCTTACGGGAGCCCTACCACCTCCCAGCGAAGACGTTGGACCCGGTCCTGCTAGGAGACAAGACTATTCGAAGTCGTCCTCCCGGCGGAAAGATGTTCAATTTGGTGATTATGTCCTCGGTCAGACTTTGGGCGAGGGCGAATTTGGCAAGGTCAAACTTGGTTGGAAGAAAGATGGGAGTTCTCAAGTCGCCATCAAACTCATTAGGCGTGACAGTGTTCAAAACCATCCCGGACGGCTACCGAAAATCTATCGAGAGATATCAATTTTGCGCGAACTCGCCCATCCGAATATTGTTCGATTGCACGAAATGGTGGAGACCGAGAGGCACATTGGCATTATTCTCGAATATGCGTCTGGTGGAGAGCTTTTCGACTACATCTTGAATAATCGGTACCTCAAAGACCCTGCTGCGAGAAGACTATTTGCCCAGCTTGTATCCGGCGTGGGCTATTTGCACAAAAAGGGCATCGTTCATCGGGATCTGAAACTGGAAAATCTACTCCTAGATCAGAATCGGAACATCATCATCACCGACTTTGGCTTCGCCAACACCTTCGATGCGAAAGACTTGCTTAGCGATGAGATCGAGTACAATCTCACGAACAAGGATTTCGTCCGTAAGATGAAGCTCGACCGGCTAGACGCCAGAGGTTTGCGCCGTGGAGATCTAATGCAGACAAGTTGCGGCAGCCCTTGCTATGCTGCCCCTGAATTGGTGGTTAGTGACTCACTCTACACTGGTCGCAAAGTGGATGTTTGGAGTTGTGGTGTCATTCTATATGCAATGTTGGCTGGATACCTACCCTTTGACGACGATCCAGCAAATCCTGAAGGCGACAACATTAATCTACTGTACAAATACATCACTACGACGCCCCTAACCTTCCCCGAATATGTCTCACCACACGCAAGAGATCTATTACGACGTATCCTTGTGCCCGATCCGAGAAAGCGTGCCGATCTATTCGAAGTTGCGAGACACAGCTGGCTGAGCGAGTATCACCATGTGGTCTCGCACATCACCAGCAGCACCACCAATATCGCAGATATCTCAAACAGCACCGTTGCAAGCGACTCTATGAACGAACCCGCGATGCACCGGAGTGCATCTGTACGTGAGCCCTCAAAACATGCTCCGCAAGCTACTCCGACAATTGAACTTGCCAAGACTCCAGAAGTCGATGAGCAAGATCAGACCTCGTCGAGCTCCAGGAGAACGCGGCACACTCTGCAAGCCGAGTATGTTCCGCCGCATACTCACACGACCCGAGGCCAAGACCCTGCCTCTGTCACCGCAGCAGAATATGCCCGAAAGAGAGGCGACGACAAGCACACCCCTACAACCCAGTCGCCGGTCACTTCGAAGCCTCTACCTCAAGAACCACGATCCCAATTGGACAAGATGCTTCCGCCGACACGGCCTGGTCGGGATGTGCCAAGATCCGTCTCGGATTCGACGGGTGCATTTGCTGGGCAAGGTCAACAGCAGCCGCGGCCAAGCACGCAGGGCTCGATGGCTTCACGAGAACCTACGAGATCCGATCTGAGATTGCCATCGAGGGGTTCTTATGGCCAGCCTGTGGCTCCGACTGTTGCAACTACGAATGCCCAGGGGCGTGTAACGCAACCAGCCAAGGCGCCTCGGGGCTATAATATCACCGGTCCTGCATCACCAGTCACTCACCAGCAGCAACAATCAATCGGACAGCCCATGACCCAAACAATGCCGCAGCCAGTCACACAGCCCCAAAAGAACCATCACCGCAGATCGAGCACATTGAGCGGCCTGGGAGAGAGACTCTTTGGCAGATCTCCATCTGTGCGCAAGACTGATGAGGAGAAGCCGAGTAGAAAGGATCGCAAATATCCTCCTCCGAGCATGAAGCCTTTGCCTCAGGATGGACATATGGACTATCAACCGAGGCAATCGACCGATTCTAAGCGCTCTTTCTCATTCGGGCTCGGCAAGAAGAAGAGCACCGATTTGGAATCACAGACTGAAAGACCTCAAGGTCGTCGATTTTCGCTCCTGCCAGCTTCAATGTCGTTCAAAGGCATGATGGGAGGTGGCAACAGGGACAGTGCGCAGCCATCTTCTGCGACCCTTGCTCCGCAGACGCAGGATCAGCCATGGTCATCGAGACCCGGTACGCAACCGAGTCAAGCCTCGGCGCCGCAGGCACCAAGCTACGACGGTCAGCAAGACCAGATGCAATACAACAACTTCTCCCGCCCTCCACATGCTCAGTATCGACCGCAGCAGGCTGCACAACATTCGTCCCCAATGTCGTCCCCACAACAACAGCAATCTTGCGATGTGTATGGCGGTACCGGAGTGTTCAACAACCAGCCGCAGAGTCGCTCGCATGCCCGCGGCGCAAGTCAGCCGATGGCTGGGTATGCCTATCCTGAACCCGCAAGTGCGAACAATTCGCGGACGTCGATGCAACAGCCGCGCCAACAACGCGGTGTGCTTGTGAAGCCAAATCGCAAGTTCACGGATGTGTATGATGATCATCCACAAGGGCATGGCGGCAGCTCTGGGGCTGTTCGCAAAGTCCAAGACTTCTTCCGACGGAGAGGGCGTGCAAGAGCGGATTCCGAATACCGATAGCGTTGTTACTGAGGTTACCTGCTAGCGCAACGAGTGTTCTGTGCATCAGTTGACTCACGTTGCGATGCGGTGCATAATGCAGCTCTTGGAGTGGACGAGGGCCAACTAGCTAGTGGCTAATGGATGGTGTTAATCGGAAAGTACTAGGCAAGCAGCAGATTCGGCGGTGCTTGCTTGGGTATTACTTTGAACCCGGCGTCGAAATTACTACTATACCCTTTTGTGTCTGCGTCAGATGGCTTGTCTAGCATCGCGTGGGCGAAATATGAGGTCTTTGGAATATGTATTGATGGCTTGCAAGTGTTGGCTGTTGTACCGGCTGGAGGGAAGAAACTCTATTGAGTCAAAGTGGCTATTAGCGTAGTGTGTCAAGTGTTCACCGCCCGACAGCGGCAATCAATTGTATGACAAAGTTGGCAATTGAGCCTTCCGTTGATTGACTGTGTCTTTGTGATCGTGAACTAAGGGATGGAATATATTTGTCATTACCACGTGTTAGAGATGTTGCTTGAAGGAGGTCGACACCACTTGTTGTCTCCATCTCAGCTACCTCCCTCTGTCAGAAATGCTCTCCTACAAGCCACGCTAACATTTCTGTTTACACCTCAACTAAACACAGCATGTGCTCGCATTGTTGTATTTGCAAGCTCTTCAATATTGGCCACAACAGGAGTTCCAAGCAAGCCATCTGAGAAGAGAGCACTATCGAAGGAGCCGCTAGCTTGGGGAGTGATCGCAATGACTGCCCAGGGGATGGTTCCTCACCCTTGTGACAGATCGTTCGCTGGCATTGCGGTACAAACCAGGTGGCTGAAGCGAGCTCGAGGTGGCTGAAGGCAACATCTCCATCCACATCGGCGTGTCGGCGCCTTGGCGTACGTAGAACTTCGAACTGCGCCCAACTTTGCGAGACCTTGCACCTTGCACAATCTTTCACGTCTCTCATGCTCCTATCAATACGCCTTCGTGTGTCTAGCTTCTGTTGACTCGCGCACAACATGAACGGCTACGACTCAGCCGGCGCCAAACGCAAGCGCTCGCGCTCTCCATCTCGCTTCCAGGATCGCCCATACCGCAGCCGCGATGGGACCCCGCGCCGGGACGAACAAAGTCGCCAGCCATGGTCGCACAAAGACCAGATGCGCATCAATCAGATACAAGAAGATGTGCGCATGCGTGAGTGGGTCGCTGGCGAGGATGACTTCGTGTTGAAGCAGGCAAAGAAAAAGGCAGAGATCCGCGTCAAAGAAGGCCGAGCGAAGCCCATTGACTGGCTGGCAGTTACTCTACGAATCATCGACGAGACTCGAAATCCACTCGACGACGAAATCAGCGATGAGGATCTAGACTTCGTCGATCCAGACACTGTCTTCGACGATCTCTCCGAATCTCAGATGTCCGAGTTACGAAAAGATATTGATACCTACGAGAAGCTGGAGTCGAATAAGAAGAACAGAGACTATTGGCGAACGATGCAGATCATATGCAAGCACAGACAGAAGAAGTTACGCGCCTCTGGGCCAGAAGGGAGAGCAGTCAGCGCGGTTGCCTCGGATATCGACAAGTTGCTGGCGCCCAAAACATATGAACAGTTGGAGGCGCTCGAGAAGCAGATCCGCGCAAAGCTAGACTCGAACGAGCCCATCGATACTGACTACTGGCAACAATTACTTGACAGCTTATTGCTTTGGAAGGCGAAGGCAAAGCTGAAGAAAGTCTACCAGGATGTCCTCGTATCGCGAACGAAGACGCTCCGGACCGAAAGCAAGCTGGAAGCTATGCGAGCGCAACAGGATCTTGCAAACGCATTAGGGACGGCGCCAGCCGATTCGTTGACATACAACAAATCGCTCGACCCGGAACCAGCTCTCCAGATCGCCGCCAAGGACAAGCAGCTGGAGGTTCAGAGCGAGTCTGCCTTCCTCTCACAAATTAGCGCCGAACGTGCGAAAATCCGACGCATGGGCTATGTGCCTCTCCCAAAAGGGACTTCGAATACGAGCAAGCCCACCACCACCGCGAATACTTCGGGACCGGCTCCGTCCACCACACAATACGACCGCGATGTCGCCCGGGGAGTTGATGAGGACGAAGAAGTTTTCGCTTCGGAAGAACCGACTTCCATGGCTTCTACACAGCCTCTACCGTCATGGGCTGCGCAATATCGCCCGCGCAAACCACGATACTTCAATCGCGTCCAACTGGGCTACGACTGGAACAAGTACAACCAAACCCACTACTCTCACGACGCTCCACCGCCGAAAGTGGTACAAGGCTACAAGTTCCACATCTTCTACCCGGACCTTATCGATTCATACAAAGCGCCCACATACAAGATTATTCGAGAAGATGGCAGGAAAAAAGGCCAGACTCTAGCTCCGGCGGGAGAGGAAGACACGTGCATCATTAGGTTCGTAAGCCCGGGTCCGCCCTATGAGGATGTGGCTTTCAGGATCGTCGACAGGGACTGGGATTATAGCGGCAAAGAGGGGCGTGGTTTCAAGAGCACGTTTGAGGGAGGCGTGCTCTCGCTACACTTTAGCTTCAAGAAGGTGTATTACAGGAAGTAGGATATGTGCATGGTCTTTTGGGTAATGTGCCTATGACTGCTAAGCTTGGAATGACGAAGACGACATGTGCGGACGTCGGCGCCACTATCTTCAGGTCTGGTGGCCTCGTACAGTAGTCCGTTTCCGTGTGAGGCGCTTGACTACCACCTCGTGACTTGTGAGGATCACCCTAGAGCCCCGGAGTTGCGAAGAAAAGGTGGAATGGCAAAGGCCATGATGTGGTCCGCGGTGTTTGATCTTCGGTCTATTTTTAATTCTTAATAGCCCTTAAGACTCTTCTAACAGCTCGACGGGTCCCAAAGAACCAGGTCATCCAGTAAGATCTCGATCATTGTCCTAGCTTTACCTATGCACTGAGCGCCATAGACATAGATATGCATCATCCTCGAGTCGTTGTCGACGTCACTCTGTTCTGTCTGACTTGCAGTCTCGAGCTCATGGCGGACACTTTGGAGCCAAAATTCATATGACTTTGGCTCTTCGATGGCAGTGAAGTATCTGCTACCATTGCGCCTGACCCACTGGATAGCCACATGGAAATAGTTTCGAGAGCTGTCCACGTCTCGCAGGGAGATGAGCCGTGCAAATGCGGCTATGTCGGTATTGTTGTCGATTTTCGGAAAGGAGCTCGATAATTTGGTGTCCCAAAGAACAAATTCATCACGAAAATATAGGTAGATGTTGATGACAAAGTGATACTCGGGGTTCTCGAAGGCAGCGCTTTTTGCTGTTTCCCGGCTTTGTTCGGTGATCTCTTGCTCTCGCAATCTGATCATTTCATTCTTGGAATTCAGTTGCTTGTTGTATTCGTCCATTTCTCGGTCGCGGCAGGCCAGTCTTTCTCTGAGCTCATCAACCAGTTGCGGCAGCTCATTGCGCTTGGCCTCAGACGCTTCAAGACTCTAAGGCACGTCTCGAGACTCTCACGCTCTGTGGCGTAGCGTCTTTCCATGACTGCCATTCTGGCTTGGATGCTGTTGACAATATCTGCGGGGTGGTTGGTCGAGTGCTTGAAGACGCCGCTGTGGGGAGGTGCAGAAACGATAAATGGCAGACCTAAGTTGGTGGACAGGGATGCAGCCTTGTAAGTGGGGTAATGTGACTCGGCAGTGACAAACGAATGTAAGGCAAAACTTGACCGAAACTTCAAGTCATGGCTGGGGATCTTAGTATACATGTTGGCCTCTTGCCGGGGCTGGTTCGGATCCTACACGTCTCGCAACGGTGAGACATCGGGCAGTTTTGGACGCGAAAAAGAAAGTTCTGATGACTTCGTGCATTGCTTCGTGTCTGTATACTAGATATGAGGTCCATGCACCGTGAAAACGATGGCACTTGTCGGTATTCAAGCCAGGTTGACAAACCAAGTTCCCTGACACTTAGGCTCTCAGCGTGGCCTACGCTGACGAGAGTGAGCGAGCGAGATGATCTCGAAGTGTTCAACATATGCGACTGCAGACGAGTACAGTAGCAACTCAGGTCTGAGCATGATCCGAACAGGTGTTGACCAACACTTCAGTGAAAGCAGAAGTTCGTTTGACATGCAAAGTGAGCTTCGGAGGCAGAACTTGGCGTGCGTCATCAGGCAACTTCCTCTTGACCAGCTCACGACACTCACCTCCGCAAGAGCTCCAACTATTCTTCGCTTCGGGCTCTACCGAAAGCTCCCCCAATGCTCACCCCCAACTTTAGACTACCTCCCCACGACGATCATCCGTCCTGCGGGCTTGGTGTTGGTGGCGATGCTGCATTTAATGTAACTTAGGCTAGCTCCCCCGCAACTCCACGTCACGCCAGTGGTCACAATGGTACTACCCTAGGTAAGCAGTCTGAACTACAAAACAGGAACAGGTAAGATGCTCTCGTAGCTTTCAATGCATACAACAGCTTCCCTACCTCGCATTGACCGCCATGGCTTCCCTCTTCGTGGCGGGACTGTCGCTTTTCGCCCTGACTTCTCGGGTGGTCAGTCTAGACAGCGAGATTGTCTTCAATGGTACATGTCCTGACTACGTCGTCTACGCCGGTGAGCATCATGGACCATACTCTGAAGGAGCCTACAACCTGTCTTTCCAGCGCCCTCCATTGCCGTGCAGGACGTGGAACTCGACTGAAGTCGAAGACACCGTTGAACGCATGAGAGACATCATCACCGACCCAGACCTGTACCGAGTCTTCCAGAATTCGTTCCCTAATACTCTCGATACTGCTATCCGGTGGCATGGTGTGGCGTCCAATAACAGTGAGGAGGAACTGACCTTTATCATCACTGGCGACATCAATGCTATGTGGCTCCGCGATTCCGCCAACCAGCTGCAATCCTACCTGCCTCTCCTCACCGCCAACTCCTCTATCGACTCGCTCGCATCTCTCTTTCGCGGCTGTATCAACCTTCAGTCTCGCTACATCAACACAAGCCCGCACTGCAACGCCTTCCAGCCACCTGAAGAGGCTGGGCTCGGTGTGAGCGAAAACCCTTACTCCCAGACGGACGAAGTCACTCCACCTTACTCCAACCAATCCGTCTTCGAGTGCAAGTATGAACTCGATTCTATTTCTGCCTTCCTTCAAATATCCCATCAGTACTACATTACCACCTCCGACCTCAAGTTCTTCGACTCCTTCCAATGGGTCGATACAGTGCGCACGATCCTCAACACCGCCTACGACCTCATGAACGGCACCTACGCGCCCGATGGTCAAGTGCTCGAGCAGCCCTACACTTTCGAGCGCGAAACCACATCCGGCACCGAGACCCTCCCCAACGAAGGGCGAGGCAATCCTGTTCGAGGCGGCACTGGCCTCATCCGCTCCGCCTTCCGTCCCTCGGACGACAGCAGCATCTACCAACTCTTCATCCCCGCCAACATGATGTTCAGCTACTTCCTCTCCACCACCGCCGACATCATGGCCCAGCTCTCCCACCCTGACGCCCCCACCCTCGCCCCCGAGATGACCTCCCTAGCCGCCGCCATCCGCGCCGCCATCGACGCCGCCGGCCTCACCCTCGCCCCCTCCTCCACCTCCTACTCCAACCTCACCCAAATCTACGCCTTTGAAGTCGACGGCTTCGGCTCCGCCAACGTAATGGACGACGCCAACATCCCCAGCCTCCTCGCCGCACCCTTCTTCGGCTACGACGTCGCCGACCCACGCTACCAAGCCACGCGCGCCCACGTCCTCTCCGAGGTGAACTCGTACTTCATGCGCGGACCCGTCATCTCCGCCGTCGGCGGCCCGCACCAGAGCTTCGGCATGGCGTGGCCGATGGCCAGTATCGTGCGCATCATCACCGCCGGCACACACCCCAGCCCGTCCACGCCACTGCGGCCGGACGGCAACGGCAACGGCAACGGCAGTGCAGCACCCGCGGCGGCGCAGCTGGACGCGGCGGCCAAGGCGGAGATCAGGCAGGAGCTACGGCAGTTGGTGGCCAGCACGGACGGGTACGGGCTGATGCACGAGAGCGTCAACAGCTGGAATGAAAGTGATTGGACGCGCCAGTGGTTTTCATGGGCAAATGGCCTGTTTGGGCAGATGGTGCTGGGGCTGGAGGGGACGGGGTTGCTGGAGGAGAGTTACCAGCCTGAGTGAGCTGCCCATGATGGGGGCGAAGGTGCGGTGCTTGGGGTAGTACCATGAAGGGGGTGTGTTCAGATATCATTAATGTTTTTGTAGGGGTGACTCCCCCTTGCCAATCGCTTGCTATGGTAATTGTCCCGTAGTGCAGGCCTGCAACCCTAAATCAGAAAATGATGACGTGCTCTTTCATTACAGGAAAGTCCGTTTGATCCGGCCAAGACAACAAAGGCCTGTCGTGCTCGTTGTATATGTGTGTTGGAGTCTTTCCGCCGCTCCTCTTCAGACGCTTCTTGATTCTATCGCTACAAACGAGGCGAGGCGCTTGCAAGCCTCGATGACAACATGACGAAAGAGGCACTTCTGGTGACCATGTATCGATTCGTCCGTCCCCATAGCGAATCTTTCGACCGTGGGTATCTATCCTGAAAGGACTCCAAGGGAAGAGAGTTGGTTCAATGGCTCGCCCTGTAGCAAATGGTAGGCACCATCGGACTGCGGTAACGACTATGAGCCCCTGGTGGGTGTGTCTTTGTTATCTGTTTCTGGGGCACTAGTAGTACCAGTGGCAATAGGTGCAGGTTCGTGCGACTGCTCTATCGACCGTTCCGGGGCGATATTTGTTGTGCCGTTTGTTTGCTCTGGCTCGCGCTCGCTTGGCGGTGCCGAGTCGATTTCGGCCAGCTTCCGCTCCGGATCGAGTATTTGGTCATTCTCCCAAGCTTCGGTTTCCTTAGCCATGGCCCACCGGACATACGGGACTGAAGCAAGACCCCAGATCAGAGCCCAAAAGAATGGAAGACCCCAGCCTAAAAAGGTTAGCATCAGCGACGGATAGACAGGGAGCATGACACTCACCAAGACCGTAGGCAACCTCTTTGGACACCTCGTGAATGCAAATGATTACTATGAGGACAATACCAATGATGATGGGGGGGATGGACCAGGCCCAAGACAGAGTTCGCATCATTTGCTGAAACATTGGGCTCGCCTCGAAGCGAGCATGAATGGCTTCCCGATATGGTCGACCGGCATTGGCATTTACAGCGATAACGTCTTCACAGATGTAGAAGACGCCAGGCCGGACCACCTCACCTTTTCCAGTCGAGCTGATGCGGAAAGGTGCGGGCTTCTTGCGGACATGGTAGATGGTTGGGAAGAGGATACCTACCCCAAGCACGAGCAATAGCCCAGGGCCGGGGAGCGACAGAATGCGTAGCCAGACGATATGGGGCGCAGACCCGATGATGAGAAAGGCTGTGATAACAGCAATGGCCAATGAAGACAGCCAGTTAAGGTAATCGAAAGCCCAGCGATTCCTTGTTCCAAGTGGCCGAAAGAAGTCTTCCTTCTTGATCAGACGCCAGGAACGCACGCCGAATTCGACATAGGTCGGACCACCCCAGATTGTCGCAACAACGGCAAAGACTATCATGAATTAGTGGGATAGTGTCATCGATGAGACAGGGTACATACTAATCCATCCTTCAACATCACCAGCGAACTTCAGTGCGTAGTACAAAACAATGGGTATAACGCAAGCGTCCACAAAAATGAGGAAAATGAGCATGAACAACTTCCATCGTCGCCAGCCATGTCGCCAAGTGAATGGTAGCTGTGGTAGTAATGTTGGGTTTTGCTTGTAGTATTCCTGCAGAGTGCTTGCTCGTCTCTTGAACTCGCGTTTCGTGGCGGCTCTGCTATCATAGTAGACGTTGGCGTCTGGTCTGTCTTCGAGTCGTTCGCTCTGTCGACGCTGTATGGGCCGAATGCCCTCTGTGCTCTTTCGCCCAATTCCCAAATGAGCCGGTCCCGGGCTTTCCGTCGGACTCAGGGGTTGTTGAGACGATGATTCTTGTAGAGGAGGGGATTCAGGACCGAAGCGAACTCTGAGCTGGCTTGAAGATTGCCGGGGCAAGTCCACGCTTGCTCTGCTACCGCGCACGACCTCAGGCATAATGAGGACAGCTGGTGCGGTACTGGTGTGTTAGAGCACGGGGTGAGTCGTGGTGGATAGAGACTGGAAGTGACGGAGTCGTGTTCGCGGACGTGCGATCTCACGACTTGGGTGTTGATGTGGTGAGAGGCCGCCGCATGCAGGGCTAGTGGAGCTCAGACCGGGCGATCCGGGTGGAAAGGAGGTTATAACGTGGTGTAGTCAGCATGTTGCTGAGACGAGAAAAGCATCGTCATCTTGATTCAGCAAAGGGCAAGTCTGATGATGCAGCGCTGACTTCAACTCGGCAGATGAACCTGATTTTGACCTGCAGATCATGCCAGAAGGGCCGAGCCAATAGGGTGAATGCTGAGTAAGGCTTGCCACGCTAAACCCGGCGTGGCAGAGGCTTGTTGATGCCAAGCCTCGGTCGATAAGAAATCAAGACCGGCTTCGCTGTTGCTTCTTTTGTGCTCTCCGCTGTTCGCCTCTGGAAGTGTACAGGTCTCAACTGTGGCAGTGACGAGCTTGCAAGAGACCGGATTCTTGGTGCACGGTGCATGTGGCGCAAGTAAGTAGGAATCAGGCCTTCACCCAGGACCGCATCCCGTAGCCTTCAACCTCACCAACGAGCTGCTCTCCATCTCCAGGCTGCCAAGAGTTCTCTCAGACCCTTCATTTGGATACTGGCCAGAGTTTTCTCTTCATGCCATCGAGAACACGGAAATGGTGCTTCTTGGGCGACGTCTGGTTTCTCAGAGATGGATCTGTGACGATGTTTGCCCCTGTTCCTCTGTCGACAACGAAAAAGGATTGCTATTCGCGGCGGCGATTCGTTGGCTTGCGTGCCAACATCTGGATGTAGCTTTGGATCGGTGAAGCTATGCCTGAATCCACAAATACATGCGTTCTGGAGCATTCCATCCGCTGGCAGCTGCAACTACCCTCACGTGGAGAGGAACAACGGTCCTCCCGGTCACGTGGACAGCGACTGCCAGAACCTCACCCAACAGCTTTTCAGCCTCTTCAAGAGCCTGGTGGTTATCCTTGGCGATCCTTGGTCTAGCCTAGATCATCAGGTCACAAGTCTACAACGGACACAACCATGAGCATCGCCCCTGGAGAGCAGGTGGGCCGTTTCGACTATGCCCGGCTTCGGCTGTTAGCTGCTATCGCCAAACCAACGGCTGGCAAATTTTTCCGCATCAGGCTGAGTGGGATGGCTACGGGAACGTGCCGCAATTCTTGCCACGACCGTACACCAGAACCCGTCTGGCCGTATCCACTCTGGCCTTCAACGTCTGCAGCTGCACCCCCTGTTACACAAGGCATCACCCCCAGCGGATGGAGCTCCATTGGCCGGAGCATTCCTTCTCAGGTTGGCCTAATGCTCCCTCTTGCTCTGCTGTGGTACGGCCAATCTATTCCCTGCTTCATCTAAAGATCTGAAGTTTGCGGCGTTTGATCTATCCCAATGCCCCCAAATCCGATCTCATCGCCCCCTCTTCAATCTTGCCTGCAAGCTATTCCCTGTTTGCGTTTTCCGCATTGGCCTCTTGCCTGTTTGCATCTCTACGTCTCCACCCAGTGCTTGTCTTGAACTTGACTCGCCAAACCTCTACGCTTGCTATGCAAGAATGCTATTGCTACAGTTGACACATACACAGCTCACCCGTGTATATTCTTAATACTTGTTTCCCACCTCCTTTGTTTCCCGATTCATCCGACCTTCCGTGCAGATGCAACCTCATACCCAGACCTCAACATTCGAATTCGCGGCGCCAGACACAGCCTTTCCACAGCAATCTTCAGCAAACCTGACCCACGTCATGGAAGGCTATTCTCAATCTGACAACAGTCTGGTTTTCCCGACAGATATCAATGAGTCTTGTGTCGAGCCACGGGTAGGAATGCCAGACCTAGGAGAAGCTCAGCAGGCCTCTGAATACTCCCAAATCCGCCGGTCAAACGCGAGCCTTGAGCACTGGTTGACATGCGAGAGCCCTGTCGCGAGAGCAGCATCATTCGACCCGGCAGAGCAATTTCAGAATCGCTACCGATTGCCCTCGCTCTCAAATTCGACTCCACTGCCAGAGACTTTTGACGGGGCGAACGACGTCAAGTACGACGTTGAGTCCTTCGGGGGCATGGCCATGCTAGACGGGTCTTTCGAACAACCACCTTATCATCTACACATGTCTGACATCGACAATGAACCCCCCAACCAGACTCAAGCCCAAGCGTGGGTGTCAGAAGAGGACCGTTACTTAATCTCGCCCCCAGGCATACCATATTTCTTCGGCCGAGACTACACAAATTCAAGATGCGTTGCGCCTCCGCCATCGCCCTATTCCACGCCTAGCCTCTTCAACGATAGCCCAGTTCTATCGCCCTGCTTTTCTTCACCAGAACTCGGCCCAATGAAGTCCGACTTTTACCCGATGGCCTATACCGCGCCAGTCCCAAGAAGCACCCCTCACGACGATCGAGACCTGGATGACGACGAAGAAGTGTCGGGCGGTAAGCCATACGCGCAGCTGATTCAGGAGTGCTTGCTCCAATCTCCGGGTCACCGCATGATGCTTCGAGACATCTACGACTGGTTTGAGAGAAATACGACAAAGCCACGGGAGTCCGGGGGCAATGGATGGCAGAACAGCATCCGGCACAACCTTTCCATGAACAAAGTAAGCTAAGACGACCGGCTATTTAGCAATTTCTTACTAAGCAACAACCAGGCATTCGAGAACGACAAGACGACGGTGACAAACGCTCGTGGCGAGCCTAAGAAGGCAACCAGTGTCTGGTATCTGACCGAGCATGCCCTTCGCAATGGTGTGCAGTCGACCACCAGATATCGAAAGGCTGGCGGCAGCAGAAGATCGGCCTACAACCGCGAAATGGATTCGAAACGGCAGTGCTCTGGTTCTAGGGGCGGCAAAGCAGCACGCAAGGCGGCACAGATGCGTCGGCTGGAAGCTGCCGCGTGGTCTTCGCAGGTGCCGCCGTCTGACGATCTAGAGCCATTCGATCATTTGGTACATGCAGCCAACGCGCTGGGCGAATACCCAGGCACCCGCGGCAGTACACCCTTGTCGCCGTCCGACCACTACCCATGCACACCAAAGTCGTCTGCGTCGAACCCTGACTTACCCATGAGGGCAATGGGAGATGTGCCATGCTATGGTCCGGACTTGAGCTACAACGAGGTGCAGCTTCACGATGCTCTATGCCAGGCCGGCTACGGAGTCAATACAGAAGTGCCCTGGTGATGGGAGTCCTTATCTTATTCGACGAAGAGACCCAGCCCAGCAGGCGTACATGTTGATTTGGTGTCAAATCTAAGTGACGATTGATGGCTGCTTCTTGCATGGCTGGCGTCCCATTTGTTCACGAGGTTGGCCAGTGTTCGGGGGCCAGCGGGAAAAGGTCTTGTCATAATGATACCATAGATCGCCAATCGAACCATATTGAGCCATGTCAGGAGCGTACAACACTTGAACTTACACCCCAGCACAGCCGTGACTGCACCAGCGCCGCGGTGGAGAAAGGTGTATACAGTATGGCACATACCCAAGATCAGTCCTAGTAGTCGGCCGGACTGTTCGGAAACACGGGCTGCCCTCGGGTCGTGCATAGCAGCCACCTCGTCGCGGGCACGAACTAGCAATTCGGATGTTCGTCGACCGCGATCTCTTTCTGGAGAAGTGGCTGCTATTGCTGTGGCATACTGCACAAACAGGCGCAGGCGTGGTGGCTAGGTCTCTTTCCGGACTCCCCGCTGGGCTCGGCACCAACGAACCCCTACCTGCCAACCCCAGCTTCCGGATTTGTCTTCTTCATCGCTCTAATGTGCAGCAGCCTAGATCCTCTTCTGCATCTCTCAAGCGACCGAACCGGCCTCGCATGAGCACCCAACGTTGCGAATGGTGCGCTTAACACGAGCTGCCCATTAGCGATACCGCAAATACAATCACGCATGCGCATCCGAACCTTAGCAGGCTGTCCTCGATTCATCAGAGATATCCTCGTGCACTACCAGATCTGAATCACCGCTCAGCAAGCCTCCCGCTTGAAGTGCTCGCTTGGCTGACTTCAAAGCATGGAACGTCTACCGAAGATCTCTCGTCGCTTCCGCCACACAAGTCCGTTCTGAGCCGAGCTGCTCCGTGCCATATTTCTCTTGCCAGCCCTGGGGTTGTTCGCAGCCACGCCACACCCCAGTTGAACCAGGGGCCGCAAGCCTGCCACATCAGCAGATTTTCAATACGATCCAATCTGATATCACATCTTCAGCGCTTCTTTGTTGTTGTCTTGGTCCATCATAGCAAGGTCCGAAGCTCGCACAGCTCTGCATTACGTCAAGCAGCAGGTCAACATATCCCACGTGGATCTCTTCCGAAGCAATCATAGAACAGCGAAGATCTTACGGGGAAAATGTTCCACCTGAAGTGAGGGGAGGTCCTAAACATAAGCAGAAAATTCTTCTCAGATCGGGCTATCCTTCAACAAGTGTATGTCATTCAATCGTCGGAGTCCCTCCCTCCACTACTCGTAGCCGGACCCGGACCGACCGAGCTTGGTATCCATCCAGGGCTGGTACTTTGAGACCCTTCAACGTGCAGCCGGAATGCCGTTGTTGAGCATGGGATGGGATTAGACTGCTGCAGGGCTTTCTGCGAGTAATGGACAGGTGAAGAGTGCACTTAGCCATAGCAGGGATCCGCTCTTCGTACTCCAGGGGTAAACCTTCCTACATGTCCGTCGGCAACCTTGTTGGAGGTCAATGCATCGCACTGATTATGAGCCGCGCGATTGGTCTCGGAATCCAGGGTACTCGGGTGGCGTAAGGTCCCTTCCGATGATCTTTGGCTTCACCAGCACGCCACCCAATGGGCAGTCCGGAAGCTATTAGCGATGCGCTCTGTGTTGCTGTGACAGCATATTTACGGCTGCATCAGGGAGACCCCTGGTTGTCAAGTGCGGCAAAAGCTCGTCTCGAGGATGTCAACGCAACGTACCGGCGACGTCGACCTTGCTTGGACATTAAGCGAGTGACCGCTCATACAGACCTAGACCCATCCAGTACCGAGCTATCTTTTGCATTCGCGACCGCAGACTACTCGTGCTCGGCAAGAAAGCAATGAGCATCTCACCTTGTTCGTCGGAAAAGGACAAGCGATGAAAGTCCCCGGCACGCAGATACTTTTCCGTCCCAACAGCACATACTCAATTTGAGGAAGGTGAAAAGCGGCATGATTGGACATATCGGGCATGATATTCCATGCACAATCTGAATCCAGATTTCACAAGACGAGTACCGAGATCAATCTCTTGCTCTCCTATCTCATCTGATCTCATCTCATCTGGATCGTGGACAATCTACGCCTCCAAATCGCGCTTCGTGGCGAGTCTAAGCGGACCGTCCAGCTGCATCGATCTTTTCACAGCGGCATGCAGCTGGCAACGCCATCCCTGGAGCCATGATATGTGCAAAGCGTGGCAAGTTTTGTTTCGTATGTACGGTCCGCACCCCACCTTTACGGCTCTGACAAGCTTCCTCCGTGCAACCTGTCACTAACGGACAGTGATAGGCGATGCATGTGACGCTCCACTTACCATCCATGGGAGATTGAAGATCCAGCCCAACAACCGACCCTGACATTGATCGTGATTGCACTGCTATGGCATCTTGGGGTCCACAGAGCACCGGCCACCCACGCCTATTGGAATCGTCTCTTGCGACGAATGTTAACGCAGGCGAGACCGCGGAAGCACTCTTTAAAGTGCCAGCCAATTGCCGACAGGACATGGCGAACACCCGGCTCGCACGAGGCTGCAAAGAGACCACAGACATGCTGTCGACCGCTGGTCAAAGTATATACCTAGCAACGCCTCTGCTGGCTTGCATGGGGAGGCTTAGAGTACGAAGACATCTCTCTGCAGTCGATTCAGTAAGACGTCATGAGAATCATGGCTCCATGATAGCCTCCCTTGACGACAGAGGAGCCCTCTCCTAGTCTCGTGTCTGCTTCCCGGCTTTATGCTGTGTACACCGTGCTCGTGCTGAGGGACACTTGGGACCACGTCGCTCGAGCTCTGTCTACGCACCAGCAAGGATGACTATCATTGCACAGTCTATCCGTGGAGGTCAAAAGTGAAGCAGAAGAAAGCCTTGCTGCAACGCTTCGGGCATACTTCGAGTAGGCTTGGACTGCCGGAACGCCAGACTGAGCGGCAAGACACATAATTCTCAAGATCATAGATTGAACCCAGGCCTGTCGTTGAGTTCAAAAGCGTTCTGGACGCAGCCGGAGATTCACTCCATCCTATCCGGGATCTCTTTCCCGCCCCGCTGCATCAGTGTGTATGTGCGTGTAACACCAAAAATGTCCATTCCATGACATGACTCCACCTTCAAGCCTCTCCAACAAAGACAGGGCTTTCTTGTGTACCTTGCGCACCGCCCAGATTCTGTGTCCCCACCCCGCGCCCGCACGCCCCTGGACCACTCAAACGACGAAAGACTAACAGGATGCAACACTTGACATGTATCACGGCAACGGCCGTGACTGCTTCTGCTCCTGCGTCTCTGACAGACAGACTTGAGACCCGACAGACAGCCTGACAGCCGACAGGAGTTCCATTACAGCCACGGACGGGACACGACAGGGCCAACATGACAGTTATGACAGCGGAAGCCCCCGTCAAGCACTCTCCCGTTTCGCAACATGGTTGAGGTGTGCAAGGTGGGAACCAGGTACACATTACCCGTACAACTAAACTTTCCGAACGGTCCCTCGAGCCCTTCTTTGTGTGACCGTGGCAGAAAGGTCCTGGTGTCGTTGTTTCCTTCGCTCCTTGTCTGCCGCTTCTCTGATCTTACTGGGGGGCGCGGCGGACCACAAAAGGTAATGTGCTGTGCAGGGAGCAAAATGCTTTTCGCGCGTTGCGTTGTTGGTTGTTGGGCGCGGGCCGGCGGATCCGGCTGTCGTTTCTCCTGGCCCCCGTTCGGTTCAACACATTCGAGATAGCACACCAGAAGTTCCGCGCCACAGATGCCCTGTGCTTCGTCTCAGGAAATGGTCTTTCTTGTGCACTGAGCCACGTTCCCGCGCCCGGCAGCATCCGCGCCAATTACCGCCAGCAGCAAGATAACACAGCTGTGGAAGGCCCGTGCGGTGGGATCCAAAATCCGTCGTCGCCAGGAAATGTACAGTATCCTCGAGCAAGGGCCTAACTGATTGGCAGCGCCGAATCAAGACCAGCTTGGCGCGGTCGAGAGACTACAGGTGTACCTGTGTAGCCAGGTCGCTTCACAGGTCATGATAGCGCACGAGGAGGCACAGCGCGATAAGAAGCCCTGAGCCCAGCTAGATAGCGCATCGCAGGCGCAGATTTGCACAGTGCCGCAGACAATGTCGTACTTGACGAAGCACAAGACCATTACGAAGTACTCCGTACGTTTCACCGTAGCAGCTCCGCCAACGTCAATCGTCAACGTCAACGTCAACCTCGTATCATGCACGGGGCGGGGTTGGGCGGACAAGACAGGTTGTCTTTGACAGTTGACAGCTTACACAGCCGCTGGGGGATGTTGATGGGGTTTGGGCTCGCACAAGAAAAGGAAGAAGAAAAGACCAGCGAAGCGGAACCTTTGGCAGAAACGGTTGTTGACTTTTGTCGTAACGGCTTTCCTGCCTCGGGCCAGTGCAGCTGGGCGGACTGGAAATGAGCTGCAGGTTTCGAATGGTTGAGGTAGGTGGGTTGCGCGGGCCTGGTGCGCATGGGATGGAGAAAGTGTTGCTTTCACTTTCACCTTGACACTGACACTAACAGTGACGGTTGTGGGCGGGCCAAAGAACACAAAGAGGAGAAAGACTCGAAGCTCAGGCCTGTGGGAGGGCGGGTACTTGCAGGTGCCAGGGAATTTTCTGGACTTGTGTGACCTGAGGAGCGGATGGAGAGGGGGATGAGGCAGTGTTGTGGTGCAGAACGGAGCCTGGGGGAAAGGGTGCGAATAGGTGAGTTGGGCGGTTGGTGAAGCGGAACTGCATCGTTGTACCCGTACCCTTCCTCATGGTCGTTGCGATGAGGGTTTTCGATGCCTCTTCTTGGCAGGAGCGGCTAGGGTAGAGGCGATGTGGTTGCTCCGCTGGAGCCAGTCCCTCAGCGTCTGTTCCCATTGGCATAGGATCTGCTGTAAGCTTAGCTCATGAGCGCTCACCAAGCGTCAGGGTGGGACGGTCTTCGGATTGGACCCCTGAATATGGGTCTGCAGAAGTCCAGCCAGGTAAGTTGGGTAAGTGTTCGGATCAGTTATTCCCGAATGCTGTTGAATAGCTCGTGTCAATAGCGAGGGCACATCCACCACTCAGTCAAACGGGCGAGCACCAAATAGCAACAAGGGAATGCAATGGGAATCATGTCTTGCTCATTTCACGTCGTCATTGCCAGGCAACCATGCACTGAGCAACGCTCCATGAAGAAAATCCCCTCGTTGAGGCCCGTTTGCAAAGTTGCCCGGTCCATCAACTCGGATCTATTTTTCCATCAGTTCGTGCGCACCCGAAGGAGCCGCAGTGCCCCCAGACGAAATGTACGCATCGCAACTTTTGGCATTCGATGTATTGGTATCATCGTAGCGCCGTCCGCCCATCAGTTGAACCCCACCCCTTGCAGACGACACCTACGTCGTAAAGAGCACCTCTCTTTCGTCTCCTAAGACTTCTCATCGTCAAAAGAGTCCGCACGCTCCATCATCATCGCCAACCAGAAAAAATGCAATGCATCGTTGTTCATCCGCTGACGTCCACCCTTAATCGGCCGCTTTGCTTCATTTCTTGCCGCTCTTGGACTTGCCCTCGCTCTCCTTGAGCACCTTCTTGACGATCTTCTGCTCCTCGATCAGGAAGGCGCGCACAATGCGGTCGCGCACACAGTTGCCGCAGCGCGAGCCGCCGTAGGCTCGGCGCACCGTCTTGTCGGCCTTGGAGGTTGTGGCGTACTCGTGGGGGCGGAGGGCAGGAATCTGTTCACGTGGGTGTTAGTGCTTTGGTCTTGTAGTGGTGCGAGAAATCGGCCCGCAGCTGAGTTTGGGTATCGATTGAAGAATGGGTTTCGGGAGGGGAATTTAGGATAGGTGAACGTACACCGGGCAGCTTGGTGCCGCAGTCGCCGCACTTGGGAGCAGTGCCGCGCTTCTTCAGGTGAAGAAGACGGAGGCTACCGCCGGGGGTCTTGATCACGCGGACCTTGTTGGACCGGGTGTTGTAGCTGCAAAGACCGTCATGTTAGCGCATTGTCCTTGTATAATGTAAAATCTTGGTCTCCGTTGCTCGTGAAAATGACTAGGACGAGAGACAAGGAGCCGTAGGGAACGTACGGGTTGCGTCGTCGGTACTGCAGGCGCTGGGTGGCCATTGTGACGGTGTTGTCGATTGGTAATGGGTTAGAGGAGGGAGAAGGTGAGGTCGCGGATTCGGTGGTGCTGCAGGTAGAAACGGCTCTAACAATTTCGAACGCAGACAGTGCGCTCCACAAATTTCGCCAAGATGCATACAACCAATCATATAACGATGGGCTTTGGGGTGGGATCATGGTCACGTGCGCCGCCCGGCGGGACCGCGAGAAAATGTTCAAGTCACCACTCGGGCTCGCACCTCGATTCCCATTCCACGACTTTCACTGCCTGGTGGTGTCGCGCACTGTCGTCTTTTACTGCGGATGACTGTGTTGCACACCGTTCGAATCCTCTGATCCTGTTGCCGTTGTCACACCAGTCTCGGCGCAGAGATCAGTCAATCGATGGTAAGGAATTCTACCTAAACGCGAAACGATACAGAAGTTCATCCTTTTTTCACCACAGTCGCGACATCGATACACATAAATCATGGCCTCCATTCCACCTCCACCGCCACCAGGATGGAATGCCGGTGGCGCGCCCCCTCCGCCGCCCGGCATGAGTGGCGCCCCTCCACCACCTCCTCCTCCAGGCTACCGCCCGCCAGTCAATCCCAATGTAGCGAAGTTCGCGCAGAAGAAGACCGAATGGCTACGTACACAGCGCAACAAGTTCGGCGAGAAACGCAAGGCTGGATTCGTGGAGACACAGAAGGCTGATATGCCACCCGAGCATTTACGCAAGATCGTTAAGGATATTGGGGACGTCAGCCAGAAGAAGTACAGCAGCGACAAGCGGAGCTATTTGGGCGCGCTGAAATATATGCCGCATGCGGTCTTCAAGCTGTTGGAGAATATGCCGATGCCTTGGGAGAGTGCGAGAGAGGTCAAGGTGCTGTATCATGTCAATGGATGCTTAACGCTCGTAAACGAGACACCGCGGGTGATTGAGCCAGTCTTCCATGCGCAATGGGCCACGATGTGGGTGTGCATGCGAAGAGAAAAGAGTGATCGACGTCACTTCAAGCGAATGCGATTTCCACCCTTTGACGACGAGGAGCCGCCACTGAACTGGTCTGAGAATATTGAAGACGTGGAACCGCTGGAGCCAATTCAGATGGAGCTAGAAGAAGATGAAGATTCGCCTGTCCTTGAGTGGTTTTACGAGCATAGGCCACTGATTGATACGCCACACGTCAATGGGCCGAGCTACCGATCATGGAATCTGTCGCTTCCGCAGATGGCGACCTTGTATCGGCTCAGTCATCAGCTACTCAGCGATGTGGTCGACAAAAATTACTTCCACATGTTCGATCGGGAAAGCTTTTTCACGGCCAAAGCGTTGAATGTGGCCATTCCAGGTGGTCCACGTTTCGAACCGCTCTACAAAGACATCGACCCGAATGATGAGGACTTCGGTGAGTTCAACGCTATTGATCGCATCATCTTTAGAGCGCCTGTGCGCACCGAGTACAGGGTGGCTTTCCCCTTCCTCTACAACTCTTTGCCCAGGAGTGTTAAAGTGGGTTGGTACTCGCATCCACAAGTATGCTATCAACGAACAGACGACCCGAACCTGCCCGCCTTCTACTTCGACACAACGATCAATCCCATCTCTTCTAGATCTGTTGCGCCGAAGAACCTGACCATAAGTCATGAGGACGAGATCTTTGGAGATGCGGATGAGGACGACTTTGAACTTCCAGGTGATGTCGAGCCATTCATGGCAGAGGAGGAGTTGTACACCGAAGAGACGTCTTCGGCAATACAGCTTTGGTGGGCTCCATACCCTTTCGACAGACGGTCAGGCAAAATGGTCCGCGCCCAGGATGTACCTCTGGTCAAGCAGTGGTATCTTGAGCACGTACCCTCAGGCCAGCCAGTCAAGGTCCGGGTCTCGTACCAGAAGCTGCTCAAGTCTTTTGTTTTGAACGAGCTCCATAAGAAGAAGCCGCAACCGTTGCAGCGCCAGGATCTTATGAAGACTTTAAAGTCGACCAAGTTCTTCCAGCAAACCACCATCGACTGGGTAGAGGCTGGTCTTCAGGTCTGCCGGCAAGGCTTCAATATGCTTAATCTCCTCATCCATCGCAAGAACCTGACTTACCTCCATCTCGATTACAACTTCAACTTGAAGCCCGTCAAGACCCTGACCACCAAAGAGCGGAAGAAGTCTCGCTTCGGTAATGCCTTCCATCTGATGCGAGAAATACTGCGCTTAACGAAGTTAATCGTTGATGCTCAAGTTCAATACCGCCTCGGCAACATTGATGCTTTCCAACTTGCTGATGGTATCCTCTACGCTTTCAATCACGTCGGTCAATTGACTGGCATGTACCGATACAAATACAAGCTCATGCACCAAATTCGGTCATGCAAGGATCTGAAGCATCTCATTTACTACCGCTTCAACTCCGGCCCGGTCGGCAAAGGCCCTGGCTGCGGCTTTTGGGCACCAGCCTGGAGGGTGTGGCTGTTCTTCATGCGAGGTATAATTCCACTGCTGGAGCGGTGGCTCGGCAATCTGCTATCAAGACAGTTTGAAGGTCGTCACAGCAAAGGTGTGGCCAAGACCGTGACCAAGCAGCGCGTTGAGTCGCACTTTGATCTCGAGCTCCGCGCTTCCGTCATGGCCGATCTCATGGACATGATGCCGGAGGGCATTCGACAGAATAAGGTCAACACCGTTCTGCAGCATTTGTCCGAAGCTTGGAGATGCTGGAAGAGTAATATTCCCTGGAAGGTGCCTGGCTTGCCTGCGGCCATCGAGAACATCATCCTACGATATGTAAAGAGTAAGGCCGATTGGTGGATCTCTGTGGCTCATTACAACCGGGAGCGCATCCGTCGGGGCGCAACCGTTGACAAGACAGTCGCAAAGAAGAACTTGGGTCGCCTCACACGTCTCTGGCTCAAGTCCGAACAGGAACGACAACATAACTATCTCAAAGACGGACCTTATGTGTCTTCCGAGGAGGCCGTCGCCATTTATGCCACCACTGTTCACTGGCTCGAATCGAGAAAGTTCACTCCGATTCCGTTCCCCAGCGTATCGTACAAGCACGATACGAAGATCCTCATTCTTGCGCTTGAGCGATTACGAGAAGCATACTCAGTCAAAGGTCGCCTCAACCAGAACCAGCGTGAAGAGCTAGCACTCATTGAGCAAGCTTACGACTCGCCCGGAACAACACTCGCTCGAATCAAGCGCTTCCTGCTTACCCAGCGGGCTTTCAAAGAGGTTGGCATAGATATGAACGACAACTACAGCTCCATTAATCCAGTTTATGATGTGGAGCCAATTGAGAAGATCACAGACGCTTATCTGGACCAGTACCTCTGGTATCAAGCAGATACACGCCACCTTTTCCCTTCCTGGGTGAAGCCATCAGACTCTGAAGTTCCGCCACTGCTAACCTACAAGTGGGCTCAGGGCATCAATAACTTGACCAACGTCTGGGAGACTGCTGATGGCGAGTGCAACGTCATGATAGAGACTCAGCTGTCGAAGGTCTACGAGAAGATTGATCTAACTCTGCTCAACCGCCTCTTGCGACTCATCATGGACCACAACTTGGCGGATTACATTACATCGAAGAACAATGTTCAACTAAACTACAAGGACATGAATCATACCAACAGCTACGGTCTGATTCGCGGTCTTCAGTTCTCAGGATTTATCTTCCAGTACTACGGTCTGGTAATTGATCTTCTACTGCTTGGCTTGCAGCGTGCGAGCGAGCTTGCTGGCCCGCCTCAGAGTCCAAACGATTTCTTGCAGTTCCGTGATCGCGAGACCGAGACCAGACATCCCATCAGGCTCTACACTAGATATATCGACAAGATCTGGGTTTTCTTCCGCTTCTCTGCTGAGGAATCCAAGGATCTGATACAGCGCTTCTTGACCGAGCAACCCGATCCAAATTTTGAGAACGTCATTGGCTACAAAAACAAGAAATGCTGGCCTCGCGACTCGAGAATGCGATTGATGCGCCACGATGTCAACCTCGGACGTGCAGTGTTCTGGGACCTGAAGAACAGATTGCCCCGCTCCATCACTACGATCGAGTGGAACGATACCTTCGCCAGTGTCTATTCGAGAGGAAACCCCAATTTGCTTTTCTCGATGTGTGGTTTCGAAGTCCGCATCTTGCCAAAATGCCGAACACAGGATGATGAGTTCTCCACCAAGGACAGTGTCTGGGCTCTGGCCAACAACGAAACCAAAGAGCGCACTGCGTATGCCTTCCTACAGGTTACTGAAGACGACATTGCCAAGTTCAATAATCGCATTCGGCAGATCCTGATGTCTTCCGGTAGTACCACCTTCACGAAGATTGCCAACAAGTGGAACACCACGCTCATCGCACTGTTCACCTATTATCGAGAGGCTGCTGTTTCCACAGTGTCCCTTCTCGACATTATCGTGAAGTGCGAGACCAAGATTCAGACCCGTGTCAAGATTGGTCTGAACTCGAAGATGCCTTCCCGCTTCCCGCCAGCTGTGTTCTACACCCCAAAGGAATTAGGCGGTCTTGGCATGATATCGGGATCGCATATTCTCATTCCGACAAGTGACAAACGATGGTCGAAGCAGACCGACACCGGGGTCACTCATTACCGTGCCGGCATGACTCACGATGAAGAGACTCTCATTCCCAATATCTTCCGATATATCATTCCTTGGGAGGCTGAGTTCATTGATTCACAACGAGTGTGGACCGAGTATTCGCAGAAGCGAATGGAGGCCAATCAGCAGAATCGCCGACTGACGCTTGAAGATTTAGAGGACAGCTGGGATCGTGGTCTACCTCGTATTAATACTCTTTTCCAAAAGGACCGCAGTACCCTCAGTTTCGACAAAGGTTTCCGTGCCCGCACCGAATTCAAGCAGTATCAACTTATGAAGAGCAATCCCTTCTGGTGGACAAGCCAGCGTCACGATGGCAAGCTTTGGAATTTAAATGCGTACAGAACGGATGTCATTCAGGCCCTAGGAGGTGTCGAGACGATCCTGGAGCACACATTGTTCAAGGCTACGGCCTTCCCGTCGTGGGAAGGTCTCTTTTGGGAACGCGCCTCTGTAAGTCTTTCTGGCCCCCTAATAATGCTCGGTGCCCTCCAGCTAACATCATCACAGGGCTTCGAAGAATCAATGAAATTCAAGAAGTTGACCAACGCCCAACGAAGCGGTCTCAATCAGATTCCCAACCGTCGATTCACTCTCTGGTGGAGTCCAACCATCAACAGAGCGAACGTGTACGTTGGTTTCCAAGTTCAGCTCGATTTGACTGGAATCTTTTTGCACGGCAAGATCCCGACACTCAAGATCTCACTCATCCAGATCTTCCGAGCCCATTTGTGGCAGAAGATTCATGAGAGTGTGGTGATGGATCTGTGCCAGGTGTTCGATCAAGAACTCGAGCAGCTTGGCATCGAGAATGTGCAGAAGGAGACCATCCACCCGAGAAAGTCATACAAGATGAACAGCTCATGCGCCGACATTCTGCTCTTTGCCAGCCACAAGTGGAATGTTACCCGCCCATCTTTGCTCTTTGATACCAAAGACCAGATAGAGGCCACCATGACTAACAAGTTCTGGCTCGATGTTCAGCTAAGATATGGTGATTACGACTCTCACGACATTGAACGTTATGTCAGAGCGAAATATCTCGACTACACGACCGACAGCCAGAGCATCTACCCTTCGCCCACCGGTCTTATGGTCGGCATCGATCTCGCCTACAACTTGTATTCAGCGTACGGCCAGTACTTCCCTGGTCTCAAGGCTCTTATTCAGCAGGCCATGGCAAAGATCATGAAGGCCAACCCGGCGCTTTACGTCCTCCGTGAGCGGATCAGAAAAGGCCTGCAACTCTACGCATCTGAGAGTAACCAGGAGTTCCTGAATTCTCAAAACTACTCCGAGCTGTTCAGCAACCAGACTCAACTGTTTATTGATGACACCAATGTGTACCGAGTCACCATTCATAAGACCTTCGAAGGCAATTTGACCACAAAGCCCATTAACGGCGCGATCTTCATCTTCAATCCCAAAACAGGCCAGCTGTTCTTGAAAATCATTCATACGAGTGTTTGGGCTGGCCAGAAGCGTCTTGGTCAGCTAGCCAAGTGGAAGACTGCCGAGGAAGTCGCGGCCTTGATCAGATCACTGCCTGTTGAGGAGCAACCCAAACAGCTTATTGTGACTCGCAAAGGTCTACTTGATCCGCTCGAGGTTCACCTGCTCGACTTCCCAAACATCTCTATCAGAGCGTCGGAACTACAGCTGCCCTTTAAGGCTGCTGTGAAGGTCGAAAAGCTGGCTGACATGATCCTTCAGGCCAAGGAGCCGCAGATGGTCCTCTTCAATCTCTACGACGAGTGGCTGAAGTCAATATCGTCGTATACCGCTTTCTCGCGTCTTGTGCTGATTTTGAGAGCTCTTCATGTCAACCCTGACAAGACCAAGCTCCTCCTACGGCCTGACAAGACAGTCATCACACAAGCCCACCACATCTGGCCTTCGTTGTCGGACGAAGACTGGGTCAAGGTCGAGAAAGAGCTGATGAATCTCATCCTCAATGACTATGGCAAGAAGAATAACGTTAATGTCCAGGCCCTCACTCAGAGTGAAGTCAGAGATATCATCCTCGGCATGGAAATATCGGCCCCGTCTATGCAACGTCAACAAGCCAGCGAGATTGAAGAAGGCAACCAGGACCAGCAACAGCTCACTGCCGTCACAACGAAGACCCAGAACGTTCGTGGCGAGGAGATCATCGTTACCACTACCTCGCAGTATGAGCAGCAATCTTTCGCCTCGAAGACTGAGTGGCGCACCCGTGCTATCGCCAGCTCGAATCTGCGAACTCGCGCCAACAATATCTACGTTTCGAGCGACGATGTTACTGACACTGAGGAGTCTTTCACATACATTCTGCCCAAGAATATTCTTAAGAAGTTCATCACCATCGCCGACCTCCGCGTGCAAGTTGCCGCCTATATCTATGGTTCTTCTCCCCCAGACAACTCACAAATCAAGGAGATCCGCAGCATCGTCATGATTCCGCAGGTCGGCGGTCTGCGCGACGTGCAGCTCCCACAACAACTACCGCAGCACGAGAATCTCAAGGGCCTCGAGCCGCTCGGAATCATCCACACCATGTCTGGCAATGAGACTCCGTACATGACACCACAAGATGTCACCACACACGCCCGCCTCATGGAGCGCTTCGACAGCTGGGACAAGAAGACCGTCACATTGAGCGTCGCCTTTACACCCGGCTCGGTGTCGCTGTCCTCCTGGGGCCTGACTCCCGAGGGCTACAAATGGGGCGCCACGAACAAGGACACGCAGTCCGACAACCCCGCGGGCTTCAGCACCAGCTTCGGCGAGAAGAAACAGCTGCTGCTCAGCGACAAGATCAGGGGCTATTTCATGGTGCCGGAGAACGACGTGTGGAACTACGCCTTCATGGGCGCCAGCTTCGGCGGAGTCGAGAAGCGACCCATCTACGTCAAAGTGGATGTGCCCAAGGGCTTCTACGACGGCGCGATGCGGCCGGTGCACTTCAGCAGCTTTGGCGAACTGGAGGATGGGGGTGTCGATCGGGAGGATATGTTTGCTTAAGAACTGTGCTGTTGTGGGAGTGGATTGACTCGGCATGCAAAGTCGGCCGAGATTGGCGTTTGTTTGCGAATTGGCGGGTTCTCAGGCAGGTAGGGGGAAAGCACGAATACAGCCGCCCCCATGGCGACGAGGCGGGCACGGCCAGGGCTGGGGTGGCTGCGTCTGTACATGTACTTGGACGGGCGGAAGCACTCATCAAAAGAAGTATTCTGATCATTGGTTCGCAGCAGCACAGCCGCCTAGCTCAGCCAGCGTATTTCCTTCCCGTTCGTAGTCGACGCTATGTCTTTTCTGCTACATCTCGATGACCCGCATATATATGACCCGTGACGACTGCCATGTACATTGTATCATACGGATCCTGCTTCGAACAAACGCGCGAGTTGTGAGAGGCGTGGCACCTGAGGGTCGACAAAATTGACGGCAAGGTTCCTGGGTTCCTCCCCGAGAAGGTCTACACACAATCAGAATCGACAAAATCGACGGGCGGGCTCCCTGGACCGATATCAGGTCGTTTCGCGTGGTATCTATTCTACTGTGAGTCTCAGGAGCCTTCCCGCTAATTTTGTCGACCCCTGGTGGCACCCAATTTGCCTTGTGCCTTGCACCCTGCGCCTTGGCGTGGTCCCGCACGCCAGGCCACAGGTATGGGAGACGTTCCATTCATTCTTTGTTTGCATCAGCTGCTGGATGCTAGGGGTGACCTGCCCGTCAAATCCAGTATTCAATGAAATCATCGAGAGAAGCCCATCGGGTTTCGGTAGTCATAGGCGGGTGAGCTTACTCGTGGTTACAGTACACGTTGAGACGAATATAAACGTGCGCGCGACAAACACGACATGACCGACCCATGCGAAAGGTACACAGGATGTTGCAACATCGAGAAACGTAGTGACGTAGTGGAAGCCTCTTCTCCTCAATCGAAGGAAAAGATATTATACAAAGTCATGAAGCTATGGTGCTCGTTCTTAGGACAAAAAGGTATGTGTGGTGGTTAGCCAACCGACCTGAGCTCTCTTGCTGCTCGTACAGCAAGCGCAAGGCCTGAACATGCCAACGCCTGAACATGCAACTAACCTGTACATCCACTGATGCGTGGCTTGCAATACCCGCCGTCGAGTTACCCAAAGCCCAAAACGCCGTTCTTCCCTAAGAGGCCGAGCCTGAAACTTGACTAGAAAACGCTGTCATATGCATCGTGGCCCCGTCTCCAGAGCTTGGTCTTCTTCTTGTGAGCGCGCAGAGCTCACCTCAGCGCCAAATGTTCTTTCCAGGCATGAAGCTGCCTCTCTCCCGATCCCTGTCCTGGCCAGCACGCATCGGTGTCACGCTACTCAACCGCATCGCTGCCCTCTCCCCAACCGTAGTGCCCATACTCTCGCCCCGTGCGTGGCCTTTCGGAGCGCTTGAATCAAAAGCGCTCATCGTAGTGCGTCTCGAAGCACTGTGCATGCTCTTGCCCGCGGTTGTAACGCCCTGAACTCTTGGACTCAAAACACCTGCCTTCCAGTCCTTGCCTTCCGACGTACCGTGCACCATGCGTCTAACGTGGCTAGCCCCGAAAAGATTATCGCCTGTGGGCGGTGATGAGGCGGAAGGCGATCTCCGGCGGTGAGTACGCAGGCTAGCAGGACCCCGCACAGAGGAGGAACGACGGACGGCTCCTATCTTCATGGCGTCGTCTTTGTTGGGGTTATGATTTTCAGTGTCGGAGGAGGACGGATGCTCAGTATTGGCGGACTGCGGAGGAGGAGATACTTTGTTGGCATTGCTAGAAGCAAGTGGCGTGATACTACGGCGGTTGGCAGATGTTAAGCCCACATCACGAAGGGGTGACGACTCGGACTCGGAAGAAGAGGTGAAGATGGTCGTCTTGGGCGGAGGCGGCATTGCCACGGACAGAGGAGATACCTCTGACTTCTTTGATAGAAAACCGGCTTTGAAGCGACTGTTTTTGTTTGCCCCAGCCGCGGAAGTCTCGGGTGGCGGTGGAATGGGAGACGAATTGTCGTCGCTGTTCTTCATTTCCGCGAAGCTTGTCGTGATATCCGAGATCTGCGGAATGGTGAGCTCCGTTGTGCTCTCCTCAGGTGGTGATGAGGATGGGAGCTTCAGGGGAGTCTTCTCGAACTCTGCCAGCGCACCATCCTCTGTATCATCCTTCCATCTGACAGCTCGTTTGACAACCTTGCGCTTCTTTGGCGTAGATTGAAATTGAACGCCCTTCTTCGCGCTTCCCGCCAAGCCACGTCGACGGGGCGATGCCTTCATGGGAGATGCCGAAAGTTGCTGGAGCTGAGGCGCGGCTAGTGCTTCAACGGCGGGTACCTGTTTTGTTGCTGACGGACTTTCCAGGATGGAGGTATTGACAGCCTGTTTTCTTCGCTTCGGCGTGCCGGTCTTGCGAGGTGCGAATGACTCCACCGGCGCGAGACTGCCGTCAGGCTTGACAACATGCGATGCCGCTTTTGAAGCAGATGAAAGCATATTCTTCAGATAGCGGTTAGCTACCTCGACTGCTTCATCAACCGACATGCTGTTCAAAGTGTCGATAGCTGCAATGATCTCAAAGTGAGCCTTGAGGAGAACTTGCACGGTGGACGCGTCTCCAAGCTTGGCCTGTTCGGCAACCGCTGCAAGAGACTCACGCTCGGCATTGGCTTTGAGCAACTCCACTTCACGATAGAGGGTTTCAGAGTCCATATTGTCGCCAGTCTCGACCTCCTTGAGCTGCTGAAGGCTAGCGCTTAATGCAGTATTCAACGCCCGTTCCCAATTACTCTTGGCAACTTTTTGCTGGCAATGGTGGCGTCCACTCTCGAGCTCAATCATGATGCCTTGGGCTGTCTTTCGGACAGCTTGCATGTTGCTCAGTGCGTTTTCCTGCTCGAGATTATCGCACACAGCGTCAAACGCGGCTATCCAGGAAGAAAGCATGGCAATCCGACGCCCGAGCTGTCTTAGCTTGATCATATTGTTGGTTCGCTCTTGTCGCTCGGCCACAGCATTGTCGTAAGCAGCTCGGATTCTCAGTATGCCGTCTTTGGTGATACCATCTCTCTTCTCGGACTGTTTCCGGAACTTGGCGAAGGCCACGGCTTCGTAGTCTTTCTGTTGTGCCTTGAGCTCGTTAATAAGGGCCATCTGCTCGTCGATCTTGACCAGATAATCTTTGACGTGACGGTTGACGTTGTACACGTTCCTTGTGACCTTGGTCTGGATGTTCTTCGCTCTGTTGGCATAGCGCAGGGTGTTCTGGGTTTCATCGAAATGTTGGCTTGAAGGACTGACACAGACTATCATGACGGTCTTGCAGTTGCCGCCGAGGGAGAACTTGAGGAGCCGGGTGAGTTTGGAGTTCCGGTATGGCACATGATTGCGCTTGCGTGGGTCGCACAGGGCATTGATACAGCTGCCCAATGCGAGCAGTGACTTGTTGATATTCGCACCTTCTAGTAGACGGTCGCCGCGGTTCTTGGTGGCACTAGCACGCTCGCTACCAGCAAGATCGATAATGCTGAGAGTCGCCATGGTGTGCGCTTCGTCTACGCTCGCATTGCGATCTTTCTGAGCAACATTGATCTGCAGGACGGCGTGGGAACGTGAGGAGACGGCGTTGGCTTCGGTGGGAGACATTGTGCGTAGCTCGTTGCCCCTGACAATTATTTCCATTACCTCCTGTACATTCTGAGGGTGGTGGCTCGACAGCCCGGCCACGGAGACGGCTTGGTGTGAATCTTCGCGCAGCATCAGACCTCCTTTGGAATTGCCAGGGTTTAGCAAGTCGCGAATTGTCTCGTTGTAGATTTCGAGGTAAGATAGTGAGATTTCGGTGACCTTCTCGTCGCTCATCTCGGAGACTCTCTCAAACAGCTCTTGCATGGTCAAATAAATAATGCCGGGTTGCTGATGTGTGCCGGTAATGGTATGCGTCTTCCCGCAGCCCGTTGCGCCGTAAGCGAAGACAGTAGCGTTGTAGCCGTCAAAAACACTAGAGACCAACGGTTTGGCTGTCGATTCGTAGACGTCGACTTGTGTGGCATTTTCGTCGAAGATTCTGTCGAATCCGAACGTCTGATCTTTGACCCTCTTTCCCATAGGCATGACGGAGCGCGAGAACTTCTGAACAGGATTGTCTTCGGGAGGGTCAAACACTCTATCGGTTCAATCAGCTGACAAGTTAGAAGGCCCGAAGACTACCACTCACAAGCACTTGTCGTCGACGACTTTGATGATAGGCCGTAGGCCCTTCTGAAGGAGTTTGGGTGTAGGTGCCGCGGCCAGGGAGCCATCGCCGAGGAACAGTGTCGAGTCGTCGCATTTTGTCAGTTGTGCAGCTTCTCTGATAGTGAATGGCCGTACTCTGACAGCGACGGAGATCGATGAAGCGCCGTCAGAGGTGGCCATGGTGGTTGTTTACTCGGCCCGAAGAGTGAAAGGTCAAGAAATTCCTGTGTCCCGCATAGAAATGCGGAAAAAAAAGATAACGCTCAAACAGTACAGAAGAGTAATGGTAAAGTGCAGTCTGTCGTGTACGGGAGTGTTTGTCAATCACGAAGTGAGATCTTTCGACCGAAACGTGAAACTAGAGCCGGTCATCACAGTACAAACTCGCGCTGTTGCCATCGCCATAGCAACCAATGCTGTCAGGCTTGGTCTCAGCCTCGTTAGCCCGCACTCCCACACTCCTCCTAACCTTTGAAGCATCCCATTGCCAGCATCGAGCATGTCTTATTATTTCAGCAACGGGCACCGATCCCCATGCTCACTGCAAGCAAAAGTGATCGTTGTCTTCGCCAGCATGTGACTGAGGTTGAGTGGTGCTGATAGAGATGACCCGACGGCGAAAAGTGCAGCTACAGGCGTGCACCGGCCCCTGAGTGACTTACCATTGCGCGTTGACGAAGGTGCACAGCAGGCTACGAGATGCGAGAGCAGATGTTTTCATCAGCAATAACGGAGGTGGTTCAATGCCATTATCATCGCAATGCCGGCTGTTCGCGGTTCATCCCACGTTGGAGATGTACCATGCGACACCCAGCAGGCTCCGCCACGGTGCGCGAACATTGTCAAAATCTTTGATAAGATCCACGACTCCCGCTCGACTGGTCTAGAGCAATGGTGCAGACGAAATCCACGATACCATGGACGGGCAAAACTTCCTATGTATCCGCCGCCCGAGAAATGTGATGGGCACCAGCCGGTCAGCTGCGGCTATTTCGGCTGGCTGGTCTTCTGCGTCAGCCCCAAGAGCCCCGGAGCCCCTCGCGGGCTCCTCCTCGCCCCTCATGTCCCTTGGTGAGCCGTTCACGGGCGGAAGCTTATCAACGACTTGCTCATGTCCGATGTCTCGATTGACATTACGCCCTTGTCAACACCCGGTTGGGTGGGATGGCACAGCGGCTGGCGAAGGTAGGAAGTGGATGACGATATCTGATTGTGTGCATTCCTGATATACCGGTCGTCTACCTTTGTCTCGTGAACACTTTCACTATCTCAGGAACACTCGTCTTCAGTTATGGATCACTCGGTGCTGCGCGGTGTTCGCCTCTTGCCATCGACAGGTCTCTCACGGCCCATAGTCTTTTGTTTGTCGCCATCACCGCAAAGAACGCCCCTTTCGCAACGCTCCATCCTACTGTCCGCGAATGAAGAGTCCTACCACCTAAATCAGAGGCGGCATGCTCATTCGAAACGCCATGTCTCTACCACCTTCTCTCCGTCCGAGCCCCTTGTACCGGAACAAACAGCTGCCCAGAGACAGGAGTCCGCAATGTCGTGTTTACCACTATCGGCACTTCTACGATCGTACTTGATCACATCCATCTCCTCGGTTCCATTTCTCCTTCGTCCCTCCCTAAGCATTCTATCATTCCTCGCCCATGCCAAGTCGCCCCTCCTCAACCCAGATACAAGCCCGCTGCTCCGCCTCGCCCTTAAGACTACGTTCTACGCGCAGTTCTGTGCAGGCGAGACCCCTGCCGAGGTTCGCAATACGATCGCAGGTCTCAAGCACACCGGGTTTAAGGGCGTCATTCTTGGCCATGCGAGAGAAGTAGTCTTGACCAAGGCGGACGCCGAGGGACTCGACGCAGCGAAAGATTGTGAAGAGCAGGAGCGGTGCAATGCGGAAGAAATTGGCCGCTGGAGGGAAAACACAATTGCTACCATTGACTTGTCTCAGAAGGGTGATTTTGTTGCCCTCAAATTCACTGGTGCTGGCCGACAGGCTTTGCAGCACCTCAAAGCCAATGTCCCTTGCGCTCCCAAGTTTGAAGAGGCTGTCCACGAAATGTGCCAGCGAGCACAGGAGCGGGGCGTCAGCCTCCTGTTTGACGCCGAACAGGCTGCGCTGCAAGATGGCATTGATCGCTGGACGATGTATTTTTCCAAGATTTATAACAAGGGGAACAAAGCCTTGGTGTACGGTACCTACCAAGCCTACGCTAAGCGAACGCCCGGAGTTCTGGCCGATCACCTCGAGCTGGCTCGATCTGAGGGCTTTGTGCTCGGTGTGAAGCTCGTTCGCGGCGCCTACCTCGGAAGTGATCCCCGCGAGCTGTTCTGGCCTACCATCGAGGGTACGCACAAATGCTACAACGACTTGGCTGCGAGCTTGCTGAAGCGGCAATATGGAGAGATGCTCAAGCCTAGCAACACCAATCGTCCGGAGTTCCCAAAGATTGATGTCGTATTGGCCAGTCATAATTCGGAGTCAGTAAGAAAGGTGCGAGAGCTCCGGGACGAACAAGTTCGAAATGGCTCGGAGAAGGTTCGTCTAGCTTACGGTCAGCTCATGGGCATGGCCGACAACGTCAGCTGCGAGCTAGTTCAGGCCTCGAAAGAGGGTGCTGTCGCTGCCGACAAGGATACTCCCCGAGCGTACAAGGTAAGTCTTGAGCCCCCAAACCATTGACCGCCCCCCATTTCTCAGACACAACGCTGACTAAAATACAGTACTTGGTTTGGGGCAAAATGTCAGAGTGCATGAAGTATCTGTTGAGGCGGGCACAGGAAAACCGCGATGCCGTTAGCCGAACTGTGGAAGCCAGGCAAGCATTGGGAAAGGAGCTTGCCAGGCGGATGGGATTGGCCAAATGAGCCGTGTCTTGCTTTGATATGTCATTTTTGGCGGAGTCTTCCTGCACGGAGCCGTTGGCCTCATCTGAAGCGATACCACGTGGTTACTAGCAAGGAGTTCAGGCACCATATATTTGAATAAATTGATGGGATAGTTGTGATAGATAGAGCATGTAAATCATTGATCCACACCTGCCTGCTACAAGCTTATCCTTGGACTGGCGCTCTTCTGGGAAGCCACGCGTTGACACGACTTGAAAGCGTCTCTGCTGTACGTCCGCCTCGGACTGCTTTAACCGCACCACATGATCCATCGGCCCCGATACCAGCCTGATGTTCTTTCATCATCTCCTTGTCTGATAGTGTGTTTCCCGACATTGCAGTAATTCAGCAAACAGGTGAGCCGCACCTGGCCCTGAGAATCGACATTCGCCCTACTTCTTTGTTCGCGACAGAAGGCCAACACCCGCACAACATCTGCCTAGCAACCACGGGACCGTGACAAAAGCCGCGAGCAACACTCGCAGTCACCATGGCCACTCATCACTTCAATTCTCTGTCAGACACTTTCTCTTCCAACCATTCTGCTAGTTGCACACCTTCGGACTCGCCACCATCACTCATCTACAGTGACATTAGTGACGACTCAGAGGTACTTACTTGACACATCATGCCCATACTCATATTGCGCAAGCCTGCGGCTTCTAATAGTCACAAGGATACCATCACTCCAGCCATGGCTTCAACGTCTACCCAAGATCACGGTCAGCGCATTGATGCCAGTATGGTTGTCCAGCAGGTTCTAGGAAAGCTGGACCATGTCTGTGAGCATGTAAGTTATCTTCCCGTTTCATCAGGCATCAGAGCATGTTTGATCGCGTGTCAGCTGCGCAATCGAGGCGAAAACGATGCCGCCAATTCCATCGCGAAGAATACAATCGAAATTGTCGAGACCTTCAACCAAGTCACCGCTCCTTGGGATCTTCAGATGTTTCTGATGGCTCCTCCCTCACAGAGACCTCGTCCCGGCCTGGCCAATGCTGGCACTGCCACTCAGCCCCGTCCCGCCGTCGCCACTGCAGGAAGCTGGGCTTCGGTCGCCGCCAGCGCAGTCAAGAAGAACAAGAACGGGATCATCAAATACGCACCGTCCGATACAATCGTGAAGCGATATGTGGAGCCTGAAGCTACTCCTGAAGATATGCGCGTCGTTTGGGTTCAGGGCTGGAAGCCAGGTCGCCCTCTCGGACAGATCACTCAATATATCACACAGGGGCCTATCTGCTCCATGGCGTACTCATCTGACCACGAAGCCATTTGCATAATCTTCCAATTTGCGAGCTCTGCCCAGTCGCTGGTCGAATCAAGCGCCATGTACGAGGAGGAAACGGGCGAATGTCTCTTTGGTCACGGCTGCGGCGTGATTATGGGCCAGCCGTACCCAATGACAACTGACCTAAAGCGCATGGGCGCTCCTACCCACGAGAGACGTCGGCTCACCTTTGCTCGATCTCAGCTCTTTGCCCACGGAATGACTGAGACTCGGTTCCGCGACGACATCTATGACATGGTCGGCGAAGCTAATGTTGAACTGGTTTGGCTCTTTAACACGGGTAATGGTAAGCCTTCATGCATCTTCTTCCAGAATTCTGCTAAGTCTCAATAGCGACTGTGGTGTTCTCCTCATCCAAGATTGCGGCCATCGTCCGCGAGAGATTTCTGGAAAAGTCTAGACGGGCTGGTTCATACCAGAACGTTCATGTCAGCTTCTCTCACGATCCTTGTGAGAAGCCTATGAATCTCATCACGCAGCTTGACAGTCCATCGTCTGGTCGTTTCCGCAGCGACAGCGTCAGAAGTCAGGAGAATCATCCTGACGCCAATGGCAACGGGCTCTCCCGTTCCAACACCCGCAATGGGGGTGGTCTTAGCCGGCGCGAGTCGAGGCGCAGAGCTGCCAAGAAGGATGCCGACGGATGGCAGACTGTGACGCACAAGAAGTGAGTAGCGGTGCATAGAAGAGATAGCATCGCGATGGACGAGATTCCCACCCCATTCTCGTCCGTGTATCAACAACATGAGCAGGGGATGCTCTTCTAAGATGAACCCAGGCTTGTGGGAGGCGCTCCCCAGCAAAGTGTGGTACAGCTGAGTCGCAGCCGGCTCAGCACAACGATAGATACAGCTCTTCTCTTCAGTGAAAGATGCTGAATAATAAACAAGCTCATTATAGTCTGCAACTTCAAGTTGTTCGTGTCGTCGAGATTGAGCTTGACAGGCCCCACACTCCCCCCCTGTCGGTGCATTTCGCGGTACCTATCCCGCCCCAACCTTCACGGCTTGTCCTTTTCTCCGCCACGTCTTCCACGTCCATCAGCCCCAAGCATAACGCGTCCGGCGAAGGTCTCATCTAGTCCCATCGCCGCCGCGTCAAATTTCAATGCAACTCTCTAGCGCCTGCTTGACTTCTCCGCAACTCCAAACTACCTCTCACCAGCGAACCGAAGCAGCCCCACGAGCAGCCCTGCACGCCGCGCCCCCCAGTTCTCTTGGCGTTTCCAAGCGACACCACCTACGCTGTGCCTACCGCCCCGTTGCAGCACGCGATCCTCCCCACGGGGGCTCGGCGTTGGGTAGCTTCTGTTGATTTCCGGGTTTGAGACCCTGTCCGCTCCCCAAAACGGTGAGCAACGTGGTTCGTAAGTGGAGAACGCGAATGAAGCTCCCGGCACTGAGGGTGGGCGGTCAGTGGTGCGAGGTCAGCATGTGGTCAAGTACCGAGCTTTGTGGCGCGGAGGCAGATGTATGCCCGTTCGGTAACATAGTAAGGGTATCCGTATGAATAGGCGGGGGCGCGAACCCGGAATGGAGGTAGGTTGGTTCTTTGTTTAACGTCTCCTCTTTCGCTGGTGTGGTGAGATTCATCTTTCGATCCTGTGCCATTCTGTGGAAATCGGGCTTTAGCCAGCTTCCTCCGTCGATTCGCCCACTTGCAGCAGCGACCTCCGCACGCGATATCTCAAAGCTCACCATCGGCCGACAGCCGACGGCACAATGGCCGGCACGACCGCCCAGGACGCGCCGAACAGGCAGCCCTCCCTCTCCACCTCCATCGACAAGGAGAAGATCTCAATCGAGCAGCGCGAGCACGACACCGAAGCCACAGCCACCACGACCACCACCGCCGAAGACATCGCCTTCAAAAAGGCCGAGCGCAAAGTCGTGGCCAAACTCGACCTCTACGTCTGCCCCATTCTCATCCTTCTGCAACTCATCTCATTCCTCGACCGCGGCAATATCGGGTACGCAGCCACGCAGGGCATGATCGTCGACATCAACCTGCGCGGCACGCAGCTCAACACGGCCATCTCGCTCTTCTATCCGCTGTATATCCTTGCGGAGCCCCCGGCTGCCCTGATCGTGAAGAGATTGGGCTTCAATCGCGTGATCCCTACGGCGGCGCTGTGTTGGGGCATCGTGTGTTTGGGAAACGGGTTCGTGCAGAACTTTGCGGGGTTGGCGGTTTGTAGGATGTTGTTGGGGGCGTTTGAGGTGAGTGCTCTCTTGCTAGCTCTGATGCCAAGGTGGGCAAACGGATCAGGTGGAAGAGGTTGCTGACGGAAGTGCGTAGGGCTTTTTGTTTCCCAGCTTGACGCTCATGTTGGCGAACTGGTAAGTGCTTATGAAGCAGCAGATCAAGTGGCGCGGGGGAAGCTGACGAGGGTCGATTACAGGTATAAGCGCGAGGAGATTGGATTGCGCATCTCATATCTCTTCATTGCTGCCGCGATGGCGAGTGCATTTGGAGGGCTGATTGCCTTCGGTATCCTCTACATGGACGGCGTGGCGGGATATCCTGGCTGGCGATGGTACGTTGTCCTCCACCCAGCTTCCAGCTTCTTCGTGCTACCGCATCACTCTACATGGCGAAGGCGAAACCGTCTTCCTATCGAAACCACCGAAGCTGACCAAGGCGAATCCAGGCTCTACATCATTGAAGGATGTGCCACAGTTGCCATTGCAGCTGCTTGTAAGTCCACCCCTCTCTTTGTGAACAGCGGACCACCTCGACGGAGGGGACGCCTGTCCACGAGACAAGAGAGGCCAATTCTCTGCGTTCCTTCCTCACGACCAAACACCACCCACCCCTCGAGCATCTTCTCCGTCTAACAGATCGTTCCAGGCTACTTCGCAATCCCCTCCTCCTACACAACCGCGTGGTTCCTCACGGACGCCGAAAAGGCCATCATGCGCCGCCGCGCCGAGCTCACCGAGGCCTACTCGGGCGGCAACGGCCAGTACACACGCGCCGAATTCATGCTGGCGGTCCGCGACGTCAAGACCTGGCTGCACGGCGTCATCCAGGTTATGTGTCTGACGGTGCTGTACGGCTTCAGCGTTTTCCTCCCTATCATCCTGCGGTTCGGGTTCAACTACAGCGTCAAGCAGAGCCAGTACCTGTCGATTCCGGTCTTTGCGTGGGGCTCGCTCGTATATGGCATTGCGGGGTACTTGAGTGATCGCTTCAGTCGCCGGTTCTTGGTCTGTGTGCTCTGCGCGCCGGTCGGAGTCGTGGGCTATGCGGTGTTGCTGGGTGGTGAGGCGGTCAGTGTGGGTGTCAAGTACTTTGCGACCTTTCTCATTGCGAGCTGTGCTTGGATGTTGGGTGGTGGGAATTTGGCTTGGCTTAGTACGGTGAGTTGTGGTCCGATCTCAAGCAGGTGGGAGGCGTGGGTAGAGAAGGGACAGGCACTCGTGGTGAGCATAAGCTGACTGGAAAACTATCAGAACACGGCGCCGGACGGCAAGCGAGCAGCTAGCATTGGTATAGCGCTATCATTGGGCAACGTTGGAGGCATCATTTCTGGCCAGATCTGTAAGTCTCACCCGCAGCACCACCGCCTGAGAAGTAGTGCCCGGGCTCGGCTAACCACTCTCGACTCGACAGACCCTCAAACCATGGCTCCAGCGTACACACTCGGCCATGCATGGTCTCTTGGAGCCGTTTCGATCTGCTTCTGCCTCTGGTGGGTGCTGCGGCATATCTACTACAGGCGTGAGGAGGTGAAGGAGCAGATGCGTGCAGGTACCGTGCCCAGTCTGGAGCATTTTTCGGATCGGTCGCCCGATTACCACTACCAACACTAACGAGGTGAATGAGGCAAGGCTGGGCGATGATGCAAAGTCCGGGGTGGTATGGCGCGAGTCTGGACGTCTGGACGTCTGTTCTGGATCGCCCCCATATGTATTGAGGCGTCCACTCACCCGACTTTCTGCTGGGCAGTGTGTAAATGCAGATCAACGGCAGGCTACCAGTATCAGCAAGCGAGTGCACTGTCGTTAACCATCATCTTATGCCAAGGCTGTCCGCCCCGGCGTGGACCCGTAGCGGAAATGATGAGCGATCACGACATCTGCGCTTGTGCCTCTTTCTCCTTTCTGTTGCGACCTCACGCGATCTATTTCGTAAGGGTTTCTAGCTGATTGGAAGTCGTGCTTTGCCGAGATACGATCCTGCGATGCGTGGTGCAACCCAAGCTTTGATGCCGCCTGGCCAAGCTGATGTTGAAGGCGACCGGGCGGCACATGGCGAGTGCTATGATTATAGCTAATCCTTGGCTGTGCTGACTTAGCCCATTGTTTTGATATACCGCGAATACACCGATGCGAGGTTTATAGAGCCGGATTGCTCCTTGTCTGCCTGATCCCACACCTAGAGGAGGCCTGCTACTGTTCACTCTCAAGACATGGCCAGTACTACTGATCCCAAGGGCGCCATCTCGGGCGACGGCCACGCCGTGTTTGCTGACCACGACAGAGACAAGCAACCGAGCTTACTCTTGGACACGCCAGCGGATGGGAGTGTACAGGACGAGCTCACCTACCAGTTTGAGGACTCCCGCAAGCTCGGTATCACGTCGAGCGTCTTTGTTATCCTCAATAAGATGATTGGAACCGGAATATTCTCCACCCCCTCCGGAATCTTTGCTGCCACAGGTTCAGTAGGCGTGTCATTGTGTCTGTGGATTATTGGAGGAATCCTGACCTTTGCTGGTCTCAGTGCCTTCTTGGAGTTTGGTCTTGCCGTAAGCCTAAGAAAGACGCGTAAGAACAGCTGCTGATCCAGCCAGATTCCTCGCAGTGGTGGGGAGAAGAACTACCTCGAGCGAGCATACCGCCACCCAAAGCTGCTCGCTACTTGCGTGCTCATGTCGCAAATGATCCTTCTTGGATTCTCCTCAGGCAACTCATTGGCATTTGGTCGGTACTGCCTCTTCGCTTCGGGTTCTGAGGAAGCAGATGGTTGGACAGCGCGTGGCATTGCCGTCGCGTGCATCACGCTTTCCGTTGTTGTCCACGCAACCATTCCCAAATGGGGCATCAGACTGTTCAATGTTCTCGGCTTTTTCAAGGTCTTCATTCTACTTTTCATCGTTTTCTCGGGCTTCGCTGCCTTGGCAGGCCATAGGAAGGTGCCGAACCCACATAATTTCGATAATGCCTTCCGACTTGAGACAGGGCCAGGCTACGGCGGTGGCGGAGTGTATGCTTATGCAACCGCGTTGCTTCGCATCATCTACTCCTTTGTCAGTCCGCATGACCTTTCGTGGGGAGAGGAGCTGACCGTGTTTGCAGAAAGGCTGGGAGAACGCGAATTACGTTCTCGGCGAAGTCAAGAATCCTCGCAAGACACTCCTCGTCGCCGCTCCTCTCGCTATCGGCGGCACCACAATCCTTTACGTGCTCGCTAACGTTGCATATTTCTCTGCGATCTCGAAAGAAGATCTAGCAAGTTCAGAAGTCATTGTTGCAGGTCAGTAGACAGGGATCCCGGATCAGATTCGGGCGGGACTCACTCCTTCTCAGGTCTGTTCTTCCGTAACGTCTTTGGCGATTCGGCAGGAGCAAGAGCACTCCCAGCATTCGTAGCCTTGAGCAATCTGGGCAACGTGTTGGCGGTGTCGTTTGCTCATAGTCGCCTGAACCAGGAGTTCGCGAAGGAGGGTCTTCTGCCTTTTAGCCGGTAGGACATGACTATTCCGATACCCATAAGCCACACGGACCCCAATTTTGACGCTGTGCAGGTTCTGGGCATCCAACAAGCCATTCAATGCTCCGGCAACTGCGGTAGGTGGGTTGGGTTTTGGGCTGTATGAGTCACTGACGGAAACAAGCTGTTCCTGCACTGGCTGGTTACCATCATCATTCTCCTCGCGCCACCAGCCGGACCAGCGTACAACTTCATTGTGGACCTATACACCGTAAGTACCTCTTCCAAGACAACATCATAGCCTCGTTGGCCTTTGCTGACCTGATCACTCCAGTATCCTGGTGCCTGGATCAATGGCTTTGTCGCGGCCGGACTGCTCTACCTTCGCTTCAAACCTTCAGAAGGCTGGACGTCGCCATTCAAGTCATTCATTCCTGTCATCATTCTCTACCTACTCGCAAACGTTTTTCTCGCAATCGTCCCATTCATTCCTCCCGACTCTGGCGACCTCGACCCCGATGGGTACCCCTATTACGTCTTTCCGGTTGTTGGTGTGGCGGTGCTACTCGGTGGCGCCGTGTATTGGTTATTCTGGAAGAGGTTGTTGCCCAAGGTTTTGGGCTACAGGATTGAGACAGAGCATAGGATCTCCGACGTCGATGGGAGTGAGACGGTTCGATATATCAAGGTGTATACAAAGGAGGACAAGCAGCATTGAGCTGTTGGAGGTCTCGCGATTTCCTGGAGACAAGGTGATGGTGCACAAGGTTCCTACGCGACCACATCCTGTCAACAATGCTTTCGCAGGAGACTGCGGCTCAGGTCCTCAAGGTGCTCCTTCCCCGTGCGTTGCGTGTGCCTTCCCTTCGACGCGATCACTTGTCGATAACATTTCAGAGCCTTTGAGGCAAGAACAGCGACTGAGGAAGGTGCCTCCCACCTTTTGGCCGAAGTTTTCTACCTCGAATCTTCCGCCTCAATTCATCTTTCTTACTACCACACCACCACCACATTCTTTGCATTGCTCATCCAGCATAGGTTCGGCACTTCCATTCCTTTCACAGTTTGGCTGCTTGTTCACTCTTGACTTGTATCAACAGCATCCACTCTCTCCACGACATCGTCGTTGGCTGACGATCTGTGCTGGTCCTTGATTTCACTCTTGCACGCTTCAACAATACCTTTCTGTCACGATGAAGGCTGCAGGCCCCCTCTCTGGCATGCTCAGCGTACAGCCCGCCGCCGCTGATGCTCACGATCGTCATATGCCTGATCTTGCTGCTCGTCAGGTCGGCCCGGTCTGGGCGGCTGGTGGTAAATCAGCTTTGTATGTCCCGCCTCCGGACATCTTTCCCCGGCAACTCCTTCAGCCAATGCCCTACTCTGAAGCCATTGAGCCACGTGTTAGACAAGATGTTCGTGATGTCACCGACATCAAGATGACTTCAGATGCCGACCACACCGCACACACCGCACAGTTGCTTCTCGGCAATCCACCTCAGGTATGTCGCTTCACCTTGCTACGCCTTCCACTCTGATAATCCATAGCTGCAAAAACTCGTCATCGACACTGGCAGCAGTGAGACCTGGGTTCCCAGAAAGGATTCGCCCTACTGCTCGAGCTCGGGTTGTCCTGTGGGCAGCTACGACGACGGTGGCTCGAACACCTTCAAGATGCTTGCCGAAGGCAATTTCAGTGCTTCATACATGGACGGCTCGCTCGTCGCAGGGGACTACATCCAAGACAAGATGACTATTTCCGGACAGACGTTTGATGCCGTCTTCGGTCAGGTTCAGACCGGGAATCTTTCCAGCTCCTTTTATGGCGGGGTCCTTGGTCTCGGCCCCAGCAATGGGAACGGCTGGCAGCAGCCTGAGGACAATTCGCTCCTTGAGGCCATGAAAGCCAACAACCTGATCAAGAGGGCCGTGTACGGCATCACGTTACCGCAGCAGGATTCGCCTGACGACTACTCCTTCACCTTTGGTGGAATAGACACCGCCAAGTTCGTGGCACCTCTTCAGGGCTCGCCGTTTGCTTTTTCGGACTCCGTCTCAGCAAAGCTGGACCAGATCATTGCCTTTCGACCCGGCCCCTCGACGTTGAAGCTTGATGATGGCAATCTTCTTCTGTCTCAGTCTTTCAATGTTCTACTAGACACTGGCTCAACGTTCACTTGGCTTCCCAGGGATGTTCTGGACGCCATTGTTGCTACATACGGTGGCAAAGAGGAGAATGGCCAATACCTCGTTCCTTCCGAAGCAGCAACTGACAACAACATTCTCCGTTTCGAGCTCGGTAATGTTTCAATCGCTGTGCCCATGGCTGACTTTGTCGACATGAAGAACACTGTCCCCGAACGTGGACTCCGTCTTGCTGCCGTGAACACTCGCTGGGAGGATGAGCTGGCCCGCTCTGATGACGATGCCAGCGCCTGGTCTGACTCCAAGTCATGGTCAGATGTCGAATTCAAGGAACACACCTGGGATGACACCGACACTGAGGATGCGTACTCGAACGACAAGTCCCAGACTGGTACAGTTTGGTCTGATGCTTCGGACAAGGAAGACTCAGAGTCCAAGGATGCGGCTGCTGCCCCTCACGTCTGGGCTGATGCGATCGACAAGCAAGCAGGTTCAGATGACGAGTCGAAGTCCGCAGCACAACGGACTGATGCTCCAGAGAAAGACGAAGACACTTCCGAATCCGAGAGCAAATCCGACTCCGGTAACGTCTGGACAGATGCTGCCTACAAAGGTAACGACGATCCCGAGAGCAAGCGTGAGACTGGGCCCAGTGAGCCATGGTCCGACATTCCTGAGAACAATGAAGGGCCCCCACAAGAAGAACTTGAAGCAGCCGAGACATGGTCTGATGCTTCCGAGAAAGATAAGCCTGAGTCAGGTGAATCTTGGTCCGATGAGGCTGCAAAGGACATGCCCGAGTCGGACGAGTCCTGGTCCGATGAGACTGCGAAGGACGAGCCCAAGTCAGACGAGTCCTCGTCTGATGAGGCTAGGAAGGACAAGCCTGCAGCCGACAACTCATGGTCTGATGAGGCTGCAAAGGACAAGCCCGAAGCAGACGAGTCCTGGTCTGATGAGACTGCGAAGGACAAGCCTGAAGCAGATAAGTCTTGGTCTGAAGCCTCCGACAAGGGCGAGACTCCTTCAGCCGAAGTCTCCGATGGTAACGAAGTCTGGTCCGACAACACCTCCGAGCAGCCACCTGACAAGGAGGAGGATGATGATGATAAGCCATCATTTGACAAAGCCGACGACTCGGCCAACACTGCGCAGCCCTCAAACGACAAGGAGGATGACGTTAAGCCATCTTTCGACAAAGGGGACGAATCGACCAACACTGAGCAGCACCCTTACTCGAAACAGAACGGCCATCCCAAGGGTCAACCAACCCAGTCCAAAGGAAAAGACCACTCGTATCCAGAGGAGACTTCGTCCAAAAAGCCAGCCTTGCCACCGAAGACCAGCAAGGTTGCTGAGACTTCGTTTTTCCCCCAGTCGACTCATGCGCCTCAGCCTACCAAGGAGCCTGAGACGCGGACCAAAACGCAGACCGAAATGCGGACCCAAACGTGGACCCAAACGCGGACCGACTGGAAGACCAACACCCTGACCTGGAAGTACACCTTCACTCACAACCACACGTGGACCGCGTACCAGAACTGCACAGCGACAGGAACGGCCGGACCTTCCACTGGTACTTCCAGTCCCTGGACGCAACAGGGCCACGCGCAATTGGCTCACGCCAACGAGAAAATCTGGTATCCTCTGCTTGCTCGTGTGGCTGAGCGAGACAGCATTCTCGGCGCCAGTTTCCTCACCTCAGCTTACATGTTCGTGGATATCGAAGCTCGTCGTGTGTACCTAGGCCAAGCTGTTAACGGTGCTTCCCAAAGTGAAATAAGAAGCATTCCCTTCGCTGATTCTAAAGAAGAGCAGGGATTGTTTTACCCTCCCATCGACTATGGTGATTCTCGCAAGCTAGCACAGCAGCAGGTTGAGCAGTATATTGGGTCCGATGATGAACAGAAGGCTCTCCCAATGGGAATTGACTCGGATCTCATGTGGACCTCGACCCGGACGTCAGCAGCAACGACCCTCGACACCACGGAAGCCGTGGTTCTCTCTGGAACATCAGCTCTGTCAACGGAGACAGCATCTGCAGAACCGACCTCGACCGAGTCGGAACACAAGGGAAGCAATGCGACAAGATACGGTGCAGTCTTGTCATCAGCTCTGATGATTGTGGTGTCGGTGGCGATGTTTGTGGGATTGTGAGCATTCCGGCTTTTGGATGAGATGGTTTTGATTCATATTCTTCCGGAGTAGCGAGGCCTGTCAGCAGGATAGGCAGTATTCTTAACGCATTGTGCACAGTCTTCAGCTTCTGCTTGCCATGATCTCGCTGCTGCCTCTTTGTGAAGCATCTGCTTGCTACAGAGCCGCCTTTCACACAGAGTCCACTCTGACCATCCGTTCTCTGGTGTGCTGATGTTTTAACCCCGCCAGCTGATTGGAAACAACGCAGCACCAACACCACCGGCTTCCAGTCCTCTCTCTGTTGCGAGTAGATTGTATGCAGCACTGGCATTTGCTGTGTCCATGACATCCACGCGCATGCCCAGCTCGCTCATCAAGTAGTCCCTGGTGCTGGGGTGCAGCGGATGCAATTTATCTCCCGTGCCCAAAACCAACAAGTCCGGCCGCGGATACAGATGCGCGAGCAGCGACAACGCCTCCGGCGGCAACACCAGCATCCCTCTCTTGTCCCGCATACTGCCGTTGCCGTTACCACCACCAGCAGCGGCAGCAGCAGCAGCAGCAGCAGCTCCTCCCGTCACTCCCTTGGTCCCCGTCCCCGTCCTCGTCTCTGCGCTTTGACCAGTGCCAGTGGTAGTGGCGTTCCACGGCTCCCACGAAAACGCCTCCCCGCCCAGCAGCAGCAATCCACTCCCCGACGTGGTCTTCAGGCCGTTACTCAGGTGGAAGCCCTCGGGCGTGCAGGCGTCGACGGCGTTCGCGGGCTGCGGGGTCTGCGACGTGTTGAAAATGTCCATGGCCGAGAAGTCGGTCTGCGTGTCTTCGCTGCTTGTGGGGCCGCGGTCGCGCGTCGGGGAGGGGGCGTTGGGATTGCGGTCTTGGGGGGTGCGGCGGCGGGGTTGGTATTTTGTTGAAGTCTGTTGGTTTTGAGAGGGGAGGTGGGGGGTCGTGCTTATAGGGCGGTTGTGGGGGTGGAGGGTCGGGGGGGAAGAGAAGGTTTTGGGTGTGCTGATGGCGGAGAGGCATTTGGTGGTAGTGGTGGTGGTGGTGGAAGGCCGTTGGGGGAAGGCCAGCGAGCGTAGGGCGCGGAGCGCGGTGGCGGATGGGGCATGCGGTGGCATTGTTGGCGCGTGATGTACAGGCGAGAGGGAGCGGACTATGAGTCGAGGTTGGGGACCTGCGTAGAGAAGAGCGAGAGAGGATAGCGCTCGTTGCGATGATCTGAAGCTCCGGACGTCGTTGCGCGAGAGGAAGAGGAAGTCTTTCGCTGACACGGAGAGGCGACCTTAGAGGCGTACAATTGGGTCGCTTTGACGGCTGCTAAACGTTTCAGATACTTCTCAGTAGGAGGATGCTTTCGTGCAGTGTATCTGAGTGGTAGGGACTGCTCAAGCTAACCAGCGGCTTTGTACTTCACTATGACGTTTGGACGCGGAAATATATTTGTGGAGAATCTGTGCTCACCTTGGGATGAGCTAGTGTAGCCAAAGATGTCGTTGTGTAGAGTCTAGATATTCACTCGATAATATCGATGATCCTCAGTTCATTTCGTCAAGACTATGATATCAGGGTGTCAAGGTGGTAGTCAGAAGTAGATGGGTCAGCCCTGTGTCCGACAGGTATTCAATAGCATTTGTTGCTACCCTCTGCGCCCACAATGTAAGCCCTGATTATATCTGTGAAGCTGTCCTTTTCCACGACACATGCAGCCACGATGCTGGAGTACTCTATAACAACAATTTGAATCATGCTCGCTCGCTCGCTCTAGCTCTGAATGCTACAGATCCTTTTGCATCAGATCTCCAGGTCAGTGCATCATCCCACACCCACATTCCATCTCCTCTCTCTTTCGGTGCTTGAAATCGCCATGATAATCGTCCAGGACTTTGAGCTGTCCGTTCGGATTGACTGGTAGGCCCGGTGGTCCCATCCACGCATAGTCGCCCATCTCCTCACCGGGGAACAGTCTCTCCAGCGCGGCATCCGCGGTTTCGACTTCTGGAAAATCCAGGCCGGAACTGCCCGTCTTGACATGTTTGCTCTTTAGCTCACTTGTCACGGCATCGATGTCAACGTCTAGGTACTCGGCAATGAAGCGTCCTACTTCAATGTTCTCGTGGTTTCCAACGAGTTGACGTGCATGTTCCGGCGCTGAAGCGTAGATGTTGACGTCAACCCCACTATGTCCGTGTGTGGACCAGCCAACCTGCGCACGGCGCGAGATCATGTCAGCGAATAGGTAGCTAGGCGGCCATATAGGCTCCGCGTCGATGATGTCGGAGACTTCGCCAGACGAGAAGTCGACAATGCCCAAATCATCCTGGAGAATAGATTCGACGGCAACGCGCTTCTCGTCACGCGAGGCCGCAGTCGCCAAATCCGAGGACAAATAGTCGGCCCACTTGTGTGCAGCATATTCGGCCGAATGCGAGGCATTCGCCAGTACGCCAGGGAACCAGTAATAATGTGGATATTCCTTGTGGAGTTGGCGGGCGGTGGCAAGACCGCCAGTCTCGTGGTCGGATGTGCTCACTAGGATGCCAGGTGTGGGATCCTTCTCCAAAAAGTCGAGGACGGCGGAGAAGGCTTTGTCGTGCGCCAGAACTTCGTGAACCTGGGCAGCAGGATCATTGCCGTGGCCGGCGTGATCGATGCGAGAGCCTTCAATCATGATGAAAAAGCCCTTGTCGCTGTCCTTGGTGGCGGCAGAGAGGGCCTCTAGAGCGAACTCGGCCATCTCGGACTCGGAGGGGTAGACATCGGAGACGTGCTCACGGTCGATTTCATATGGAATATCGGTAGGGGCGAGGAGGCCGAGCAGGGGAAGCTTGACCTCGCCGGAGGAAGCGAGGGCATCAAATTCCTTGCGGCTGTCGAAGTAGTTGAATCCGTTCTTCTTGGCCATTGCAACGACATCCCTGGAGTCGCTGCGGCATGAGCCCTCGGTGGTATTGGGAAGAAAGTGGCAGCGGCCTCCACCGATCATGACATCAACCACGCGACCGAGGGGATAATGTCCGATCATCTGCTCGGCAATCAGGTCTTCGTACTCGCGGCGGTTGGCATGAGCGGCGAAGCAAGCGGGTGTTGCGTCTGTGAGACGGGTGGTTACTACTAGACCGGTCATATAGCCGGCCTTCTTTGCCGCTTCCAAAACGGTCCCGCAAGGAGTGTGATCTGGCAGAACTGAGATAGCGCCATTATAGCTCTTGAAGCCACACGAGAAGGCGGTGGCACCAGCGGCCGAGTCAGTAACCAGACTGCTCGAGCTGCGGGTTCGCGAAGTGCCAATGATGTGTTGGTCTAGTACCAAGACGTCGTCAATCGGTAGCCCGCTGGCATACTGGCGGTAACTCCTCGTCAAGGCTAGCGATGTCGGACCCATGCCGTCCGACACCATGAAGATCATGTTTCGTTTGCCAGAGGGTTTTCCATCTTCTCCCCACCCTCCGTTGTTGGGTTTACTGCCGACCTGTCTCTCATGTTGGAAGACGACTGCAAGCGCCACAACGGCTGCAGTCGCAAGTAAGGCCCATGTGAAGAGTCCGATTTCCCGCCATCTGTTCCGATTGTCTTCCGATCGGTTGGTGGGTTGGCCTGTGAGCAGAGCGTCCTCCTCGGCGAGGTCCTGGTTTGATGATTGGGGCGAAGTTGGCCGCGCCAGGAGGGGTTCCTGGCCTCCAGGCATGACAGTATGATATTGTTGAAGCACAGTCTAGCCGAATACCATCGTCATGCAGCAGGCTTCGTGTTGGTAGCAGTGAGGCTGATAGTGTGAAGTCGACAGGCGCAGGCGTCTGTGTCACTGCGACGGACCGGATCAGGGCATCAAGGCCATGCGCAGGTTGATGCATGCGCTAGGCAGTGTAGCCAATCGCGGCTGCTTCTCCGCACACGAGTGGTTCACCAATCCATTCCCAAGTAGCGGACCTGGGCTGGAAAAGCACTGACTTCACAACGTCGACGATAATGGAGGGTTTGCCTTCTTGACTACCTAGTACTTGCCCTGTTAGCGGGTCGATTAAGCCCAACGCCCACATCTGAGGTAGCGGCAGGTTGGATTAGGGTCCGCTTCCACCAGCTCATCAGCTACTTCGCAGCCTCACGCTCCAGCCTTATCGGAGCACAACAGTAACAAGTATAACGCTCGGTCGGCATAACAGCTCTGCCGGTTCCCGATCTATTGCGGGATCGAGTCTAAATCTCAGTCAGATTGATGAAGAGCGAACGGCCTGGGATTTCTGGAGCACTGCATGCACATGGCGTCGCGAAATTGCGCTATGGCGTGATGGCCAAGATAGCGAGCGCCACGAGGCGGCCAGGCGCTTCCTTTGGCTGAGTCCTTGTTGCCTACTTATCAGCCTTGTAGCCCAATAACGTGCCTGCAAATTCTCTTTTCAAACCTATCCATGAATCAACGGCCAAGTCAAAGACAAGTCAAGATTCCGCAGAGAAAGACTGCGAAAGTAAGAGCGCTCTTCTATTGGAATATAACCAGAGTATAGATACACGAATTGGTCGCAAAACTGGAAACCATGGCGCCCCGATGCCCCTCCAGCAGGCATGTAGTCTATAGCAGAACCCAACATCTATCTGATGTTCAGACACATAAGGCCTCCAGAAGGTTTCAACACGCTAACGCCGACACGTTGACCTAGAATAGGCCATAGGCCTTCGCGCCATAGTATCCCGCCGCAGCGCCGGTCGCCAGAATAGCAGCCCACGCCATCAGACCTCTCTGGACATTCTTCTTCATGAACTCCTCGATAGCCTGGGCATCGTTCATACGTGGGAAAGGTGTGTCTTTGGGCACGGGCACACCAAGCATGGCGCACAGAGGCTCCCAGCCATCTCGCACGTCGAAGAAGAAGAGTTTCTCTTTGGGCACTACCTTCTTGAGATGTGCGATATGGCGCTCATACATGGCGCGAGTTGGCCGTTGTGGCTCACCGGGCTTGAAATACAGGTGGCCCACCTGTCCCTCGTCCAGAACGTCGTGGTATCTGCGGAATCGCCGTAGCGTTGGTAGAGGAGCCAGGATCCAGGAAAGCAGCGTCAAGTTGCCCTTCTCGACAATGGGCGCAAGACTGGTCCACCACTTATCCGGGTCGCGCACGGTGCAGATGACTTTTGCGTCTGGGTATATCTCCATCAGCTCTTCCACCAAGCAGTTGGCTGGCAAGTCTGTGCAGCCAACAAATCCGTCCATCAGCTCTTTCACGTTCTCGAGAACGTACTTGCGATCTTGGTCGTTCTTTATGGGTGTGCGTTCGAAGGTGCGAATCCACTGGTTGATGTGTGATTCAGGCGAGGATAGCAGCTGAGTGCCTCCATGGTAGACGGGACCATCGAGTAGCAGGGAGAGGGCTGAGCCAAATGAGGTGGTGCCGGTTCTGCTGAGGCCGGCGCCGATGACCTGCAGCTTCTTGCCCTCTTGAGGCACGGAGGCGTGCTGGCCCATGGCGCTGTGTGAGGTATGGAGCAACGGGCTCACAGAGTCTGGTGTTGTGTTGTGGTGATTGAGAAGGTGAATAGACTTCAAAATTGAGCTCAAGTTGGCAAGGATCGACTGGAAGGTGGAATTAAAGGAGATATATGGTACGAAGAAGAAGTGGGTTGTGTGAACAGGAGAGGAATTACGCAACGATTGGGAAGGGAAGTCGTCTTATCAATACACCACAACACCGGTGTAGCGCCCACCATGTCGTACGCGAGAAGGAGAGGGGGGCAGGGGATCCGACACCTGGTGGATGGCTACAAGGTTCGTGCACCAGCCGGCGCAGGATCGTCAGGCGATTTTTTTTAGAGCCTGTGGCTTATGGCGGGAGTTTCCTGCCCCTAGCCTTGCGCGGGGGATGCTGACTCCAATCAATGAACGGCCTTTGGGCCCTGGTACGCTACGACGCTGTTGACCGAATTGGTAGCTTCCTGGCCGCTTCCACTTTCAGTAACGCTTGATACTGGGAAAGATCTCGCCAATCATCAATGGCGCTCGAGCACACTATACGCGTGAGATGAACGAGAGTCCAGGCCTGTTTCAACACGAAAGCCGAGGATGCTCCATCCTCTGCTGACCTGAGTGTCTCCAAGCCCACAAATCTGGTGTCCGTATGCGTAAGTTTTCCGACAGGAGCGCACGAATAACAGGGCAAGACGATCGTGTTACAGCAGGGTGGAGGCCGTCATCTGCGGACCTTGGCAGAGCGGTAGACGGCACGTTCAACTCTTTGCTGTCGTCAACGCGTCAGGTAGCCTCGGAACACTTCATAATCTCCACCTTCTGCTGCCTGCGTCTGTCATCTCAAGCCGGAAATCGGCATTGATCGATAGTTGGCTAATCTCAGAGATGCCAGCGTTGACCAAGAAGAACAGGCACCTAGCACTACGCCCCCATGGAAAAAGGCGTCGATCATCAGCAATTTGCGGTTTCACGACCTTTATGCTTCCCGTCATCATGCAGGATTTCCTTGGCCCCGGGGCTCTCCCGAGTAGCACGGAAATGAATGACGGCGTTCAACACTGCCTTGCTCGTCGACTAATGATGCGTTCAGTATGCACCCCGGAACCAAAAACAGTCCGCCGCCAAGCAAGACACAGGCGGAGGTCGGAATGCTGCAAGCATATGTACATATGCGGTGATTCATCAAGTGCAGCAGACCATTCACCTCTACATACATGCCTGCTCGAGCCTTGTCTACATACAAGCGATCGCTGGTGGTGGTGATTCCTTCGAGCGTGTCCCGGATTAAGCGAGACAAGGCATTTCGGCCCCGCCTAGCGATCGCAATTTGCCTCTTGCAGCCCCGAAAAAGGGGGCGGTTCTCGGGCATCCGACCAGGCCATCACCGATAACCGTCGCCGTGATACTCCATACAGGATTACAGTACAGTACTGCAACCCCCTGAGAATAGTGTGGTGGGGGAAGCACCGAACAAATCTAAACGACGCACAAGCGTTACCTTTCCAGCGCCGATTATTACTGCGCACAGTGTACAAGTGGCGCTCGCCCAGAGGCCGCCAGCCATATGGCTTGGTCGATGCTTGAACGAGTGGCCCTCCTGTATGATCACGGCCCCTTCTTGAAACGAAACTCTTTTTTAGGGGCACTAGTGGTGGGCTTTCGGTACGAACTACTAAGACATTCTACTCTCAACGGGACCAATGCTTTGGCGGCCTTAAACTGGTCAAGCTCGCTGTCGGCTGTTCTTGGGATCCCATCAATCAATCCTGCAGAAGATTCCAGTACTTTGCATGCGGCCCTAAGGTCCTACCCCGACTCTACCACTTGAGACCCCTGTTCTGGAGTTTGTCGAAGCACCACATATGTGCGACATTCGATTGCCGTGCCAGCAGATCTTTCACCTAGTTCGAAAAGGTCTTCCGTACCGAAAAGACGTGAACAATCGTCTATCTTACGCTTCGCTTCCATGGCGCGCCTTCGGTGTCCACTTGCTGCCTCCTCAGGCATCCAGCTAGATTGCTGTCTTATCAGCAGCCACTGACCGATAGTGCTGAGTGAAATCGTATTCGATGCTTGAATTTTTCTACACCCCAGTACATGTCAGTTCATCAATTAGCCGAATAGAGGTTTTGCCAGGGGTAGTTTCGCTCTGTAGCCGCCTTCACCTACCAGAAGGAAAGTCTTTGTCCCTGCCGCATCTCCTTCCAAGTCTTGGAAGATCTTCAGCAGCTTGTCGTTTTGCAGGACGTGGTCCGGATCGTTGTTGCGAACCCTATTGAAGTTTCGCTGCGATCGCTCGTCGATATACTTCAAATACTTTTCGCGCCGGATTTGGGCATACAAATCCAGGATCTCGTCGCCTGCTTGGCCTTTGTAGACCCCGATCAGACAATCCGCTAGGGCACCGGCATCTAGGACTGCAGCCATGCAGCCATAACCCCCTGGAACTGTTAGCATGCTCTCATAACTTGCATGCTGGCCTGGCCAACAAGAGCAGCGAGGTGGCTGATTTTCGCGGACGCACTATGCTTGCAAGGGAAGACGCAAACTTACCCCATGGATTGTTGACGTGGGCTGCATCACCAGCCAGGAGGATGCGACCGACACGCATCGACTCGACGCAGCGGTTGTGCGTACGGAAGTGATCCGTCTGGGTGATCTTGTACTGTCCAGGCTTGGGATGACCTGGCAGCATTTTCTCAAAGACCGTTGGCCGGCGCTGCTCGTATTCCTCGTCGGTGAGGCCATCGATGTCGCCGTAAGTTACCCGCCAGAGACCTCCCTTTCCACGTTTTGCGATCAAACCCCAATAGTTTGGGTCAACCATGTAGTTGCCGCCATCCCAGCCGTGCTTCTCGAAGCCATCGTACCACACCTGCATACATTAGAGGGTGTCGAGGAGCAGGAAAGAATCACTTACATTTTGGACCAGCAGGTGGCAGTCGAAAGTCACACCAGGCCAATGGCGGCCGTACAAGCAATGTCTAACCACACTCTTGCTACCATCGCAGCCGATCAGGTAATCTGCCTCGAAGCGAGTTGTCCCTGGTGTTCCATCAACCTTGACATCGACCCATGCGCGTTCATCATCCTGTCCTACAGCTACAACCTCATGCTTGAACTTGACCTCGACCCTTCCTTGCGTCTTTTCCACACAGTGACGATAAATGATCCGGACCAACAGATTCAACGGCAAAATAGTCATGCGATCCGGGTGGTCTTTGATAACCGACAAGTCGACGCCAGCCAATCGCTCATGAGTGCTGGTCTTCCGCCAGCAGATAGAAGGGAAATTCTCGATGGAAGCGTCGCGGATGTCGTCTATCAGACCAGCCTTCCGGAAGACACGAGTGGCGGGTACCCCATACTGAGTGGCGCGGAGTCGCTCGTCGAGACGGTCCCACGACTCAAGGACTGTTACGTGAATGCCTTGTTGCGCCAGGAGTAGTGCTGAGAGGAGTCCTGCAGGGCCGGCGCCGGCCACCACAACCTGTTTTGGTGAGCACAGGAGGAGGGAAACGGTGGTATTGCTGGGTTGCCAACCTTCTCAAACGGTGCTTTGTTGTCACTTGCAGCGGCCATGATGATTACCAAACAACCAGAGAGTGATACTTGGGCGGTACAGCAAGCAGTCTCACCGTGGGCTTATGTACCCAGCACCACCGCAGCAGAGTCTCATCGCGGGGTAATCACGAATCTAACAACGCGATTACTGGTGACGGCCGTCTGACAAGTTACAGGGTCGGTCTCTGGAAAGAGAGAGTGCTCGCGAACTAATATGCGATACAGACTTGGTCATCTCACTCACAACGAGGCACGGTAGGTTTACACTGCTGACATGATCTCCAACCCCTCGGCTGTAAGGTCTCTGCGCGTGCGGAGAGGACGACTATGTTGATTGGTCACGCGCCTGCGCTGTTCCTGTCGAGTCTCGTGAGCGTTGAGGAGACAAAGGGTGCTCTACAAGTACCAAGAATGGTTTTCTTGGTACATTTAAGGTAGGAATGCGGGAGCTGCAAAAGAGTAGATCTGACAAGGGTAAGCTGTTCATCTGCATCTTTTCTGCGGCAAGTAAGAGAATCTTGAGGTTTGTCTGACTGGCCACCACCATTCGGTCCTATGCTGTGCAGTCTTTTGAGACCTGTCTCGCAGCTCGGGTCTCATCCAGTAATGATGGATGGATGGTAAAGGCTTCGCAGCTACGCAGCAGTGGCGAGATTCCGCCAGCGGGCCCCTGACCAGATTTGGCGTGGCCCAATTAACGGGCAGCAAAGCGAGACAAGGACAGAGGCGCTTAACCGCAACAGGCGAAAGTGGAGTGGCAGTGGCCAATTCCAGCAGGCTTCTACGCGGCCAGCAAGCTGCTACCAGCGATCCAGCGCCCCAGTGCCTTGTTGAGCCCCCCGGCGCCGGCTTCACCACCATCTCAGATCCCATCTCCCTTTCAAAACCTCGTTGTCGTGCTACTTTTTGTTCTGTCCGCTCCCAACACACCACCACTCGCTACTAACCCCCTACCTTTCAGGTCACCTTCGTCCTTCGTTACATACACGCTTCTAGACCTTTGTAATTGTCCTCGGACACACGCCCCTGCGCCTGCATTCCAGAACCGCGGCGCAGTCACAGCACACCCGCACGTACCCTCGCACAAGGAAAGACGCCAATCGTTTGTCACCTTGCATCGCTTTCCACTTCAAGAGTTGTACAACATACACATCAAGCATCTATAATCTGCGCCTTCATCGTCCCCGCCACTGTACCAACTTTTTTGACACCGGCCGGTCACAATGGCCAATCTTATTTGGCGATCAGCCTTCCTTCTCTCGCTGGCCGTCTCGACCGCCTACGCCCAAGACGCCGACATCAAGTGCGGACCGGGCAACCTCTGCCCCGAGGATAAGCCCTGCTGCTCACGTATGCATTATTCCTGTTACCACACGCTGTTTGGCCACTAACATCAATTAGAATATGGCTCTTGCGGTGTTGGCGCCTACTGTCTCGGTGGCTGCGACCCCGTCAACTCCTTCAGCCTAGACGCCTGCGTACCTATGCCCATTTGCAAAGATTACAGCAAAAACAGCTTCAGCAATCTCGATGATTTCGTGAAGCAGGACGAATACCTCGGCGATCCTGGTGACGCCCCTTGGGTGTACTCTGGAGAGCCGGTTACCAACAACGGCGAATTGTGGCTCACCATGGCCGAGGGCACTTCTGGCACCTTGATCAAGAGCACGACTTTCATGTGGTACGGCAGAATAAAAGCCTCGATCCGCGCCTCTCCTGGCACCGGTGTTGTCACTGCCTTCATCGCCCTTGGCGATTCCAAGGACGAAATCGATTACGAGTGGATCGGTGTGCAGTCTTCTGCTACTCAGACCAACTTCTATTCCCAGGGCGTTACCAACTGTGAGTCAGCACTCTCTTCTCTTTCGGCTAGCTGCTAACACGCGACAGACAACAATGGCAAGAACCTTACCAACCAGCCCGATGTAACTGCCTCATTCCACGATTACGAGATTGACTGGACTCCCGATACCATCACCTGGACTATCGACGGCAAGGAAGTCCGTGTTCTCGAGCGCGAAGAAACTTGGAACGCTACCGCCGGTCGCTACTCATACCCGCAAACCCCTTGCCAAATCCAGCTGTCTCTCTGGCCTGCTGGTCTGTCTACCAATGCTGAAGGTACTATTGAGTGGGCTGGCGGTCTCGTCGACTGGAGCTCTCCAGACATGGTCAATGGCTATTACCATGCCGACTTCAAGAATCTGGAGACCGAATGCTACGATCCTCCCAAAGGCGCCAACGGCACTGGCAAGACGAGCTACGTCATCAACGACAAGGCTATGACCAACCTCAGCATTGCTTTGACCGATAAAGACACCGTTCTCGGCTCGTTCCAGGCAACTGGCTTGAACATGGATTTTGGCAAGGACGATAACAAGAAGAACACCACCGGCTCCATCCCTGGCCAGAGCGGCGGTGGGCCTAGCCAGGCCAACCATGGCGATGAGGATGGTGGTTCCTCCACAAACGATGACGGTAGCAGTGGTACCAGCCCGAGTGGTAGTGCCAGCACCGGCTTCGTGCAAGGCAATGGTGGACAAGACAACGGCGCCACGGCAACTGGTGCACCCGAGAAGGTTATGCAGGGCAGCCTGTTTGCTGCTCTCGTGGCTATTGTCGGTCTGTGCGTGTTGTGAGCCTCGAGTCCAAGGATGGCATGGTGCGTTTTGATGTTTTAGCATTGCGTTGCGAGGAGTGAGTTCCAACTGTCTGCATGTTGATAGTGTTTGGTGAGAAGGACTGGGCAGGAAAATCGTGCTTTTGGCGATCCGATGAAATGGTTTGGCTCGTGGTTGAGCTGGAACTAGAGCTTCGACGGCGGATAGGTGGTTACGATAGTAATGCCAAATATTCAATCTTTGACTCAGTACACGTCTGGTTCTCAGAGCAAGCCCTAGTACCCTCGTGAACGTCGTCGCTGTTTAGACTGGTGACGAGGTGGACAAATGAATGGACGGGCTGCCTCGAATTACCTCGGCGCCAAGGCCAGGCAACGCCTCTCCGTTACGGAACCTCGCATCGAAGTCACCTTACAACATGATATTGCTGTAGTTATAGCGAGGTATCGCAGCAATCTTCCCTTAGAATGGCGGGCTCGCCACCGCCTAGCACGTCACCCTGGAAACCCCTCCAAAGAAGCCGCAGACCCCAGCTCTCCCTCCCACCACTCCACCACAAGCTCATCACAACTACCGACAAGTCCGCCCGCCTGACCCTCCATGTCACAGACCTGACGACCCTCTACACCGCCACGCTCAGCCACTCCGCCATCACCGCCGAAGCCACGCGCAGCCACTCGCCCATCGACCCGGCCGAAAGCGCCAAGCAATTTACTGTGTTGCTCACCTACCTCTCCCAATCCCTCGCGGGACAGGGCAACACCCTCGCCCGCAGCGACGACGACGATGATGATGAAGAGACCGCCAATCTCGCCCTGCGCACTTCCATTGCGCTCCCCAAGCCCTTGCCCCCCCTAACATTCACGTTCCGGCTCACGCGCCAATCGCCTGCGGCGTTTTCGGGCATCGTGCTCCGGCCGGCGCTGCATGCGACGCAAGTTCTTAGGGGGAAGCTCCAGAAGTTGTTGGAGGTGGTGAGGGATAAGGATCATGTGATTGCGAGGTTGTTGGAGAGGGTGGGGAGTCAAGCGAGTGGGGATATGAGTTTGGTGTTTCCGACTTTGACGGGGAGGAAGGGGAGAGGGGGGGAGAAGGTTGGGGTGGAGGAGGCGGGGAGGTGGGTGCCTGGGTTGAGGGAGTTTGATGGGGAGGAGTGGGAGGGGGAAGAGGGGGAGGGGGATGGTGTTGATGGGTTGGTTTTGCAGGGTGCGGCGGAGGGGAATGTGGAGAGTGAGGATTGGGTTGGGAGGTTGCCTGGCTTGGAGGCCTTAGAGGACGGAGGCAAAGAGAAGGCGGGGTTGAGTAGGCAGGTGACGAAGGAGACGACGATGGCCCCGCAGATGGAGCAATCGGATGAGGATGCTACGGACAGTGAGGATGAGTTTGAGAGACAGCCCACGCCGCCGAGCGCAAGGAAAGGGGGTAGGACTACGGCGTCGCCTCAGGCAACGACGAAGGAGAAACGGCCCACAAAGTCTCCGGAAACGTCGTCAGACGACAGCGATGCGCCACCAGCTAAGAAACAGAAGACTTCGGCGGCGGATGGAAAACGAGGCACCAAACTGGGCGGTCTGGGACGCAACAAGACGGGAGCAAGTGTCACACCAGCGCAAGACTCTTCCTCCCCGGAACCCGAAGCACAGCACCGGCGACGTCAGCCGTCTACATCCCCCGCATCTGAAGGCAGGCGAGCCTCCAACGCTTCCACGGCTACAGCAACCGAAAGCGACGATGAGCCGCAACCGCTGTGGCCTACCACACGCTCCAACGCCAGAGATCAGCACCAGTCCAGCTTCCCACCCGCCTCCTCCCCGCCCGCGACGCGCGCAACATCCAAACCCCCGCGTCTCGGCGGCTTGAAGGGCAAGCCGAAGCCCAAACCTGCCGACTCGGCCACTTCCACACCTTCCCCCGAGCCAGTGTCGCCGGTCAAGAGGTCAGAGTCGGTGTCGACAACGCCCTTGGCAAGGAAAGGGAAGCTCGGACGCCTCGGCGTTGGGCGGAGAACGCGCACGCCATCCGTCGAGCCCGAAGCAACGCGGAATTCGCCGGCACAACCAGCTTCGGAGACGCCGACGCATAGGTTGGGCAAGTTGGGGATGCGCCGTAAGGGGATGGGACGGGGGGCGACGCCGGAGATGGAGACTGTCGAAGAGACTGAGGGTGGACATGGTAGTAGGCAGTCTTTATCCGAAGAAGAGGAGGATCTAGACCAGGGATCCACCGCGAATCAACGTCACAGCGCGCGTCAATCTGGCACGGCGGCGGCAGAGCTACATAGGGATACCCAGCATCGACCAATCACGGAGGAGGCGAAGAGTCAGCATAACGGCAGAAAGGGGCAAGACACAGAGCAGGAGGATGAGGTTTCCAGAGACAGAGAGCCTGAGACGGCCGAGCAGGCGGCGGCAAGGAGGCGGGCGGAGTTGAAGTCTACGGCGGCGAAGGCGCCGGCGAAGAAGAAGCGGCGCTTTTGAACGATGTGGTGGTGCTGGAAGCCACACCTGCTGTCTCGCTGAACTTAACACTCAATCTTTGGGCTCTCTCGTGCCTTGGTCGGGGGAGCGGGCTATGTTCGAATCGAAGTGGCAGCTATCTCCTGATCTTTGTACCGTTGATGGGATCTTGAAGCTGCGGCTGCAGCGACGGTGTCCACGATTGTCTTACCTGAATTACTCGATCGTGAGAGGCAACGAGTGGGACTTGACTTCCGATCTCGATCTGATTGTCTCTATCTGTATGCCTCTAGGCCTTTCTTCACCTTCACCTTCATCTCCAATCCGCCCACCCCATCCGGCTTGTATAAGGCAGGGCTGGAATTAGTCACACCGTACGAGGATTTGAGTGGTATTCCAGAGCAGGCAATCAATCAGCCAACGACAAGCCCCCTTCGCGTCGATATGGCAGGTTCTGGCGGGTGGTGGCCTGATGGAACGTCAATCGAGCGAAAAGACGGCGTCTGTGTACAGCCGGATGGCATACAGCGGGTCGTGGCCCGACATGACTCGACTCGATATGAAATCGCCGACATGAGAAGCGGCCAGGTGGCATGCTTGTAGTAAGACACATGCAGGCTCGCGTCTGCTGTATGTGTGCGGTCTGTGTCTGTCTATGCGTAGGGAACGCCTCATGAGGCAGCAAGTAGCGCATCATCAGTCATCACACCACATCTCCTATCTTATCGAGCCATAAACTGCGCATGTTAACTACACACAGACGCACAACGAACCAGCAGTGGCTGGCAAAGGCGAAAAGCCCTTGGTGATGATGACAGTGATTGTGATTGTGATTCGAAGTGTCCCGCGAGCGTCCCGTCACAGCACCCAACCCTGTACATGTATAAGCAACAGACATGTTGATTGCTGTCCCGCCCGAAGCCAGGCAACGACTGGCAGCTCGGATGGACCATGACTGGTCGCCCTGCTTGCTCCTCGAGCCACCACGGCCACGACACGCCACGGGTCGTACAGGGTCCTGCAAGCCACACCTTTACGATACGCAACTCGTTGTTTTGCCACATTTCGCCGCAAGTATCCGTACATGCTGTATGCAAGTATGCACATATCCCGGGATCCGGGTTTGGGGGTGCGGTTTTCTCTGTGTTCAGGCGTATTCCTTTCCGAAAAATGCCATTTGCCATATCCCAGTTTAGATAGGGGGAAACGGCCAGCAAGGGGGTGCGTGCACAGTCTTATCCGTGGATCCAGTCAAGACTGTCAGAAGCCGCCCCAAACCAACAGGTCCCCCCGCAAACGGAAAAGACAGACACACAGACAGGGTCTGCTGTGCCGGGTCGGTCAGACAGAGACGACAGACAGCACAGCGCATCCCGGCTACAATACATACGCACACCACCCAGTAAATACACGAAAGCTGAAAAGGGGCTTCTTCAAAGAACAAAACGATCTATATACAAACTGACCAAAGTCACCCCAGCAAAGAAACGTCTACCGAGTACGAAACCGAAAGTCTATGGGCTCGGACCGGGGGATATGCGGTGAGCGAGCAGCACACATCCACACCCTCGCGTCGAGGAATTTGGGACCGTGCTCCGAACGAAACGCCAATTAGGGGGGCCAAGATTACGGAGTACTTGTAGAGAAGCCGAAAGGTACGTATGTACTACTATGCTACTGTAGTGGTAGCAAGCGAGCGGACCGGATAGGCAAGGGGGACGCCGGCGCGCGCCGGGGCGGCGCGGCGAAGACTTGGGATTCGGATGTGGTTCCAGAGAGAACGGGTTTCGTTTTTACTACGTCAGACCTGGTTTCGAGGACTATCGGTGTGCGGAAGTCCGATATTCCTGGCTCGTTTGCAAAGTCCTGGGAGTGTGGGCTTAGGGAGTTATTAAGCGGAGCAAGGAAGAGTCCACGGCGGGAGGGAGGGCTCCGGGGGGGGTGGGAACCGTGAGGTCCAGACTCATCTACGACGTGCGAGTGTTGGTATAGCTGTTGATGGTTGCTTCTCTTGCAAAAGGTCGATACGAAGTTCAGCGGGAGGGGAAAGAAAGAAAGCCCGAAAGGTTTAGGCTATGTACACTTCCTCCTTCTCACCCCTCATTCCTCCCAGTCTGCAGAGCAGAGCTCGTTCCCCCCCTCCGATGCAAGGAGTTCGGATATATGCAATATGCAACATGTCATGCAATGCAGATGCGATGCGATGCAATTATACCAACCAAAAAAAGCTTCTTTTGCTTTCAATCATCGATCCAGAGCAGAACTCCTCTCCACCTCGAAGAATTAATCCCGCTCGTTGAAGCATCAACATCAACATGACGGTTGCTTTCGCCAATTTGGGTTTTGTAACAAATGCGGCTCGCGCGCCGGTATGCTCTTCTTCTTGCCTCCTTCGCTTTTCTCCACCGTCAAAGCACTTGCAGCGATGTGACCGCTCAAGCTTGCTGGCCGATTGCCAAAAGAATTAATCAGACCTCGGATGGCCGGCCGGCCTGGTCTCGTATGGCCAAAACAATCAATGATGACTCGCCAGAACGCCCATGAATGAAGACAAAAACAATGCATGCAGGATTGTCAGTAATGCTGACATCCACCCATCCGCCACATCAGATGTTGCCGTGAGGCACGTGAGGCTCTTTCCTCTCCTGGTCAGCCAGGCGCTGCTGTTGCACCCTTTCATTGCTCGTGTCTTTTTCGCGGCCGTGATCTTCGTCCATGGTTGCTCAAGCCCAGGGGTATATCCTCCGTGGTCCCACCATTACAGCCTCCTCCTGACCCCCCTTCCCAGGAATCCTTCAGGGGTGACCCGGTGGTCGCCCTCCCGACCATTTACTGCCCTCTTCTTGCTGACTGCTGTTGGAGGGCTCCTCCGCCGCGTTCCATACGCCTCGAGCGAGACTGCTTTGTGAGAAGTTGACTCGCTTGTGACCACGTCGTGAAGTGGCAGGCTTGCTGCGGTTCTTGGCCGCCTCGGCCTCGTCTTCGCTGACACTGGCACTGTCGGCTTCTGCATCTTCGATAGTCTTGCGCGCTCGGTTTTGTAGGATCTCCGCCTCCTCCTTGGCCTTTTGCGCCCGACTCTGCTTCCGCCACATGCTTGCGTATTTGCCATCGAGCGCTAATAGATCAGCGTGCGTGCCACGTTCGGCTACCGCTCCGTCCGACAGGACGATGATTTGGTCTGCACCGACAATCGTGCTTAGACGATGGGCAATGATGAGCATCGTCCTGCCCTCAGCAAGACGAGAGAACGAGGCTTGGATCTTCTCCTCCGTCTCCGTGTCGAGAGCGGCGGTGGCTTCATCCAGAAGTGTAATACGAGGATTCTTCAAGATAGTTCGAGCGATGGCCACACGCTGACGTTCACCTCCTGATAGTCGCACCCCTCGTTCACCGACTTTGGTCATGTAACCGTCTGGGAAGGCCATGATGCGGTCGTGGATGGAAGCTGCTCGGCAGGCATCGTAGATTTCCTCCTCTGTAGCGGTCTGATTCGCGTACCGTAGGTTGTACATGATGGATTCGTTGAACATGTTACAATCCTGAGGGACAACTCCAATGTATCGTCGTAACGAGTCGATCGTCATGTCCTGGACGCTGCGGTTGTCGATTCGAATCACACCAGAAGAGGGGTTGTAGTAGCGGTATAGCAAACGCATGACTGTTGACTTGCCGCCGCCGGATTCTCCAACCAAAGCTGTCGTAGTCCCGGCCGGACAGTGGAAGGACAGGTTCTTGAGGGCATCCCGACGATTGTCGTAGGAAAAGGTGACATTGCTGAAGGTCACATCGCCCGTACACGACTCCAAATCTTTCGCATCCTCGGCATCCGTAACGACTGGCTGCTCTTTGAACAACTCGAGCATTCTCTCGGCATTGATGAGATTGTTCTGGATGGTGCGGTAGAAAGTGCCGAAAAAGTTCAATGGTGCTTGCAATTGGGCCATGTAGGAGATGAGGACCACAAAAGCCCCAACCGTCTGAGTGCCCAGTGCGACCTGGTAGGCCTCGATGAAGCATGCACTCAACAGAGCGAACATGAACAAGGCACCTTGAACCGTGTTGAGGAACGCCAGCGTCACCTGGACCCATTTTTCGAAACCTTGCATAACCTTGATCGATAGTCTGTAGCGGTCAAACTCGTACTTCTCCGCGTTGAAGTACTTGACCGTGTCCCAAGAATGCAACGAATCGTTTTTGACCGCCTCCATTTCTCGATCTGCATTGACAAAGTCCCGGCGAAGCTTGACTCGCCAAGACGCAAGCCGAATAGTGACATAGATGTATGCAATGGTAGTGATGGAGACGACGAGGCCGAGATAAATGTCGAAACGGATGGTCAGATAGCCGACTGCCACAATCAAGTCAAAGATCATAGGCCCAACACTGAAGGTGACCAGTTCGAGGAAGCTATTGATGGCACTGCCTTTGTTCAGTGCCGAAATGAGCTCGCCCGTCCTTTTGCCGGTGTGGAACTCGGCACTAAGTCCGTGAACGTGCTCGAAGGCGGCGGTGGAGATGGCTCGGTAGGAATATTGCTCAACAGGAATCCACATGATCGTCCTAGCAGCCGAAAGGATGCCTTGAGAGCCCTGCAGCCACTTGAAGACAACGTACATGGCAATATATCTCCAGGGCGCTCGCACTCCATGGCCGTCGTCACCAGAAAGAGCATTCACAATGCGCCCAGTCATGATGGGGACGAAAAGATTGATGATTCGCTGGGAAACCATGATAAGAAAGCAAGCAGTGGCCAAAGCTTGCAGTTTGATGGACTTCTTGGGCCAAAGGTATGGGATCAGCACGACAAATCCCCTGAGGTACTGGTACCAGGTGACGCTGGGAGTCTCGGTTGGCTTGGCCCATGCATCGCCCTGCTCCTTAGGCTCGGTATGCGCGTTCTGGCCCGTGCCATAGGCATGGCCGTTGGGATGTCCATTCTCGCCCTCAGCTCCGCCATTAAGAAGAGGGGCTCGTTCGGATGAAGCTCCATCGGATGCAGAGGCGGTCTTGGTTGGTGAGATTTTGTAGATGATGAAAAAGATGGACATGCCAAGTAGCAACAGGATGCGAACGAAGTAGACAATAACTTCAATAACTTCCCAGCCAGTGATCTCTTCTCGGAACTGGCCGCCCTGTTGGTCGCCCACTTTGGGATCATGGTGCGGAGCTTTATATATCTGCAAGCTCGCCCCGAGAATTATCGAGTCCAGCGGTAATGAGACGAGCCAGACCAGCAGATGGACGCTAGTCGGGGCCGGGACGCAGTCGTGAAGACTGATCAAGACGATAGACCAAACGAAGGAGGATCCCACCACATAGACGATGGCGCTCTGGCCGGGCCACCATTGCAAGTGCCGGTCGACCAAGGCTTGAATGAGAATAAAGGCGGCATTGACGAGAAAGGTCAACAGGACGCCTGTTTGAAATATTCTGAAGACGATTTTGGCGGGATGGGAAAAATCCTTGACAGCCACAGCATGTTTGACCTGATTGGCTGATTTCCGACGTAGGGGCAAAGGACGACCTCCAGGCCCTCTCATGGCATGAATCTTGACCTGGCCGACATCCTCTGGGGGGGCGTTCACAATGCCATGCGTCACAAATCCCACAAGGAAGAGGACCAAGATGATGGCTGGGTACAGTGTCTTGGCCCAATTCAATATCCGCAGACTGGTCTCGAGAGGGAGCTCGGACGGTCGCGGAGCAGCGCCGTCCATGTTGACGAAGAAAACGACCAAGCGAGTGAAAGCCCCAGAAGGGGGAAGATGAAGTGAAGAAGGTCGACTCGTGGACGAAAGATCTGCAATTAAGGTGGTGTGGCGCAAGACGCGATGGTAAATCGAAGAAACTAACTCAGCTGACTAGAGGATGGCGAGTGGATGGCCCTGGTTGGACAGTCGGCTGATTACCGCAGCGGTTCAGATTCGGAGTCGCTCTTCGTCTCGGCAGAGGGCTCCGCAAAGGCAAGTATAGCGAAAAGAGGAGGGCAATAAAGATACAAACTCGATCAAAAGGTCTCGTGCATTGCGGCAAGGACAAGTCAGCTGTCCTCGAGTGACGACAAGCTCGCAGATGCCTGGAAGGCCAAAAGTCGGTCGAGGCAACAGGTGGCGACGGGGACAACGAGGAGGTGGTGATCTTGTGACAAAGTTTCTAAGGCAGGTCTACTCTGTTCTGGGAGCCGGGACGGACGGTGGAGACGACGATGGCAGTGTCAGTAGTGCCAGAACGGGCTGGGCCAGAAGGGCGGCTGAAGTGATCAAGAGGTATGTGCAGGGTGTAGCTGAAGTCCGCGGTGGATGGCGATTCAGGCGACACAGAGATGCTCACTGCCGATGGCGACCGGCAGGGTGGAGATGGACTGAGACAAAGTGGTCCTACCCAACTCTGTTTAATAAGACCAACAGAGTCTTCTTATATGCTGCCTCGACCGTCTAGTTATCGTCCAGTATACCGGGGGATCACTGGTGGCTTTCGCCTCTAACCGAGGGCTTGTGGCGTCCATTGGGAAGACTTCCAGCAACCCGACCACTCTCTGTTAACGGTCCTCGTCCCGTCAGGACATGCCACCTGTGCCTATGCATTTCCACTCTCCTTCACCGCCATGTCTACACAGTAAATAAGTAGCCCGACGATTGCTTTGACCCATCGAAGATGAAGCATAGTGCTGCTCGGCCTGTCTAGGCTGCATCGACCCGCATAGGGCCAATCGTGCCCCAAAGACCGGTCGGTAGGTGGGAACCCTGCCCCGGCGTAAGCGTTAGAATCCTAGTAAATTTGGGGGGGGTTCGGGGCGCAGATGCCGTGCCCAATGACTTCTCCGCACATCGTCGGCTTGCTGCAAGCTGCTGCACCACCATGCATCCGCGATCGCTTTAAATACCGCATCTTGAAAAGCAACATCCAGATCTGTTGCAGGTACCGGACGCTTACCATCAGCCGGCATCGCGCTACCATCCCAGCACTTGGGGCGCCTGCTTGCATGGCCATTTGATCACTTGAGCAGGACGCGCCACAGTCGCCCCCACAATCATCACCACCAAGTGCACAAACCATCATGTCACGGCCCTGACTCGTGCTTGATGAGAAGAGCAATGGAGCTGCGCGCGGTACATCAGCTCTGCTTAGAGTACCATGTCTGAGCCACCCTCCTTTTCCCAATTCCAGACTCTTCCTCCACCTCCACCTGCGCCGCCGCTGCCTCCCCCGCGTCTCGGCCCTCTACAACGCTTCATCGCGCCTCTCGGCCTATCCAAAGGCTCGCGGCCTGTCACCAATCGAGCCAGTAGCAGCACTGGAAACGCAGCTCGACCGGCCGCTCGTCGCTCCTCCGGTTCTCTTACCTCCACGTCCAGCGTCCAACATCGCACCGGGATCCCCATTGCTGCGATCGACATCAACAGAACCAAGACCCATGCTATTTTAGCCGGAAGAGACATTCTCAAGACCGTTCGCGTGCATGAAGGAAAGGCCACCGAGGATTTCAACCTCCGATCATCCATTGTATCATACGCGTCCACTCATGGCTCTCCCCAAGGCGATGCTGCCACGCGCAGAAGAGAATATCTGCCCGCAAGAGACGTCAAGTGGTCCACTGGGGAGCTCTACCCGCATATCGTGGCCACTGCCGCAATCAACGGGCGTATCTCGCTGTACGATGTAAATGCTGCAGGTTCGAGAATCGAACTGGCCTGGCTCCACGAGCACACCGGACAGGTCAACAAGATAGATATTGATCCATTCGCTGGGCGCTATCTACTGTCAGCCAGTCAGGACAAGTCAGTCAAGCTATGGGATATCCGTGATCCCAAGGCTACCAAATCTAAGTCGAAATTCGATGTCCGTACCGCCGTCCGTCACGTCTGTTGGTCGCCTACGGATGGCAACGATTTCGATTTCGCCGTTTGCGCAGACGGAGGCATGATTCAAAACTGGGATGCCCGAAACCCTCTGGGACCCAAGGTCAGCATACACGCTCACGAACGCGGTTGCTATTCTTTAGATTGGCATCCTGATGGTCGTCATGTCGTCAGCGGAGGCTTCGACAAGTACGTTCGAGTCTGGGACTTCAAGAGTGATTCTCGCCGCCAGAAGCCCGTCTATCAGTTTCGGGTGCCGCAGGCCGTGCGAAGTGTCAGCTGGCGACCTATCAGTGAAAACGAGCATCATGTGTGGCGCACCTCCCAGATAGCAACCACCTACCACGAAAGTGACCCTCGCATCCATGTCTGGGACTTGAAGCGCCCCTCTCTGCCATACGTGGAGCTCGCGGATCTCAATCAGCCTGCTAATGATTTCCTTTGGGCATCTAACAACCATATTTGGACGGCTGCTGATGATGGCGTCTTCAATCAATACGACGCATCTGCATTGCCACGTACGGACGAGACGTTACCACCGTCGGCCATTTCCTGGCTGCCGGGTGGGCAGAATGCCATGTTTCTGGAGGAACGCATCCCTCGCAACAACATACACTTTGATCCTTCGGCGTTTCTAAGTATTCCCAAGGACAAGCTTAGTAGTGGGGATGAGAGCGTCAAATTCAAAGATGCGGTGGTGGACGAGTTCGACTGGCCATCGATAAACACGTCATCTCGCTCAAGACAGGTTCGAGATCTATCTCAGAGATCCGATGTTTCGCGCGCGAGCTCACCATCGGAAAAGCGGCATATCCAGCAGCTTGACAAAACAGTCAATGCTGGATATTTGCTATTGCAGAACGATCAACTCGGAGCGATTGGGTCTGTCCCTAGCGCACCAGAAGACATGGAGGTTGCGAGTTTTCTTGCCAACAATTATGCTCCAATTGCGTCTGAAAGCCAACGACGGAAGGAGCCTGAGCTGGTTCTTTCGAGGCTGGAGACAAGCTTCATGAAGAATGCTGATGTTTGTGACGAAGTAGCACTGCATCGGTTGGCACAATCTTGGCGCATGATCGCAGCCGTTGTCATTCCAGAACTACAAGACTGGGTCGCCAACAATCGAGCGGCTCGCACGTACGAAGCCGAACAGCGCAAGACACGCCGCAAAGCCGAAAGTCCATCTTCCAAAATTGATGCAAGTCCTACATTCAGCAAGATGTCGGCACGTGACAGGTCGTCCAGACTCGATTCTAAGGATAGTAAGCTCATGAGCAATCTCTTTCGAGGCCTCAAGGACTTAGGGAAATCATCCGAACAAGACAGCTCTTCCAATATGACAACGCCAATGGCTCGGCCACTACCTGATTCGCCGAAGAGTACAACTCAGGATAAGCGTGCCGTGGGCTCGCCTACTCCGTTGAGCGTCATTGAAGATATCCCACCGCTGCCAGAATCCTTGCTAAATTCTCATGCTACTGCAGCAGCTGCTGCTTATGCGCTGAACGATGATGAAGCCGCACCACCAAGTTCTCTCACATCGCCGCGACGAAAAAAACATGACCAGCTCCAGCCCACAGCGTCCCATGGTAAAAGCTCCCTGTTATCAAGCAGTCAAGCTCTGGATCCATCAGAACCTGTTCCGCGCGCCTCTCCTTTCCTGCAGGCGCAAAGGCAAGAAGAGCGACGCGCTGCACTCCGTGACTATCGGGCCCAGGCACGGCCAATCTTTTCACTTGAAACGCAAGCTAAGGATCCCGATTATAGCCATGTCTCCAAACACGATTCTGCTGAAAGCTTCCCTATGTTCTCAGCATCGACGGGTAGCTCTCACAAGGCAAGGTCCATGGGTCTCTCTGCTAGCTCCCAGGAGCCAAACACGAGTAGACCTCAGCGACAGGATAGCTGGTTGTCCAGAGAAGACAGCACTGAATCTTCATCAGCATCCGCGTGGACGTCCGGGAGGGCCGGCCGAGACAGCTATGCTGAGCAGAGCGTGAGCATGCGCGAGTTTTCCTTTGGGGCGGATGCGCCACCTTTCAATATGGACGACACCCCTGAACTCGAGAAAGAGGACGACTTCCCATCAGATGCAGCCGATGTACAAGCACCCACAAGGGTGACATCACAAGATCCTGCTGTTTCGTCGTCTCCCGAGGTGTTCGAATTTGACCATGGCTCGTCACCAGCAAAGCCACGAATACATGCTCTGAACCCCATCATGAAACGAGCAACCGATAAGGACAAAGTAGCCGCGAGAGCGGTTTCGGTCTCGGTCAGGGAGCTGGAGGATGCCGAGATAGGGAAGGAGCAAATTATCTTTCAAGACCTAAGGCCCATCGACATGTCCACGTATCAGCCAAAGCTACCTTTCGCGTGGTCTTCGCTCCCTCTGCTCTGTCATTTGATTGCTTACGACATTGATAGTGGTGTGGCCTGTGCACAGTTTTCGGCTCATCTCTTGTTGCATCTGATGCCTTATTTCTTCACGGTGACATCGGGTTACGCGTCGACGTTGAAGCAAGCGCCGGAGAGTTTGGCCGAGCGTCTAATGCGGCCTGAGCTGGCGGAGAGGATAATTGAGAGTACTCTGCGCAAGCATTTGTCCTTTCTCCACCAGCTTCATCTTTTCGTACCTTTAGTGGCCTTGCGGAAGAGTTGCGTTGATCTGGGGCTGGAACGGGTGTCACCTTCCGGTGCTCAACAAACGACTGAACGCAGTGTCTCAAGCAACGATCCATTCGTCTTGGCAACAGCATGCAGCAGATGCGGAAGTGCCATGGCTGCTGGACAGAATGTCTGCGGCAGCTGTGCCCAATCACGCGCAACATGTGCTGTCTGTTTTGGTCTGCGTCCAAACAAGACCAGCGACACGGCTGCGTGGGTTGTTTGTCAGTCTTGCGGGCACGCCACGCACTTTGTATGTATGCAGCGGTGGCAGTCGCAGGCAGGTGCTGATGGGAACTGCCCGTCCGAGGGCTGCGGCTGTGACTGTACCCCGGGCAGATTGCGAAAGGCGCGTATTGAGAGGCAAGCAAAGGCCTACGACGAGAAGAAGCTCATCCGTGGGGCCGGTACGACTTCAGCGAAACGCGACTCTGTGCGAGCTTCGCATTCACCGGCTGTCGATCGGACGAGGGCCGTCATGAGAGCTGCCAGCGGAGAGCGCGCGGCGCAGAGCGGTGACGAGCGAGGCGGGCGAAGAGCCAGTGGCCGGTCGAGTATGGGCAACATTGTGAGCTCTTCACGCAAGAGCGTTCGCCTTGTCACTCCGGGCGAAGAGAGAAATCCCGCCGCCTGAGCAAGTTTGGGAGCACCAGTATTAGATTCGACTGGCAAGCGGCTGGCTCATGTCTGCAGCCCGTCACGGATTTCGCATCAATCTCTTCCAGAGGTTCGTCTTCGAGCCTTGGCGCAACATGCAGTGTTGTATATTGGACACAGGGATAGGATCGACGCCGCAGCTAATTTGAAGAATATCCATGTAGGAGACATTCAGGCACCCTGTACTTGTAAGGAGATTGCTGCCCGGCCCTGAGGCGTTCAATGCCCCAACAATCCGGCTACCGACCAGATGGCTACGGCAAGCAAGTACTTCTGGAATCCGGTGAGCTTCCACCAATAATACCTAACTGATCCCGGATGGCTCACTGGCGAGCCAAGCGGATGTCCAAAGTCGGCACCAGTGCAGTCCAAATGGTCTACGGAGCTACAGTGCTATACAAAGTAAAGCCCAGCGCTCGCGTAGCTAAGCTTAGCTGTCTAGTGCTTAGCTGCAGCTATGTCATGGTGCACGTTGTCGGCTGGGCTCCGGAGAAGAGGTACCTACTCCGTACTCCGTGCTTACACGAGAGCTCAAAGGCTAGAACATTGTTCTCAGAACGCATGGCCCAAAGATGCGGCGCTCATACGGACAATTCTCAGCTCTCCCACAAAGCTTGTGTTGCTGAAGGCCGTGGTGTTGAAGCCCCAGCCTCGTTCTCTCCGGGGAATGTGGGCTTCGGAGGAAGTGAAATCCACCAATCAACCGGGACGTCGCGGTGCCTGGAATAGCTAAGCGCTAGCCGTTCAAGGGAAGCGGCCCACTACGGCTGGGCGTCATCCTCCAGTCCCAGCTTCGTAAGGTCGAGGTCACTAATGCTGTGCCTGCGACATGAGCTGGCTGGTCGTTGACGTTGACACGCGCGCCGACTCCGTTGGACGTCAGCGCAGAGTTGTGCTAGGGCCGGAGTCCCGAACAATCCCGTCAATCTTCCGCTGGTAATTGGGTGGTGCCCGTTGGCGGGGAATCGGGTCTAGCGAGATTGGGTTAAAAGACCATGTGCTATTCTCCTGCGGGCAGAACGATACCTGTTGTCCAGGGCTGAGACTGGTGCTCAGGTGACGAGTACTTGGTACTATTGTTGGGCCGAGGGCACTCATAAGGACTCCGCCTTATATGGCGACTATAAAAGAGAGGAGGTACCACCTCGACCATGACCTCTCCGACCAAGTCTCTCGCTCCCAGTCAGTCGTTCTCGCAACAACAAGTTCCCCTATCTCTGCCACGTATACTCCTCACTCCTCGCCTACAACATGAAGGCCTCCATCGCAGCACTCACCAGCATCGTCGCACTCGCTTCCGCTGCTCCTCCAGGCTTCCCACCCAGACCATGGTGTGACCTCAGCGAAGACACCGCCGCCGCCCTCGTTGACGGCTGTATGTTTCCCCATGTCCCCTCTTCCCCATGACACCCTCCAAACTAACCCTTCTCCTCGCCAGTCGGCTCCCTCCTCACCACCTTCACCACCGACAACGCCAACAAATTCCTCCACGCTTCCAACTTCACCGACACCTCCTCCTCGATCAACTTCCTGACGGGCCAGCCCCTCGACGGCATCACCTTCCCCAACCGCGACGCCTTCATTGCCGGCCAGGGCGCCCAGCCCCCCATCGGCTTCGAGGTCTTGGGCATCGACGCCGTGGCCTGCAAGGCGCCTGGCGACGGCGTCGTGGCGTTCCGTTGGAAGGCCACGGTCGGGGGGAACCAAACTGGGGGTGCCAAGGGGATTAATGTCCTGTATGTGACCAAGGAGGGCGTGTTGGAGGGGCAGGGGGTCGAGGGGTGGGTTATTGAGAGTGTGTTTAGCGAGTTTAATAATGCGGTGTGGGTGCAGGAGTTTGGGGGGAGTTGTGAGGTGGCTGCGCCGCCGCCGGCGTCGTAGGTTGCTTGTGCAGGGTGAGGGTTGTCTGCATCGTGATGAATTGTATAGAAGTGTAGAATTGCGGAACACCATAAAGCGCTGTTAATGTGATCAGGAAAAGGCGAAACATTTGGCGGTATATTTCTTTCGGTTCAAGGTGTTCATCGTAGGCGGTGGGAAGGGTCTGATGCTCCTGCGGCAGATCCCCTATACTCGTTCCGGAGGCTCAAGCAGGGCTTTCCTTCTCGGCAGGGCTGAAACTTCCTCGAGGTAGATTTACCTGGTACGTACCAGCTGCCGGCTGCTGCCGCTGCCGCCGCCGCCGCCGCCGCACCTTGCTCGGTCCACGCACTACCAAGATCCAGCATCATTTAAAATTCCTTCACGGGACCAGAAACATGACCAAGCTGTACGGATACCCATGATAAAGCAAGGCGATTTTCGAGGTAGAAGACCTCAGGACTCGATGCGATTGGGCGGGGCGGAGTGGGCGGAGTTTGGGAAGCAGGGCAGATTCGTGCCGCTCCGCCACGATCGAACAGGGAGGGGCCGGCAGAAGAAAGCAAAAAGCAAAAAGCAAAAAGCAAAAAGATATCCGCTTACTTACTTCGTGCGTCTTCTCGATCGGTCAAGTTCCTTGTGGTATGGGAGCTGTGGTGCACATATATCACGTTACTACACCCAGGCTCGATGCTTTCAGGCTTTCAGGCTATCTTCTTCCCTTATTGTTCGACGCCTTCTCTCATACCCTCGATGTTCAACCCTGAAGCAGGCCGACGCGTTCATGATGGTCAACGGTGCATCCTCACCTTAGTCATGCCATTACGCTGCTGCACTGGCGATGCAGACGCAGAGCCTGTTGTCAACTGCCCACCCGACACCGCTCGTAGGCCTCAACCTTCATGAGCCCAGCCGCTCCTGCGACGGAATCTCACGAGCCAGACACCTGGCCCGCAGCAAGTATTAGCGGCCTCGATGGAGAGACTTTTGACGATCCCCGAGTGTTGAGAACAAGTGGGCCAGAGAATGCAGTGCGGCTATGCGCAAGAGTGATATTGGCAATGGAGTCGATGAGCGCGTTGTTCGTGATATTACGGTTGGTGCACTTTCTCCGCGGTGGCAGTTGACGATGGGAATCCGTGTCAAGAGGCTTCGACCCCAGGCCTGATGCCTGACCGTGAGACCTCCTCGGCTCTGAGGCAGGCGTCGATGCACGTCGCAAAGATGGCCACCGATCCTGCTGTCGCATTGTGGTCGAGTTTCCAGCGTTCAGTGCAGCTCCTGCTCTATGCTATGCAGAGTCTCGAGGATGCCGGTGACCCTCGCCACATGGCGTTGGCCGACTGTCGGCCTGGCCCGGCCACAGTACCGCCAAGACAGGAGGATCGTGGTGGAGGTTTTGAGGTTGGTGGCCTTAAACACCAAGTTCAAAGATTTACCGGTGGGATTCTCACTACCTGCCGCTTCAGGTAAATTATCAGGGTCACCACACTTTCCGCCAGCCATGCCCCGTCGGCATTGACTACTGAACCGAACTCTCTATCACGTTCTGTGCTAGCTGCCAGTGGGCTGAGAATCTGGCGCCTGTCGACGAGCACATTCTCGTGTGAAGTATCATGGTCGAGGATATTGTCGCCTGCCCCAGCTTGAGGCTTGTCAAGACTCAAGAGTGCACATAGGCCACCACTAAGATCTGAAACGCCCTGAAGCTAGGTCGACACCATGGCTGTCGCCAAGACGGGAAACACGAGGTCTAGAAATAGCCAAGGGCCTCATACAGTAATCTGTTTCCCGCTGCACCCTCCGCATTCTCAGCCGCACAGGTTCCCCGCCCCATCTGCCTCTCCTGGCAGCGTTGGGGACATCAATCCCGCCAGGAAAGATGCACTGTGCCGGTGAGTGCTCAATTGCCATTCTTCTCGTGGAGGCTTCAAATTTCCTTCTTCGGCGTGTGATCGGCGACGGGTTTATCGGGGCTAACCTGGGGTCTTTGATCTCAGCTTCTGAGGTAAGGTTCCCGCGACAAGGCTAGATCACGACCTGGTGGGCCTTCGTGTACACAAAAAGTCACGCCATCGTTAACGAAACCAATGAACCCCGACTATACTTCCCGCCTGGGAGGTAAACCCAATCAAATGCTCTGCTACGCAGAAGATTAGGGGCTGCTCGAATCCTGCAGGATGCGGCTCACCTAAGCTAAGCAAGCCTTCAACGGTAGCACGAACCAGGCCGGGGCCGCTCCAGAGATGACTGGGCTGTTAACTCCAATCACAAGAACCAGCTTTGAGACCTATCTGCGGGTTTGATCTTCGTCCTTAGATAATCAAAGCCAGCCTTCGCTCACTTTAGCCCATGGGGCCAGAACCTACACGATCTGGCTCGCTCTCACGACACTCTCAAAACCTGGCCCCGATCCTTGGGAAGGCGAGGACTCTGTCGTTCCTTGCCCCCCGTCTGACTAAATACTTTCAACGCCGTCAAGGCCGAGCCTTCTACTATGTCTTATTTCCCGCTCAACCAGCCTGACGGCACCAAGTCGAACGCGTGGAACGGCAGCGAACCGGCCGAGTTCTCTAACACCATCGATGGTTCAACGCCGAATAAGGCTCTCATGCAGGACACCGTCTACGGGGGCTATACGCCTTCGGACAACTCTGATCCGGTGCAGGGAAACCCTCCTGCTCAGAAGCAGAGGGCTTGGAGTAGGCGTCTCTACCATCTACCCGCGCCATAGTACTAACAGTAGTGCAGGTTCTATGTTCTCCAGGACCAATTCTGGCTTCAGCATCACTACTCCCAAGATCTCATCACCGGCATGGCAACACAAACTGAACGAGAAGCACCGCGGGAGAACGCCGTCCGACAAGGATACGATCCGTTATTTCGATCGCTCGCGCCAAACACGTCGGGTCTTTATCGACTGCCTGTGCATGTGGCTCGTCACCGCGGTCATCTGTGGTGGTCTAGCCGGAACCATTGCCGGGTTCTCCTCCATCGACATCATCACGCAGAAACAGAAATACGCGTACAACGCCCTTGTCACTGCCCTATCCATTCTACTTGGTCTGGCTTTTGCCGCTCAATTCAAGCAGTACTGTGAGATGATGAGATGGCGCTTCCTCGCCTCGTCTTATCGCACCATCAACGATTTTGAGGAGGTACTTGGCTGCGACTCATGGCGATCTACATTTCGCCTCATCTTCAAGGGCTGGAGAAAAGGCAACTTCTACCCTGCCAAGTCACAGATACTGGCACTCATTTGGCTGTGCATTTTCATCTTGTTCAACGTTCTGACCGCTCTGATTGGTCTTACCTACTCCATCGATGTGTCCGACAATTGGGTGTGGCTGGAAGCCGGAAACGTAAGTGTGCTCGATCTGTCGTACATTTCCCAAATGCCACAAGCGGATCCAGCCAACTACGCCGTGCAATGGCAAGAGATGGCAGCAAATCTCTACGGACAGCTTGGCCAGACTTTCCAGTTAAAAGAGTCAGACCCATCCTTTGATGATGGTTACGATGACAAGATCATCTTCACGTCCCACGATGCGAATTTCACAGAATTCTGGTATCGATTCATCGATGCATCACCGACATCCGATAAGCTGATGGCCACCTCCAACCGGACTGTATCATCGACTGCCACGTGTGAGGAATGGCGGATCACAGCTGGTGGCAATGCGGGATTTTCTCCCGAGGATCCGAACGATCCTTATGCTGTCTATTTCAATGACAGCATGGGCAATGCGCACTACCAGCAGATCATGGATGTATCTGCAGGTCTCACCACATGGATGACCAACATTACCGGGATCGGTCACTGCGGCCCGCGGTGTGCGAAGGTGCTAGCACTACAAAGTGGCAACAACATCACAGAAGAGGAGGCAGCTGCAGATGACGTGCCTTACGTCCCCACGCCTCGACTGTGGGCGTGCAACAACACCATCAGTCAGGTAACCGGCTACAACGAGTCTGGGTTCGATGACCCAGACCTTCTCATGCTGCCCGACGCCCAAGCCTTGCTGATCGGTGGAGCCATCGGCTTTTCGGGTATCAACACGGAGAACGACGATCTGCAGTACCAGATCATCAACGGCGACCCGGAAAACTTCTTCAACATGCCCGGAAACTTCACGGCGCATGGGGTCGCCATGTCACTGATGCGCTTCTCCATGAACACCGTCGCGGCCATGGATCGGCGCGGCGCTCCGCGTCTGAACACCACGGGGCCCACCGAGCCCAAGCAGGCGCAAACCATCAACGTGAAGTGGTGGGGTGCGGGAGCCATCCTGGCCGGCGTCCCCTTCGTGCAGTTCCTCATGCTGCTCGGCGTCGTGTGGTTCAGCGGCAAAGCCATCATTCTCGAGCCCGGCTACCTCTCCGCCGCACATCTGCTGTATCCGATCATGCAAAAGGTCGGCCCGGACGGGATATTGATGACTGCGGACGAGATGGCCGAGAAGCTGGGCCCGGACGTCAAGATCGCGTACGGCGTGCGGCCCGACGCCAACGATCCGGGACACCATGAAGTGGATTTCGTGAGGGATCTGGATTGTGTGGAGGAGAGTGAGGGGTTTGGCTATATCCGTGGGAAGATGCCGGAAGGGCGGTACGACTGATGTAGTCATTCGTCTATCGAGTGGAGATGGTAGACAGGCGTTTAGAGGATGACTGTGTGGGCGGTGATTATAAAAAGACTGACTTTTTAGCGATGGTGACTCTAGCGATCCTCTGGGGGGTTTTACTACTTCTCAGGCTTATGCTCAGGCTTTGGGCTCAAGAACAGTGTTGAAATGATGTTATGAAGAAGTCTACTGTCTGATACATGCAACCTGCAACATGCAACGCGTCTTGGTAGTAACTAGCAGTGTCTCCTCCGAGAAACACAGGACACGTTTTTGTGACGGACGGACTAGTCGGTGCTGTGAGATCGCTACAACCATACTGATGCAATGTGGCGTTACCCAGAAAACGAGTCGTAGGCAGTCAAACGCGAGTGAGTACGTCGGTTGCCCGCTTACCACACGCACACCCACATTCTCTTCAGCCCCTCCAAAAAATATTCCCACAAGTCACCAAAAAAGGCAAAAAGAACAGAGGAATGTGCTCTCATAATCAGGAGGTCTTTGCGACTCATGTACCTTTTTACAAGTACAAACTCCCGACTGAGAGATCTTGGACCTTGGCTTGCTATGGCATCTTTCCTATTTTGTTTTTGAAGCATTCCTCCCCGAAAACTACCTTATTGTAAGTAAGGCGTAGAAGTTTTCAGTGACAACGACTCCGACCCCAGGACTTAGCGGTTTTCTCCTGCCTGGTTTTGTGGGTTTGTAGGTCTGTGCGATTGTTGGGAGGGATTTCTGATTTTGTGATATTGATGTGGGTTGCTAGGCAGATGATGGAAGGCTGGGGAGGAGGGGTGCTGCGTGTGACTACTGCGACGGGGGTGGTCGTGATAAGGCGGCGAGGCTGTGGGAATGGAGCCTTGCTGCCTTGCAGGAGCTTGGCTTTTGCGCAGTTTAGCTTTCGACGCACTGATGTTTCCGTTCGCTCTCGTACTTCAGCCGTCTTTGGTGGTGCCTTTCGACATCATAAGAGCTCCTTCAGATGCAATTGATTTCTTCTTAGTCCTCACTTCTCCACATGGCGTCCTTCCTCACCCTCCCGGCCGAAGTCCGAGAGGTCATCTACCATCTAGTCTTCGAAGACTCAGAAGTGTCTGTCCAGCGAGCCTCCGCATCCAATGAGCTATCTCAGCAGCGCTCAGTTGATGACCTTGCCGGCCAAGTTCACTATCGTTACCCGACCCTCAAGAATCGAAACCTGGTCGTTAGCCACAACAATTGCCCTGCTCTATGCCTTACTTGTAGTTGCTGCTACCATGAAGGCTACAACATATTTCTCGAAAGTATGACTATTGGGTTGAGCGGCTCCTACTGCATGCGGCGGCTCATAAAGTCAGCACCCATGGCGTGGAAGAAGTTCGTGACGAAGATCAGAATTGCAGGCATTGCTGAGGCCGTACTTAACCCTACGTACCGGCTCCTGGAAGCGGCACCCAGAGTCAAAGAGCTCATGTTCTGGTCGGATGCCAGAGACTCGCTAACTTTGGAATGTACTTTGTCTGCACTCAAGCAAGCTTCTGCCGTGAGCGTTGCTCAGCATCTACTGGACGACTTCTGTCGGGATATGGCACCTTGCCTGCATGAAATGATGGGACCCGTATACGCCAAATTTCCCAACGTCGACATCAAGATCTCCGGATGCGTGTCAATCGAGCCACTTGGCGATGTCAGTTATAAGGATGCAGATCCGCTCCAAGTCTATGTGAGAATGTACATGATTCGAGTTTCGCGCGCTAACCACGCTTTCAGGATGCTACACTAAGCTTCAGGACGGGAATCATTACCTTTCAGGGTCTTCTCGACGAGAATGAGACTGACAGTGATGTTTGGGCTATCAAGGCGAAGGCTGTGGGAATGCAGGGCTTACGGCTGGCACTGCATCTAGAATATGAAGTGTGATCAGACTTCAACCGCCGTGAAAGGCGAAATTGAGGAGGTCTGAGTATTTCCTACGATGGATAGTTTCCAGAATGCGGAGACCTGACAGGTTCACCGACGACAATCGTCCACCCACTCTATCTCTTCAGTTTTGTCTCCTTTGCGGCGGGAATCAGCGGTGGTCATACACCATTAGGTGAGCACAACTTTTTAGAAGATGATACTTCAAAACAATGCTGACAAGGAGTAGTCTTCGACCTCACTTTTGCTTCTGGCCAGTGCGTGAGACGCCGAAGGGGGAGCTACGACTGGGACGCATGCTGTATGAGTCGGCTGACCACTACATAAGCGACGTGGGAATAATTAGAAGTCGGAGAGAAGGGCGTGGGCAAAAGTACACAAATGCCAGCTGGTGGATGCCACAGAACGATGAGGCCTGTCTGAGGCTACGGCAAGCGGTACCGGGCTCTGAGATAATGGGTTCTTATTTGGACGTCGCGTGTGAAGGCATCGCTTCATCTGCTACTTCATCGATAACGTCTCGAAGAGCTTTCACCGAGATAGAGGTGTTGGTCAGCATTTCGGTCAAGCCAGGCTCGACACTTCAGGATGGCTCTGCCGCAGAGCTGATAGAGGCCCCAGTCAAAATTCATGCCAAATCACCAACCTGACTTTCAGGATGTCTAGGTATCATGCATCCCCGTCTTTGACTCCGCGAACTCCTGGAGAAGCTGTATCCACGTTGGCATGTAACGCCTTTCCTCTAATTTACTACTCTTTGTCGAGCTGCTGACCAAGTTACCAATCCTGTCTTTTGAGCGGTCGAGTCCCCCGAGACCCCTTTGGGTCCAATGCCTCTTGATTCTCGGCTACGTCTGGCGGTTTACATGCGACTGCTGTATCCTCCAGGGACATTTCGATTCTGCTGACCATCTACTCCCGAGAACGGCGAGTCCAGAATCACGCCGGATTTTCTGGGTCACTGACCTTGACGATAGAGCCAGGGACGAAGAGCTCATCGGCTACGCACGTGACCATCAGTTCTTCCCACCCACTTCTGTGGCCATCTGGCTTCTAACAAAGGCTGTAGAGGCCCGATTTGAGCTCCAAGCCCGCGCAGGTCACCCCCAGCAACAATGAAGTGATGTGTGGCAGGCTAGCGTGTGTTGGCAACCAGAACTCCCACAAGGATGGCAAGAGGTGGTGGTGCCTTGACAAGCAGGCTTTCGACCTGCGAGGCTATACATTCCGCCCCTCCATGTGGAGCTTCGAGGATGCAGTCAAGCATATTCCAGGCCAATGGTGCTGTTGATGATAGAAGCTGGACATCGCAGACATACGGGTTCCACGCGAGATATGACACCAGAGCGGAGACCTTGTCAGCAGGAGGCGTAACACATCAGAATCGGAAGAAGCGTATGCGGATGGTCACATTAGAATCTATTCGACTTTGCGACATTTGTTCATCGATGACTCGATCGCTTGTCAAAGCTTTATGAGCTCAGTGTGCTCACCCTTGCTAGTTGTACACACTATGAACGTCAGACGCCTCGCTAACTTGGTTTCCTCGAAACTGAATTTCGCGTCAGGAGGCCGTAACACCATGATCATCTCGAGATGACTTCTTCGTCATCGGATTATCACGCAAGGGACACATTGCTGGCCGCCCTTTTACTCACAGGAAGGTCACCGATGCACAGCCACCATTCAACGCTTCCGCTGCAACCAGTCTCCTAGAAAGGCACTAGCACACAGCAGCAACTCTCGCCGTATCGGCGTATGAGAAGGGCACCCACTCTTGGAGAGCCGCCTCGGTCTCTCAACAGCTCAAACTTCTCATATGCTCTGATAGCCTTAGAGCTCTGGCCCTTAGCGAAGAACACGACCTTCACCCAAAGGTCTTCAGCATCTTCGGTGGCGGGAACGGCAGGACGGACTCCTCTGACCACCAATTCCTTCTGGTCAACGATGTACTCGTGCAACATGTCGGCGTTAGCGCGGTACCAGCCTTCGGTGACCTTGCCGTCACGCCAGATCAAGAAGATGACCTCACAGTTGGCGAGGGAGGAGTTGTCGGTGGCGATGAGGGCGGAAGCAATGACCTTTTTGATGCCGGTACTCTTGTCATCAGTGACGACGATATTGATATTGTCGAAGTAGGAGAACGGGTTCTCATCTGGCGAGGACTGGTCTTGATGGTCGATGAGGTAGGCTTCGGCGGTTGAGAGGCCAACCGATGGGGGCACCGGCACTGGCGCTGGCACGGGGGGGCAAAGTGGTATTCTTTGCACGTCTCTTGGCAGGAGGCTGGACACCGTTGACGCCAGCTTCGGCAGTAGTACGCTTCGATCATTTCTTGCTTGTAGTGCTGCCTGCATTGCCGACAGTCGTCTTCTCGGCTCTTCTGACGATGGCCTCGCCACGAGCGGCACTCCCTTGGCTGCTAGAAGATGGTGCAAGCCGAGAATCATTGTGCTCCAGTTGCTCGATGTAGTCGCTGGCCAGATCAAGATTGTCATTCGCGATGTCCAAGTCCTGACGAAGCTGCTCAGTATACTCATTGGCTATGTCCAGGTCTCGACGCAGCTGGTCGATACTGTCGTTGGCAGCGTCGAGGTTTTCCCGAGTCTGTCTGTACTCGTCAGACTTCTCGATGTACGTTTTCGACAGCTCCTCAAAGTGGCCACCAAGAGTCTCGCTAACTTTGACCACTTTCTTCAATGCACGCAAGAATGGCTCCCGTGGCTCTTTCTGGGGTTCATCTGCAGGGATGCCGGCAGCGTCTTGGTTATTAGCGTCATCGGCGCTGGGAGAGCGGCGCGTGGTTCTAGCGAGCGCTTCTCGTTCGAGACGAGCACTCTCGCGAGTAGTTCGCGGCAGGATAGGCGGGATCGAAGACATTTTGATAGCAGTAGGTGTCTGAAAAGAGGACCGACTGTTTCTGGCCTATTAAACAGACTTAGTAATGGCCGATTGGATAAGGTTGAGCACTCGGACAAGAAGTTGGAATCCGGAAGACAATGTGGGCGAGTACTCTGTTGTGATGCCAAGAAGGTAGCTAAAGGCAGGAGTGACAGCAAACGGACAAAGGAGTACTTGTCACTGTCGCGCCTGTCGTGACATTCGAGGCACTATCGAGGCACTTCATAGAAGACAACGGCTTGGCATGTTTGCTTGATGTTTGTACCACTTTCTGAAAACTACAAATTCCTTGCGGAGTCGCAGCATTTCTATGCTCCCACTCACTACGCCGCACCATCTTGTGTGAGTCGCCAGAGTTGTCGAGACACAGACATGTTGAACCGGCCGAAGTCCGAGACCCGACCTACCCCGTATGAGCATTGATCGTCTTCGGACCAGTATATGTCTTAGGGCAGGGTTCCAGTTCTGCTCCGGCAGGATTGCTGCTCTTGGTGCTGCCGTACACAGTTCCCAGAGTCCAGCGATGATGAAAGGGGTCTCGGGCACGTGGTGGGGCCACAAGTTGGCCGCCATGTGCGTTGAGAAAGAGGGCTACCGACGGGGGTCTGGCTCAATTCTTCTACCTGGGACAGCATGGCTATTATCGACTGCCGGAACTCTTGCGCTTCACCAAGGCTGGTGCGATTGGACGCGTTGGGGGTTATCTTTTTCATCGTTGATGCTGCTACAAGCAAGTCAACGGGGATGGGGATATGGTATTCATTGCTATTCGTTGCTGTGCGAACGATCTTTACACGTACGAACCACTGCAGAGCCTAAGCAGCCAGAGCTCATCGGCCAAGATCCTTCATCCTAAGACACTGCAACAAAAAACACGTTTAGCGTGGTTGCCTGAATACCCAAAATGTGTTAGCGCAAAGTATAATTGGTTGGAGTCAACTGGTGCCACTTTATCTCGGCAGCCTGCACCCCAACCCCTACTCGACGCCCTCCATAGCATCTACGAACTAACATCAATAAAGAAAGGGCTTGGTAACATTCTTCAGGTTTTTGTCTCCAGAGAAACTGCTACTTCAAATCTGCCGCGCTGCCTGCAGCCATGCCACCTCGCAAGAAACACTCATCTCGCTGTTCCCGCAGTCGCAACGATCGCAGCACGCCCCTCGCCAAACTCCCTTCAAAACGAGTCTCACTCGAAAATGACCAACACACCTTTCTCAACATAGCTCTCGAGATCCGCATCGCAATCTATCACATCGTTTTTGCTGGCTCTGAGGTGGTTTTCACACTTTCGCAGTGGGGTCCTCCATCGCTCCCGCCTCGCCCGCTCGCAGATCTCTTCGCTGGAAAACGACTAGTTGTTAAGCTCCCAGGAACCAAATGGTACGACAGGTACTAGATCGACAGCAAAGGGCACCCAGAACTACTGGTGACCTCTCATCAAATCTACAACGAGGCGCTACCAGTGTACGCGGCCGAAGCGAAACTTCGTCCTTAGCAAAGGCTTGTTGACCACCTCATCGATCACACCAGACCTTATTCCAAGTTTCTTGAAAGCAAATGTCACTCGAACCATCATTGCTCCTTCGACAAGACTTGGTAGTGAGCTTTGCAGTTCAGCTTCGATCGGGACGTGATATTCTTGACAGCTCCCGGTAAGGATGGGACTGTGCACAAGAAAGTGTTGAGTTTAAGCCTGTTCCAGCAGCGGGTAGTGGACCTAACATCTGTTTCAGACTATGGTTCTCTACCGCAACTCTGAAATACTTCGAATCGATGGTATGAGCTGGTCCGAATTCCTGCGTCAATGCGTAAACGATGGGCATACCACTACGTGACTAGCTTATGGTCTGGTCTGAAGCCGCTATCGTCGGCAAAGCCAGGTTTCTTGTAAGGTTGTCGAGCGATGGAACACACGAACAGAGGCTGGGGCCAGAACTCCCCCACCGTATCTCGACCGGAATTGATTTGGAATGCGTCGCATGATGATTATGGAGACAATCGAGCTGCATGTAAGAGCTGCTTTGTTGGATGCTGAAGGCTGAACTTCCACAATCAAGTTCACAAATAAACGACATAATCCATGTCATGCAACGTTTCCCTCCTTGCCTCATCAATTCCGCACTGAGTTGCGCTATTGCCGCTACGCTACAAGTGAAGATCTTCCCTGTCGACAAAAACTGTTAAAGGCCTGGGGCGGATTGGAGCAGGCCACGAGTTTGACGGCATGGTTTCTAGAACTAGATTATTCCGGGTGACAAGTAGTGTCCTCATGCAGCGTAGAGACCATTGTCTGTGAGAGAAAAGGTAGCTACACGATGACTGATCGTTGAGCATCGGCGTCCACAGCTGGTGTAGTACGTTAATAACACTGATTTCGTGACTTCTCAAACAGTCAAGAATGGTCCTCTTAATCCTCGGGTAACAGTGAGCTTTGACAATGTAGGGTTTCCTCTGGATCTCATGCTGTACAGCGTATTGAGTCCTCAATGTAGACAGTGGTGTATCAGCAGCAGGATGTGTGGGCGTCGTGCTTGCAAAGGCAGGCGCTGCCTGCCTTGGTTGCTGTGGCCCTGCCTTCACTCTTCGAGTTGCGGACTTTGAGTTCTGCTCTTGCCTGAAGATACACCTCTCTCTCAACCCGCATTCAGTCCACCACCTAGTCGCACAATTCGCACATGGCCAGGAAGCACCCACGGGGGCCTGCCAGCCGTCGATCGAAGCCGTCGAAGCGCAAGCGCAAGTTTGACCGCCACCATTCTCCATTCAACGCACAAGCCACCTTGCGAACACGTTCAGAGTCGTTGCGTAAGTCACTGATGTTGCAGCCACTCGCTTGTATGGATACTGACCGAACGTGCTTTAGACAAAGTCCAGAATGGCCCAGGCATCTGTCACCTCCTCGCTTTGCCAGCCGAGTTGAAGCTGAATATCTATCGCAACGTCTTCCAGGCGGATGACAACTGCTCGGTCACCCACCGCATCACCAACCAAATCGAATACCGCACAGAAACATTAAAAGCCGAACTCGTACACGCCACTGACCACCGCAACATCCTGATGACATGTCGAAGCTGCTGGTACGAAGGCGTCGATACCTACTATGAGAACACATCCATCGTGCTACAGGGCACTGGATGGATGAGATGGAGGATCGACATGCATCTCCCTGAAAGAATGTTGCAGCATGTGGCCCATCTCTGCCTCCCTGGCATGCCGCCCCATTGTTCCATCCTCAACTTGGGCAGTCCTTTCTACAAACTCGAGACCATTCAGACCAAGGAACTAACTCTCAGAGGGCGCCGAAAGGCAAAACACGTCAACATGACCGCTGCGAGGATCTTCTGGAATTACTTCGCCCGGGAATTCCTCTATTACACCGTCATTCGATACCGCAGGGAAGGGGGCTGCTCAGTACGACTTACGTGTCCCGTTACCTACCATTACCGCACTGGCATGAGACGCAATGGCGACCTTTCTGAGACTACTGTGAGTATCTTCGCCCTCAACATGCATGTTACCTGGCTAACAGGAAGTTATTGCAGCACTCCATTGTCATCGACATCGTGAACAAGAATATTCTGAGCTGCGAACCGCAGATGGTAGACTGCAGGCGGCTGGCGTCAACATTATGGTGGATCGAGCGGCAGGCAAGGTGTGCATTGACCCAGAAAAGAGCGCATACCTTGATCGCGAGCGTCACAACATGAACATGAGGGTTCTAAGTCGCGATGCAGTACGCGAGGGGCACTCCAAGACACCTGGAGAGGATCACTTGCAACAACTTCGAGACCGAAATGGAGTTAGCTTCCGATAAGGCATGCGACGGGAGCCATCGACGAGCATGGACACTGGCAACAAGCTCGACGCTGGTTTGGATTGTCGTCTTATGGCAAGTTTCGCAATTCGGAATTCTGCGAACTATGCCTACGTTGAACCGGCCTTCTGCTGCAAAATGTCGAGCACAGGCGTGGAAAAGATAAACGAGACTAGTTGGTGCGCATGCGAGGTGTGAATAGTTTTCGAAGTTTTCGAATGATGGAGGGATGAAGGGATGAGGAAGTCTTCAGGGAATAAAAGTTGTCGACATATCACAAACCGGCCGCCTGACGCCTGATGCCAAGGCCAGTGCCGGTGCGTCAAATTCAATTCCACTTCCACTTCTAGAACGGGTGCCGGCGGGAGTGAGTGCCCGACCTTCCTTGGCTACTCGAGAGTCTGACTTGTGACGTCTCTAGACGAGTGTCTGCCTTCCATCCTGGACATTGTCATATCACGAGGGTGACTTGTGTCGCGTCTAAATGTGTGTTTGAATGATCTGGCGTACTTTGGCTGAGACTGTGAGAAAGCTCGGAAACCGTGTCATCCTGGATGGGACACCGATCCTGTCACTGGTATCAAGCCTGGCATCCAAGACATAGTGTTTCACAGAGACAGCAATGGTGTTCAACTTCCTGTGGATAGGGTTACGACGTTGAATGCCACTGAAAAGGTTGATGTCCAGAACACCCCCTCCTTCGCCAAGGCGTGGCATGGTTCCTCTGAGGGATTCGTCTGAACGATAGAAACATCATTGACCAAGAAGCAGCTGCTCGTCTGTACACTAATTGCCATTATGCTAAATACCCCAAACGCCACCCTCGTCGTGACAGTCGTACGTACCCAACACCTGCATCGTAAGCTGAAAGTGAGGCTCGCGCCCTCTACTCAAAGACAACGCCATCCTCTTCCATGGCCTCCCCTTCCGCAAGCTCCTCTTCGACCTCCATGCCGACAGTGTTCTCAAACTCCTCCAAGCCCTTCTGCACATGCACCTTGAAGTTGACCACCTCCTCCAACATCTTCTCCACATCCGCGTGCAGCTGCTCGCGGATCTGGCCCGCCTCATCCTGCATCTGCTCCCACGCCAATGTCGCTTCTAGCTCCTTCTGCTCCATTTCCACCGCGCCCCTGTTCAGCCCCTCCCGCATGCGCGACAGCTCGGCCTCGAGCCGTTCGATGGCCGATGTCTGCTGCGTGTGTGTCGTGTTTCCCGTCTCCTTGAGCGAGTTGTAGTTGGTGCTCGCCTCGCGCATGCGGTGGTTCAAGTTGTCGATCTCGTTATTCTTCTCCGCCAGGGCGTCGACAACGTTCTCAAGCATGTCACGCGCATTGAGGTCCGCGTCCGCAGCGGCCTTGCGACGCTCATTGATCTCTTTGCGGAGTGACACAAAGGTAGATCGGACCGTACCTCGGAGATCTAGGTTGAGCAGGTGAGCGGGTGAATGACCCGTAGCAGGGTTGCTGGAGCCAAGAAGGCGGTCACCATCCGAAGGTGATCCCCGACGCGAGGTTCGGCCTGACTGCGAAGTCGAGAAGGTGGCTGTCGGCAGGTTCAGCTTCAGCTCGTAGTTGTTCCCACGAGCATTAGCGGCGGTAGAAGGAATGAGCGACAGTTGGTAACCCAGGGAGTTGTAGCGTTTGATGACACCCTCAAGGTCTTCTAGTTTCTGAGCTGTCTCAATCTCCTTGGCCAGAACCTTTTTGCTGACCTCCTCGAGCATTACAACGGCATCATCGTGACTCTTAGTCAGGCGTTCGCGTTCCGTGTTCATGCGATCGATGTCCTGCAAGCTGAGGCCTTGGGCATCGACTTGGTGTTGCAAAGAACCACGCTCCTCCTCAGCTGCCGAGAGCTCAGAGATCGTGTTCTGGATCTCCTTCTCCAGGACCTTGATCCTGGATTCGTACTTTTCGATTTTCGCCGCAACATTGGTGTTGTAGTCCTCGAATTTCTTGGTGTCGTCTTCTAAGATCTTGAAAACATTGTCCAGTTTCGAGATATCAGGAGTCGCCTTTTCGAGCTCTTCGACTTGCTCTTTCAGAGCCTGGTTCTCCGCTTCGTATATTTTGAGCTCTTCGCCATGTTTGGCATTGATCTTCTCGAAAGCCTCCGCCATGGCCTGGATATGTGGCAAGAGCGCAGCATCAGCGTTTTCCTCGTCTTCGTCATTACCGACGCCGAGCCAATCCTGATACGCGCCAAAGAGGAAGCGGAACACAATGCGATCACCAGATACATCAATCCCAGCCTCAGCACAAGCATCATCGTAGGCACCACGGGTGAAGTTCTCGAGCATCTGGGCGAGCTGCATGAGCCAGTGGAGGAGCCCAAGAAAGACGGGCCAGGATGTCTGGCTGCCCACTGCACCAAGCTGAGATTTTGTGATCTGCCAGGCGTAAGGGTAGCGAAGTTGCTTCAGAATTGGTGGAACTTCGGTATCGACGCCCTTCTGGAATCTATAGCCGGGATCGATGCGTCGGTAGAGCCACTGGAAAATGTTGGTGAATTCCTTCTGACTGGGCGACTTCAGGGAATCTTGTCGTAAAGAACACTTCATTTCAAGCTCGAAGTTGTTTTGTGAGAGATAGTCCATCAGCTCTTGTCCGATTCGCGCGCGATAAGAAGGATCACGAAGGGGACGTTGGTCCTTTGCATTTGCGGCGGGAGGCGCAGACTGGATGAAGAATGACTGGTTGGCGAGTGGACCGTGGTTCGAGGGTCTCGAGTAGATGCTACTTCGTCGTTGCACACTACCAGACGCCGGAGTCTGCGAGCCAAACAGCTGATTAGGCGCAAGGCTCTGGCGACCACTCGCGAAAACATTGGTGGATGTTGACCTCCGGACTGTTGACATGCCCATGTCTGCCAGGTTGCCGCCAGACGATGAGCGCTTGAAATTCGGTTGCGGTGGCCGCATGCCGGTGTACCCAGATGTCGAGCGCGCATGTTGCGCCGTATGAGGCGCCTTCATTGCTGACGCGGGTTGTGGTATTGAGGAATAGTTCTGAATGCTTCCCAAAGTTTCGCGCGGGCGGCGCACGCTGAAGAGGCCGGTGTTTTGAGACATGCTTGCTGACGTTGCGCGCAAGAGGCGCGATCTGATATTTGGGAGCGAATTCTGTCGTGTCTGCGCAAGGCAAAAGAGTTGTCAGCAATGGTAAAGAAAGGATGGTGTCGCAGTCGCATGCAACATGGAACTGGAGTGAATGTTTGGGGGTTCCGAAAAAGGAATAGTAGGTGTTGTGGAGAGAGCAACCAATCAAACCCGCCGATCGGCTGCCCGAAGCTTGGCATTCGACCTCGGCTCGTTGATCTTGGGTGGCTGGTAATGTCTTCGAGTTGTGTCCTATCCATCATTCTCTGCCAAAGCCTCACGGAGTCCTCTTCGCGTGAGCTTGCGACTCTTACCAATCGTCCCATTTCTACTCGATATGACCTCCAACTGAGTCGTGACCGCGACAAAGTACTGCCGCCACCATGGCGCCGCGCGAAGAGCTCGTGGCTTCAGCCGTCACCTTCCTCCGTGACCCATCGGTCGCTGCCTCGCCTATTGAAAAGCGCATCGAATTTCTCAAGTCGAAGAACCTTACCCAGGAAGAGATTGACGTCTCTCTAGGCCGAGCTGCAGAGGATCCGTCTCAGCCCGCCTCGCCACAGAATGGCTTCTATCCTCCACCTGCACCCTACCGTGGTCCGCCGCAAGGACAGTACGGCAACTATCCATACAACCCCTATGGCCAATTCCCACAAGCACCACCAGAACCTCCGAAACGTGATTGGAGGGACTGGTTCATCATGGCTACCGTGGTGGGAGGTGCTGGCTACGGACTATGGGTGCTGGCGGACAGATACGTCAAGCCACTGATCGCTCCTCCGACACCGCCGCAATTGGAACAAGACAAGACCGCAATCGATGAGCAATTCAACAAGGCTTTTGCGCTCCTCGATACCCTATCACAAGACACAGAATCATTAAAGAAGGCAGAAGAGCAGCGCACACAGCGTCTCGACTCTGCCATTACCGATATCGAATCCATCATTTCGGAGCTAAAGGCTGCCAACACAAAGCGCGAGGATGACTCAAGACGGATGGAAGCGGAAATCAAAACCATGAAGGATAGCTTACCGCGCTCGATTGACAACGTGCGGGACGCCAGCGAGCGGCAGCTGAAGGAGCTGAGTGCTGAGTTGGGTAGCTTGAAGCTGCTCATGGGCAACAGACTTGGTTCTGGCGGTGGCGGAGGAGGCGGCATGGCCAATATTCCCAAGACTCAGCCAGCCAACATCTCCAGCGTGTCTAACAGCGCCTCGCAAACACCCGTGGGCGAGACGACACCAGGAAGCAGTGGCAACGTTACTGGCGTTAATGGCATGGGCAAGGCACCTAGCTTTGCCATGCCGGGCGCGTCGTCGCAGTCGGCATCTACGCCTCGACCTGCATCGTCAACGTCGTTCGGCACCAGCGGCAACAAGACGCCAGCGGCCATCCCGGCCTGGCAGATGGCCGCACAGAACAAGCAGAAGGATTTTAACATCGCGCCGACGCCCAGCACAGGAACCAACGGCGTCACCAGCCCTCCCATCGACGGTGCTGATGCTATTGCCGCCCTCAATGCGACATAGTAGTCTTGGACGCGAGTCTGTCTTTTCAATGATATGTATGTCCAACTTCGTCTCTCACCCACCGCCTGTCTCGCCCGCTGTGGCACCGCCGCCAAACCTCGCTCTGGCCAATTCTTGTAACATCCCGATCGTCTTTTCTTCCTTCTGCCGCACAATCGCCAGCCTCTCTTCCCTCTCTGCCCGTCTCGCCCTCAACATTTCCTCCCTTCTCAGTTCCCGCTCATTCTTCTTCCTCTCGTGCTCTTTCTTCATCCGCTTCAGCTCGCCCAAACTGTCGGTATCGCCCATGACGTCCGCTTCGCGCACTTCTACGTCTCCGGCATCGTGCGCAGACTGCGCGAAGGCGTTATTAGACGCCGCGACCTCGCGCCTTTTCTCCAACTGGCGCTCGCGGCTGCCGGCAGCAGCGCGGGGTGCGAGCTCCTCGAGACGCTGGGCTTGGAGCGCGCGCTCGGCTTTGCGCTCTTCTCGAAGGAGAGAGGCTTTGGAGGCACGGGCGGCGGCGGCTGCTTCGATGGCGGCTTCCCGCGTCGCGACGAGGTCGGACGTGGTGGGTATTGATGGACCGGGTGCGCGAGTGGCATGGTGGGGGAGCACGGATAGTCGTGCTGGGACGGTATAGGTGGGGAGTGAGGGGCCGAAGTCGTCCTCGTCGTCGTTCTCCTCGACTGCCTCGGTCGAGCGTACGGGTGATGCGCGTCGCGCTGTGCTGGCGCTGGGCGGCGTCTGCCGTCTAGAAGTGGATTGTTCGGCGTCGATGGCTTTGTTCAAGGTGGCAGGATCATACCAGCCTTCAGCAAGTTCTCCACGGTTCCTGCCATGTCAGCATACTGCTCTTTCATACGGGTCTGAGTGGCTCGGGCGCGTAATACCATTTATTCACGAAACTCTTCCACCTGCCTTTAACTTCAGACTCTTCCAGGTCTTCAATCTCTATTTGCTTCTGTATGTCTAGATAGAGTGAGAAAAGGGGCTTGTATGTCCGTAGGTCGTGCTTGTCCAGCTCGCGGGCATTGAGTGGTAGTGCTCGTGGCCTGGTTCGGGTATGTGGAGAACGTGAGTGGTGTCTACGCCGCTTGTGCTCGCGTGTGGGCGAGCGAGAGCGTGGACTGCGCTCGGGAGTGGTCATGATACCCAGTTGACGATCTGTGGTCCCAGTGTGTCCGAAATGGCCTACACGCATCAATGACCAGGTGTGTACAGCCCTCACAGCAGCGCGAATGTTTCTGGGGAAGAGGCAAGGATGATGCAACCACGCCAAGCTTTTAGGCCGATGTTCTTCCGGTCTTCAGAGTACGTCTGCATGACTTTTCCTTCGTCAACCTCGGTCTTGATGACGCCTTCTTTGCTTTCTACGACTTCTGTTTCATAGACTATAGAGATAGACCTGAGATCCTGGCGTCCGGCATCGGTAATCATGCACATCTTGGTCACTAATGATGACGGCCCACCGTCCTATCAGTCCTCGCCATACGTACAATCATTGGTCGCCGAACTACAGGCGGCAGGGCATCAAGTATCGGTGATACTTCCAGATGTACAGAGGTCATGGATTGGTAAGGCACATATGGTGGGTCAGACGTTGACACCAAAATACTATCGACCAGGTACCCTGCTCAAGGATGATGGCACCCATTCAGAAAAGCCGTTCGCCGACAACCAGGAGGAATGGGTACTCGTAGATGGCACACCAGCGAGCTGCGCGCAGCTCGGCCTGCATCACGTCTTCAACGACAGAGGTCCCATCGATCTGCTGGTCAGCGGACCGAATTATGGCCGTAACACCACGGCACTCTTCGCTCTTTCAAGTGGAACTCTTGGAGGAGCGTTGGAAGGCGCTGTGAACGGCAAGAAGAGCATTGCTCTGTCTTACGCCTTCGACTCTAGAGAGCATGATCTGGAAATCATCACAGAGGCGTCGAAGCTGAGTGTTCGCCTCATCGAAAAGTTTGCCCGAGACTGGGCGGACGATGTGCACGTCTACAGCATCAACGTCCCCGTTCGCAAAGGGGTCACAAACAATAAAATTGTCTACACGGAGATGATCCAGAACGAATGGTCCAGTGGCAGCTCTTTCAAGGAGATGCCCGCCGATGAGAGTGATGCTGATCCGAATAAGGAGGAGCATAAGATCCGCGAGCAGAACGAGCTCAACGGAGATGCGCAGCCCAAGGCCACCACGCGCAAACATGCCACTTACAAATGGGCGCCTCAATTTCAGGATGTGAGGACGGCCGTCGAGAACGCTGGATCCGGGGATGGTTGGGAGGTGCTGCAAGGCAATGTGAGCGTTACGCCACTTCGGGCCAACTTTTGGCACCTTCCGCACTACAGGGGCGAGATCAAGCTGTGAGTAAGTGGCTGGAGATTGATGGCCCGGTACGCGGGTCAATCGGAAGCTAATGCTCATGGTTGCAGTGATGCTGTCGAGCGCATAGCGATGCGCATGGCTCCGAGATCAGAGATCAGACCAGTATTGAATGCCATGATAGACTACCCAGACTCATACGTCCAATCGCTCGTTCTTCAGGCTGTACTGAAGCTGGATGACCTTGACATCCGTCCCGTTGGGGCCTTGCACGAAGTCGCCGACAAGACCCGGCCTCTGCTGCAGATCACAGCATATGAGAGCCTAGACTTTGAACTCGCCTTGGAACACTCTCGAACATCACTGATTTGCGCATATGCAATCCGCAAAGCGCTCATTCGCAAGCACTATTTGTCCAACACTGTCTCTACTTGGCTCGTTAAGCACCCAGAGAGCGTCCTTTCGAAGCGCTTCAAATCGTGCATGCATTTCGAATTGGACTTCGCAGAGTTTCTCGACGACGCATTAGTCGATGCATGGGATCTCAATGAGAGTATGTCTCGCAATGAATCTATACCTGCAATTTCCCAGCGCGAGTGGTGGATACTGAAACCTGGCATGAGTGACGGCGGGAACGGCATCCGATTGTTTTCCACTTATGCTGAGCTACAAGCTATCTTCGACGAATGGGAAGCTGATAATCCAGAGAGCGAAGATGAAGAAGACACGACTCTTGATGCAGATGAGGATGAGTGTGGCGTCAATGGAAACGAGGGCGGCGGTGCAATGACTTCTCAGCTTCGTCATTTCATCGCGCAGCCCTACATCCCGAATCCTCTCCTCTTCCGAGAATATGGAAAACGCAAATTCCATATCCGAACATATGTCCTTGCCGTTGGGGCGCTCAAGGTTTATGTCTATCGACAGATGCTCGCCTTGTTTGCGGCTAAGCCATACACTCCTCCCTCGGACGACGCACGAGCAATGGACCTTGCAGGTCATCTGACAAACACATGTTTCCAGGACGACTCGACGAAAGAAACTTCTGTGCACCAGTTCTGGGCTCTGCAGAACGGGCGATCCGATGATTGGCAGGAAAAGGTCTTTGCAGATGTCTGTGAGACTACTGGAGAAATCTTCGAAGCTGCTGCCCGAGAACAAATGGTCCACTTTCAGACCATTCCCAATGCGTTTGAGATCTTCGGTGTGGATTTCCTCGTTGACGAGAGTCTCAATGTCTGGCTTCTCGAGTTGAACGCGTATCCGGATTTCAAGCAAACGGGCGAGGGTTTGCAAGACACCGTCGTTGGCGGGCTGTTTGACGAAGTTGCGAAGGTGGCCATCTCTCCGTTCTTCGATCCAGATTCGCAGCATTTACGTCAAGGCACGGAGGATCTACCGCTGGTGCGAGACTTGAACCTGGGTCGTGGTTGAGGAAGGTCAGTATGTGACGAAGGCGCGCAGTGGCTTCATCCAGACATATTCTATACCAGTGACGATTTGCTACGGCAAAGTCACTTCTGGCTTTCATCATCAGATGGTCAAGTATCCCCATGGTCAAGATGCTCTGCGCCAGGAATCTTGTACATCCTCGGCAGCATGAATCAGAGTGGGTGGCACAGGCTTAGTTTGATGTCACAAGTCTGGGAGGCGAGGCTGGAACGTGCCTGCAGTCCACCATTCGTGCACAGGTATGTTCAGAGAAAGGGTCACCAGGTCTTGTCTAGCCTCAAACGTTCACTGGGAGCCCTTTGTAGGGCAGAGCACAACCGGTGAGACGGGTGCCTAGCCATATGGGATTTCTTGGGAACTAGGCAGCCAGTACGGCTGAACATTAGCTCGATTCCTAGTCATCACGCGGTCATCAAGGGATCTGCCCTACCCGGAACTCGCGTATAGCCTGAGTCTTAGACACACCCTGCAAGCGAATATGATCCCCACTTACTGGGCCCGTCTGTTTAGCTCGCTCGAATCCCCAAGAATTCCATTTCGCGAAAACGCCAATGCAGTGGTCAAAAATTCAGGCAACGAGAAAGGACGCCCCTGCATTGGTGACGACACGGCAGTGGCGACGTGCAGAGAACAACCACGTTTGACTCATGGCCTAAGCTCTGAACTTCTTATTTACTTTGCTATTCACGTCTCGTTGCAATCAACGCCAGCATGGACTATCCCAAGACCTTCGCCAGCGGCGCCGTACTCGTCTACTATCTCATGTCATCCCTGATAGCATCTGTGAGGTTGCCAGCGACTCCAGCCAAAGCCAGTCCAAACCAGCAAAGGTTCCAGTTGGCAACAACATCGATTGTCCTCGTCATCTCCATAGCCCTGTCTTCGGTGGAAGGCGTCAATGTCGGCACTATTGGTAGACATGGCGACGACGGCCTGTTGTCCGATCTTCTCTTCTCGCTGCAGTGGCTAGTACTCCTGCTTGCTCACATCGATCATCCGGGATCTGTTCGATACCCTCACTATGGCGCTTGGGCCATCTCTGCCCTGTCGCGGACATCGGCTCTCCTGAACCGGATGCCAGCGCGCGAACTTCTGTCAAGACCAATCGGCCGTGGGATTGCTGTCCTTCTACTATGTCAAATCGCCGCCGCTGTCTGTCTTCTTGTCGTTGTTCCCATACTTCAATCCTGTGCGCAGCGCTCTTCACAGGCCAACGATGAAAGCGAAACCCAGCCTTTGCTCGGCAGTGAGGCCGCAAGCGATGGCACAAAATCGGATCAGGAGGAGCGAAATCCTCGCGAGACGCCTGAACAGAAGAAGGCTCGTGAAGAGATACATAAGCGACAAGTTCGGGAGTACTTACGATCCTTCCTGGTATATGTACCGTTGTTGTGGCCGCATACATTCATGCAAAAGATGTACCTTGGCGGTATGTTCTGCTGCATGCTTAGCTTGAGATTCGTCAACGTTCTCTTACCTCTTGCACTGGGACTCATCATCGACACCTTAGCCCGTGGCGGCTCCCCTTGGCTGCCCATCGCTGGGTACTTCACGCTTTACTTTGTTCAGTCAAGGACTGGAATTGGTCTTCTAGAAGACTTCCTCCGGTTGATGTTCACGAATCAGCAGAAGCTCACTCTGAGTCGGGCGGCATATAATCACATCATGGATCTGTCCGCCGACTTTCAGGATGCAAAGACATCCTCGGAAATCTGGCAGTCAATGTCACAAGCGCAATCTGTGATTGACCTGTTCCACGGTGCAACTTTCGAAGTCGTGCCGATGCTCATCGACCTTGTGGCCGGATCCGTCCTCCTCTGGGCGATTTTTGGCCCCTACATGGGCTTCCTCGTATTGACGCTCATGGTGATGATGATCTGGGTTTCAGTAAGGGCGGTCAAGTCCAGGGTTGGCTTATCTCGTAAGTGGCGGGATACTTGGTATGACCAGTATCATCAGATGGTAGATTCGACCGAGAACTGGTATACCGTTGCTCAATTCGGTCAGATACCGCGCGAAAAGACTGCGTACCAAAACAAGCAGATTGCGGCTCTGGAAGGCCGGAACAAATTGTATTTCTGGTTGTATCGGAATGGCGTGTCCCGCTTCTCGATTATGACACTCGCCTATCTGCTCGCCGCTGCGTTGGCGGCACTCGAGATCCACAATGGCGAGTTGAAAGTGGGTGCGTTTGCCACTTTGACAGGATATTGGGCGCAAGTAGCCAGTCCGGTCATGTACATCGTGCACGAGATTACCGACGTGGCCGACAAATTGGTGGATGCTGAGAAACTCCTCGTCCTACTCGAGAAGAAACCGACAATCAAGGACGAGCCCGACGCGAAAGCGTACGATTACCGTGGTGGAAGCGTCAGATTTGAAGACGTCTTCTTTACTTATGACGGTAACAAGCAAGCTGCTAAAGGCGTTAGCTTCCATGCTGCGCCAGGAAAGATGACTGCACTCGTGGGCGAGACGGGTGGCGGCAAGTCAACCATGTTAAAACTGCTTATGCGGTTCTACGATCCTGAGAAGGGTCAAGTCTTCCTGGATGACCAGGATATCCGGTCACTCCAGCTTGCGTCTTTTCGTCACCACATTGGAGTCGTGCCTCAAGAGCCTAGCATGTTCCATACTACGATCTTGGACAATGTTCGATATCCCGACCCTTCCCTTTCCGAAGAGGAGGTACAGGAAGCTTGCAAAGCAGTCTCTCTGCATGACAAGATTATGACATTCGCCAAAGGCTACCAGACTAAAGTAGGTGAGCGTGGCTGCCAGCTTTCAGGTGGCGAGAAACAACGTCTGGCCATTGCTCGTGCAATTTTGAAGAAGCCAAGCATCCTCTTACTTGATGAGGCCACCAGCAGCGTCGACAGCGTGACTGAGGGTCTGATCCAGGCCAGTCTTGATCAAGTGTGCAAAGATCGCACGACTTTTGTCATTGCTCATCGACTTTCAACAATACTAAAAGCGGACAAGATTCTGGTCATTGAAGGTGGCAAGCTCGTGGAAAGCGGAACGCACAACGAGCTCATCAAAAAGCGAGGTGGTGTCTACCAGAAACTCTGGAAGAGTCAGCTTAAGCTGCAGGGTGAGAAGAGCCGCTCGCGGTCGAGATCCAGAGGGTGCGAAGAAGAACAGCCACTGGCCCTGGTAGATGATATGGATGGTGATGGGGACGTGGCCAGTCTGATCGATGGATCTGACACTCCAGCAGAAGAGTCAGCTGCGCAAACACCTGTGGAGGGGAGTGAGTCACCACGTGGAGGTGCACAAGGCCCAGTGCGTGGACTTGCTGCGGGTGTGGGAAAGCAGGCCTCTGAAGCAATACGTTCGCGATTCGCTACATCTCAATCACCAGTGCGCGAAGACGGTCAGGCCCTAAATGGCCAATCAACGGTAGTTGCGGAGCACAACGAAGCTCCTTCGACCCAGAACGTAAAGTCGAATACATCTGAACCACAAACCGCGGGTCGAGATCAGCAACAAAATGGCACCGCTGATGGCTAGAAGCCGGCGCTGCGCAGACAGGCTTACAGCGAGGCAACTCCTAAAGATCATGACGGGCAGCTATCGGATAGCTCCAGCGACCAGACTATCAGAGTCCCCATGCATAGCAGGATACCCTGGAAGCTCAATCCGACAAAGGGTTGAGGGATTGTAAGGTCAAATCGACGAGAGATGATGAAAATGCATTTGTATTCGTTGTTGCGCAACCAGCATTGGCATCATTCGGTGGTAAAGCGCACCACTCAGCCTTTTGCGATAGACCTGGTCAATAGAAGCTCTAACATAGCGTAGCATGATGCACTTTTGAGAAAGACTTGCTCATGAAGAAGGAGAAGAAGAAGAAAAAACCAGGCTATCAGGCAGTGAATGAGTGGAGTCTCTGGTGCGTATCAAATCTGACGTCACAGGCGCGTGTGGCACGAGTCGCGTCGAGGAAACAATTTCAACAATTTCAACCGTTTTCACATGCCGGGAATGAGCTCTTATCTTACAGCGGACTCTTGTTCGCTCCCAACGACAGTTGATTGAGCTCATGATGCTTTACTGACACGCTTCATGCTAACCATGACCTTGTGCGACGTAGCCAACGTCGTTGAAACTCCTCGCAATGGCATCGCCAACCCGATCCGCGACATCAGACGACAATGAACGTCCATCCCCGCCGGCTCTCACCGAACTCGTCCGGCGTCTCCTCCGCCCTTTGTTAAACCCGTTGCATGCCGTCCTGTCCTTCCTCTCGTCGCCGGCCTTTCTGCGCGCATCCATCTCTACCCTCATCTTCGTCTGCGTCTCCTCCCTACTGGTCGCAACCAGCACCACCGCGTATCTCATCTTCTACTACTACTACATTCCACCCATCAGCCTTTCCATACCCCTGTACCTGCAATATGGAGTGCACAACACCGCGCCCTATGCAGTGGCGGAGATCCCGCAGGGGACTCTAATCAGCCAACAGGCCTACGACGTGCGAGTCGACCTCGAGATGCCGCGCACCCCCAACAATCTTGAGGCTGGAGTCTTCATGGTCGATGTGAGACTGTTGGGGGCGTTTGACCCGGTCGCGGAAGCACCAGAGACACTGCGCCAGTTGCTGGGCAATATTACTGCGTTGGGCGGGGATGGCTACACCGTGCTGCAGCATTCGCGGAGGCCGGCGATGCTGAGGTACAAGAGCGTGCTGCTGGGCCTGGCGAGCGAGATGATGAATCTGCCTTTCCATCTCGTGGGATTCAAGGATCTCGACACGGAGAAAGTCAAGGTCAGAATGTGGGAAAAGGCCATATTTCGGCGCGGGAGCGGGAACGTGCCGAGGGGCGTCCGGGTGGAGGTCGCGACTGGCGGTGCGACCACGGGCTTGAGCGAGATGGCGGCGGGCAGGCAGGTGCAAATCTACAAGGCCGGCTTGACGTTCAGCGCGAGGTTCCATGGACTGAGGTACCTGGTGTACAACCACCGCATCGTCAGCTTTTTGGTCTTGACCACGACGTTCTACGTTGTCAGCATTATTGCTGTGGGCTTGGGTTGGGCGTGGCTCGGGCGTTCTATCATGCCGCCGGAATCGCGTCCGATGATTAAGCAGGAGTCTCCGCCGGTCAAGACCGGGCAAAACGAGAAGCAACAGCAGCAGATCAAGACCGAAGACGAGGACGACGAAGAGGCGACAGGCTTGAAAATCGAAGACGTCAGCGATTCACCTGCGCAATTCCCAAGTGGAAGAGGGCGTGCGCCGCTACGTTACGAAGGGAGACAGGACGACGAGGAGGGGCCTCAAGGCATGTCAGCGGTGGGGCAGGAGCGGGAGGTGGGCGAAGGCGAGAAGGCGGACGATGAAGAGGAAATGGACGACGATGAGGAGTATGCGAGGGCGGCGGCCGCTGCTCGGACTACGGGTCGCTTTGAGGGCGATTCGGGCATAGGAACCATGAGTGAGAGCCAGATGGATGGACAGGGGTTGGTCAGAAGGCGCAGTGGGAGGAGCCTGGGAGAGCAGCACTGAAGAGTGGACTGTCTGCGCCGGATCTCAGGGTGGGCGGCGTACATTCCTGGGCGACTCGCAGAGGTCATGCTCGCTTTCCCAATTCAGGAGAGCCGGACTTTGACAAAGATCTCTTTTGCAATCAGGGCTTTACGTACACTGTGCCGTACCTGTGTCTGCCTCATGTGTCGTACTACGGCGGAGCTCAAGGCCACGTAGCGGCGGCCCCTGCAGTGCCTCTCATGCCGCGGCTACCATTATCTATTGGCGTCTTTGCTGCGACCACGCAACCATTCTTCGACCTCGTGTTCGGTCACTCGATGGCCTCCAGGTGCTGATCAGGCAGACTCAAGCTGTTGCCACCATGCCCGCCTTTCTAACGCTTTTGACTACCCGCGTATGGTCCGGATCTCGAACAGCCTCATTGGCCCGCGATGCTTCTACTGCAGCTATGACCGCGCAATGTACGTACATGAAGGGCAAATGGGGCGCAGAGTTGCCCATATCCTAGTAACCTTGCACTGACCGCGATGCCTCTTTATCATGGGGACCTGCACCGCCTCGCGCAACGCAGGATGCCCAAGCAAGTGGTGTGCCGCCCTCAGCCTTGGCGGCCCTTCCTAGATACCGAACGGCTTTGATGTTGCTTGCGCTTGCAAGGCAGACTCTGCTCGTCAAGCCTACAGCCGATCTATAGAAAACACCTCAGAGATGAACTCCCTTGCATCGCACTGTGCCATTTTCTGCGATTGCAGTGCCCGTCGCATGAGGCCACAGAAAAGGCCTGGCGCGTAGCCTCCCCATCTTGTTGGTGCCAAGGCGAGGCATCGTGCATGAAACGACGTTCTGTTGACGCCAGCAGAGCCCAGTGTATTGACGCCGCATTGGGGACTAGAGGTTTACGAGGCGAGCAAACGGAAGCCATTGCCCCTCCCATGCTGACTGGTCGTTCTTGTGTGTGCCGTCTTAGCGAAACCATATCGACAGATGGTGTCCCCGTTGACGTGCGTTGCTAGGGTTTAGCCGCCGTAACATTTTTGGCAGTTCTATCAATCTCTACCCCTACCTCATGCAGCGAGCCATGGTCCAGTTCTTTCCGCAGACTGCTGTGAAGGGGCATGGGCCGTCGGTAGGGCTTGTTTTTTGAACTATCGATCCTGTGCCGACTTCGTCTGTGCGGTGCAAAACGATCGGATTCCTATTCGTTCGGAAGGAGGTTTGAAACTGTAGCTTCTATGCAACGGGCGTGCTAGCGGTGTCCATTACTGATTCTCCGAAAGCTCAGTCTCACGCATAAGAATTCATATCAACGCTTCTCTAGGATCTGTTACCAGTGGACCAGGCTATCCTCAAATATCGAAAGAGTCGACCAGAAGCATGACTCTGGACCCCCGCGAATGGCATCCCTCCTGGGTACAGTCGACGAGGTGGACCTCCAAATATACAGCCGTTGGTCGGCCGTACCACGTCAAACCTTCTAATGCATGGCCAATGCAATCTTGTGGGTCTCAGCGGCTATTGCACCCAGACAGATCTCTCCTGGTGGAAGCACGTACTCTATCCTACTCCCTTGGACCGCGTCTAGCAGGCTGGACAGTGGTTGCAGTGGACAGCACAGCCTTGGGATCTGCTGGTCCGGGCCATGTTCTGTGGTCTCTTTGCACAAGCGAGATTGTAGCCCAAGTACTTATGTGCTTGAGTCCAGGACGAGCATCCAGCATTTGATGTCTTGAATACGCATCGCTGCTAAGAGACTGCTCACCGGGACATACAAAGCAACTCAATACATTACGTCGGCGGTACAAGCAGCCATGTCTTCGTACTCTACCCACCAGAGACTGCCTTCACTACCGGCAACATACACCACACGGTCCATCTGGAAGGTTGCAAAGGCCCCTACCGCGCAGAATCAGGCGCGCTCGAGGAAAGGCCCAAAGGCCAGGAGCTGGACTGAGGAAGAAGTAAGTTCTGCCCACCATTGAACTGGGTGTCTGTCTAACAGCCTGACAGGAGAACGTCCTGCTAGACGGCCGCGAGAGGCGAATTCCCTATCGACGACTTGCATTTGAGCTGGGAAAGACGGAGCTGGCATGTCGGCTGCACTACCACCAGCTCACCGTGGTCAAGACTCGACAGGTTCACGATGCTTACATGCGAGCTACGCCTCGCCAGAGCACCTCCCCACCGACACAATACCCGCACAGCCCGGAGATCACGAATCCCTCGACTGCAGGCTCGCCGATATCCCAACAGCGAACATTGCCAAGCATCAACAGATGGTTCGATGATTCCGATCATCACCGCAGCAGTTCGTTGCCCACCCCGACAGGATCCAGATGCTCGAGCCCTCAGTGCGAACATGATGGGCCTCGTCCGTGGGCGATCGTCACCCCACCAACACCGCCTTCGAGCCATCTCCTCAGTCCCTTTGTGCCAGCACGGTCAAGCCTGATTCATCCGTCGCTGGGAGGTCACCATCGGACTTGCTCCTACCCTCCACCAAAGATACGCATTGGCGGACTGAGCTGCCCACCTCAGTACTTTGGGAACGGCGCCGCGGAGTGGCGACCACGTCCGACGCGCTCCATGTCGATTTCCTCGAACGAGAGGGATATTTTGGCGCTGTCACCGCCGCTATGCGGTACCGGAATATCGAGCTCGCCGAACAGCGACCGCTGCTCGGTCCAGTCGCTGCTGAATCACGGGGACTAGTTCATAAATGTATTGCTAAACGGAGCGACATGTTCTTGACGGCTAGGTGGGAAACAATTTGATTGTTGTACGAGGCATGATTCACGACAATGGTATTTCTCTAGGCGTTACACGACTGTCTACATAGACTCCTTGAGGATGCCAGCAGAGGTATGCAATAAGGTCTTCATCATTCGTCAGTGGCAATGGCATGGCTGAGGAACGATCGTAGAGAGACGGCAGGATCTAAACCCTGCTGAGTCTTGCCACCGGTCGCTGAACCGAAAGGTTGATACATGTACCTACAGCAATGTAGATAGTACAATTACTTTGAGCACAATCTCGTCTTCTTTCTACGAAGGAGCCTACCATCGCTCTTGAGGGCACATTTCTTGACTCTTCTCGCGTAGCCATCTCCGGAACTACACACCTTTGCAGCACAGAAGCAAAACCAATGCAAGACCGCAAGCGAAGAGCCGCGTAATTCACTGCCTACGTCGATGGGGTGTCTTTGCGCAGAACGTCATCTCATTGGGTCGGCGCTGAGATAGGCAGGGAAACTCTGCAACAACCCTGCCAGGCCACTCGGAGGACGGTTCCTCCCCATCCTCGGGGCAGACAGCCAAAACCTATGTCTCGATGGTATCGATGTCGTGATTGTTATCTCCAGTGATTGTTCCTATCAATGAGCACAGCTTGACTAACACAGTGAATCGCAATTTGCCATGTCTCTGGCTCATAGACCTTTCGGGCGGACGACCGAGTTCGCCTCATCCACACACCGCCACCGGATAAGCCCTGGTACGGGAACTGAACGAGCGGCACGTGCCAACCGAGGCAGATCGATGAAATCAAACTCTCCGCGAATATCCCACAGAGGCACGAAGCCAGATTTATGTCATACATGCTTGAACATCCTTGAACATGCCTCAATCGCTGTTCCTGGCAGTGGATCTCCGAAGCTCTCTAGGAAGCTTCCTTACGCCCCCAACCATCTAGCGGCGCACCATACTCCCTTTGGCAGGAGAGCACACTGTCGATGCAACGTTCTATCGCGCTACTCTTGCTTCTTGACTTCATACACAAGCATCGCCCGCGGTGCTTGGATGTGCTTATCTGGAGACACTGGCTTCTAGCGACGTGATGATTTGTCCATTCCCCCGCCTCTACTCCGTACCGTTGCACACCCTACCCGCTAACCGTGCCTCTCTGCCGATCCGCCGCAGGGTCGATATGGAGATTTACTGTCAGGGACCGGCGACGAGCAGGTGACGCACTCATGCAATGCCCCGACTGGTCGCGAGGTGTCTCGGTCAGGAAGCTCGCGAGGTCGAGTGACGAGCTCTTCGGACCACGCCGCCGTCATGCAAACAAATAAAGTCTCGCAAGCTCGCCCGCTGCTCGCGAAAGGGTGGACTCTACCTTGGTTGCCCCAGCTTGCTTTCTTCCCCACAGAGAACCTTTGAGAGCTTGCCACCATGCAGTTCAAGCTCGGTAGTCTGGCCGCCGTGCTGGCCTTGAGCTCTACAGCCTCCGCCGCCTTCAACCGCGCGGCCATCAATGCCTTCAACATCGAGCACCCCAAGCGGTACGACCGCATGAGCAAGCCGGTCGTGCCAGAAAGGCGTCTCGAGAAGCGGCAGTCGCGGTTCCTGAACAACAACACGCAGAAGTTCGTGGTGGACGGCACCAAGATCCCAGATGTCGATTTCGACATCGGCGAGTCCTATGCGGGTCTGCTACCCATCTCGCAGTCGCCGGACGAGGAGAGACAGCTGTACTTCTGGTTCTTCCCGACCACGAACCCGGCGGCGGGCGAGGAGCTCGTTATCTGGTTCAATGGTGGTCCGGGATGCTCCTCGCTGAGTGGTCTCTTGACTGAGAACGGCCCGTAAGTGTTTGTGGACCGGCCGCGGGAGTGATGCTAATGTGATGGCAACAGCTTCCTCTGGCAAGAAGGCACTTTGGCTCCGGTACCGAATTCGTACAGTTGGTCGAACCTGTAAGCCCACCATTTCTCCTAAGAAGCTCCTCCTGCAACCCACAAACGACTAACATACCACAGCACAAACATGATCTGGGTCGAGCAGCCCGTCGGCGTTGGCTATAGTCAAGGCACGCCAAACATCACCAACGAAGTCGAGCTCGGCCAGGAATTCGCGGGCTTCTGGCGCAACTTCATCACCGCCTTTGGTCTGCAAGGGTGGACGACCTACATCACCGGCGAGTCGTACGGCGGCTACTACGTCCCCTACGTGGCGGACGCCTTCATCACGGCCAACGACAGCACATACTGGAAACTGGGCGGCGTAGCCATCAACGACCCGATCATCGGCGACGGCACCCTGCAAGAACAAGCCGTCATCTACCCCTTCGTCGAATACTGGAGCAACCTCTTCTACCTCAACGACTCGTACATGGACGCCCTCCGCTGGACGCACGAGTACTGCAACTACAGCAGCTACCTCGCGCAATACGGCACCTTCCCACCCCCCTCGGGCCCATTCCCCGTCCTCCCCGACCCCTACGCCGACACAGACCCCAACAGCAACTACACATGCGACATGTTCGACCTCGTCTACGCCGCCGCCCTCGAAGTCAACCCCTGCTTCAACATCTACCACATCACCGACACCTGCCCGCACCTGTACGGCCAACTCGGCATCGTCAACCCGGGCGACTACTCCCCGCCCGGCGCCCAAGTCTACTTCAACCGCACCGACGTGCAATCCGCCATCAACGCCCCGCACGTCGACTGGTACCAGTGCACGCCCGTCAACGTCTTCGGGCTCGAGGACGACAACCAGACCTTGTCGGACACGTCGCCCGCGCCCGCCATGAACGAGGTGTTGCAGAGGGTGATTGAGTACACCAACAACACCATCATCGGCGCCGGCAGGCTCGACTTCCTCCTCGCCCCCAACGGCACCCTCTTCGCCCTGCAGAACACCACCTGGCACGGCAAGCAGGGCTTCCAGTCCTACCCCCAATCTCAGGACTTTTACGTGCCCTACCACCCGGAGTACAACGGTGGGCGCCTCTCCGAGGCTGGGATTGTCGGGCAGTGGGGCAGTGAGCGCGGGTTGACGTACTATGAGGTGCAGCTGAGTGGCCACGAATTGCCGGGGTATGCGGCGGGGAGCGGGTATCGGGTGTTGGAGCTCATGTTGGGCAGGATCAAGAGTTTGGGAGACGTGGAGAATTTCTCGACACAGGTCGACGAGGGCGAGTTTGGGAATAATGGCACGGAGAATGTTTTTTTGGGAAGGGGGTTGGGGTTAGAGGCGGATTGGTGATGTGAGGTGATGCGAGGTGATGTGATGGGGGGAGAGGAGGGGTGGGGAGGGTCGATGTTGAAGGTGAAAGGTGAAGGACCTCCCCGGGCCCGTGGAAAGACGACGATGATCATGAAATACAGTCACTGTCTCGTCGGGACAGACTACATAATGATGACGAGAACAGCGATAGCGATAGTGCCAGTGCTGAAAGGAGCAAAGTAATGGCTAATGTGCACAACCCACGTACATCCCATCGTAGCTCAGCTCTCCTCAGCTCCTCAAGCACCGCTGCCGGCAAGGTGCCGTGTGCAAAGCCTCTCTTTCTATCTCTCCATTTCTCTGCCTCTATCTGATGATAAACACATCCAGCCTGCGATCTGTATCTGTATGTTTGCTTCCACCCCTCCTTCCCCCTTCTTCCCTCTCCGCTCCGCTCCGCTCCGCTCTACCCCTGCACGAACTGGTACTTCCCTGCTCGTGCTCGTCCTCCTCCTCGTCCTCCTCCAGCACTAGCCCAATAAATCCCCACTATCCCAGCCCCAACTCCTCCCGGGTTCCACCTCCGGCCGCCGTCCGCAGCAGGGAGGCCGGACGCTGAAGGCTAGTGCGACCTCCAGAGTAACTCCTCAGGCCTGCAACGTACCTCCACAGACGGGCGGCCTATGCTCGCCTTCGTGGACGCCACAACCCTGCGGTGAATGTTTGTGCCGGCGCTCACGGAAGTCAGCCTTTACACCGCCACCCACAGCGTCCACATCCAACAGCGCAACTGGCCCCGGGGAATCCAACCGATACTGGGGCGAGGAGAAGCCATAGCAGACCAATAAAAAGGGATCGTGCCGCATGCTACGGCATACGCAGGCCCCTACCCCCGCCTCCCGCCTTCCAGGGCTGTGCCCCTCGGTTCGTTCGTTGCATTCAGGGGATCTGGCAACCACACTTTCTGCGCGGTCAATGCGTGGGTGGCTCATGTGAAGATACGATGGGCCACGGTGTGCGGTGGATCTGACGGTGCCACGTGGATGAACGAGAATTTAGCCCCCTCCCCCCCGCAATCTAAAGTGCTGGGAAGGGGAGGTGGTTTTCGTGGGACGCTGAGGGGAACATGAATTTGCTGTTGTTGTGACTGCCCCAATGTGGCTCTTTGATCTTGCATGCGGAAGGATAGGGTTGGCAGCGGCAGCGGCAGCGGAAGTGCTCCATGTGGTCGTGCTGCAGAGCCATATATACCTTGCAGGGGGTCGATAGTTCCTGACTTTTGAGCATGGCGTCCGCTGGTCCAAGAGCTAATTTTGACATAAGACAAAGGCCCCCTCCAGAGGAGAACTCGCCGACTCGTATCGCCTGTCCGCACCCCCC